CCCCTTTTCCCCCCCCCCCCCCCTTTTTTTTTTTATATATATATACTCGTTTGTGTTGGTATACTTACACAATGCTACAGAATTCCATAAGACAACCCAGTACGGCATGTCCTATGTACTGGGTCGTAATTGTCGTTTCCTGCAGGGTCCGAAGACAAACCCATTCAGCGTTCGTCGTATCCGTGAGAAGCTCGATGCTGGTAAGGAGCATTGCGAGACCTTTCTCAACTACCGGCGAGATGGATCACCCTTCATGAATCTTCTAATGGTCGCGCCACTGTACGACAGTCGTGGCGTGGTTCGCTACCACATCGGCGCTCAGGTCGACGTCTCTGGTCTTGTTAGAGACTGCTCTGGCCTCGAATCTCTTGAGCGACTCGTCGAACGCGAAACTGTCGAGGGAAGTACGGACGGCTTCGTTAGGATTCACCGCAAGAATGGCCAGACCAACAGCAGTACCGACGCGAAAGAAGACGAGGCAAAGAAGGACGAGTTCCGCGAGCTCGCCTCGATGTTCTCCCTCCAAGAGCTCAAGACAGTCCGTGAATCTGGTGGCTCAATGCACCGTGTGCATCAGTCCGAGGCCCCGGACACCGAGGGGGTATCCAATTGGCACAAGCCTCGCCTCCTCATTCGTGACGACGCAACCATCGACCGCCGTGACTCGGATCCAGTGCTGCAGTACTCGCCGGTGCATAGCTCAGCCAGCGGCAAACTGGCCGGCGTCTATGAGCACTACCTCCTCGTACGGCCATATCCGTCGCTACGGATCCTCTTTGCGTCCCCAAGCCTCCGGGTCCCAGGAATGTTGCAGTCCAACCTCATGTCGCGCATCGGCGGCTCCTCCAAAGTCCGTGAAGCTATCGCCCAGGCTTTCGCCGATGGACATGGTGTTACCGCCAAGGTGCGCTGGCTTAAGTCTCGCGTAGACGCTGAGGGCGGACGTGCTCGCTGGATCCACTGCACGCCGCTGCTGGGCAGCAACGGAGCCGTTGGTGTCTGGATGGTGGTTCTGGTGGACGATGAGCAGGACAGCGCATCTAGGGCGCCGCGGGATGCACCACCCGTCGACCGACACATCCGAGGACTTGGCCGCAGAGAGTTCGCCGGCAGTGTGGACGAAATGAGCCTGGATAGCTTTGCTGGCGTTGGTGCCGGGAGTATCGGCGGCGAGTCTGACGGCAGATTCAGCATGGGCGGAAGGGACCCTAGGGTTCCCAGGACGTATAGAAATGATGGCGACTCGTCGTCCTCAAGAGGCCATCGAAGAACCCCAGCGCTGAATGGCCTGGCTATGCATGCAACTGGCCATGGGTCTTGCGGTGACGGAGGCCCAGCGACGCCCAACACTGCGAGGTTCGACTCGCTGTGAGCTATTGCTTGATCTGGAAACGGAATTGATGAGTATTGTGTGATAATGGGACAATGCAGCGATTGCTAAGCGCTAGGAACACGGAGTTTGGAACAGTACATGGTATCGGCGTGCTTCATACCCGCTTTCTTTTGTAAATAGCTTGGAGTAAGTGTATGATAATGTGTACCAATCTAATGATCACCACATTAATCTGTATCGCTTGGATGGAATACCGCATGCCACGAACTTATGTACAACACCCTCCCACTCGCTGCGCCTCGTAAAAGATAACGCTCACTGTCAACCCAGCCAGTTATCTCTAATTATATTATATGTAGTTCTCAAAGATTGGAGTAGAGTTACGAGATGCAGGAATATTTTTTTTCCATCAAAGTCAGGCTATATACAATAGCCTAGATACAATACAGTGAAGTAAAGTCAAGCAAAGTAAAGAATATCTTATAAGATATCCGATGGCTTAGTTTTGAGTTGTGAGGCCACCGTGTTGTTTGTCCCAAGGAAATACCGGTAGTCTATCCTATTTTAAGCAACCTTGTTGTACATTTCAGCCTCATCTGTCCATGCCGACTGAGACCGACTGAGACAGTTCAGGAAAGGCGTGATTGGTAGACTTTTCGGTTCCTCAGATAAAGTGGTGTATTCGGATCATGGCTCGGAAGGATTACCACCTCCTTTTCGGCAGCGTACTGCTTAATGCGTTTTATAGTATCCAGCGCTGTCTCCGGTGCCTCCGTGACCCCATCCACTTCTTCTGCGTCCAGCAGATCCAAACCATATGTCGCATCCGCCGGGAGAAAGTAGGTTGTGGAGTTCCCATCGTGTGAGTCGCCGTAGACAATCAGCGATATGTGACCCGCAACGTGACCAGGTGTGCTGACTGCTAAGATGCGGCCATCCGTAGTGATCTTGCTTGAACTCTCCCATGGCCCAACAGCCTCATCGGTCATCTCCAAAAGCCTAGGTACAAAGTTTGATGGCCATCGCTGAGGATTGCAACCAGCTAATGTGGCAGCCACAGGGCTTTCTCCGAATGTCTCCCAGTGTAGTTTGCTAACATAGACGGGAACATCTGGCGCACTGCTCAGCAACTCCTCTAGCCCACCTGCATGGTCACCATGCAGGTGACTGAGGATAACGGCCTGTAGCTCTTTCGGCTCGACACCAAGCCGGCACAGCTGTGTTACGATGCCGTCTTCGGGTTGTATTTTTGTGCGAGCAAACATGCTGATAGGGCTATAGAAGGGGGAAAACCCTGGATCATTGCAGCAGGGCGATTCTCCAGTATCAAAGAGGATAGGGCCCTGCGGATGGGAAATAAGGAAGACCCCTATAGGCAAGTCGTTGGACCAATGGCTATCGAGTAAGCACCGAAGGCGTCGCATAAGCACGTTCCGATTGCTTGGAGGCTGGTTCCTCATGGATGGGCGGATTTGGACTGTGCCGGTTGAGAGAAAGGTGAGTGTCACACTATCCTCATTTCTCCAAATCGATTCTGTCATCTTGGTAGCCGCAAATTATGGCTGCGCATAACGAGTTACATTGGCCTGCAAAGAAGAAGAAAACAATAGAATGTTGAACAAGAGAATACTTGAAAGCCAGAGTAGAATCAGGATCAGGGTCGAAACAATAGTAACAACCAGGCCTGGCGAGTCTAATGTATATCAAGGTATTTCATTGTGATATTGGAGGACATGGGAATGAGAGACTTCGATTGCGGGTCGTATCTTCCAACGCTTTCTGGAACGGAGATCGAATGTCACGGGTGAAGCCCGGTGGAGATCGGGGCTCCGTCGGCATGATGTATTTTCCCCAACTCCGGCTTTACGGCGTAGGCGAACACATTCACGGACTAGTCAAGCAAACACCTTCGGCGCAATGATACGCCGACTGAATCATCGTGACATCTGAGGAAAAGGCTTTGGCAGAGGAACAGAGATTTGCACCCGAAAATGATCAAATGCGTCAATTTGCATGGTGTGGAAGTCTCAAGAGAATCATTGGCAATGGTTATCTGCAATCCACGCAGAGACATTATCTAAGTACATAAATTAATATTGTACAAATCTCATTCAAACATAGCCTTACTCTACCATCCCTGTCAGCTCTGCTTTTTTTGCATCAGTGCTCACCTTGGTAATTCTGGAAGGTGTATTTGGTGATGTCAGCGATCATATATTCAAGAAAGGCATAAGTCATATCAGGTTGCCAATTGGCTATGCATTCATCCTCTAGCATCATATCTTGGGATCATCTGAGACGGCACTTAAATCTTGTGACAAAAGGACCTCCTCGCTCAAGCCCGAGGGGAATGATTATACAAAGACAACCAACGTGTGGCCGTTTGCAGAAATCCGAACAATGGGAACTAATCGAGCTCCAACTAGCTTCTTGAAGTGGGTTGAAAGTCAGCACACGAGAAAACTCACTGCTTGATTTTGTTAGGTCGTGGCCTACTCGAAAATAGCACACCCAGCCAGGAACGAAGTAACGCAGCTATAATGGTCTATCGTGACAATAAGGACTGTGGGTCTCGGCTTACATTTGGCGTGGAACTTGAATTCACAGTAGCCTTTCTCCCAGAATCCATAGCAGACCCGCACCCGGATGGCGAGAAGCGTAGCATCGAGATTGGAAAGCCACTGAAGGACTTTGTTGCGCTTCCCAGACCGCCACCAGGCGGTAAAGTTCAACCATCCAGAGAGCAACGCTACCAACTTCGAGATTGGGAACCGGATAGGGATTATAATGAGCGGGACGATCCGTCACTCGACCTCATGAATTATTCTAAGGAGGGTCCCCATATTCGTCATCGCATCGCCAAGTTTCTTCGAGAGAACGGTATCCCCGCGATTAGCGACTCGGCAGACGATGAGACGGAGAAGGAATTACAGGATCATTGGCGAAACAATGCCGATCGCTTAGGCTTTACTAATAAGGATGATCTGCCTTCTACCTGGGAGGAATCAACAATTTGGGTGGTTGACACAGACACCAGCGTTGGAGAGAGTATTAATGAGGAGTACGATTGGAGCCCCGTGGAGATTAAAAGTCCGATCCTCTATTACGACGACTGTTCGGTAGATCTCGTCAAGCATATTGTCAACCTGCTGGTTTCCGAATTTCGAATTGTCATGAATAACACCGCAATGCTCCACGTCCATGTTGGACGGGGAAGCAAAGGATATTCATTGAATAACCTACGAAGTAAGTACCGTCATATTGTTTTCCTGTTTTATAACCCCACGAAGGAATATAGCACCAAACTTGTCGGATCACGCTCAGGTAAAACAGATAAGGAGACGGGGTCATCGAGGAATACTACTTCCTAAGAGAACACAATGCTGACTATTCATAATTAGTGATAGCATCTCTACTCTACGCGGCAGCCCCTCGGATCGACCAACTTCTACCCGTCTTTTGCGGGCCTTTGACAGAATGGGCACCCGGGATCCGAACGCATAGCCTGATGACGAACCTGGATGAAGAGGACGCCATGAAGGCACTCAAATATCAGAGGGAGCCTCTGCCAGGTGACGCATTCATGACTCAACCCGCAAAGGCAGACTGGAACGACCTGTCTGTTAGCCTAGATCCGTACCATACCGACCCGTCTCCTTGGCATATGCCAAACCATCCTCTTCTCAGGCAGTGGAAGGGCCACCAGCGCGCAGCAGTATTCGGAGTGAATAGGATTTGGCAGGCATCGGATAAAGAAGAGTTGTATGCGAATGTTGGTATGGTATATCAAGATCCGTACAGTTTCCTTAGGCCTTACCGAGGCTCTTACAATTTCGACAACTGCTTGTTGCCGGATATGAAAAAGGGTACGGTGGAGTTTAGACAACATCCGGGAACGATGTCAGCCACCGCGATCGAGCATTGGATCCAAGTCACTGCAGGGATCGTGAACTTCTGCGTCCATGCCGACTTCCTGGACGTGATCGCTCCTGTCCTGAGGCAACTCGAACAGCCGGATCCGAACTCTGAAAAGTCTTTTCTTATGAATGAGCCTCTTGCGAAGGAGAAAAAGATCAACGTCACAAACACCCTGCACGCCATGGAGGACGATGGCTATTCCGTATACGACTTTCTGTGGGCTATTGGTTTGGGGGCTCAGGCCGAATGGTACGAGCAACAGGGTCTTCACCCCATGCCGCCAGACTTTGTCAGGATCCCAGGCAACAATTCCAAATCCGTGAGGATCCCAGAGAACGTACGCGTGAATGGAGGCTTTGAAGGATCTGGTGCTTCGCCATCACCTGAGGCGGGTTCACCAGAGGCATTCGACAATAAGAGAAAGACATAGCGATGACGAATAGGACCTTTCTCCAGCTTTCCCGAGGTCGACTCACGATCTCTGGATGCTGACTCGAAGCCTCGGTCTGTACATGCTAGTCAAATTGGGAGTATGGGTTTGTATGTGAGTGACTTGAGAAGAGGCTTCTTTGACTGGAAACCTAAGGGTTGGCCAGAAATGGTGCTCAGTCTTCGCGTATTAGCACCTTTGGGCGTCACGTCGTGAATAACACCCGCTTCAAGGGGGAAAAATGCAAAGGAAGAGGAAGCATGAGGCTGGGCCACTATGCCGTAATCTCTGGTTCTTGACTGTGAATTGTCGCGAGATGCAGTAATTGGAAGCTGCCGGAATCGGCTCTCTCGGGAAATTACCTGGGCCGTACCGATATTATAGGCGGGAGCTAGTGGACCAAGCATCTTAGCGACATGCGGAGTGCCTGGGGATGTGCGGGGACGGGTGTGTGTATCCACCAAAAGTTGCCGAGATAGTGAGATCTAGCCAGCTCCATGTTCCCGGGGCCGTGGAAAGGGAGCCCTAAACTTATTTCTACTTGTTCCTGCTTGCCTACAAAGGGAATCCGTGTTTGTACAAGTACCCAGCCGTTCAGTTCGCTAGTCCGATAATCAACTCGCTATATACAAGTTGTTCAATCAGCACCACGGACACTGTGCGTGGCGCGATCCTATCATATCACGAGCTACAGCCCCAACCGAGCCGGCTAATTCGTGAGTCTCACTATTTCTACAACTATCCGACCCATGAAGGGAAGACTCGACCTGAAGATATCAACTGACATTTGTTTGCGTAGAGCTCTCACTGTACAATGGCAACCGCAATACCAAGAAAGTTGTGGGAACATCCCAACCCACAGGAAACCCACATGCACAAGTTCATGCAGCAAGTGAACCAAAAACACAGTCTCGCGCTGAAGGTTAGTGAAGCAACGGTATGACCAGCTCCGCGAAAACCGGCTGCTGATCCGGTCTTAGACCTTCTGGGACCTCTACGAATACTCCGTCTCTCGGCGCTCTGAGTTCTGGACGGACGTGTTCGAGTACACAAACATCATACACACAGGCTCGATCAAGCGGGTCGTGGATGAGAGCCAGCTCATTGACAGCGTCCCTCGGTGGTTCGATGGCATCCACCTCAACTTCACCGAGAACATCCTCTGGACGCGGAATGCTACTGACCCGTCCAACCACCACGGAACTGTTGGCAAGGAGGACAGCAAGATCGCAGCCACTGAAGTAAGGGAGGGCGTGAGTGAGATCAGGCAACTGACATGGGCATCTCTTCGTAAGCTAGTTGGTCGATATGCGTCAGCCATGCAGGCCAGAGGAGTGAAAAGGGGAGACCGGATCGTCATCGTGGCGGCAAACAGCATCGAAACCCTGGTGGTGATCCTTGCAGCGAGCTGGCTGGGTGCTATGTTCAGCAGCAGCTCTACCGACATGGGTGTGTCGGGCATCCTGCAACGGACAATCCAGATAAACCCGAAGTATATCTTCATGGACGATGCCGCCTTGTACAATGGCAAACGCGTCGACCTACGCCAGAAGATGACAGAGATCGAGGCTGGCATGAAGGGTTGCGACGAGTTCCAAGGTATGGTGTCAATTCGCCGGTTCCAGGAGGCCTTGGATATTTCCAGTGTTCCGCGGACCCAGACACTGGAGGACTTCTTGAGTGCCCGCACGTCGAAGCCCCCTCCTATTGCTCAACTCGCATTCCATGAGCCAATCATGATATGCTATTCGTCTGGAACGACCGGGATCCCCAAGGCTATCGTGCACTCCGTGGGTGGCATCCTGCTCAACTACTCGAAAGAGGGTGTCATCCATGAGGGCATGAACTCTGATTCGGTTTCGCTGCAATACACAACTACGGGGTGGATCATGTACCTGGCCAACGTTGGACAGTTGCTCGCAGGCGCGAGAGTCGTGCTCTACGATGGCTCACCCTTCCAGCCCGACTTGCAGACCTTTGTCAAGTTGATTGGCGACCAGAAGGTCACCAAGCTCGGGATCAGCCCTCGCTGGATGCATGAGATCGCAAAGGCCGGCATTTCTCCCCGTGAAATCACCGACCTGTCGAACCTCAAGGTGGTAACGTCGACTGGTATGGTGCTCTCGGATCAGCTCTTCGAATGGTTTTATGAGAAGGGGTTCCCGGCCCATACGCACCTTGCCAATATCTCTGGAGGAACTGACATCGTAAGCTATTCCAACTGGTCTTTTTGATCTGACTAACACTATTATAGGCTGGATGCTTTGGCCAGGGAAATCAACTGACGCCAGTCTATCTCGGTGGAACGCAAGGGCCCAGTCTCGGTACCCCTATTGCGGTGTACGACTCATTGCTGCCCAATGGGCCCGGAAAAGAGGTACCAGATGGGACACCGGGCGAACTTGTCGCCACAGCCGCTTTCCCTCACGTCCCCGTGTACCTATGGGCGGACAAGACCCCGGTCGGTGTTAAAGGGTCGAAGTACCACTCCGCCTACTTCGCGCGCTTCGACCACGTCTGGGCACACGGCGACTTCATCGTCATCCACCCCGTGACGAAGAATGTGACGTTCCTCGGGCGCGCCGACGGAGTCTTGAACCCGAGCGGCGTGCGGTTCGGGTCTGCCGAGGTCTACGGCGTGCTGGAGCGGCACTTTGCGGACCGCATCGTCGACTCAATCTGCGTTGGCCAGCGCAGGCAGCAGGATAACGACGAGAGCGTCATGCTGTTCCTGTTAATGAAGCCCGGTCACCCTTTCGACAAGAAGCTAGTACTCGAGGTCAAGGAGGCGATCCGCAGAGACCTGTCCAAGAGGCACGTCCCGAAGTATGTGTTTGAGACACCGGAGATACCCGTAAGTCGAAAGTCTTCTATCATTTTAGAAGATAAGAAACTCATATAATGGTGCAGACAACTGTCAACCTGAAGAAGGTAGAATTGCCCGTTAAGCAAATCGTCTCGGGCCATATAATCAAGCCCAGCGGCACACTGTTGAACCCGAACAGTCTGGATTACTATTATCAGTTCGCTAAGGACGAGGTTTTGAAAGCCGGCAGGGAGAAGCTATAAAGAGGTCAGAGGGCAAAATGCAGTGGGAGGCTTTTCAGCGTTGCAATAGACGACATAAGCGCGCGCGCGCGGCTGACCGTTTCGGGGGAAGTTATAAATACACCTTACTTAAATATCAACCTTCCACCCTCTATCTTTAGTTGAAATTAGTCTCCGAGGTTTGCGTTTCGCAGGATTGATAACGTCGTAATACACTGCCATCGAGCGCTTCTATTCTGCTTCCACGACCAAGGCGCCGCCTTGTGTGTCCACAGCCAATGCCACCCACCAACGTGGCGAGGGTATACGTCCAGTCTGACCTGGATCCTATTCACAGCACGCGCTTCCAAAAACACCGCTTGAGCCTCACGAGGAAAGAAAGCAGCCCGATCACTGCCTACCTACCTAGATGTGGTTCGCTCTCCTTACGAACAAAGAAACTATTCCACCCCGTTCTCCTCCCTCCATTGGCCACAATGCGGGAATTGTTGGTCGATGTGCCGCTCTTCTTTGTCCACCGCCGCGACATCGACTATGAACCAACGACTGAATGGCGCCACGCTGCGGGAATTTAAAGAAAGGCGCTCAGCTCGTTGGTAGACGTCGCGCGCTTTGATGGCGGAGGCAGACACATTTTCATTGACCTCCTGCTGTTTCCCCCGTCCAGGACCGCTTCGGGAAGCACACCGGAGTCAAGATAGATTTGCTGCGCAGCAAACTATGTTACGTCGAGCACAGTCATACCACTTTTCCATTTATATTGAAGACACTACAAGAATAGCGAGGCCGCTGATTTTTTGCCGCATACGTCCTGGCTGGGGACGTCATATTCGCCCGAGACCACGTGGAAGGAATCCCATCAGGATCGGGACAAGGGAAGAGGGAGGAGGATCGAAGGAAGCAGCCAATGAGCCACCACCAACACCTGTGCGAGCCGCTCCCCAACGCCGCATCCAAGCACAGTCGCCCGTCGCCGCGCCGTGACGGAGCCGGCGCCGCTAGCCATAAAGACCCTGTCCACCCCAGTTCGAGCCGCAAGTTCCGCGGCCTCAGGAGGAGTTTCCGACGCGGACGAGAGCAGCGACAGACACACCAACACCCTAATAGCGCAGAGAATACGCCAAGAAACACACTTTCACAGCAAAAACAACCCTCCGGGCCTCCCCAGACTGCGGGCCTGCCATTGAGTCCTGGCAGAGGGCGGCATGAAAGGTCCTTTGCCTGGCCGAGAATGCCCAAGGAAGAAGGCCAAACAAGAGAAGACTTATCAGATGGACCGAGGTATAAGCCAGGTGAATGGCAATCCGGGACACAGGATTCAGCGAAGGACACCCCTGCGCCGGGCCGGGAGGAGAGAATACCCGCGAACTTTTCGAGAAAGCCAAGCAGTGTCGATAGTATCCATGGTTATAGCCCATCGAAAGTATCGACTATATCGACCGGCTCGCGGTTCGTGCCTTTTGCCATTGACGAATCGTTGAGCTGGAGCTCGGCGTCCCCAAGCATGACGGCCATGCCATCGCCGGCAATGAGGAAATATAGCACGACAGGAGGAGAACACGGAAGTCTTCAGCTACTTCCATCGACGGTGTACAAGCCAGATCAGGGTACCGTCGGGGACGTTGATTGCAAGGGTGTTACAACAATGTTCGTATCTCAGCGGTTATCTAGGCCATTTTCCACAATCCTGGAAGCGCCGCATGAGGAGGACAAGCAGGATCACCAAGCAGCTTGGGAGGACGTGCCTGAGCGTACACCTGAGCTCATCCCGGATACAGGCACAACATGGACGACGCATCGCGGGTCAGACTCTTCTCAGGAACCATTCGAGTCGTTCTGGCTAGACAACCCCCAGGACGCACCCGAAGAACCAGCAATCAAGGGAAATGCTGACGCGAAGGTAGTTGGCCAACAGCAGTCTCTCGATTCGAAGGATCTGCCCCCGACGCCAGGGCTCGAATGTCCTGGCTGTAGAATAGGCGGTACGACCCCCAAATCATCCAGCTGGGATACGCCGAGGCAAGAGCACCAGGGTTCTCTCCACTATCCAGAGGAAAAAGAGAGTGGTTTTTGCAATGCATGTCGCCTCGGAAGCCTGTTGCCTGATAATATCAGCCGTTTCACCATGCTGATCTCGCCGACGACACCAGCGCATGACACACCGCATATGCTGGCGCCGATTATACACAAAGCAGCCGAGGCGACGAGTAAAGACACAGGACACGCCAGGAGAACGCCGCTCGACAGCAAGTTCAGACTAGGTGTGCCGTCCGAGAGCAATTTGGCGAGTCGAAGACAGGCCGACGTGAATGTGGATGCACCTCCGGTTCCCCTCGCTTCTGCCTCGTCATCAACACGAAGGAAACCCAGTTTGGGCCATGTGGCTGAGTGCTTGCCGCCTTCGCACCTGGCAGAACAGTCAAGCAAGCCGCCCGAGAAGCCGGCTGTCCAGGATAAGAGCAAATCCCCCAGCCAAGAAGAGGGCGCAATATACAGAATCAGTAGATCGAGCAAAAGCGATAACAGGCCAAAACCTCCCCGCCTGTCGACACTGATCGGAGAGCGCAGCCTTTCCAGATCTAACGCCCAAAATAAGGGCCACCCCTTCAATAGTGTCATCGGTATGGTGAGCGCAGCGATAGAAGACTGGGAGGCGGACCTCCTCAAAGAGTACGGGGCTGAGACGCCTTTGGAGCCAGCGCCCTTGACGCCAATAACTCCCCTAATGATAGAGACGCCGAGGACCAAGATATACAATCTCTGTAAACGAGATAATGGCGACTTCTAGGAGCGCACCGAGTAATACTCTTGTACCGGTGTAGAAGAAATGCAAGAACGGGAAAAGCCGATAGTGATGATTGGAAGAAAATGCAATGCATTGATGGAAAAACTCATCTTTCATGGAACCCAATGTGCCACGTCTCAAACGCCTGTTGAAGTGACAAGCAGTAGAACGCCTCTCCTATGCCAAATATGAATACCGTGCCAATATCTCGCTAACTCCATCCTGCCATAACTTGCCCCCTTGTCCGCGCCTGCTTTTTGGGGGGGAATATAGATCGTCCGCCAATTTGCTCTACTCTGTCTCCACGGCGCTACCGTCTCTCCTACACACACCGTTAGCAGTCTATCTCTCTCTGTATATATTTCTCTCTGTCTCTCCCTTCTGGAAAAAGGACACCTCGGAGCCTGCTGGTCCCGAGGCAGAACGGAGACGGCGCGCGAACTCACGGGATGTAGGTGATCCGGTACTCCTCCTCGAGGACGGTCTTGACCTCCTCGGGCAGGGTGCCCGAGACCTTGGTGGCGTAGACGCCCTGGACGTAGTTGTCGAGGCGCTGCCACTTGGCGACCCAGCTCCGGGCCGGGTTGGCCAGCGTGATCAGGCCCTCGAAGACCTGGGATGTGCACGTCTCGATCGCCTCCGGGTCGCCCTTGAGGTGCAGGAACTCTTCGCAGTTGGGGCAGCCTTCTTGCCTGAAGCGCTGTGGACGGGGCGCGAACTACGTGTCAGCAGATGGTTCGCACTCTATGGACGTGCCGGGAGGCGGAGGAGGAGGAGGAGGAGGAGGAGGGGAGCGTCGCTCACAGTTTGTGTCATCACGATGGAGCAGACCATGCAGGCGCGCAGGTAGCGCTGCTGGCCAGGCGCGACAAAGTTGCCGCCTACTCGCTCCATGGTGCAGAACGGTCAGAATCGGATGTGTCGGTGGAAGGAGTTGGGCCAGGTGTTTCTGATGACGTTCGAGAGGCCCCGAATATTCGAAGAACCGGTCGGAATGATCGTTTTGCTGCCCGGGAGGGATGACGGGAAATAAGTCTAGCACTATTGCTCGGTACGAATTGAAAGCTGCCGCCGACTTGACTTGGGGTACAGCAACCTGACGGGCTGGGGGCGGTAGGGGTGTCTCTGGCTTTAGCGCTGCCTCGTCGCAAAATGCATCTAAGCAGACACTTGAGCCAACTGAGCTGATGTGGGGGTTGCTGCAGTCCGGGGAGCTGGGACTGTGAAGAGGAACGAATAAATTTGTAGTCTTGGAGCAAGGCTTGCAACCTCCCCTGCGACCAGGTACCAGGTGAACTTATTGGAGCTGCATGAGCCAGTGAAACCGTTCTATAACCAGACTTGGGGCAATATTTCAGATCATTCTTAGAGAGAAATACCTCGGTCACCATGGCGGACGGGGGGGAGACAACACTGGCCAGCATCACCAGCACTGCTGCCGCCACCAAATCCCACAAGGCCCAGGAGCTGGCAGCATGCACAATAAGAGCGCCGCCATTCTCGTATGCCCACCTCGAGGTCCTCCGCGACTCGGCGCAGCCCGCGGAGCTGGACGCCATCCAGGTGCGCTCGTACTGCACGGCGGCCCTGAAGCAGTTCCTCGGCATCTCGGGCACCGCCATATCTGTGGACATCCTCAGGGTCGATGGCGCCGCCTGCTGGCTGAGGATACCGCGAGACGACCTGGCTGCCTTTGCCGCCGCCATCACGGCCTGGCAAGGGACCTACGAGGGCGGGCTTCACACGACGCTTCGCGTGAAAGGCTGCTCCGACTGGCTGGGGACTCTGGTCGGGCGGCAAGGGGAGGACCAGATGTGGGAGGGCTGATGAGGGCTGATGCCTTGGGCACATGAAATTGGTCACTTGGGAAGTCCATCTGTCGTCCATCATCCAGACGCAGCAAGGTGGAGGAAGAGCCAAGAGAGCTCCTTCAATTTCATTCATCGGGACATCTTCTGAGGGTATGTTCAACGTCCTTTTTTCTCTGTTCCCGTTTATCCCTGAACGCCGTTGCTTCCAGATCATGCAATCCTATATGCAGAAATGCCACACCATCCTATGAACACACATGTCACATCAAATTCATGAATGGAGTTTTCGTCTACATCATAGACATTAACGAGCTGTTAGCGTATGCCCTGTGAGCACCGTTAGCTACCCGTCATCTGAACGATTCGTGCACACGGACGGAATGACTTACATGGGCTTGATGTCCGGGTGAGGGACCGCGTCGAATTGGTTGAACTGCAGCTTGTAGTCGGAGCCAATGTTGATGTATGCACCGCGGTTCTCCGTTTGGTCGCAGTACTTGGGCGCCGAGAAGACTGGTAATCAAATGAGCGACATGTTTCATCCCGCCAGACTCTGGACGCCTTACCTGTGATGCACTTTCCTCCGTGCTCCTCCTCGTAACCGTCCATGCGGACCTCGTGGCTTCGGATGATGGCATCGAGACCGTTGTTGTCGCAGAATCGCTTGGTCACGTCCGGACCGAATTGCATACCCACACCGCGCTTGCTGGGGCCTCGGCCTGGGGCGGTCTGAGGATCCGTCCACAGCATCTCCATCATCAAGCCGGCCTGGCCAGGTTGTCGCTGGGCGTGACGGTCAAGCTTCCGGATGTCGTCGAGGGTGACCTTGTCGTCAGAAAACAGACCACCGTGGAGGACTAGGTACTTGTCTCCGATCAAGGTAGCTAGAGGCAAAGCCGAGAAACTCTCTGAAAACAGCTTGAAAACACTGCGGGACTCGTTAGACTTGCAGGGCTTATCTCAATCACACATGGCTCTGACGTACCGTTCGTTATACTTGGCCTTGCACTCGCCTTCAAAGCCGTACACCTTGTTCATGTCATCTGTCTCGTGGTTGCCTCGGTTCAGGAACATGCCGTGGGGCCTTAACCACTTGTAGGCGTAGAGCAGGAGCGCAATCTCGGTCGACCAAGATCCTCTGTCCACAAAGTCACCGTTGAACAAGTACCAGTGCTTGTCCGTAGGCCGGCCATTGAGCCTGAAGAGCTCCAAAAGATCGAAGTATTGACCTAGAAGATGTTAGGGCCTTCGTCAAGAGTAGTCCGCGAGGAGTCTTACCATGCGTGTCACCGCAGACCGTCAACTGAATGTCCTCGGGAACCTTCATCTCCACCATGGTGGGCTCGTCATAGACCAGCTTCTTTGCAGCGATGACGATCTGGTAAACGTATTTCTTGTGAATCTTCTTGCCGTTCTTGAAGCGCTCGATCATGTCGTCAATAAACTCCTGGGTCATCTCATCACCCAGCTTGACGCCATCGTAATCGGGCTCAATGGCCATGGCATCCAAGTCGAGGCCCTCTGCCGCCGAGGGTTCGTCTTGGAGCTCGATGGCGGCGAAGAAGTTCAGCTGGCGCACCAGCTTCTGGCACTCGGCCAGCTTGACCTTGGCATCCTTGTTGTTCGGGTCGAGCTTTGTACACTCCCTGAAGTCGGAGAGCGCATCCTTCGGCTTGAGGATGGCAGAATAGGCGATGGCGCGACGGAAGTAGGCCTGCGAAGCACAGTCGCATTAGTGGCGATGTTTCCGGGCTGGCCTGGGTCTATAGGGGCTCGGAATATACGAACCTTGACAAGCTTGGGGTTCAATTCTATGGCCTTGGTCGCATCTGCAATGGCGTAGCCGTACGCTTCGGACTTGATGTTGGCCTGGAGGACATCTTGTCAGTCACGCGAGCACACTTGGGGGATGAGTGGGGGGCGGGCGTGCACACCTGGGCTCTGTTCAGGAAAAAGGTCGGTTCTTTATCGTTCAGCTCAATGGCCTTGGTGTAGAGATCGATCGCCTTGGGCCAGTCGTGGGCTGCAAAGGCCTTGTTGCCGTCATTCTTCAGGGCGAGGGCCTGGTCGACAGCGGAAGCCATGATGTCGATGTCGGCGTTTAGATATAGAATCTCGTGGAAGTGCGAGACGGTACGGCGGTACGGCGGTACGGCAGGGGCTCCGGGGGTCGCGAGGGGATTCCAGGACCTGGGCTCCGGGTGTGATGGTGTCGGCGACTCGAGAAAGTTGAGGGAGGCCGTCGGGTTGTGCTCGGGGCGGCGTGGCGACAACAGCACAAGTCGTTCTCGCACGAATATTGAACTGAACTGAACCCTGGGCTTCGATGCTCTTCCGAACGCGGGCGGGTCCTGGACTCGGCCAGAGCCAGAAGCGTCGAAATGCTTGTCGGGCGCTCGGGGCGCTGGCGGGCTGGCGGGCTGGCGCAGGGCGGTACAGGGCGCTACAAGGGGCCCGCCAGGGGTTCTTTTGTCTACCATAGTACTTCGAGGCGGGGGGCTACCTAGTTAACACAGTGATTGAGGTACCTTGGCACCAAAAAAGTTGACCCTACTGCTTCGAGTCTAGCGCCCGCGTTACTGCTGCCCCCCCATCGCGGGGCATCAGAGAGAGATTCGAGTGAAAGAGCTGGGTTCGAAAAAGATTGGCAGCGAGGTCGAACCCCAAGAGCAAAGTTCACACGTCTTGTCTGCACAAGGATCTCACGCCATGTCAGAAGAGCTCAAGGACGAGGTTGAAGCCATCAACTCGATATACGGCGACGGCTGTCTGGTGCCATCCGGCGACAGTCCCAGCATCTACATTTTGACGCCGCCGGGAGAGTCCTCGTCGCTGCGCATCGAGTTCTCTGCCGACTATCCCGCAACGCCCCCCGTCGTCATTGGTACTAACAGCACCGGCGAACATGGGAAGCGCGGCGAGGCTGCCAGGGAGCTCTCCCTGTTCAGAGACGTCGTCGGCAGCGTGTACGAGCCGGGCATGGTCTGTCTCTTTGATGCAATCGAGGAGCTGAAGCGGCGTCTGGAAGAGGAACAGGAGGTTGTCGATGGCGACTCCGAAGAGGAGGCCGGGCCCGCGGTTCACAACGTCAAAGAGCCTCGCCAGGAGTCTCAGGCCGGTCTGGATGTGCTCGGCATGCCGGAGCCGCCGTGGATACTGTCGGATCCTTTCGTTGAACTCAAGTCGACCTTCCTAGCCCGCTGCGCACCTGTGTCTTCAACTTCAGAGGCAGAGGCATATGTTCAACACCTGCTGGCTACAGATAAAAAGGCCAGGGTCGCCACCCATAACATGACGGCCTGGCGTATCAGGGGCCCAAACGGCACTACCTTCCAGGACTGTGACGACGACGGAGAGACGGCGGCTGGCAGTCGCCTCTTGCATCTAATGCAGCTCATGGATCTCTGGGACGTCATGGTCATAGTATCCCGCTGGTACGGTGGCCACAAACTCGGGCCCAGACGGTTCGCACTGATCAACCAGGCCGCAAGAGACGCCTTTGTCAAAGCTGGGGTTGTCAGTGAACAACCCAGTAATAAGAAGAAGGGCACCAATAAGAGTTGAGTTTTGCTGTACTACTTGCCTTGCCTTGCCTTGCAACACGGTACAGCTAGTCTAGCTGAGGTATAAGCGGCCCGGCAACGGGATGCATCCCCAAGTTACCCCACATTCGACTTCTCCAACATGCTGGCTCGCCTCACCAGCGTCAATAGTCCAACTGCCTCGGTTCTCCAGTTGTCTCCAAAGACCCCCGCGGCTATTCAGTTCCGTCAATCAAGAGAGCTTCGATTGCCTCTGGTGTAAAGCGACACGTTACTATCCGAAAAGATGTAAATTCTGGCTCCTCCCTCAATTCCAAAAAAATTCAACCATAGCAACCACGAACGTGCTTCTCCCTCCAGCACCTGTCCCTTCGTTGCCAAGAGGGTCACTATGGTCGGTGCACCACCCCTTCAAGGGCTCAAGGTCCTTGAGTTCGCTGGTCTAGCGCCAGGTAAGTCTGGAGATGGCTGCCAACTGTATTTCACACACTTATACACAAATGTAGGTCCTTTTGCTGGTCTTCTGCTCTCGGACGCTGGAGCCAATGTCCTGCGCATTGACCGGGCCATCCCAGGCAAGACGCATACTCGCGGCGTCGAGGTGCCACCTACAGAGGACTTGCTCACCCGGCACAAATCCTCCATAGCTGTGGACCTCAAGTCGCCAAGCGGCATATCTTTGATCAAGGAGCTCGCCAAGGCTGCGGACGTCATCATCGACCCTTTCCGGCCCGGCGTGTTGGAGAAGCTGGGGCTTGGACCAGATGTCCTGTCAAGCATCAACCCGCGCATCATATACGGCCGCATGACGGGCTTTCGCCGCGATGGCAAGTACGCCGCCATGGCCGGCCACGACATCAACTACCTTGCCGTCTCGGGCGTGCTGTCGCTTCTTGGTCGGGATGGGGAGAAACCGCACCCGCCCTGGAATATCCTCGCCGACTTTGCCGGTGGTGGCGCCACGCTGTTCCAGGGCATCCTCCTGGCCGTGCTGTCCAGAGAGAAGACGGGAAAGGGCCAGGTAGTCGAGGCAAACATGGTCGATGGCGCGTCCTACCTTGCGACCTTCCCGCGCCAGGCCCTCAAGACCCCCATGGGAAACCAAGGCCGGGGCAGGAATGTGCTGGACGGCGGGTGCCCCTACTACGACACGTACGAAACCAAGGACGGCAAGTACATGTCTGTCGGCGCCCTGGAGCCCCAGTTCTACGCCGTCCTGGTCCAGGGCCTGGGGCTCGACGAGTCCTGGAACGCGCGCCGCTACGACCGCGCCCACTGGCCCGAGATGAGGGATCAGTTTGAGAGCACCTTCAGGTCCAAGACCCGCGCCGAGTGGGAACAGGTCTTCGACGGCACCGACGCCTGCTGCGCGCCCGTGCTCGAGTACCCGGAGCTCGAGGCCGAGCCCGGCAGGGAGGGCGACCAGCGGCCCGCCGTCGCCCTGCGGGACACGCCGCTGCTGGCCGTGCACCAGAGGGCGACCGACCCCGGCGCCCAGGGCCAGGGCAGCGGGGCCCCCGGGGGCGGCTACGTGGGCCAGGGGCTGCGGCCCGGGCAGGGCGGCGAGGAGGCGCTGGCGAAGTGGTTCGGGCTCAAGCAGGGCAAAGACTTCGATGTCGAGAGGGGTGGGCTGGTGTTGAAGGATAAGGCGAGGTTATGATGTAGAGTCTTTGGGTTTCCGTACCCGAGGGTATAGGAGACGGCACTAGCGCATGCCAGGTCATTACTTCGTTCAGCAAATATATATCCCACTATACCTAACAGATCTACTCCAACCGCTTAGACCTGTCTTGCCTTTTTTGTGCTCGGAGTGCACCAATAGGACTTGTTGGGCATGAGTGACATAGCCTATTCCGTCTGGGTATATATATAACGTATCATTAGTCACTGGATGGCATTTGCGTGTGCCTCTACGTATGAAGGTAGAAGCAAGAATCTCGGGCCAAGCTTGCATGTTCACTGTGAGGCGGTTGTAAGGGGACCAAAGGGAGTTCAAGTGTCTTAGCATCTTATATTCATCCATCTACCAGCAAGCCTCCCTCCTTTCTAAATTTGAAGTGATTCGATACGACGGGGGGGTTTGATCTCCTCGGAGGGGCCTAAGACTGTCGTGGCCGCCCCTGGGGGCGCCAGCCTACCAGAAAAAAAGTGACACAAACTCCGAGCCGAGCGGCCCTGGCCTGCGGGATACGCTGATTATTCCTCTTCCGCACGACCGTTACCCGCCAGCTCATGATAAGCCCGGTCCAAGCAGTCCTCCCGCCTAGGGAACGCCAAAAGTGCTTAGCACGCCCTGCCGCTCCATGTGAAAGCCTTTCTTCTCTTGCCGATGGGTGGTATCGAAAAATGCTGCAATCTGAGAACCATTACACCTCCAGCTCGACATGCCCTCATTCAAGCATTCTGCAAGTCTCAAGAGCTTGGCGGTGTCCTTCAAACAAGATACACCAAGCTTCTTGCAGTAACAATAACACTCATAAGCTCGTTTACTGGACCTGGCTAACAATCTCGCTAGCCCTGCCGAGCGAGTCAACCATCTGTTGACACTCTTTCCGTCGGCGAACAGTGTAGTCGGACTCCTTCAGCAGGTCGTCAAGGGTATCTTGGCGGTACATATTCTCGAGGAGCTCTCTTTGCATCTCATCCTTGGTAAACCTGTCTGGGTTAGCGTCTCGTTTTGAAGGGCAATGAGCTCGTAAAACTTACTGGACAAGGGTAAGCATAATGGCCTTGGGCACCATGTCGATCATGGTGCGCTTGACGATGTTATAGTAGGAGGAGATGAGCAACTTGATGACCTCTACCTCGATGTTCTCGCGCTCAGAAAGGGTACCGGAAGCCTTCAACATCGGAGGCGGGGCCTCCATGGCGGCCGCCTTCTTCTTGTTCTTGGCGGCGAAAAAGCTGCCAAAGAAGCCCGAGTTGCTCGAGTCCATACCGTCGAGGGTCGGGCTGGCAGTGCGTGCTGGGGTGGCCGAGGCAGGCATGGGCTTGCCAGTCTTGGGGTCGACCTGCACGGGCTTGGCTCCGTTGTGACGTTCGTTCACGAGGGCCATGGCTCGGTGACCGTTGAGGAAATCGGGGTGTCCCGTGTTGATATAGCAGGCCTCCATGGCGACGAGATCCTTCACAAGCTTGTTTGTAGGCTCCATGGCCTTCTTGAAGAAACCGATGACTACGCCATGGACAGTCTCCTTCAGGGAAGGATATCTCCGGTAGAGTGCCTTGGTCAGCAGCTGGGTAAGAATGCGCACCAGCTCATCGTAGACGAGCGACACACACTTCAAGCTAGGCTCTTCGAGGCGCTTGATCTGCTGCTTAACAATAAGCTCGAAGGCTGTGGTTCCGACAAATAGGGCTGGCGAAGAACCGGACGAGTTGTAGAGAATGGTTCGGATATCAACATCCTTGACCATGTCGAAGGGATCGACCGCCTTGACACCGTTTGCGTACAGCTCATGGAACACGAAACTGATTCTGGCTCCACCGGACAACTCTGTGCTTGATAGTTCACCGTTGTTTCCTTCCAGCACAGTCCGCCACTCATTCGTAAACTCTGTAATTATGTTGAGCACGATGTTGGAGCTGTTGCCGAGCATAGAGGGACCAAGGCTATCCAGCTCGGCGGTGTACTTCTGCAAGGAGCTCGCGATCCTGGCCTTGATGTCGGGAAGGGTTTGTTTGATGTGCATCATGAGAATCAAGTTGAGCTTCCTCGCAAGATAGGGGGTACCGCAGTAGGAGCTCTTGTTGCGGTAGGCCTTGTGGTTCTCGAAGAAGTTCCTCTCGGCCTCGAGGGACTGGTTGATGGGCTTCTTGTTGTCGATGTCCCTCTGTCCTCTGTTCACGACGGGGACGTAGCCCAGGCGCAGAGGGATAATGCGGCCGGCGAGAATATCGACGACGTCGGTTCCCTCGTCCATCAGGTCGACCTTGGTCAAAACACCGATGGTCCTCTGTCCCTCCGGGTCGACCTCGCGGGCCATCTTCAGACCGTCCGAGTTGGCCAGATCGATGTTGGCGGCAGTGACGGCGAGAATGATGGCGTTCGACTTGCCGATGTACTTGAGGACCATATCACGGATCTGTCTCTCGATGTCGCGTGGCTGGTCGCCGACGGGCACCTTGGTCAGACCGGGAAGATCGACCAGGGTCAGGGTCAGAACGTTTGGCGAGTAGACCCGCAGGTTGATGGGGGCGGGCGAGATGCCGGCATTCTTGCCCACCTTGGCCTCGGTCTCGCGGCTGATCTCGTCTCGGATCTTGTTGAAGTCGTAGAACTTCTGGCCGGGGACGTGCAGGAACTCGCCCCATTCGTCGGGGTTGGCAGCCTTGTCGGTCGAGTTGGCGACGTCCTCGTTGACGCCGTTGGCCTGCGCCGTTGCCGGACGGTTGATGAGCTGGAGGACCAGCGGCCGCCTGGTGACGATGCCAGAGCCTCGAGGCAGGAAGTCCCTTCCCACGATGTTCTCGAGCACCGAACTCTTACCGCTGGACTGGGAACCGACGACGGCTATTTGGGGGAGGTCGATGGGGTTGTTGACGCCGACGGTAGCGAAGACATCCTGGAGCTTGTTCACAAGCCTGAGGGGGGCAACAGTGTTAGCAAGAGAAGGGCAGGAGAAGGGCAGGAGAAGGGCAGGAGAAGGGCAGGAGAAGGGCAGGAGAGCGGGGAGCATGTGCGTGATGGCGTCCGAGATGGGGAAGTGGACAAGCTGGCGCAATAGCAACAGCAACAGCGCAGTGCAGCGCATGGGAGTGCAACGACGGGGCAACAACGTACTTGATGAGGGCGGGATCTGAGATACCGCCCTGTGTGCTCAACGACTCTGCCATGGCGAGGAATGTGGTTCTGCCTCAAGGCCTCCGAGTTCGCTTTGGCCGGGCTTGATGGCTGACGGTATGCTGGCGTCGAGGAGATCGCAGTCTGCGAGGCGAAGGCGGGAGTGAAGGCGGGAGTGAAGGCGGGATGTTGATGGTGTGTGCCAGTGCGGTCAGGGGGGCCTAACGGGGCGATATCGTCGTCAGATGACCCGCGCTAGATGCGGACGGCGACTTGTTCTGGCGGCGGAGAGTTGGGCGTATGTGCTCGGCGACGGGAGCAAGAGTGAGGTGATGGTATCAGCACGGGGGCGTATTACGGGGTGAACACGGTTCACGGAGATGGTCTGGGTTGGGATCGGGTTGGGGGTGGTGTATGCACGGCTGGTTTGGGATATTTATTTGAATCACTGCGCAATGTCATGTCATGGGCATGGATGGGCATGGGCGGGCATGGGCTAGGTAGGCTTCAGGGTTCACGCCAGAAACCAGGGCGGAGGGGCGGAGGGGCGCTCAGGCAGGAGGTAGGTCCTGGGCTGGGCTGTAGGTACCTCAACCTACCACCTGTTCATTACCCAGGCGCTGTACCCAGTCACTCAGTCTACCTACCTAAGTACTGTAGGGGTTTAGCTGGCTGTTACGGAACTCGTAAGTCACCTATCCCACAGCGCTGGAGCCCTCTGAAAGCCCCCCCCCCCCGGGGCACACTGAGCGGTGGGGGTGTTGGGCCACTTTGGGACTAGCCTGGTTGGACTGCTGGGCTTTGGCTGGCCCTTGCACGTGATGGGCCGGCGGCGATTCAGTGCAGTTGTCTCATCGCTCATCTGCAAGGCTGGCTGGCGCCCCTTGCCGCATCCTGCGAAGTGGGGTGAACAAGGTGGGCTGTCTCTGGCCGCTTGGGCTGGTTGGGCTGTTAATTCTGGTGCCTGAAAGGGGGTCGTCACCTGGCAGCATAGCTGACGACGACGACCTCGCATGGATCGATGAAATTAGGATGCCAACCATGGGATTCACCCTAACATGACGTCGCCACCACCTAGACAGCATGATGTGGGAGTGTCGCCGTCTTTGTTGTTGTCTAGGCTGTCTACATGTACGGACGACCACCAGTTCCTAACTAAGCCCATAGCCTCTCTCTCTCTCTCTCCTCTCTAAATACCTAGCCTAGGTTAACATGATAGTAGAATGCAGCGCCCCAGCCCTCAAAACCCAAGCAGGCCTCGGTCTTTCGTCAATGTGGCCCGTCTGCGTATACCCTCGTAGTGGCCGCTAGGCAGCCCTATCGGTCCGCGCCATCCCCAGCACCAGGCAACCTACCGAGAGGAGTGTGTAGGGCACTCGGAAGCTGTGACAAACTTCGTTATACAATCAATATTGTTCTGGCCTGGAACTCTCGAGTCCTCGCATGTAGCCTTCCCAAACTAAAACGGGGACTTGTACCACGTGACTCCGTCGACTCCTCATGTGTGGGCTGGATCCGAAAGTGACGCTGCGTAACCGGACATGAAAGAGACCATTTGTAGCTGCGAGTGATATACAAGGCCTTATGAGTGGAATGGAAAAGAATACGAATGTGACGCCGGAAATCGACCCAGTTGACGCCAAACCTATGCAGAGGCTACGAGATCTAGAAGAAACCCGCTCCCGGGTTAGAAAGGGGCCCAGTCGAAGAATTCTCCTAGTCCATCGGCTGTCCATGCCAGCCGTTCGAATCCCTGGAGAATTCCTGGCTATGTCTTCGTAACCATTCATCGTTGGACCATCTGAGTCAAAGGTTAGCTGCTTGTACTACGTATCGCAGGACTGTGAGCGTACATCTTGACCTTCCCGTCATCGCCACAGGAGGCAAAGAGACACGGGTCCGTGGGGCTCCACGAGACTGAGTTGGTCCTTGGCTGATGGCCGGCCAATCTGTCTACCGTCACAGCTGAGGCCTTATGCCAGATGTTGATATAGCCATCTAGATCCTAGTGTTAGCAGGGCCGGCCGAGCAGGTGCTGGTAGCAGTTTAGGCTTACCTTCGCTGCCGCTCAGGACAAAACTCTCGCTGGCTCCACCGAACGCGCTGCGAATCATATACATACCTCCGGTGTGGCCCGTATACGTCTGCACATGTTCTTTGCTCGCCAGGTCAAACAACTCGGCCACACCGCTCTGGTGGTTAACGAGCAGGAATCGCGAGTCTGCGCTCACGCTGACGGATGTCAACCGCGTCCGCAGATCGATCGAGTATTCCAGATCACGCGTCAGGAGGTTGTAGACGTGAATGTGGTTCCTGTCATCCATAGCGACGAGCCACCGCCCATCCGGTGATGCAGTCAAATCTTCGACCCGGAAGGACGTAGCCCAGTCGAAAACCTTCTCACCGTCCAAATCCCACTGGCAGAGGCCACGTGATCTGTCCAGCGAACCGGTGATAAAACTTTCATTGTCTGCAGCCCATACGCAACTACTGACTGGCTCTTGAAACCGTTCAAGTGTCTTGATGAGGGCCCCCGTCTGGATGCACCGTTAGCTGTCATCCTGCCACGCCTTGAAACCGGAGCCTTACATTTGCATTCCACACCCGTGCAAACCTATCCTGAGAGCAAGTCACGAGCATGGAGTCGTCCCAACTCCACGCGACATTTCCCACTCCGCCGTCGTGATCGGCGAGGTGATGAAGCCTCCTGAACGACGGAACATCCCAGATGATCACCTGCTTGTCGCCGCCACAACTAGCCAGCTTGGTCCCGTCGTGCGAGAACACCACTTGCCATACCTCGCCCGAGTGGTCATCGAGCTCAATGACGGGTTGCGAGGGGAAATTCCGCCGATCGCATACATGGTCCGAGTAGAGAGACGGCGATTCCGCGCTCGAATGGAACAGACACATACCGATTTGGCTCTCCTTGACTTGATGGAGCAAGACGGCCAGCCGATGCTCAGGGAGCATGACAGATGGCGATATAGATTCTAAAATGAGGAGATCAGCCTTTGCCCAAGTGTAGTATATCGAAAACAGAAGTGCTTGGCTTACTTGATAATTGGGACAACAACACCTGCCGAGACTGACCGTACGCACCGTCCCAGCTCGCTTTCGACTTGAGGTCCTCCGGGCCGTCGCACATCAACAAGCTGGAGAGGAGCTGTAATCTTGACGATATTTGGGATAAGGGCGTTAACTCGTTTCTCAAAACTGCCAGGGCCCGTGGCGTCTGCTTTTGTTCTAGAAGCTCCAAGTATTTCTGCTGCCGTATCCAGAATCTCATCAAATTTCGGTCTGCGTCGTGGGTGAGCATCAGACCGTTGCTGGTCTGGTTTTGGCGGCCGTTCGAGGAGCTTGCTCCGGTGAGTAACCTTTCGGCATCGTCCCAGGCTCCGTCGAGTACGGCATTCCTGAACGCCGCAACGGTGTGGTTTTCCAGCTCGTAGCCGCTGTCCCTGCTGACGCTCTGTGCAGCCGTATGATATCCCATATCTGACAGGGCTTGTATCAGTATCCGGGTGACCTCTTCGCGGTCATGGCCTAAATACGTCTCGGGTTGTCTAGGCTTGGAAGCGCCGTTGGTTGAGACGGCGGGTTTTTGTGTTCCGTTGGCGCTGGACGACGGCGACGTCTGCTGACGTGACTTGCCGTTCGAATAGGCCCGCGAAGCCCCATTTGACGTCGCAGCTCCATCGTTGTCTGCCAACATGGTATCGTCAGCACGCCTGCGTTTCGCCGTACGCTGGTGCGAGGTGGATATATTCCGAGAAGCCGAAGCTTCTGTAAGCTCGGCCCCAGGTGCCGAAGGCCCGTAGTCGTCGTTGGAGGCCCGTCTCCTCCTGCCCAGGACCTGTCTCAGTATCGGCTCGGTTGGAGACGGCGGTGATGGTTCGGCCGGGTCGACAGGTGCGAGTGACGGGCTGGCTGGTTCGTGCTGGTCTTGGTTCGGGGCAGAGAGGACTGTGTTGGGGGATATCTGGGGGATTGGCGGAATGGGTGGGTCGTCGGAGGTGGATGGGGTGAATCTGGCCGTGGGTTGTTGTTCGGCCACCTCGAATTCGTGCTTGCTGCGGGAGACCAGATCCCGCAGTGACGAGGGTTTCGATGGAGGAGTTGCCAGGAGCCGGGGGTGAAGGGGCACAGATGGTTTGCTGGCGCCGCGAAGCTCTCAGGCTCAGACTCAGACTTCGGGGGCCGGGGTGGCTGAAGAGGACGGCGAGCTACGCGTTGCAGTGGTTTGGCAGCTTATGGGCCGTTGCCAGCTCTATGTGACTGCCACTGGACGATGGCTGACCTCATGTCAAGGTGGACCGTGAACTTAAACCGGGCGACGTATGTAGGGGAAATGTCCGGGCGGCCTGCCCTACGCGGAGGAGGCAGAGAGCAACTAGGGCGGGACGTCGCCAGCTACCAGTGTCTTCTAGGTGGACTCGCGTAGCCCTGGACCGCGAGAGAGAGAGAAAGAGCATAAACGTCGAGGTTGGAGACTAGGGGCGGTGGCTCGTGGTTGCGAGGAGTTGATGTGAGAATGTGTCGTCGTGGTGCTGCTGCTGTGGATGGAGTAGACAGAAGTCGCCTCGCCTCGCCTCGCCTGGCACCGCACTTACATGTACAGAGGGTACCGCAGTACCTAACTACGTACTGTGGTACTCCATACCTACACCTACCGAACACCTGCCCCAGCTGGTGCTCCGCGGCAGCGGGCCCCGTGAGGTTCCATTTGGAGACGAGAGATACGTACCGTTTGGGGGACTGGGCGACCTCAATGCTGGGGTCCACGGGTCCGGCTGGCGATCAGTACCCGTGATTGGCCTCCACGTAGGGCGCTGTCGGGTGCCTATCGCTTGGGAGCATGCAGTGCACATTAGCGCCCTCTGACGCCCGTCCCTGCTGGGTCCTGGGTCAGAGGCCGTCGACGATTCTGCAGCTTTGTTACACCTTGATGGAGGTCGACGAATACGTGCTCCTGCTCTCCCAACCGCTCCTTTCTAGGAAGTGTCCGGGTGAATGCGGAGGCGCTGACTGCACAAGTCCGGGAAGCATTGAACGCGGGCAGTTGAGCCACCATGCAGCCTCGAACAAACAGCTCGCCATGTTTCCAAGGTTTCTAGCTCACGGCCTCGGATAGCCAGGTCACGATAACGACTATCAGCACCTCCACTCGAGGTGCTCATGCGACCCTATCTCCTGTATGCTTAAGGCAGTTTAGCGCCCTAAGCGTCCATTCTGGGATCCCATACCCCCATGCGCGAGCTCTAGCCCTGCCATGGCGGCATGCCCAAGGTGCATGGCTTCGTGCTTTGGCTGGACTATGCGACTCCATCCTTCATCTGAAGCCCAGATTACGCAACTGGGGGGAATGGCTGGCAATCCTTTCCCCCCCGCCTTGCCCGCCTTTCAACCCGACCTTTACTAGCTCTTGGCCAGACCGAACTCAAAAGCAGCTGCAGAACTCGGTGTTGAGTGCCATACTTAGATTGCGTTGCTTGTGGTGCAAGGTGCAGCTCACAACGTGCTGGTACGGTACACGTGGAGGCTCAAGCACTGGTCGCTGGTTGTGTCAATGAGGTTGGTGTATAGCGTTGAACGAGTGCGGCCCCGTTCTGACCAGACACCCACCTAGCCTGGGCGCCTTCTATGCGAACCAGCTTTAACACATACCACCGGCACAGAGATTGACAGTGCTTTACTCTGCTTTCCAAAAGCCCAGTCAGAACGAAACTTATATCTCGGACCTGGTTATTGCACCCACACATGAATCTCTCGTCCCAATGGCTGGTACAACTAGAAAGCTGCGGGTCACACATGCCTATCTACCTAACCATACGTGTGCGATACCATACGAAACTGGCCATGAAACTCTTAGCAACGCACTTCAGGCTCGTAGATACATACATCTGAGTATCCCTTCTTTCTAAGTTGCCAAGCTACTTATACGAAGATCCGCTAGCTATTTGGTGAACTGTCCATCATTTAGCTCTTATAAGCCAGGTCAAGAGCTTGTGGAGTTCCAAACATGTCTTCACCCAGAATACACTTGTAGCAAGCACTCAACTTCTCCGCCTGTCAGTTGCGATCCAAGGTTCCAGCCAGAAAAAAGACTGTCAAAAATGTGACCATATATTCTCAAGCACTTTAGTTGGGCAACACAACATACGTCCCTTCGCGTGGTAAGGCGAAATCACTTGGTTCGGCCATTAGTATTAAGAGAGATCCGACTCGCACTCGCTTCCATGGCCCCACTTGAGACAGCGCCATAACTCCTTCAGCGTCAGGTCGGGTCGAACGAGCGTGAGACGGTCATCCAATTCCTCCGAGGTGATGCACCGGCCCCCAGACGTCTGGGTTCAGTATGAGCTTTCTCAAACCTGAATGGCAGCTCTTCTCCCGAGACAAAGGCTTATATAGACGATTCTCCGTAGTGCTCATCAAGCTTTCATTCCACAATCTCACAATTTCAACATCGTGCAGTGGGATCTCCTGCCATTGGTCTTGCTCAGAATATCGATATACCACGTGCAAGAGGCAGAGGACTTCGCGGCTCCTCTTCGACCTAGGACACACTCTCCCAGCCTAATTCTGTGATCTCTGCTGCCTCGAAGTCAGAACCGTCTTTAGTCGCAGCTCCTACAGCCCTCATCTACTTCGTGAGAGCAGTAGCAAGACATCAGTCGCCATGTCGCGGTACTTTCCCCATACCGCTTACGCGGAAGACCAGCCCCTCTCCCACACCATTCTGACCACACACGTCCTGACACGGGCGATAACCATGGGAACTGTGATCGGCGCCGGCAGCTTCACGGGCAAGGACATCTACCGTCGCCTCCGGGGCCGGCCGCCGGTAGCCATAGCCATGCCCCGCTCCCAGCTGTTCTTCCGCGCCGCGGGCGTCAGCACACTCTGGACGCTGGGCATAGTCTCCTTGGGCCTCGTGGGCCGCATGTGGGGACGCGAGGAGATCGAGTGGCAGGACCGGTCCTGGCGGCTCTTGGAGAACCAGGGGCAGGTAGAGTGCGATGACTGGACGTATGGGGGTATGGTTGCGGGACTGGGGGCAGCGGCGACGGTTGCTAGGCCGAGAGGCCTTTTGGGAGTCCTCGGTTTAGTAGGAACGGGAAGCCTCGCGGGTATGTTTGGGTATATGGGCTGGAGGTATGGGGTTCACGGCGGCAAGTTTCCGACTGGGGAGAAGCCGGAGGTATCATGAGCTAGTGGGCGAAATCAGAGATGGTATGATGCTATGTTTTGATAGGACGATGTATTGATAAGCGAGAAAACGAGTTTGTACCGCAGCGCGAGTTGGAAATGCTCAGGAGCTCGGAAGGACACTCAGAGGCCAGGCCGACTCAACTCATGCTACGGCTTGTATGCTCGTTTGGGCTTGGCGGCAGCGGTTTTGTTTCTTGAAAATGAAGGGCTAATAACCAATATGCTGGTTTGGATAGAAAGACTTCACACATTTTACAATCAACATTCTCTAATCATAAGGTCTCAACCAGAAAAAGGCCATTCAGCCTTGGACGTTAGCGAATGTTTGTCATTGTGCTTATCTCAAGAGTTTCGTAGTATTTGGGACTTCGCCCCCTATGCCATTGATATCTCGATGTTTCCACGATTGAAGATGAATTCAAAATCTAAAATTCTTGCAATCAAAGGGATTTTGACTGTCTTCACCGTCTCGATAGCTCGAGTCGCACCCGCAGAAGCTTTGATGGTAGAGAAAATGGCCTCTTGCAAGCATCCACCCTATCACAGACTTACAGTGACCGTCATGTTATTACTCAGAACCAGCAAAACAGGCGGCAGCTCATGACAAAGAACTTCAATATCCGACAGATATTTCAGGCTTGCCTCCTGGCTTGTGCAAGTCCCCTCTTCTGGTATGGGCAAGGTCGTCAGAATAACGGCTGTCTCATTGCTGTGCTGGCGCATGAGCTCGTTGAGAATGAGATGTTGAGCGCGACTGGGCAAGTCGTTGAAAGACAGGGGCAGACTCTGCATAGAGTAGTCGGATCGCGCCTCCGCATCCCCGTCAGAGTTGAATTGGTAAGATTCCAGAAGCTCGGGTATCTTCAGATGGAGATCGTAGGGTCGGTCCTTCTGGGACGCAGAATTTCTTCGTGAGCGAGCAAACGGAGTTTGCGCTAGGTCTGGCTCGGCGAACATCAGTCGTTGTCCACCGCCTTCTTCACTATGCACCCGCGTTTCAGGTACCGGTCTGCTAGAAAATCGCCCCATCGAGGAATTCCGGGACAGAGTTGGCCGCGCAGGGGGCTTGGAGACAGAGGGCGACTCCGTGCCACTGACTTTCCCAGTATCCATCAACGGGCTCAGTAACGCTTGTGTGGTCTCTGTTCGTCTGACGGGGTCAGCCGGTGTCATCTGTGGCGCCTTATCGACTGGCATTGACGTTGTCGCCCTCAAGGTGCCGTAGTCCCCCACTGCACTTCCACTACTTGCTGCTCGTGGAGGATAACGCGGCCGCTCTTTTTTCTTTGATGGTTGTGGTGGCGGCTGGAGGAGGTCCCCATGGCTCTTCCGTCGCCCAGCGTACAGAAGGGGCTGCCGCACCATGCTGGTATCATCCAGATCGCCTTCGCTAGCAGCATCGCTGAAATCGCTGTCTGACGACGATGAATAGGTATCTTCGTCATCACTATAGGCATACTGGCGCTGATTTGCTTCATCATCAATCATATCAGCGTTGAGATGGTTTGTTCGTATGCCGAGATTAGCACCGAGCTTAGTAATTGTCGAGACTCGAGACTTCCTTGGGAGTCCTAAGATCTCTTGTAAACTTCGACGTCTTGCAGAGCCACCGCCTTCGTCAGACATATTTGGAAAAGAGCCCCGGCGTCTTCCACCTTCCAATATGTCTCCTAAGGAAGGAGACCCCGTTGAAACAGCGGCTTTGGAGGCTTCACTCCGAATGTGTTGAAGTTCTTTCCACCATTCGTCCCCTTTCAGCAGCTCGTTGACGATATTGTCATTTTCGGTGTTGTTCGTTCTACCATTCACAATGTTCTCGTAGGTGCTTAACCCCCCTGAAGCAAGCCAAAAGACTTGAACCTCAGCATCGATACGGAGCTTCTCAAGCAGAGCCTTGAGCCTAGCCTGCTCCTCCTTCACTTCGGTTTCATATTCAACAAAGACCAATATCCTCAGTTGGAAAGCCTTATGCCACGCTGGAACACTCAAGAGAATATAGCCCAATTGGAGAATCAACGTATCTAAAATCTGTCAGTTTGGCATATGTGTTGGGCAGAACTAGGCTTACAAGTATCGAAGTTTGTTGTCAGAACACTCTTTCCTTCGGCAGTAATCTCTGCAGACATTTGTATCGGCCAGAGATCAATATATTTTTTAGTATTCGCCCCGTCATGTCGAGGCGTTTCCAGCGTCTGAAAGCCTTTTGCAATGGCGACATTGAGCCTGTGACGGAGAGCCAAGTCCTCCAGTATTGTGAGATAACTTCTTGCTGACAGAGTTTCTTCTGTGCGAATGGCGTCAGTCGGAAGGACACCTTCCAGAAGACGAGCCGATGTGTCTCCTCGACGCCGCCTCACACCTTTCCCTTCCGACTTGCGGGCAAAGGAAGGTTTGCTTGGAGACACTGGGGCGGAGGGGATTGGAACCAGAGGCTGAGACCTTCGCAGCTCATCCATATCGTAAAACCCAAGAACAGCTATGTTAGGTCGCATTCCACCAAGCCCAGCTGAAAGAATCAGGTTTCGTACTCCCCACTCGATCGTAGGCGACATGGTCAACTGGACAAAAGCTTTTATCCTTGAGAATTCCGAGATATATCTAGTCCACGCTGTTTGTTGAAGTTTGGCCTCATGGATGCCGGTGTTAAAGTCATCAGTGACGATGACGTGTCCCAAGATGTATAACGAGCCCTTCTTCATTGAGTTGCAAAACTGGATCAATCGGGTGTGGCGTCGGGGGTCGTTAATGAGTAGTATGATTTGTGGCCGCCAGAACTTGATATGTTCCGGCTTTAGCCGCAGCAAGTATTTCCTTACTTGGTGGTAGATCAGATTCTGAGAGACATCACCCCAGGGTTTGGGAGGTGACATGTAATGGATGATGAGGAACAAGATGAAGAGAAGACATATAGCCGATGCTGCGTACGTTTCGTCGACAAAAAACATAGCAGCAGCAGACAGTATGCTGCCTACAGCAGCACTCTGCCAGCTGAAGAATTTGAAGGCGGGCCTGAAATTGGGAGCCGACCCAATCTTCAATAGGAAGCAGGCGAGATTCATGACAAAGAATGTCATCTACTGGGTATCAGTTTATGAGAATGATTCTTCACCTAAATCTGTGAACTTACCTGGTATCCCATCGATATCAGGGTTGCTATCTGGTTCAGGTCGGCGAACAGAGCAATCTGGGCAATCAGGTATGTAATCAGAACGGCGTATATAGGTTCGTCTGCGCGCCTTGTACCCTTTCCGAACACTGATAGACCAGGCAGGAGCTTATCCCTTGCTAGCGCCTGCAATAGTTTGGCCGATCCAATTATTCCCATCAGTGAAGAGAAGAATGTAGTAGCACACTCTCCTGCTAATATGAGAGGAGACCAGAGACTGGTGGCCGAGATGATGTTGGTATGCCTAAGGAACGACTCGTGTGTGATGCTTGACGCCATCGATAGAATGACCAGCAGGTAAAGACATAACGTTGACAACATGGCCCATAGTGTTCCCTTTGGTATAGCCTTGCTCGGATTGCTCAAGTCTCCCGACATCGAGGCACCGGCGAATATGCCTGATGTAGCTGGGAATAAGACACCAAACAGCTCCCTGAATGTCTCTGAGCCTTTGTAATACGCTCGCCCCTTATGTGGGTACAAGTTCGAAAGAAGTGTACGAGAGCTCAGCCCGGTGAACTCGACCCCAATATTATGATCTCTGAAAGGATGATTCACAACAGCAGATAGAGGGATACTGAGTGTAGAGATGACCAACACGACGAGAAGACCATTGCTAGCTTTGGCGAATATCCCACTGCCAGCAAGGCAAAGAGCTGTGCAAAAGATGAGAGCGCACGTCTCCATGAGATAGCCCTCCCAAAAGCCATGCGGTATGACCTTGATATTGAGCTTCAAACAGTCGATGAGACCGACGACATTCAACGCCGTGTTCAACACCTGTGAGAGGTAGAACAGCACTCCAATCGAACCGCCGAATTCCGGACCAAGTGACCTCGAAATCAAGTAGTAGGCACCGCCTCCCTTGACCTCGCCATTGGATGCAATAGCCGATAGTGACAGCGTAGTCACCAAGTCAACAAAGTAGGCAATTGCTAGCAGACCTAAAGCTTGGATTAGGATCGATATGCGAGGGAAGGAATCCGGTCAATGCGACTCACCGAGGATACCTAGTAGTCCTATGCGTCCCAGTATAGAGCCGAAACGCAAGAACATGAGGATGCTGATAATGTTGAGGACCACCGGGATATAGACCCCTGATACTACGCCAAGCTTGGGCTGCTTGCCTTGGGCAGAGGGCTCCATGGCACCTGCCTTGTCTTCACTCGGCCCTCGAGGCATTGTTACTGTTGTTGCTGTGGCCTACCTCGAAGAAAATTCTGTGGTGTGTCTGTCCATGGGCGTGGCGCTTGTTTCTGACGTCTTTGAAGGATCGAACACAGCCAATGCACCAATCCAATCCTTCATATCACAGTGCCAAATTCCGCACATGGACACATCTCTTGTCTTCCGACAGAGTGATCTCGCGCTTCAAGTGGGCTTGCTGTTGTCAAGTACCAGCCAAAACCAAGGGGGCTGCCGTGTACTGGGAAGAGTGTAAGTCGCGGCCCGTCTGCAACTCTGAATTGTGATGTATCCGTGGACTGATTGAATGGATCACCAAGCGAGAACTTGGTTTTCAATTACCCCACACTCTTCCTGGGTAGCATCGAGTTAATGAAGTTGGAATTGCTATGATAGGATGCATTAACATGGCGGTGGGAGCCCACAGAAAGCTTGTTGATCGTGTTGCGGCCTGCCGGCAGCGCCCACTCCCTGCCAACGTGCCCACTGCCCAAGTCGCGGGGTTGAGGCACGAAGATGGATCGGGCAACGTCACTGGCGCTCCCATGTGCTGAAGCTGCTTGGCTGGGGCGAAGGGTGGAGCTTTAGCATTCCAAGACTTCCACTGCGGCACCCAGGTTGGTTTTACTTCATACCGGGGTCAAAGGTCAGTAGTCATGCTTGTGCGAGGACTCTTACGATCGGAGCGGTCGCCCCTCATGACTACTGTGTGCTTGAGGTATGCATTGTCTACTCGAAACTCACTGTGCCCAGGTAGTTATCCTGTGCACGGACAGGTGAAGGGGTGAACGCTTAGTTACTGTAGTTATAAGTCAAATGCAGTCGGTTGTTATATACATTGGATGGTAGAAAGGGAAAACATGGCTCCAGATAAGCGACAGTTGCGACCAATGTTGAACAAACAACCGTACATGAATGCATACATAAATTGCATACTGTACAGCACATCCAGGACAACGCCCATGGTTACGGGTGTGCAAGACGAGCTCTTATCTATGCGGGCCACATGCAAGCGGAATTCACAGCAGCGCGGCTGGGGCCGGGGCCAGTGACCGCCGCCGCTGGTCGGAGGGCATCACCTGCCTGACTCGGCAACCAGGACCACAGCTCCCCAGGCGGTCCCGTGTCGAGAGTCATCCATCACGAGGGCTTTTGTCTTGCAGCCACCAGCGATCGTGGGAAAAACAGCTCAAAATCCTCTTCGGTTTCTTTTGATAGCATCTGCAATCGCATATAGTAGGCCTTTCTTGGTTCTTGTTCGCCTTCTGAGACCTTATTGTGTCTTGTTACTCTTGATTGATATCTTCGGCGCTTTTTGGATGACCCCCAATCGCTGCCATCCCACGCGTTCTCCCACGCCTCTGGCGCTTGTTGCTTGCTGACTTTGTCCTTGGCTATCCCCATCCCAGACTGATACGGCGCTGGGTTCCCCACAAGGTGCAGAGCTAGCTTCCAAGCCGGACGGAACATGAGCTACAACCGTCGCAGGTGAATACGACGAGCCCTTCTCCTCTGAACACCCCAGCTTCAGACGCAAGCAACAATGGCTACACCAGACCGGGGACGCAGCTCGACGCCCCAATCCGGAGCTCCGTTCGCTTTCCCTCCTCTATCTTCCTCTCCCGGCTCCGTACGCAGTCGCAACCTCAACTACGGTACCTCGCTGCCCCGGGCTGACGCGACCGCCCGCCTGGCAACACCCATTCCTTCCCAGGCCTTCGGCACGCCGCCGCGCAGCTCCGCCTCCCCAAACCGCGGAAATGGAGCGAACCCAGACAACCTGACACCTCTGCCTGGTCAGGGTCAAGGTAGTGTCGGGCCTGGCGTCTCAGCACTCGCTGCCGCGCTGTCGAACTCAGTCGGCACCTCGCCGCCGAGATTCGGAACACCGCCTGCCCGCCCGATCTCCCCGGCCGGCTCAGCGTCTCAGCTTCACCGGATAGAGCCGACCAACTATGGCTCCTTCGAAGCGAGATCGCGGCACCTACAAGAGAATGGTACAGGTGCATATGAGGACCCAGAGATTGTGAGGCGTCATCTGGTCCAACCTTCTGATACTCCGGACCCCACCGAAACCTCGGGCAAGGGCAAGCAAGCCGGGGACAACGCCGAGTCGGTCTTGGATGAAGATGAATTCTCCAGCCTCAGGCTCCAAGGAGGCGATATTACGCGGCCCATCTACAAGTGGACCCAAGAGGCCGAAGGGCGGCATCGCGCCCAGCGCAGCAAGAGTTTCAGCGACCCCCGCCCCGAGCCAGAGAACGATGTTTTCGACATCAACACCATCAAGGTACCGGGCGGTTTTAGGCGCAACTATCTGAGGCGATCTGCGCACAGCCCTTCGGCCCATGCCTCGAGCCTTGAGGCTGGGGAGGCATCCCGAAATCAGCCCCAGCTCTTTACTTCCAACTTCTTGGAGTTCTTGACCATCTATGGACATTTCGCCGGAGAGCAGCTGGAAGAAGATGACGAGAATCTTCTTCCGGGCGAGTACTTTTCTTCCGGCGAGGATGAGTTCGAATCAGATGAGAGTGATGAGGACAGGGAGCCCATGGAGGACAGCGCATTGCTGACGCCGTCTCGGCGCAAGCGCAGACGCAAGTCGCGCGGCGGAAGTGGGAAGAACTCTCCATTCAATGCGGCTCTTCTTCTACTCAAGTCATTCGTCGGAACTGGCGTCCTCTTCCTACCCCGGGCCTACTTCAACGGCGGCATGGTCTTCAGTAACCTGGTGTTGGGATTTGTTGCCATTCTCAGCTACTACTGCTTCGTTCTCCTTGTTACCACCCGCCTGAAGGTTGAGGGTTCTTTCGGTGACATTGGTGGCATTCTGTACGGAAAGTGGATGCGGAAACTCATTCTGTTCTCCATTGTCATCAGTCAGATTGGTTTTGTGGCTGCATATATCGTGTTCACCTCGGAGAACTTGCAGGCATTCTTCCTAGCTGTCTCCAATTGTGATACGTATATCCCCATCACCTGGCTCATCTTGATGCAAATGGTAATATTCCTACCATTTGCTCTTTTCCGAGATATTGGCAAGCTAGGGTTCACTGCACTGATCGCCGACGCATTCATTGTCATTGGGCTTGCTTACCTCCTGTATTATGATATCCTCACCCTGAACGACAACGGCGTCGCAGATATCATCTACTTTAACAAAAAGGACTGGACTCTTTTCATTGGCACTGCTATCTTTACCTTCGAGGGCATTGGGCTTATCATCCCTATCCAGGAGTCAATGAAGGACCCTGCCAAGTTCCCCAAGGTTATGTTCATTGTCATGATTATCATTACGACGTTGTTCATCGGCATGGGTGCAGTGTCGTATGCGGCCTACGGATCCAAGACCGAGACCGTGGTCTTGTTGAATCTGCCCCAGGATAACAAATTTGTCAACAGCGTCCAGTTCCTATACTCGGTTGCTATCCTGCTCTCCACCCCTCTGCAGATTTTCCCCGCCATCAAGATTACGGAGAACGCCCTGTTCACACAGAGCGGCAAGTACAACCCCTATATCAAGTGGCAGAAGAACGGCTTCCGATTCCTCGTCGTTTTCCTCTGCGCTTTCATTGCTTGGGGTGGTGCCGATGACCTCGACAAGTTCGTTGCCTTGGTTGGTAACTTTGCTTGTATCCCTCTGGTTTACATCTACCCGGTAAGTCGCTCGCGGGTCCGCGCTTCGCAGCATAACGGTCGCTAACACAACCTTAGCCCCTACTGCACTACAAGGGAGTAGCAAGAAGCAGGCTTTGGAAAGTCTCTGATATTTGCCTTTGCATCTTTGGTTTTATCGCGATGGCATACACCACCAGTCTGACTGTCATCTCCTGGGCCAGCGGCCCCTCGGGTCCGAGCCTGCCCAAGTACTGTGACGACCCCAACCTCTAGAAGCCGGGAATTACTCCCTGGTTCCTCCACGACAATTTCCTCAATCCATTTTTGTAGCATAGTTGCATCAGCGGTGGCATACGGTTAGCATAGAGGGGTTGTCTTCCCAGGCAAGAGTGGCGAAGCACTGCCGCCTGTATCTAAGATAGATTGCATGAAGATTCTACGGCGCAAAGCCTGACTGTGCGGACTAGTAGAGTAGTAAATAATCTGACCAGTTGATTCACTCTACAAAATATGTACCGCTCATCCTGGGGAGTGCTTTCAGTTGTATGAATATGCCATTGTTTGCCTCTGGGTTGGGCCGAAGTTTATCCGGCGCATGCGCAACGTCCAGTCTGTGGTACCTAGCGTGCGTAGCTACATTTGCTCACTGACCCAGACCCATTCTTTGAATCCTCCCATCAGCTTAAAGAATCGCATCGCTCACATCTCTCGACATTGCCACAACTACAACCTATAGCTTTTTTTCTGGGGGCGCATCTCGTTTTCAACGTATAATTGTTACTGCACAGTCTGTAACACAGAGAGCACACCACAGCGGCCCTATCGGTGTGCCGTCCATTGCTGCAGCGCTCATCACAGTCACCCTCCATTAGCTCAGCCCTCACTTTGAAGTTCAGTCAGCGCTCGATCGCATATCCGCCAAGATGAACGCTCCAGATCGGTAAGCTCTCTGATTTGATAATATCCATGCTATCCTGTCCTACGGTCTCGGGGGTTGGTGCGGTTCGTGGTGGTTGCTATGCCGGTTGGTTGCCTCCTAAGGGGCGACGTGATACCTTTTGATATCCAAGGCTTCGGGATGGAGTCAAACCGTTTGAGGCTGGTGCAAGCGGCTTGGATGCGACTGGGGAATCGGAGACGACTTGATCTCATCGTCGTTGTTGCACATCTCCGCAAGAGCAAGCGCCTGGGAGGTCCCCTGGTCTGCACCTTCCTCGTTCGCTGGTCCATCCATTTCACATATTTTCTGTCAACCACCGCCTCTGCAAGAGTACAACCTCTTAAAAGACGCGAACCAATTTCCAAGACCAACGACTGCCCATCATGAGACACGAGGCTAGCCACAACGTCCCCCACTCGTCTGATTTGTCTTTCCTAAGCTGGCCCCTGGCATGTGTTGCTGACTATCTCGCAGTTTCGAGCTGTTCATGCTCGGTGACAATGAAAAGAAGATCACCGAGAAGATTTACGCTGGTTCGTCCTTTCCGCCCCCTTCCTTTTGGAGCCAATGTTGACTTTGTCTGTCTTCAGGAATGTCCAACACTTCGGACTTCATCCTCCTGAAGGAAGACCACACCCTGGCCAACCTTCTTGCTGAGCACCTCAAGCAGGCACCCCACGTCCTGATGTGCGGCTACAAGCGTAAGTCATCTCGAATATGACACGCAAGCTCATGTTGTCTGACCATTACCCAGTGGCACATCCCAACGTCCCCGAGGTCTTCATTCGAATTCAGACGGACGGAACCATCACTCCCAAGGAGGCCTTGATCGAGGTGTGCAAGCAGCTCATTGGAGCCTATGCCCAGCTACAGCGAGAGTTTACTCGTGAGTACGAGCTTCGCAAGATGGTCTCTGCCGGCAACCAGGACCAGGCCAACGGGTTCTAACCACCAACCCCACGGTCCATGTGGTAGAGAGAGGTCTTTGCATTGGGATGGTAGAATCTGTTTTAGGGAAGGCGTTCCGGCACTAGGAGTTCACGGAGGATGGCAGAAAATACTGATGCTCATTTGGCACGAACTGCATTTCACGGTAGCATAGATGATGCGTAAATGAATATGGCCTATTTTTGGCCGTCTCAACACCCGAAGTTGCCAATTGATGCCCTCTGACCGATGCGCGTTCCTTGGCGTCCATCAAACAGCCCTCCAAATCAGTCAAGCTAGCAACTTGGTTATCTTCCAGATGCAGGTCGTTTGAAGCACTACGATTCCCTCTTATGACGTTGCAACGGGTCCTTCTCCTCCGGGTATCAACTAGAATATGAGATTAGCAAAGTATCATGGACAGGCTTTGGAGGCTCTCACCATGCAAATGTTGTTGCCGTTCAGGAGGATCTTCGATAGCTTGGTGTGGTTCCCGGAATAATCGCTGTTGCAGCATCAGTACTTCTGACTAGGGATCCTCACAGGAGTAGCTGCCGCCTCACAATTCTGTCACGTCTTCCAGCACCATGTCTGAGGCCTGGTTAGCATGTATACCCAACATGTAGCGTTCAGGCTTCACTCACTGACGTAGTCATCGAATCCCAACAATGTACCGCTGAACTCTACAACCAGTGTCAATATGCGCAACCATGTCCGAGATCCTGTGGCAAAGAAACGCACCCTTCTCTCCCTTCATGACAACCCAGATCTTGGAGCCCACGCACTTGTCAATGAGTTCTGTATGTCGTTAGTCCTGCGGTACGGGCCTCATCCAGCCGTCCAGCATGGGGGGTAACGTACCCAGAGGGAGGAGCTGAGAAACAGCCGGCGCCGCCATTTTTGTGCTGTCCAAATGCAGTAGACCTCCTCGAATGACAAGATATCGATGAGCCCGGTGCCGGTCTGCGCGTAAGATGCTCGTGGGCGTGGAGAGATAGGTTTGCTATGCTTTCGGTCTGGAAAATCCACAGGGGTGTCCTACAGCGAAGGCTGGGGGGCGTGAGCGCAATGCAATTGCAGCACAGCTCAGAATGGAGGTCACCTGTTTTCGCGAAGGGCGATTCACTGGGTTTAGTGACTAAGCGACCCGGGAGTGGCCCCGAACAGACCCGCCGAATCCCCGTCACAGACGCCATGGTCCGCTGATGGGCGCTGAAACGCGACCACTGCCTTGAACCTGCAGATGGGCGGCGCGTCTGCCTGGACACGCTGTATCCATCACCGCCAATAACCCCCTATAGTGACCCTGTACCGACACCACTCCGTGTGTGAAACATGGAGCTGCGGTGCGGTTCTGTATTTTTATCTCACAGATGATACGCCGCCGTGTCCTCGAGGCTGTCAGCTTCTTTGCTTCTGCTCCTCCTCCGGTTCTGCGACAATACAGCGCATTGCGGCTGTATGTCACCCACACTCTTGCGACCGGGGAAGAACCTCTTCAAAGCTAACGCCAATACATAGTTCCTCACTCTATAGATTTTTCAGCATGGCCTCGAGTGCTTCGCGATTCCAATTATGGCACCCATCGAGAGGCATCTCGTTTTCAACCGGTGCCTCAACGTCATCGAGCAATGTATACGGGCCGCGCCGCCTGAGCCATTCTGCGCCGGCCCTTGTGGATCACGGCACAGCTGCGCCAAACACGCCGAACAAGGCGGGTAAGCTTTCGAACGACGCGAGCAACGAATCGCCGGAACAGAAGGATCCTCTTTACCCTGAGCTGCCGGCGGCTGCGGACACTTCGCTAAGAAATGGCGACCAAGGGGAGGCTGCGACTACCCCGAACGCGGGATCGGACAAGAAGGCAGAGAAGAGAATATCAAACGACCCGCCGTACCCTGCCCTGGAGTACGCCGTGTCCGAGGATCTGTTTCGCGCCGCCAAGGAAGCGGAACCGGGGACACCAGAGTCTTTCTGGTCTTACGCTCTGTATCGGGGACCGAATGAAGATGGCGTCGCTCAAAAGCCCAAGGTGCACTATTGCAGGAGCAAGCATACCACTGAGCGTGTTTGCCAGCAGTATTTCATGAATGAGAAGGTCCTGGGCTTCGACCTTGAGTGGTTCGCTGACGCTCCTCGTTCGGCGGGCCCAAGGAAAAACGTATCTCTGATCCAACTGGCGAGTCCTAGTCGTATAGCGCTGTTTCATGTGGCGCTTTTTTCCAAGGACGATGACTTTGCTGCTCCCTCGTTCAAAAAGATTATGGAAGATCCTGAGATCACGAAAGTCGGCGTCTGGATCAAAGGCGACGCTACCAGGCTAAGGACTCACCTGGGCATCGATTCGAAAGGCTTGATGGAACTCAGCCATCTATACAAGCTGGTCACCTACTCTAGAACTGGGCAATTTAGCTCTATAAACAAGCGGTTGATGCCCTTGTCTCAGCAAGTCGAAGAGTATCTCCATCTACCAATGTTCAAGGGGCAGGATGTTCGGTCTAGTGACTGGACCAAACCGCTCCATATGAATCAGGTCATTTGTGAGCTACTCCTCACCTAGGTTTCTTTAGGGCTCTACTGATACGAACTAGATTCCGCCTCGGATGCCTATGCTGGAGTACACTTATATGCTACTCTGGAGCATCACAGGAAACAACTTGAACCGTGTCCCCCCAGGCCGCACCACGCCGAGTTGAACCTCCCGATTCGTCTTGCGGACGGCCTGGATTTGGAAACAGATTCAGAAGCCGAAGCTTCGGAGCCACGTCCCGAGGAGGAAGAGGGTACTACTTCGATACTGAGTCCCGCGGCGCGAAGGCGCCAGCTGAAAGCATACCTCAGATCAGCCAAAGAGAGCATCGCCAGCGTGGCGAAAACCATCTCCCAGGCCGAAAAAATCTTGGATCTTGCCGTTCCCAAAGACCCTCGCGTTGAAGCTGCAGACGCTTGGGTGGCTGCCTTCAAGCTTGAAAACCAGCCTGCGGATGTGGACACCAAGAAGACCGGCACGCATGCTTCCAGTTATGAGCTAAGGGCGTATCACTTATGGCATGCCAACAAGGACATGTCGATTCAACAAGTTGCACAGCTCCTTCGTAATCCCCCGTTGAAAACAACCACGGTGGCCAACTATGTTTGGCGCGCGGTGCAAAGGGAGAGACTGCCGGTTCAGCGGCTTCGGTACGAAAGAGAGGTTGTCCAGTTGCTCCCTAAATCAAATCAGGGTTACGCTCGGAGGGCGATTTGAGAAGCCCAGTGTTTAGTACCGTAGCCGCCGCCACGGCTGCATGAGGGCTCGTGTATACTGTATGACGCTTCACCATTACGACCTCTGATTCTGCAACAAGTCGACTTGGTGAGATTATTCTATAATTACAAACGCCAGCCTGATTAGACCTAAAATCCTGGGAATGGTGCCACAAAGCCGGTCCCTGCAGGTAGACTAGCATTCACGATGTTCGCACTACCTTGTGTCGCCAGCTTCAACATGGCGTGTGCAGCCATCTTGCTCATCTTCCCCCCACCCCCGGAGGACGAGCCGCCTCCACCGAACAGTCCGCCGAGCATTCCACCACCCGATGACCCCGAGCTCAAACTTCGTTGCGCAAGCGCGTATATCTCGGCGCGGAATCTCTGCTCTTTGCCGACCGCCAACGGGTCCGCCGCCCTCGGGAAGTCCCCGGCTCCGAACCACACAGGCATTCCGAACGTGCCAAAGAGCCTCGTGAGGCCTACGTACGTCTGTCCGGGCTCGGCAAGGATCTTCTGGAGCAGGAACTGGTGCCACCCGCGCCAGGACACGACAGGGGCCGTCGGCGGCTGGTTAGGGATCAGCTCGATCAGGATCACGGCCGCGTACGTCGGCAGCACATATTCCCCGTAGTAGGGCGGAACGGAGAGCGCGGAGAGGGTGCGGTAGGAGATCAGCTTGGAGACCTCGAGGGCACCTGTTCTTTGGGGCTGCGGGAACGGGTCCTTCGCTCAGCATGTGGCTTACATACTATGGCAAGGAAGCTAGAGAAAGGGGGAAGTATACTGCCACGTTCGCGTCGAGCGCGTAGAAAACCTCCGCCGCCAGCCTGTTGAACGCCGCCGTGGGCTGGCCGCCCGGCGCAATGAGCGCGTTTGCGGTTTGCTGCTGAACGATGGATGGCGGCGGCGGTGGGCCAGAGTAGACTTGCTGCTGCTGCGCCGGCCGCGGCTGGACGACGAGAGGTGAGGCGTGATGGCTCGACACGGGCGACGGCTGCTGTTGCACCGTCGCCGACCCGGCCGCCACGGGCAGCTGTGTGCCGCACGAGGAACAGAAGCGAGCCTGGTCCGGCAGCGAGGTGCCGCAGCTTATACAAAACATAACCACAAGAAGGCCTTCAAGTAAGAATCGATAACAATATATATGGGCCACAATCACCGTCTAATTATATGCACAGCCAAGAAAGCTTGTCTTGACTTGGCTCGTGGCGGGCGGGCGGCTATCTCCCCTCTACTAAGTATGTGGCATCTACGTGACCAACGCTCGCGAAGCCGGGGGGTCGGTCTGGTATCGCTGAGCTGATGCGTCTTTGCTGAGACACCACTGCATCTCTGCCCCTCTGCAGCGGTAAAGGATCCGCAGACACTGTCCCAATGGGCCTATCGTGGTGTCGGACGCCATTCGCATTGTTGCCAGACACGAAATAGTGCGAGCCGCCAAAGCGGAGTCTTGGCAGGGGTTTGTTTTCAGCTCGACTTAGGGTGGTTGTCGTGGGTGGAATTCCGTTCAGCGCGGCAGTGCCTTGTCAAAGTTGCGAGACGGCTTACAGCCGTGACTAGCCCGGGTTGTGTCGGCCAGAAGCGAACGGGAACAGAGGCGATGGGCACCGCGCACCAGCCGAAGAAGAAAGAGTACTCGTACCATGTTGAAAATTGTATACCATTTGCGCCCGGTCTTGTCTATCCATTTTGTTTGGGTATCATGGAGATATCGGGCCCACCCCTTGCTATGTTCGCTTACTCCTTAGCCAGCAACAGGTCGCTGCCCCTATTTATCTGCACCTGCTTGTCCTCGCCTCCGCTCACAATACCCCAGTGCTTGTCCCACACGGCACTGAACACCTTGCAGCCAGCGCCGGGCACGTCGCTCCTCTTCTTCTTGCCCTTCTGGCTGTCTCTCTCGATGACGTAGACCGACTCGCTGACGCTGCCACCTCCCTCCGTCTTGGTGCCTGACCGGACGCTCCGCAAGTCCCATATCCTGCAAGTTCCATCGTGTGAGCCCGACACCAGGGAGTAGTTGTCGTTGGGCGAGGCGCAGATGCTGGTGACGAAATTCCGGTGGCCGCGGAGCGTCATGACGGATGTAGTCGTCGCGGATGCCCTCGGGTCGACCAGCGTGATATGCCTTGCCGACGTGCCAGCTGCCAGCAATGCGTTGCTGATCCCTGGCAGCGAAGCCAGCGACAGCAGCGGGTGTGCGGTAGTCAGGGAGCTCACCACCAGCGACGTTGTCAGATCTATCGTCTTGATGGTGTGGTCTTCTGAAGCCGAGTACGCTACGGTCGAGTCGTCGGGGTGGAAGATCGCCGCAGACGCCGGGGAGTTGTGGATCTGCACCAGAGATAGAGGTCCTCGCTGCGGCGCCGATGCCGCGATCTTCCGCTTCTTGGCTACGTTGGAGCCGGCGCCAGGCAACAGACTTGCTTGGACTTCGGGTGCTGCGGATTTGGATGTAGACCACAAGCCAACAGCGCCATCCTTGGAGGCAGAAATGATTCGGCCGCTGGGAGTGTGCACGTCTAGAGACTCGACGGATGCCTGGTGGCCGAATAGCTCGAGGGTAGGTTTCAGCTCGCCGCTGAAGTCGTCCGTCTCAGTGTACTTCCATACACGGACGGTCCGGTCGAGACCAGCAGATGCAATCTGAGATGACTTCAGGAACTTGGCCGACTTGATGGCGGCGCTGTGTCCGCCATTGCTCGCGGAGGGCGAGGTAGCGATGACTTGGCCGGAGCCATTCCATATTCTCAAAAGACCATCGTAGGAGGCAGACAAGAGGCGGTCCTGGCCCTGGGGCAGGGAGCTGCCGGTCCAGAGGCCAGCGCGGGAGGTCGAGGACAAGACGTCGATGTCGGTTACCCAGTCGTCATGCTCAAAGCTGGCCTGGTAGGTAGGCGGTATCAGACTCTTGACGTACTGCAGGGTGACAGTCGTTTCGAAGGACAGGCCGTTGTCTTTCAGGTAGTCCTCGAGCGAGGTTCGCAGGTAGGTGCCGTTGACGAGGAAGTCGAGGGGGATGGGGGAGTCGGTGTTGAGCATGGACTCGGAATTGAGCACGCGAGACAAGCCATATCGCTTGATGTCGCCCGGGACGAGCAGCTGGCTCTTACCCTCGGGAAGCTGGAGCTCTGGGAGGGTCGTGGTGAAGTTCACCCGCACCTGCTGCGACTCGGCTGCCGAATCCATCGCAAGTGAGCCCTGGCGGCCAACTCGGATTGACGGGGAGATTGAAAGGGTGCTGCTCAGCTGTTTCCCCTGCGATATAATACTATGCCAAGGGCCCTGGTGTTGAGACGAAAGGCGGTAAATCTCGAGCTCGCAAGACAAGGGAAGGGATCTGTCGGCGGCCACTTACACAAGCGGCGATGGAGAACGGACTGGAAAATGCAGACAATTTTTCTAAAAAATTTGGGTTGTCCTCGTAGCCTTGCATAGCCTTACCCCGCGAAACAGGGGTCGTGGCGAATCAAATCCGTTGACAGCAGTACCACGACGCCGCTATGCGATGGGCCTAGGCAAGTACTGAAGTAGCTTCTAGTGGCCCCCAGCGCTGCCACGAGCCACTGCAGGACTTGCTCGACAGCGAACTTAGGCAGACCTTGCGGTACAAGCCACACTGGTTTTCAATTTACGCCAAAAACGCGTCTCATGCTGGACTCGGCGCGTCTGGCCCCCGTCATTCTTCATCTTGATGCCCTGGTGAATTTCAACGTCTTCTAGACTGCCCGTGGGATTTGACGCCGGAAAAAAAAAGCTCAAACATGGCAGACCTCGACAATGTCCCAGGAAACCTCTTGCGTAAGCCTTCGTAAGTCCGCCCACTCTGTTTCCGGTTTCTGTGATGTCTTGGAGCTAATGCCAAGCCAAAGGGGCAAGCAAGAGGACGAGCTGGAGAGAGCTGCCTCAACATACAAGCCTCTGCACTCCTTCCGCTTGGCCAAGGAGAAGTCGTATCAGCAGCAGTTTGCAGACATGTACTTTCTGCGCTTGACCAAAATCAGGCCTGCCGTAGAGCAGATCGCCTCCGAGGCCTGGGCCGACACCGTCATTGGCGGCGAGGAGGTCAAGCAAGTAGACCGGGTCTTGGACATCCGCCAGGGTGAGCTGTGCTGGGTGGTAGGCACCGTCTACATGGAAATGGCCCTGAAACCCAACATCATGGAGGATGTCTCCAAGGACGTAGGTTCCCAGTCGCCCATCAACGAGCGGAGCGAGGAACCGGGGGCTAATCTTCCTACAGAGGTGGATTTCCGCACCAACCTCCACTAACAAGTACTGGTCGGAGGAAGGCGATGCTGTCACTCTGGAAGATGAGTCCGGTCGTATACGGCTCGTCGGAGATGCTTTGAGGTCGGTTTTTCTCGTCACCGGGTGCATCATCGCCGTCATGGGTACGGAAAATGCAAATGGCGAGCTGGAGGTCATCGACCTCAAGTTCCCCAACCTGCCACCTCAACCAGATCGCTGGGCTGTATCCAAACCGCCCGGCGCCAACGGTGCGGCGAAGACCAAGACAAAGGATGAAGACGAGGAAATGACGGGTACTCAAACCAAGGGAAGTGGTGGCAAGATTGCCATCGTCTCCGGCCTAGGGTTCTCCGGTTCCGATGCTTCGCACGCTATCGAGTTGAACCTTTTACTCGAGTACCTCCTCGGCGAGGCTCTGGACCCCTCAACCCAGCAGGAACTATCGCAGATCAGCCGGTTGATCATCGCTGGAAACTCGATTTCTTTGGACGAGCGGAAACCCGAGGCCGAGCAGCAAACGGAGAAGAAGACAAACAAGAAGTATGGTTATGACGCCAGCTCTTACAATGCGCAGCCATCGCAGCTCCTAGACGAGTTTCTTGCCACACTTCTACCAACGATGCCCGTCACCCTTCTTGCCGGTGCTCAAGATCCGGCCAACTCCAGCTATCCGCAGCAGCCGATCCATGCCGCCATGTTTCCGGGTGCAAGAGCCTACACCGCATTGCCAACATCTAACGATGTCGGATGGTTCGACAACGTCACGAACCCATGGGAAGGAGAGGTAGATGGGTGGCGAGTGCTCGGAACAGGAGGGCAAAATCTGGATGATGTCTTCAAATATGTTGACAGCGAGGACCGGTTAGGCATGATGGAGGCCATGTGCAGGTGGCGTTGTTGCGCGCCGACAGCGCCAGATACCCTTTGTAAGTTACACTTCGAGGGGAACGCTTGTTCAAACAGAGACTAACCAGACCAGGGGCCTACCCATTTCAAGACGACGATCCGTTTGTCATGAAGGCATGCCCGCATCTCTATTTCGTGGGCTGCCAACCGGAGTTCGGCACCAAAGTCATCGTAGGGCCTGACGCACAGTCAGTACGACTTATTACGGTGCCGTCGTTCAATGCCACCAAAGAGATAGTGTTGGTGGACTCGGAAACACTGGACGTGACGAGAGTCAAGATAGCTGTCTCCTGAGAAAAAGCACCCGATTCCCAGCAGAAGCTATAGTGGGCAAGTGCGCAGCGACAGCATATCAGACGAGATCATGAGTCATGATTAGGAGAACTAGCTGAGCAAGATACAGAGAAACCAATTCGCAATATTAAACCAGCGCGGACACGCCAATACCCTATGAATAGAAGTACCCTCCGAACCATACCTCAGGTGTGTCGATCTGCGAGATGAATATCCCATCAGCTGAGAGGGCGAGTGAAATGATGGCACTGGAAACTTGAGCGCTCCTGAGGCCAGCGTTCCGACATAAAATTATAAAACTTCGCGAATGTTTTATAAGTCTATACTCAACGGGGTCGCGAGAAGAAAGGGCATCCACCGACTGACCGCCACACACCGAATAGCTGAGTCGCGAAAAATGAGGAAATGACGAATGATAATGATATTGCCGTTCAAGGGGGATAAGAATGCTCTGCGCGATGCCATGCAGGCGAATCATGTGTGGGTCGAAAGTGAAGAGGCGGAGGAGGAGGAACCAAGGAACCAACGTGCCGGCATCCCAATCCCATCGGGGCTGAATGCTATTTGGGATCTCAACTAACGAACATAGAGTTGTCCTCGTATTCGTCCTCCCCGTTGTCATAATCTCCAATTGACGAGCCAGTATCTATCCTCGAGTCGTCCTCATCATCTTCGGAATCGTCAAAGGATTGTGAGCCTAGACTGTAGTTGACAAGTCTGCCAGATCTGCGGCTTGACGGTGTGCTGGTCCCGCTGGGCAACGACTCCAATGGGCCATCGCCCTGTATGTCGGGCTCGTAGTTCTGGAAAGGCGAGTGGCCCGGCCTCACAACAGCCTGCGGGTCGATCACCAGCCTCTCAATCCAGTACCTCATCGTCCCCAGCGTAGCTCGGGCTTGGATCGACTGAGCCTTGCGCCGCCCCAGGATGACTGCGTCATGCGCCCACATATGATATTTGCCCTCGTCGGCGTTCATCTGCGTGAAGTGCGGGCGCCGGTCGATGACGGCGCTGTAGTAGTTGCGTTCCTTGTCGTAAGCCAGGATGCGGATGAACTGGCAGTTGAGTCTCTCGAGCGTCTTCAGCACCGGGCTGTCGGAGCGGAACCACGAGGCGGTCGGTACTTCCCCCTTCCTGGTGCCCGAGTCGCGGTTCATGTTCAGCATGGCCCGCGTCTGCGCCGGCAGCTCGATGGTCACCGTGTGCAGCGCCGCGGGGATGGACTCCGGGAGGAACTTCTGCAGGGCCTCGGGCAGGACGCGGCGGCCGTCGAACCCCCACAGCCGGTTCGCCTCGACCGCGATCCGGATGTTGCGGAACAGGTGGCCGTGGCGCTCGATGGGGATGCGGTCGTGCGAGTAGACATGCTTCTCGACGATCCCCTTCTCCTCCTTGTTGTCCGCGATGTCGCGGGTCCTGTACGTGAACGTGTTCTCGCCATACAGGATGCGAACGCCCTGCAAGTAGAAGATACGGCAGGCCCGCAGCAGCCCGAGATCCAGATTGGGCCGCGAGCGTGGGAATACCAACGTCCATTTCTCCAACACCTTGATGTCGTTATGGTGGACAAGCAGGTGCCGGAAGATCTCGTCCCGGATCTCAGCCGGCAGTCTGGCAAACATGCCCATGGCTGCTGTGGGATCCGGCACCGCTCCATTTCGCCGCTGCGCCCATAGGTTGCGATCAGCAGGTACCAGCTCGTCGCTCGGGTCCGAGTTGCCCAGCAGGTGCGCACGCGAGTAGGGGGGCGTCTCGATGATCTGGTGCCCGTCGTTCACTCCCGGCTTGTGGGCGACGTTGTATCGCCTCTCATCCGGCGCCTCCCACGGCATGTCGTAGAGTGGCGAGCCGCAGTGCCGCTTACAGATACGGTCGTCCCACGCGTTGGACGCCTTTCGCTTGCCTGGCCAGCGACTCCCGATGAGCGCTGCGACACGCTGGTGGATGGGCGGCGGCACCTCTGTACAGGCAGGAATTGTGCCCCTTTCGGCACCGCGGAGCCGCCGTGCTCCCTGAGAAGCATCCTCAGCCTCGGAATTGGCCGCTCCACGACGGCGGGCAGGTGCGCGCCGGCGGATGATGGCTTTCTTCGGACGTCGAGCGGCAGCGGCTGATCCGGTCCCACGCTTTTTGGCTGCCTGGGCTCGAGGCATTGTGCCTGCCGACATTGTTAGACGTTTACTGCAGGGTCAAGGGGGGTTCGGGAAGGATGTGCGTACTCACTGACCTGTTGGATAGGGGGAATATGATGACAAATTCACTGGTGTACGAGAGGGTGTAAGTGGTAAGACCAAGTATTGGCAAGAACGGCTGACTGAATGGGTTCTGCTTGGCACTTATGCCGTGTACGTTAAATGGTTGGCGTTGATCATGAATCGAAGAGTCGATATGAGTACCCACTAGAGCTCAACTTGTATCGCTGTGTCTTGCAAGCCCGCTACCTGTGTGTTGTGGACTGGCGTCGTTCTATTTCGTGAGGTCATTTGGGTGCGAAAAGTAGAAGGTGGCTATGAAACCATTGTGGATGAGGCAACTACAGTGACCAGGGTTCAATCGTCGAAGGTTCTGAGCAGCAGGTGCAGTGTTAGATGAAAGAAGTGTGAGTGTGCCGCACAACAAGAGGTGTAAGGAAGGAGAGCACCAGCTACCTCAAGGGGTGCGATGAGATGGATGAGGTCTGGTATTGTGATGATAACAGGGTTGAGTTTTGAGCAGCAACGTATCTCGTGTGTGTACAACAGAGCACCTACGAAGATAGACGTGGACCTCAACTAGGTCTGTGAGCAGCCGCACAAGGGTAGATGCTCAAGGTTGTGGTGGGAAAGAGTAATGCAGGAAGAGAGGATTCTAGGAGGGCATTTGAACTTGCTGTCTTGTCTTGGCAGAGGCATGAGTGGTGATGATTTCCTGGAAAGGATTGGCGAGGGAGAGAATAGCGAGGAGTAGTGAAGAGCGCTCTTCCCTGGTGGTAGCATTTACCCCCCATGGTCAGGTTGTATGCCATGCCTGAAAGGCATGGTTGCGACACTATGGGTGACTGGGAGGCACTCTTTGACTGCGGATGCGTGCTTGTTTCATAGAACATTGAGCAGGATCCTACTGAGCCGCCCGTTAACTCTCGCAAATGGGTGGATACATGAGAATCTTTGGCAGTATCGGCTCGCTATCTCGAACGGCTCCATGAACTCCCCATCACGTTATCCCTCCATTTCCTCACGCAGGTCTTTGAAGGATTGCTCCATGTACATGCTCTTCTTATAATTGTTTTCTGTTGTTGCAACGACTGCACATGTTCGGTATTCGCCAAGGGTCCCATCACTCGTGTTGTTAGATTTATCGTTGGCCAGAAAACTACGGTGCAGCTCCTGAATGAATTCTTCCCTGACGGGGGCATTGCAATCGACGGCCTGGATGATGCCGTACTTGAAGGCATCTGCGAGGTTGAAGACCTCTTATCGGCTACGGGAGATATTTTTAAGAGTGCCTGGTCGGTCCTGGGAAAGGAGAGCAGCTTCGGTCTGTTGCCATACATTTAGCGTTAATAGTACGACTACTTTGAGACCTTGCCCTAGAAATTGGCGGCATACAGAGTGTGTAACGGCCAAATCTGATCCGTACCCTTCGATGAGGTTGGGAAAATGGACTAACAGGGTGAACAGTGTGCCATTTGTCTGCTACCAACAGGGGCTCATCTTGAGCTTAGGTGTTAGACGGCTACCTGGTACCAAGAGGAGAAGTAAGAATCATGTACTAACAAGCAGTTCTCTGTTTGCAAGTCAATGCGTATGTGAAAGATGCAAGCGGAGGTTTTTTTTAAGGGCCAACAATGTTTACTAGGAGTCAACACATTCTGGCTGACTCGAATGAAACTCTTTGGGAAGCTCTAAATCGATCATTGGGCATAGGCATTCCTGTCGCACTGCATCAAGGAAGTTGTAACTTCAGTTCCTTGAAATAGCTATGTGTAGAGATATTCAGGCATATACAGAAGCCTTCATATGGCAATTGGCAAACGGTTTTCGCCATATCGTCTAATACCATAATGCCTTGTGCGACTCTATTCCCTCCGTCCCATTCATTCTGTACATAACCCAGAACCAAGCCTGGTATTAACTTTCTTCTCGTGTGACATGCAAGAGGCTAAGTTCGCAAGGCTGACCTGGTCTAGGAATCGAGTACAAATGGTCATAATGGAGCAATTCGTTCGAGTTTCCGAGTGCCTTTGACAATTCCGAGCACAATTGATCTAGGACACGGTACACCTAAATGAATGATAACCTGAGGTAATGCTCGGGAACATGTGCTACTGGACTACCCTAGTTCGGATTCAGGAACACAAGGTATGAATTTGAATTCGGCTCCCAAGCCCCGTAGAGAACCTTGTAGATGAACTGCAAATAATATATACCCAGTATAGTAGCCTTGACAGGAGTCGAAGCGGTTGCGCCGCGCTGTGCTGTTGCCCGAAACTTGGGGCTATATCTGAGTTATGAGAGCTGACTTGATTCAGCACCTATGAATGAATGCGTCTTCCGAATGAAAGGAATTTGTTCCAATGGTAACAAGTACACGAGGAGCTGTGAAATCTCGAACAATACAAAGAAAAGCTGATAGGTCTTCCTACCACCCTGGCTTCTTGGCACAGGACCCCTGATCCACGCTACAGGCGGGGTGCCTCGAGCAAAGTCGCGATAAGATAAGGATGGCTGGAACCTCAACTTTTTTTTCTAGGAACCGTTTGCCAGGTCTAAGCGGCAGCTTTTCCAGTCAATCAAAGCCGGTACCCAAAATATTTACAGCCTTGCCAGTCGCATAGCACGCGCACGGCAACCCAATTCGCCAGCACAGAATCACGACAGCTTGAAATTCGTTCGAATTTACCTGAATACACTCCGTTAGGCTCTGCACAAAGTTCGTTGCCGCCATGGCTAAGGATAGGGCAACCAAGGTCGAGGCGGCCAAGAGGGAGAAGAAGGTCTCGGATGACAAAGTGACCAAGCTGCACCAGACCAAGAAAACGATGAGAGATGATAGCGAATCTACCTCGAGCTCAGACTCGGAATCAGATTCGGAATCATCCTCAGGCTCAGGCTCAGACTCCGACTCCGACGAGGCATCAGACTCGGAGGACGTCGATGTTCCGGCCAAGCAATCGAAAGCTCCCGTCGACGTCGAACCCAACTCCCTCTTCACAATCGACACCAACCCGTCCAAATCAACGTCCAAATCCGCCGCCCCTGCCGGCGCAGTCGAGGCCGAGGGCGCCGGGGATGCTACGAACGAGGCCACCGAGGCCGGCAGCGGCGGGAAACCCAACCGGGCGGCACGGCGGCGGCTGGCGCTGATCGGCAAGCAGCGCGAGGCGCTGCGCAAGTCGCTCAAGATCGAGCCGGGCCAGGACTCGGCGGAGCTGGAGGCCGCGGTGCGCGAGTACGTCGAGAAGCGCGACGGGCAGTCGGCGGCCCGGGCCCAGAAGCGGGCGCAGCGCAAGGAGAAGGAGGCTGCGCGGCTGCGGAACAAGCGCGGCAAGCTCCTCAAGGGCCGCAAGCTGCGCGAGCGCAAGAAGCAGATCGACAGGATCGAGAGGAAGGCCAAGAGGGACGCCGAGAAGGCCACGGCGGCGTCGGACTGAACGGATCCGTGGCTCGAGGCACGTCTACACCATTGCATTTTCACGACATCTGTCAACAGCGCATCTTTTCCAGGAGTTTAGGAGTGTAGGGGGGTTTTAAAAGAAATGACCATTAGCCACCGCCAACCGTCCTGTCTTCGTATTTTTTTTTTTTTTTGGATTCTGGTTGTCTACTTTGTAGTCCAGAGAAAGTCGAGAAATTGTGATACCTCCACAATCTACCAAGTAGCAGAATGACACCATCCGTGACTCCGTCCCAATGTTGTTCTTGTAGCTTAAACATTACAGTATCGTACAGTTGAATCTGCCTCAAGTCGGTTGTTGCCCTCGCCCCTTGCGGGCACTCTGCCCGTTGAACACCCACGTCGCTAGGGCCAGCAGGACATTTCCCCCTTACGGCTTGTTCTCTCCGTTGCCATTCTCTTTCTTTCGCCTCGCGGCTTCCTCCTGTGCCTTTTTCTCGCCATGGCCAAACACGTCTGAGATCTGCTCCGAGATCAGTCCCCAGATGCCGCCGCCGCCCTCCTGCAGGGCCTCGCGCTCCTTCTGTGCCCGCTTCTCCTTCCAGTCATCCTGCGCATCGCCCATCCAGATGGTCTCCAGTGTGCCCCTCTCTCCTTCGCCCTTCTGTGGTGCCGCCGCCGCCTTTGTCCGCCTTTCGAGCTCCTGCACGCGTCGGATATCCTCGTCGCTGAGCCCCTGGGCTCTGAGCTCCCGGGCGCGCTCGCGGCGGGCCTTTTCCTCGCGGATGAGGCGCTGGGTCTCGGCATAGCGCTCGCTGGGGGCCGAGGAGGCCGGATCCATGTTGGCCACGCTCGTCTGCAGGCGGTGCAGCGACGACTTGCCCGTGTAGTCGTACCGCAGCTGCATGACGCTCCAAAGGAACGTGCCGCCCAGCATGGCGGCGCGCATGTCGAGGCGCCGCGGTGGCCACAGCATCCCGATCAGCGAAAGGGGGGCTACGCCGAGGGCTGCCATGTGGAGGGCCGGGTTCTCGTAGGGCTGCAGTGAAGCCTGGGTCGTCGCGAGTTGCCCGGCGCTGCCACTGCTGCTGCTGCTGCTGCCGCTGCCGCCGTCGCCCGGCTGTGGTTGTGACGCTGAAGACATGATGCTGCTGCAGAGGTATGCGATTCCGAGACAGGGGTTCTGCTCGTCACCGAGATCCTGGTCAAACGAAAAGACCGGTGCCAACGTGTCGTACGCCCACTTGTATGGGAAGACGTCAGGACTGTCCTCGGATGCTCGAGATCAACAGCTCAAGCTCGAACTTTTTTTTGCAGGGGTCCTAACGTTGACTTGACTTACAGCTTTCCAGGGCGTCAGGCGATGGGATGATTTCAGGGTGTCAGAACAGCGCAATGCTATGTCAAGAGCAACACGCAACTAGGTACCAAAAAGAAAGATACCATCTGGCTCTGCAACGAAAATCCTCGTTTTGGATTATCTCGTCTCAGTGCAGTGCAGCAAAGTGCAAAATCACGGAGAGACGGACAAGCCCAGCCCAGAACCGAGAGGACGCCCCGCTTTCTTTTCGGCGCCCGGCGCTAAACTCTGCCGGAGACCATCAGTTCGAACCCCCCAAAACTCAAGCTGCCTCTGGACTCCTCAGCAGCGAAACATCACAGCACATTCACCAGGAACGCAAAAAGGATGTTCTCTAGCTGTGCTAGAGGCTGTTAAGCGACAACTGCAGGATTTGAACCTACGCGGCCGAAGCCATGAGATGGCTGAAAGCGCCGAAGCGAGTTCGAGTCTCACCCATTAACCACTCTGGCAAGTTGCCATATGCTGATTTGTTGGAAAAGATGCAACGTATTACCACCTATGGAGATAAGACAGAAACCTAGTGTCGAGAGTGGACTGCGACGAGGGGGGCGATTGGGTCCTAGAGCAGTTGGTTGCGTTGTGGAGCGCACCAAGGCGCTTGGCAGGCATAACTAAGGCCAGTCGACTGGTGGCATGTTCCGCTGCCATGCTGGCCGTTGGAACAAATACTAGTAACTTCCAGAAGCCGGTTCGTAGGGGCATTCTTCCAGAGACGTACCTTGACGGTAGTAAGAATCAGTCTTTGTTGGGAAGACCGAACACTTGACCGCCCATATTTACAAACACTATATCCTGGCCAAGTCAAGGCAATGATGCGAGGTACCACGGTCTACCCCCGTCGATCCTTGTCGGGTCAGAAAGGTAGGGCGGCCTTGCTGCACGATGCTGAGGCCTACGCGCTGGCAAGTCGACAAAGGCCCTTTCACAGCGACCACGGCGAGTCACCAGAGGTGGGTCTGGGTTTCAGGCGACGATCGAGCATGAAGTCCCTCGCATGTTTCCAGCAGGCCTTCCAGAACGATTTTGTCATCGGGGAGGCGTCAGGGCGTCCAAGACCTCTAGTGACGTCCCACATCTGCACATGCAGCACAGCCTCATGAGTGGCCGTGTCGGTCAAGTCCGTGCCTTAGATATCAGCCGAGGAATCATCATTTGTTGTCACCTAGACCAGGCATACGATTCCGTCAAACCATGTCGTGCCGTCTCGGCACTGTATCCTTGGCTGCATCTCCCAGGGAAAAAAGAAACGTTTGTCGCTTCTTTGCGTCGGTCCATGGCCTATCGTGACTGTGGCTGATTCCTTAAGTTGAACAAAGTGGACCTATGTTCTCAGCACTGCTTTAGATTTGGCGACTCGACAGCACTACCGTCTAAGCTTTACCAACGTCAAGTTCTTGGCGCCCCAATTATACGACGTGGGAAGAATTCTTCAGATATGCCTGTCGCTTGTGTTGCTGTATTGTCTTCTTCGATTTGATTATAATGTTGCCATACAAAGGCGCCTGCTGTGATGACAGTTTCTAATCGTTTTCTGTGTCTGCTTGAATACAGAGACAGATATAATGATATGTCCTGGATTGTATGCCGTTATTGGTACGGTTGAGTGACAGCGTAGCATGTGGTCCGGCAAACCCGGGGTACTTTGCCAAACCACTGCAATTCTTGAGGCTTTGTAACTGCAAATAAGCCCTTGTGGGGTTAAACATACGCAGCAGTAACGGTCCACCACCGTCTGACAAGACTCAGCGTTGTCGGCGCTTAGAGTGCCGAGGTTGCTTCACTGCAATTGAACAGGTGGCTGAGCCAGTGCGCTGATGTTTGCGTACCGAAAGATCGGTAGCGCATCGCACGATACTTTTGAGACTGTCTGACTCAGATTATCAGATGCGACCACACTCGGCCAGGTTGCACATTGACGACAATTGGTTCGCGCACGGCGCCAGAAACCCTGCCAGCGTGGGGTTCAAGGATGTTGAGAGGACCCCAGTAGCGGATCCGGGGTATAGAGTGACATAAGAAAAGATCTGGGTACTTTACAATGGCCTGAATAAGTAATTCAGGATATCCGGCCGTCAAAGTCAAATGCGGTGGGAGGCACCGCCTGGTAGGATGCCGGGGTCAGCAGGGGTCAGTAGCCATCAGCAGTGGTAATGTTTTCCAGAACGAAAAGGGTGGGCGGTTGGTACTGACGCGCGGTCCTCCATATTCCCCAAATGGCCCGACAACTTTGGATTTGGAGGTTGGCGAGGTTAGTTAGTCTTCCTGATCTTTGTAAGACACGAATGCGGTATTCTGTTTTGGTAGCCAGCTTTGGTACCAGTGCAACGCCGAGGCCCTGTTAGTAGCGCTCTGGTCGCTTTCCCCCAAGAAATGGGCTGAGAAATTCTTTTTTTCAATATGGGGGTCCCGAGTTGACTTTTCGCCATGTTGCTCTGCTGCATGTAGGTAAGATCGCCAATGAGATCGGATCGTTCATCGTCGCAGATGGGGTGGCCGAGAGGTGCCCAGGAGACTTCTCCTTGATAAGACTTTGGGTTGTCAATGAAGGGATACCAAGTTGGCGGAAATAGAGGTGTGCGCTGTTGGCATGTCTCAGCGTGGTTGCGAGGTATGCAGTCGGTCGGTATATCAAACTCGCCGAGGTTGAGCCCAGATGGGGGATATTTTACGAGCCATGGGAGTCTGATGAATCTAAACTTCAACAGTCCGTCACTTGCTTTGGTATGGCAATTTTAACGTGCAGGCTGGCAGGCTGGATGCCGCTATCTGCTTGTCAAGTGTGATGGACGTGTAAGCTGCCTAGTGGGCAGTCTAAATCAACCGAATGCTCCTATCACCACGACTAAGGCAATAGTTGATTCATTAGCCCTTGGGGCTTACAGAACCTCTCTGCATAAGTCTCCCCTCGGTACAAACGCCATCGCCATGACAGTCCCGACGACAGTGTCTCAGTGAGGACGGTTCAACAGTCACGAGGAAGCAAATCAGATCCGTCGGACAGGGTTGAGTCGTAGGGCTGAGGATCGGAAGCGATCAGCACAGATGGGTCTCCATGTCGGGAGGCAACCTGTTGGCCGTTTTGACGTGTTGTCTGCATATATTGCAGAAGTTTCCCATGCATGCTAAGGGATAGTATGTATGCGAGAGGGGTTGGCCAGTGATCGAGTGGCTCAGAACGTCCCCAACTACACAGGCATTGGACGCTGCGAGATCATGGTGCTCGTAGGGCTGAACAAGGTGGGGAACCAGTCAGAAACCGAGTCGCCCGGACTTCGTTCATGACGGCCCGCTTCCGCACAAGTCACTGCTTCCAGATTGGCTCAACCCAGCTGCGAGCCTTGGAGTCAAGTAGGGTTCACGTTGCGACTCCAGTGGGCCGCTTTCATGCGCGAAGGGCCATCTGACTGAGTTCAAGATGAGCATGTCGGGGATAGACATTGAGAGGCGGTCTGCATTAGACCCTATTGAACGGATAGTGCATGCTTGATTGGATTGTTGCAATCATCGTCTGCAAGGTTTGGTCATCACAATCATGACCGGGTCTGCTGGGAGCCGGGGAGCCAGGGGTTCCGCAGATCTAAGCCTCTCTCCAGAGGTACGATGACCACAACTGATGACATGGGGAATCTTCATCGGCAATTCGCGTCGGTTCAACGATGATGGCTGTCCTTGATGCGCAAGGAAATCAAGCCTCTGATGCAGGTCGTTTGTCGGCGCGGGGGTCTTCTTCCTGATAACGTTTGAGTCCAGTGTTGGCGACCTGCGTACCGGCTGGTAGCCAGAGAGCGCAAGCAGGGACGTACTGTGAAGTAGTCCACGGCAACTTATGTAACTAGGAGGTAGGGAGTGACTGCTGTGGAAAGCCTATTAAAATTAGACCGGTTGTCGATAGACTCGCCCGCCGCGTTGATGGCCAATGAGGCCGCTCATGTGGATTTTAGGGATCTCGGCTCCCTACCGAGAACTCCTTCAACAGAGCAACAAACCTAGCAGGGACGCCTAGCTGGGGTTGGTGAGGTACTGTGCATATCTTGAGGGACGTAGCTAAGGTAGTCACTTCCCCTTGGCGGCATCCTTTGAAGTGACATTGGAGCAGTGAGTGGTGAGCCTCTCTTGCTAGAGGGGAAGTCGATACTTGGTACCGCAGTGGGCATTGGGGCGTGGTTATCGGGGCACGCCAATTCTTACCATTCCAATATGAGCCCATGAGTTGCAGTAGACGCGCCGGTAGACCCACAAGGCGATGTGGGCAATGTAAGCGCACGGCATTTTGTTAGACTCAAAAAAGACAAGTCCCTAGGTAAGAGCTGTGCGCCCTGATAGCTACAGCACGGGCGGAATACGTACTATGTAAGTCGCAGTCGCAGTGCCCCGGTGTTGAGATGGGGGCAGAGGCAACTGCCGCACCGCGACTTGTATTGTCAATTGTGATGACGCAGAGTCGTACTATGTACTTCTAGTCGTTTTATGTTGTGAGGCGAGGCGCACACCTTTTGGACAACTGGCCGGCCGTTCGCGCGGTACCCGCCTTGTACCCCGCCAATGCTGTCGTCGTCTGCGACCAGCCCAGCCAACCGGCCGGCCACCAAAGTCGCTGTTGGACCCTGGAGTGAAATAAATCATTCAGCCAGCCGCGCCCAAGCCCAACAAGGCACACGAAGACGACGGAAAAGGGGCCCCCGTGAAGCCACGCACACGCCGTTCGTCCATCGCCAGGAAGATTGTATTTCCAGGGGACCCCAAGGTTGCAAGAATCGCCTTTTGACAGTCCCCTGGAATCAGTACCGACGTGTTCAACTTGGGCACGGGAGGTTGCCGTGACTAGCTGCGGGTGGTATACTGCTGGTGTTTAATGGAGCCCCCGACATGGAGCCCCCCCGAGGGTCTAGCCACTAATGGATATACAGCAGGTAGCCAAAGGGCTGTGTAACCTCCACTGGATGCAAGTGATGGCAGCTCCCGAGGTCCGCAGTATGACGAGCGTCTCACTGCCCATTCGTTTGCCCGCCAGGTTGTTCATTCTACTGACGACGTGGGCATGTGGGCTCGCTCGTTCAGTCTCGAGGTTCCGGCGCTACAAACGGGAGGTACCTGCTGCGGTACGCTTGAGGCGCACGCCTGCAGCAGGCGGGGAGGCCCAGGGAGCAGAGCAGGGAGGCGGGCAGGCGGGCAGGCGGCCTGTCTAACGTGCATGTGTGCCCCCGAATCTAGGCTGCTTGGAGTTGCAAAAAACGACTTATACCCAGGCCGTCCCCATCGAAATCTAAGCCCCCAAATATATTCCCAGATAACCCGTCCCCAGCGGTCCCACTGACTAGAGCCTTTCGCCGAGGCCCTCGTCCACCTCCACAGACCTACCACCTAGTGCGAAGATATTAGACCGGCCTGCCTGCCACGGCCACTACCACCCAAGCTACCCGTGCGCGCTCACAAGGTCTTGGACTGCGGCTACGGACCCTACGCTTCGTTGTATTTTCCTTTTTCCTCATGGAAAACCCGAGCCGGAACGCGCCATCGATTGACGGAATAACTCCTGTATTAATATCTGTGCGACTGCTGCCACTGCTGCGCATTCATGAGCGTGCCGTCCAACCACAATCCTGTCTGTCCATCTCCCTGCCTCTAAGTTAGACTACCCGACATCCCCCACCCTCTCCGAGCCAGCCCTACCAAAGGCCAAAGCATCGCGCGCAGGAACGCACACTGCTGCTGCTGCTGCTGCTGCTGCTGCTGCTACTGCTACTGCTACTGCTACTGCTACCTTTGTTCCCCGAGCAAAGAGAAGCTTCCGGCTATGGTCGCCTCCTGGCTGTGACCGCTCCCTGCCTAGGTAACCTTATAGGCCCAGACGCATCCCGCTACGCTTTCAACATGCCTGGCGAGAACAGGAACATGCCCGAGCCCCCGGCGGTGGCAGCGGCTCAGTCGGCGACCTCTGACGATGGATCGCAGAGGCCGAGGAGAGCTAGGACTAGCAAGCCAAAGGTCAAGACGGGCTGCAACAATTGCAAGTATGTGGCTCCCCTCCAACGAGGCTCTCTTTCCAGTGCGATGCCGCCCACCTTTTTCTTCCCTCTCGGTCTTCCCTCTCGGGGTCTCGGTGAGCTAATGACATACCTGCGACAGGCAACGAAGGATCAAGTGCGATGAGAAGCGGCCGGCATGCACGCAGTGCGTTCGATCCAAGAAGGTGTGCACAGGCTACCCGCCCCCACCGCGAGCCAAAGTCTTTGAGGAAGTCAGGATTGCTCCGAGGCCCATCGCCAACATAGGTCCCATATCGCCTGCGACCTCGACAGTCGCCCAAATTGCCCCAGCACGGCTATCTGTGCAGGTGGCTCCTCTTCAAGCGCGGAAGGCCTCACCACCACGCCGCATCACACCTCCCCAGACGCCTGTTGCCCAGAGGTCCTTGGTCTCATTGACAACACATCGCCCCAGCATCAACCTCCCCTTCAACCCCCAGGATGGCCTTTACTTCCAGCTCTTCCGGGAACGGACCGCCAGTGAGCTCTCGGGTTTCTTTGACTCGTCATTCTGGACGCGCAGCGTACTGCAGGAATGCCATACGGAGGAAGCCATTCGGTATGCCGTGGTGGCCCTTGGGGCTCTTTATAAAACTTTGGAGAAGATGACCGAGTCTCCACCCGCGTCGCCGAGTGATGGTACCGATCCGGCAGACAACGCAAGGGCGCATTGGGAGGTTGCCTTTCGCAACTATGGCCTTGCAATGAGCGCCATGCTGTCCAAACCCTCGGATGATCAGTCGGCCCAGCGGACCAGTCTCATGTCGACCGTGCTGCTAGCCTGCTTCGACTCCTTTATCGGTGATCATAAGCAGGCAATACGACAGATCCAAACTGGCCTTGGCCTGTTGGAGAAGCTCCGGGCGGAACGTAGGAGGGCATTCGTTTCGAAGCCAGAGGAGCCCGTGGAGCAGGATCTCATCCAGATGTTTACGCGTCTGGCTATCCAAGCAAAATCCTACGATATGGCCTTCCATTTCCCCCAGCCATTCGTTATCCGCTTGACTCCCCAGACCGACCCTACATCACCATCGGCATCGTCTGATGGTGGGTCTCCTGTCTCGACAAACCAGTCACCTATACCTGATAGATTCTCATCACTCTTTGAAGCGCGTCTTGCCTGGGATGCGCTTTGCGAAAAGATGTTACGATTTACGGAGACCATGTTTCAATTTACGAGCACAACGAGCCCTATGGGTGTTTTGCCCAAGTCGCTCCAACAGTATGGTTTGGGTTTCAAACAGGACATCGATGCTTGGTCTGAGGCTTTTGAGCCTATCTTGGCTTCCAGAACCGCCCCGGGCAAGACTAGCCAGGAGAAAGCTGCCATATCGGTTTTGAAAATGGCCCAGATCATGGGACAGATTCTCTTCTTGATGACTTTCAGTGAAAGCGAGTCTCAGTTCGACTCGTTCCTGCCGCATTTCCGAGGCATCGTTCAGCTGGCGGTTGAGGTTGTTGGCGATGAAGAACGCGAGGCCGCTGCGAAGAGATGCCCGAACCCCCATTTTTGTGGCCATCGATCTTCTCATGCTGATATCCTCGGTGGCGGCGAGTATACTGCGAAACACATCAAACCGAGCTTTAGCGCGGATTTGGGCATTGTTCCACCTTTGTATCTCGTGGCTACAAAGTGTAGAGATCGGATAGTCCGGAGGCAGGCTATACAGCTATTGATGAGTAGCTCCCGAAGAGAAGGTATGTGGGACAGCGAACTTATTGCGAACATTGGCATGTGGATCATGGCCATCGAGGAGGAAGATACCACGGGCGATGAGTCCCCGCGTCCCACAACAAACTCAGCTGGAGCCTTTTCCATGTCCAGCCCAGGCGCAAGATCCAACGGGTCGATCGATTTCGACGATGACCGGCCCCTCGGGCCAGGAGGCAATGCTCGCTGGAACAGTACACGGCGGGAGAGTACCATCTCCAACTCCAGCAGGAGTTCGATCCCGGAAGAAAGGCGGGTCATGGTCCGGGCTGTCGATTTCGACTTGCGCCAACGCACTGCAATGCTGAAATGCGGCAGTCGCAACCTCACGCCTGGAATGCCAGACGTGAAAACCCGAGTCAAGACATTGACATGGTGATAAGGTATAGTCGCCGCTCGCCGCTCTTCCGTGCTGGCCGCAAAGCCGAGCAGGCTCATGACATACGACTCCCCTTGAAGGGCTTCACTTCGATTTAAATACTCCACTATACCGGCAGGACCATTTGACAAATGAAGGATCTGGAAAAGGAGGCCTACAAAAATATATATGCTGCATGGAGTTGTGGGGAAGAAAACTTGGTCCTTCCCAAGACAATCTAAAGCAGGGTGCCGGTGTGGTTTAATATTCTTCCCTGGATGGAAGCCAAGAGCAGGGCCTCGTTCCTGCATGAATGTATTCTGGATACCACTTATCTGTAATGATTACCTAGGTAGTGGACCATCGTTGACTGCGTTGTCTCGATGGCTACTCTTTGGAATGAAGAACTTCTCAAACAGCAACCACAGCACAACAGTGTCGGAATTAAATAAGTTATTGATAAGTAAGAAGAGAAATGGCCATTATATTTGCCACCATTCGTTTCAATTGCCCCAAGGGCTCTAGGTGGCAAGGGCCCATGAGCTCTTTGAGCGTTTCTCATGACCGCCAATCTATTCCACTAGCTCTCCCAATGAGCTCAAAGGAGTACACATAGAGGTTAGTATCTATCAATCAAGAGCGGAATAAGAGGAACACCACCCATCCGCTGGGAAACCCTCCTATGGGAATTCACAGATTAATATCTGGGTGAAGATCCATTCAGGTCTTCACCGGCCTCAAAACTCACAATGCCACTCTTTCACCCGTGGCTATTCTCTCGCATAGGAGTTTCCTGGGTGTTACGGTAACTAATTATTCATTTGCTCTATATAGATCGCTGTTTATAGGAGCTGCATGAAAATATCGGAAATGCTACAACAGGTGATGGCAGCTAAGTTTATCAGGGGCTTATAGTCCACATTCTATCACTATCTCCTCGAGAAGCCCCAGACGTAGAAATGTTCGTCTGGAAAGGGGGTGGTTTCAGGGTGCTGCGTTGATTCTGGATGGGAACCGAGTTGGGAACCGAGTGGATGCAGGTACCAGCATTACTCCTCAAGCACAGTGCTTGACACAGTATAATTCATATCAAGCACTGTATCAGATGAACTCCAATTGATCACTTTCAGCCCTATGTGCTGTCAGCGACCTCCTCAATCACCTCTTTGTAAGAATATATCGCACTGGATATACGCTGGCAGCGAGACAAACCTGCCGAACCCCTGAATCTTCAACTTTGACTTACAACACTCTCCCTCTAGTACTCTAAGCCTGAGAAACTCAGGTTTCATTAACCTGTCAGCCAGACCAGTCATCGGACGTCAGTCCGCCATATCAGTACGAGCATACGCCGCCTTGGCGCATTATAAGAACCAGTCCCTCAATTCTATCGGATATCTTCGCCCGGGTACAGCAAAGTCTAGCCGTGATCTCGGCAAACATGTCGGCCTCGTCCACGGGTCTGCCGCAAGGTGTCGGCGATAATGGCGGCAGCGCCATCAGCGTAGACCCCGGCGAGTCTTCGTCCGCCTCGACGCCGCCGGTTAAGCGGGCTCGTGTGCTACTATCCTGCCACGCCTGCCGGGGTTCCAAGCTCAAGTGCGACCGGCAGGTGCCATGCGGTCAGTGCCTAAAGAAGGGCCGGCCTGAGGGATGTGCTTACGCGCCGCGGCCCAACAAACAGAAGCCGGCCAAGGGCATGGCGGCGCGGCTCAAGCGGCTGGAGGGCATGGTACGCGGGATGCTGGACGAGAACGGCGCCCCGCTCAGCAATAGCAACAGCGGTGGTCGCGGTCTAGAGCGGGCACATCAAAGCGAGGCGCCACTGGAGGCAGGCGGCCAGGTTGTAAGGGGGGATCGGGCTACCAGTTACGTGGGCGGGACACACTTCATGGCGATTCTAGAGGATGTAAGTGGGAGGCTTGAAGATTCATGCCTATTTGCTCACTGTTGCAACATGCTGACACGAGGCAGATTGACGAGCTGAAGAACTACTTCGAGTACCCCGAAGAGGAGGAGGCGGATGCGAACGGTGACCCCTACGAGCCGGCTGGGTCGCCCGAGTTTCTTCTGCTTTCCAAGAACGTGCCTCGAAACAGGGAAGAGCTGTTGGCTCTTTTACCGGAGAGGAGCGTAATAGATAGACTGATGATGCGTTATTTCAACTCCAACAGTCCCTCCCAGCGTATGTATCCTACACATGTATTCAGATAGCCACAACCTCCCGTGAACGCAGCGACTAATTGCAAAATCCAGATATCCTCCACAAGCCGACATTTAGTAAGGAATATCATCGATTCTGGCAGGACTCTTCGTCTGCCCCGTTACATTGGATCGCCATCCTGTTTATGGTCACCAGCCTGGGAGTTTTCTTCTCATCGTTTCAGGCCCCCCACGAACTAGAAGGAGATTCTCCTATGCCAGCCATGGACCGGTACAGAGTCTGCCGAGGGGCTGCCGGAACAGCTCTTATCTGGGGCAAATATTCACAACCTAATCAGCACACTCTCCAGGCTTTGATGCTATATGTGGAAGCAGACTTCCTGGTGAATCGCGAATCCCAGATGAACTGCTATCTACTCTCGTCGGTTCTCATCAGACTGATGTTGAAAATGGGACTTCATCGAGATCCGAGCAAGTTGCCCAACATATCTGCATACGACGGCGAGATGCGGCGACGGGCCTGGAACCTAGCCATTCAGATCGACCTGTTGGTAGCATTTCATCTTGGTCTGCCGGCCATGATTCACGGCATTGAGAGCGATACTGCGCTCCCGCGGAATCTACTGGACACGGATTTTCACGAAGATAGCAAGGAGTTGCCACTATCCAGGCCGACTTCAGACTACACACCCTTGACCTATCCGATCCACAAAGCTGCCATCTGCCGGGCCTTTGGTCTCGTCGCCCGTCAGGCCCATTCGCTTACCATACCGACATACGCAGAAATCATGAAGATAGATGCGATCATCGAGGAGACATACAGCAATGTGCCAGCGTTTATGAAGGTGAAGGCCATGGAAGAGAGTATCACAGACCCTCCAATGCAGATTATACAACGGTTCGGTCTCGCTAGCATTTACCAGAAGAGTCGATGCGTGCTACACCGGAAGTACATCACTGATCCTGTTCCCAAGAAAGAGCACGAATACTCCAGGAAGGCTTGCCTGTCGGCTGCGCTCAAGTTGCTCGAGTACCAGAGCACAATGTACGAGGCTTGCAAACCCGGGGCGATGCTCAGTCAAAATGGTTGGTTCATCTCGTCACTTGCCATTAATGATTTCTTGATGGCGGACATGGTCGTTGCTCTTATAATTCAGAGCAGCCAATACTCAGAGGTTGGTGGTAATTACGACTGGATTACCCAGGGAACGCCGACTCCGACGAAGGATGAGCTCTTGCAGATCCTGAGAAGGTCTCTTTTCGTCTGGCAACAAATGGCGACCAGGGTGCCTGATTGCAGAAAGGCATTCGAGCTCGTGGAAACTGTTGTTAGGAAGATCGAGGCGCAAATGGGCATAACACCAGTACCCATCCCGAGCGACGAGGGAACGAAATCAGCCAACGACGAGGCGACCTCGATGCAAGGACTGACCATGGCTACAAATGCCAACAGCAACGGCGAAGCCCCGGCGGGTATGGATGAGAGTGCCTCGTTCGATTTCGGAGAACCCTCATTCTTCAATAACCCAAGTTCGAATACAGTGAATAACGTGCGAGCCCCAGACGCTTCTTTGCTGAACATGCCGAGTGATTACGACTGGGTAAGTCTCCTTGGCCGTTTCAACAGCAGCAACGCCTGAGCTTATTGAAAAACTCTCTTGCAGAACCAGTTTGACAACTTCACGCGTGGTGGGCCCGACCGGTCGTTCCAGGTGCCGGATTCGTGGCTTGATAGAAATCCGCTGGATGACTTGGACTTCATCACCTCCACATCCTGGGATCCGACAGCACGAACGGGGTGATTATAGGCATAGCTTGCCTGATCGAGACGGATCCACAATGCATGGCAGCCCTAAAGGGAAACCCAGTCCTAGCGAGATCCGTGAAAACCTTCGTCGACGACACGTGGATGACCCTGAATAGCTGTACCACGGTAGGATGCAGGGGCGCGTTCGAAACGAGACCCGTGACTTGCGCGTCGAGTCCACTCCAGTATGTACTGCACTGCACGTAATCAGACAAATATTCCCCTCCGTGGCTCACGGCCATCGATCAACTCGTGTCCACTCCATAGTGAGGGTCTAGTATGCTGTTTCTCTACATCACATGGCCTCAGTGACGCCATCGCTTTCTGCGATGTCGGAGATGCACGGACTCGACTGAGTATGGTACCCAAGTTACACATAGCATTGAAGACGGAGACTATCGAAAATCCTCCATGGGGTAAGGCTTGGGTAGGGCGCAATTCGCGGGGAGCAGAGTTTCCCCAGCGGCAGAATCATTTGACCTCGTAAGGCCGTTATCTTCATTTGTTGACGGTTCGGAATGATTAATAGGGGATGCTCACCAGGATCTTATCTCTGGCCAGCGATATTGCAATCCTCAGCATGGAGAGTGGAGATCTTCAGCCACCACCAATGTTAAGCTCGTCCTAAGGCAGCTTTTGACCTGCCTGACGGATCAGAATCGCGGGGTACCCCGCGAGATCTGAGTGGTCGTGGCTGAAAGACACGCTCGAATTCCCTGTCAGGTCGCATACGTCCTGGGTGCTCTCGGTTGTGCTAGAGAATATTTTCCGAGCAACTGAGTCGTGACGCTTATTAGACAACCACACCGAAGCTTTTTGGAGAGCTCCGCGGAAATGCTCAATTTCGAGGAGGGGATTCCCTTGGCGCTGGATTGCATCGTGTAAATACTGTGGTTCTAGTGGATGACGGCATCGTACAGTTACAAACCTTTCCAGCCCAGCATTAGATACGTAATGAAACTCTTCTCTTGCGTGATATTGTCACCGCCATGCGTCGCAATGGAGGCTTCTCGCTGGTCGACGGGTCGCAGCCAAGGGAGGGTGAACAAGATGGGGCTAATGACCTTGGAGGCTTGGAGACAGACCTGCACCAGATGGAGCTCATTGCGCTGAACTGGGCAGCATGACCTCGAAAAAGAGAACCTTGAGAAGCTACACCAATTTGCAGGGCGGATCCAGGGTGCCGGGTCGGAACGAATAACCTTTAGGAGTTTAGACCGGCGCATTTGGAGGTGGTGGTCAACATGTCAACTGAGTCGCGTATCAGCATATGCCAGGGGTTGGCTCCGTCAACAACTTTGGCACAGAATCGCGACGGATAAAGGTCCGTGTCAAGGTGCGGCGCCGCCTGGGAGCTCAAGATGTACGAAAACGTTCCTCTATCTTGCTGGGTGTTGCTGGCTTGCCAGCCTCACCCGCATGCAAGATACGAATTCATCAGCCAGCATGCCACCGGGATTAGTAAGTGCACTGTAAGTGTGCGACCTAGTTTCCGGGAGATTGTCGAAGTCAGCTTCTTAGGAAACACGTGGTCAACGACACGGAGGCCATTCGGCCTAGCATCGGGTTTGCACCCCATCAGCAGGAGCCGCAACGCCTCCTTTGTCAACCCCGGTTGAAGCTGGCGCTGCTAGAATGAGGTGATTGCACATCATGAAGTAATGGGAAGTGAGCATCTCAAGCCACGGCTGAACTGGCGTCTGTTCGACCGTCGACGAGATGGCGACCTGCCTTCACAAATTTCAAGGGTGCCTCCAATAACTCGAGGGGCAGCACATACAAACTTGTTAGTGTGTCTCCAACCCCAGACCAAGAAGTTGGAGACTAGTCCCCTGGGATGGTGTAAGTAATGAATGAGATTAACTTATGCGATGCACGGAATGAATTTTCAACAGCTCGGAATGCTGATAAGGCTCGGAACGGTGATTGATGGTGAGCGTCGGTGTACGCCGCACTACTCTGTACTCCGACATGTATGTATGACTCAAGAAGATGCGAGGCTGGTGGTCAAGTTCTCTGCAGCATGGCTCTTGCTGCATCAAGTTAATTTCGTGGTGTCAAGACACGGATTATATTACTTGAGACCGCACGATGTTGCTGCGGCGGCCAGGCTCGGGGCCCACCGGTCAGAAAATTTCCTCTAGGCTCGACCACGATCTTTGTCTCCATGGCAGGCATGGGAAAAATGCAATCTACGATTGGAGGTCTAGTTCAGGTCAATTTCGATCCACGGTCCGTCGTAGGATAAGGGCAGAGGCCAGAGAGCCGCCGCAAAGCAGGTTGACGCAAAAACTCGTCGACTTGTGGCCACCAGCCGAGCCAACCGTGCGGCTTTCTGTTACATAATTCCTACCCAGTGCCGCCTTCCTATACCTGACCGGACGGCCAAGTGCATTTCATCATCCAGATCGGATGCTTTTTGCCCACCTGGACTAAACCCTGATTGAACTGCCTTGTTGTAATAAGTCTCGGATTTGCCTACCGAGCACGCGTATGTAGGTACCGTAGATGTTTGTTGTTCGTTGCGGTGGACTCGCCATACCTACCAACCTACCTAGACCTCGACGTCTACTTTCAACCCAACCTGACCAAGAACGGCTGTCTGTCGGCTACCATTACAGCTACTGTGACAGTTGGCAGTAACTACACTCGTCCTATCTGAGCACCAGTCGGCTCTCGCAATATTCTGCGTGCAGCCTCGGTCACTGCGACAGGGAATCGCTCGGCGATATATTACCGTGTTGGAACTGCGGCACCATCTGCCGGCGCGCGCTGAAGCAACCACCACACGTCACTCACCACCGCTCCACGAACCTGCGCTGGAGCGCTGCGTGCCACTGCAACACAGGCATTTAGGGTTTGGCTGGCGTGCGATCAGAGTGCGGCGCTCTCATCACGCACCGGCACGATCTCCTCGGCTATCAAGCGACCGGTCTACAAATCGGTTTCCTCACCGCTGAAAACCATCGGACTCTGTAGCCGATACTGGCACACGCACTGCTCAAGCAGGCCACCACTTTGGCTGCTACTTGCTATCACGTCGCCCGCTGACGTTCCCGATTGGCCCAAGCCAGGCTCGACCCCAGTGTGGATACTGCGACAAAACATATCAGCGTGTCCTTCCCGACTCATCAGGCCACTTCGCGGAGGAAGCATCTTGGAAAGTCAGGTCAGGTCAGATTCCCGGAGAGAAAAGGCTGCGTTCCCTTGCAAATCTCAGCATTCAAATTGCAAAGCACGCCAAGTTTCGACGGCGTTGGACCCTCCTCCCAAATTTGGTGGTGGCTAGTTGCGCCTTGTGGAAGCTTTTTAGGCCTTCCAAAAAAATCCCCGCCGAAGGATTTTCGCTCTTCTGGGCTGATAAGGCCAGCGACGGTTGACTCGATCCAGCCCTGCAGCATCGCTATCAGTTGAGGGTCTACGGAGTATAAACCCCTAGCTGACACGCGCCGTCGGCCCCCGGGTTTGCCAGGACCCTTTTGCACAACCCCCTGGTCATCAGGGTGCTCTTATTGGCATACTGGCCTGCGTGATCAGATACCGGCCTGCAGACAGCACATACCCGGCGGGAAATTTGATGTTTGCTTCCCCGTATCGTATCGTCTCGTTTCGATAGGCTGGAGTCAATTGGGAGAAGCCTTTCTGTCGCAGCGACCACCGGCTTCGCTTCTGATTGGCTGCTTCCCATCATTCATGCCCTGATTTGGTGTTGCGCCCCGGAGTGTCCCTGCCATCGTCCCAACGTCAAGCCGCCCAAACCGTCGTTCATAACAGCATCACCCGTTCGCGCCCCTCTACACCAGAGCAGCGGGATCTGATCTTTTCCCTATCTTCTCCTGCGCCCCTTCTCACATCCCGACGACGGAATCCGGCACCGTGCTGGTTTTAAAATAGCCATGCCTGCCGCACCCATACCTATCCGGACTGACCTGGTCTTCCGACCAGCGCCTTCAGCAGAACACACCAATGGTTCTCCCAAGACAGCCGTAACGCAGTCAAGACATAAACACACGCGATCATCGTACTCGGACTCGTCCCCTCTCATGTCCATGTCGAGGAATAATTCTCTGAGTTTCCGGCCTCTGAAGCGCTCAATGCCCTCGCCAGATAAGACTATTGCCGTTATCAATGCCAGCGGCCGCCAAGCAGCTTCATTAATCCGGATAGCCACTGCCGTTGGCTACAAGGTCCGCGCCCAGCTACGGAATTTGGAGGGCGTGATAGCGACCGAGGTTTCCACCAACCCCAATGTTACGGTTTTCGTGGGTGAGCTGTACCTACGGAAAAAGCCGAATGACGACCGAGACGTTACAGCAGGCGGCCATCTCCCGGGAATTCTCGTAAACCAGGACTTGATCTCCCAGGTATTCAATGGCGCGCACCTGGCCTTTATCAACACCACTTTCTATGGCAACGAAGTACAGATAGGCGAGGCAATTGCGGACACTGCCAAAAAGGCTCGGGTGCAGTACTTTATCTACTCTTCGATGCCTGATCACGCGGCCTACAACCCCGACTGGCCCTCGCTACCGCTTTGGTCAGACAAGCACAAAGTAGAGAACTACATACGACAGATTGGGCTCCCAGCTACCTTTGTTTACACAGGCATCTACAACAACAATTTCACATCGTTGCCTTACCCGCTGTTTTGCATGGAGCTTCAGTCTGATGGCTCCTTTGAATGGCAAGCTCCATTTCATCCGGATGTCAAACTGCCATGGCTCGACGCTGAACACGATGTTGGCCCCGCCATCTTGCAACTGTTCAAAGACGGGCCCGCCAAGTGGAATGGCAAACGTATCGCTTTAGCTTACGAACGCCTATCTCCCCTAGAGGCTTGCAAGGCTTTCGAGAAGGGACTTGGCATGCCTGTACGATACAAGAGGGGGCCTATCCAAGTCAAGTGCAAGATTCCTGAAGGCTACCGCGCCCAACTTGAGGCATTGGAGAAGCTCTTCTCGCCAGACATCGACGATCCGAAGAAACAGCCACCTTACTTCGGGGACAAGGCTTTGGAGGACAGCTGCCCGGACAGCGCGCTAGCGCTTTGGGAGGGCCCGAGGGGCCTGGAGGAGTATGCGGGAGAAATCTTCCCCCTCGAGGAAGAAGCAAATGGGAAAACCTGGATGTTCGACGACGAGGATGGTGAGGAATCAGCAGCGCAAGATGTGCCACCCTTGGAAGAGGACGAGCCTGATAGCGATGAGTCATTTGACGAAGGCCTTGTCATGAGAGGACTGAAAAGGGACGAAGAGCAATGGCTGGCGTAATGCGGCTGATCTTTTCCTCGAGATGTCGATATTTGTCCAGGAATTTCGACGACTAGGACTCGATGATGATCCACGGACAACCTCGCAATCTCGACGGCGAATGACACCACTGACGCTACTCGATCTGGCTTGCGATACCCAATAATGAGGCACTTCATGATGAAAAAAAAAGCATTTTCAAATACCAGGCAGGCATCGCGTTTGGTTTCCAATTCCCTCAAGCGATCTAGACATTTTCAACACTTGGGGGCATATTTAATAAAAGGGGTCATGGCCGGCGGAAGGCTTAGCATTTACACAAAACGGTCGGCGGCAGCATGCATTACATCACATCACATCATATCGCTCGGCCAACGGTCCGGCTACAGACATTGACTTTTTGTTCTCTATAGCGCGGTGTTGGGCAGCGCTTGGATTGGCGTTCAACGGCGGGGGGCAAATGAAGAAAAAGAAAATAATACGTCGAGACATGCAATAGTATCTCCAAGAGACAAGTAACAAACAAAACGAGGAGCTTGATGACCGACAGCATGTCGCCCCGGGCGTACTGAGGCATCGTTAGTTAACAAGAAAGAAGTTAAATAACACACTGTCCTTGATGCTGCAGAACATTCGTCGCTACTTTGATATTGAGATGTAATCCATTTATACTTGATTGTGGTTCTGACGACCCGGACTGCGACTCGGGTTGTACGCACACAAATAAGAGACAGCGACCTCCCAGGTCTTGACAAGCCCAAAAGTCTCACTACAAGCACTGTCTCAGTATTGTTTGGAGAGAGCGTGAGAGAAGTACCGTGCGTGATTGGGAACGAGAAACATAGCTGAGGGGACTAGACAACAGGTCAAGCGATTCTCGATAATAGTCGGAGTTCTGTTTGATTCATGGGCCTGGAGTAGGTATCGACGTGATCTAAGGACGGACCACTCCACCAAAGCCAGATCTTTGCATTCCACCAGAAAGCGTATCCATGACCCTAGCGATCTGATATGATCAAAAACATCTCGTAACCCAACCCGATTTTGAATTCCGCATGACGCCCGCCCTACACCCTTCTCTTCCTAAACGCCGTGAAAATTCAAGTAACACAACGCAAGCCGTGAGGTATCGTTCGTAAGCTGGTAAAACGTCGCAAGGAAATAACAGACCAAAACTCCGTGTGATTTGGCAGAGAAGCACAATGGCGAGCAGGTCAGATCAGGAGAGACCTCTTGATCGGCTGTGGCACGACACGACCGTTCAGTTCCACTTGATCGGCCGGCTTCTTGTATGTTGCTTTGCGTATCTTGTCGAGAAGGTGGCTGTGACTTGTGTTAGACGAGTGAGTCTGTTATATTGTACAGGGATGTTGTAAGTGTAGTAAATCAGCAGTGAGAGAAGCAGCTGCTACTTCTTTGAGGAGTACGCAGTGGGGAACGCCTGTGTTCAGTGTTGCTAGACAAAAGAAAGAGACGAACGAGATGGGGAGCAGGGGTAGTATATTTGGATGAGAAAAAGGGGGAAATAAGCATACTTGATAGGCAAATGGCCGCCACTCTCTTGCATCGCAAGAGTGACTTGGCTCAGCTCACGTTCTTTCGCCTCGTCACTAGCCTCCTTCTCATGTTCCTCATAGTGTCGGCGGATGAGCTCCTGTCCATCTTGATCGTTGGCGCCGCGAACGACATATTCGCAGTCTGGCTCTTCACATGACCAAGTATGATTCGGCCCTTTGGGCGTTATAGAAGGCAGAGGTTCGGCGTGGACGACCAAGCGAGCGAGGGGCTCTTTGTCACCACTGTCTTCATCGTCATCGTCGTCCAAGGATGTGACAGCGTCCGAGTCCACGTCATCATCGCCGTCGGCAAAGTACTGAGATGTTCTCGCAGACTTCTTGCGAGGGAAAGTGTCCGTTTCCATAGCCAAGATATCCTCATCATTGTCATCGTCGTCCCGTAAGCGTTTACTGCTGCCGCCGAGAGAAGGGCGTAGCACTGCCGCCTTGCCACTGGGGCGACCCCTGCGTGGCTGCTTCCCGCTTGTTTCCGGAGTTTGGCTTGCGCTTGCTGCAGTGCTCTTTCCATCCCGGGAGGATGCGTCGGGCATCCTTTGACGCCTTCTGATCTTGAGAATTTGCTCCTCAGTGATATGCTCGTATCTCGGCTTGATGTTTGCATTCTTCTTGGCCCATTTGTATAGTTCGCTGTCCTTCCACTCGGGACCTAGGCGCTGAGCAAGACCTCCGGCGTGGTACTGCATAATCTCGGCCTTGGCGGCATAGTTCGAGATACTCATGGCCAAGTAGAGCTTGGTGAGCCAGGCAGTATGGGGAATGGAATCTGGGTGTTTCTTCTGCTTCGCGCCCGTGTTGAAGGCATCAAGAGCCTTTTCTCGTTCATCATTCAATACGTCGATGACCGCAGAGAGAGCAGACTGTGGCTCTGCAGGTGTGTCTGAGGACTGCGCACCATTTTTGACTCTTGCAGGCAATGCCACCGGCTTACGGGCAAAGTCTTGCATGTCGATGTCTACCTGATCCGGAGATTCATCCTTTACCGACTTGGGGACTGATTTCTGCCGGGATTTGGCAGAGCGGGCACGTGAACCACGTTGATCGTCGCTGGAGGCCTCGGTCCGATCAGACTGTGCATTGGAAGTACCTCTCGTGCTCGGCACGGCTTTCCCCTTGCCTTTGGCGTCGCGACGCTCTGCCGAACTCGACTTCTGCCGCGTTGGATCCGCCTCGGGCAGCGCAGGCTCAGCAAATGTGACCTCTGCAGAAGGGTCCGGCTTCTTGCCCAATCTTTGCACAATGTCCTAGAATGCGGTGTCAGCCAACGACGGCGAGAGCAAGACCATGATCTGGGGCTCACAGGAAACTGTTTGCCCAGCCAAGCATGGAATCCCGTCCCCTTAGGAAATTGCGCAAGGAGAAAGCGCGCCTGGTCCTTGCATCTCTGGGTGACCTCTTCCTCGGTAGAGCCGTCGCCAACAGCAGCGGCGTAGCCGTAGAGGATGTCTCGTATAGGCAGTTGGGCGTCCTGGACATCCTGGACGTCGAACTTGCGCTTCTTTGCCTTTGGTCTGGCGGCCTTGAGGAGCTCGACCTGCTCGAGGTACAAATCGAGGATGGCGTAGTGCATAACAATGCCTTGGAACATGGTGCTGGCGATTGGTTCATATCTCTCGGAGGGCACGATCTCGAGGTGACAGCACTCGCCCTGGGCCCACAGCACGGGCATGCCGGTTTCCTCCTTGAGGCCGAAGGAGTAGGAATAAACCCTGGGCATCTCGATCCATACCAAGCGGGACCTGGTGTGACCTCTCATGACTGGACGCAGGTGCCGGTCAGTATCGGGCTTTTTTTTTTATGGCTGGACGGTCGGCAAAGGGTGTGGCGACGACAACTCACGCAGCTTGCTCTGGTCCGACTCGACGGCTAGCAGACCGCGAATCATGAAGGGGCCTTCGAGGTCTGCCTCGAGCAGGTTGGCCAATTGGCCATGGCGGTTGTAGACGGCGGCCTCGGTGAGCAGGAACAGCGGCCAATCGTTGGGGTGGACGTTGGCGGGAGCAGGACGGATGACCTGGGTTTCCTTGTAGTAGGTGAGAGCTTGCTCGTCGACGGTCGCGACGGTCGAGTTGGAAGCCGCCCGCCGGTGCCTTGTGCCTGCCATGATATGATACGGCGGCGGGGAGCGTACGGGATCGTGACAGAGGGGTACCTGACCGCAGTGCTATCTCCTGTCTGTAGATGCCTTGTACAGTAGGCGAGGGGGCGTCTAGTTGATCTCACATGGGACAGACCAGACTTGACTTGACCTGACCAGACCAGACGGCAGGAAGCTGTGACGTGAGGGTAGAGTTTGACTTGACTGTGGTGCGGTGGGACGGCACGGGGCCTAAAGAGACGGCATCTCGGTCGGGTTACAATTGTGGCCAGCGAGGGAGGGACTGGAAATGTGTAGTTATATATATATATATATATATATATTTAAAATAGGGTATGGTGTATGGTGTATGGTGTATGCAGTTAGTTGGTGGTCGTCTGCGGGCGGCCAACCACCAACCACCAACCAGCCCCAGTCGGCCAGTCGCGCGTTGCAAGCTCCCGCTTCCCCGTTCGGCTTCCAGAGGGACGCGACACTAGGACAATCGACATCCGACAATCGACAATCGACAATCGCGCATGTCCATTGGACGACGGCCCACTGCAAGGGGGAGGTGCACGTTATCGACCGAGGTCGCTGTACTTGGTGAGGAAGACGGCTTACTGGCTGCTTCGTGGAGGCGGGGTGGGCATGAAGGTACAGGTACTCCTTATCGAGCACAATCGATAAGTCAAGTTGCAGTACATAGTACAGTAACTTAGCTAGACGAGACTGGGACTGAGGTCCCCAAGCACCAAGGTTCTATTCTGGGCCTTCTCTGGCTTCTCTGGCTTCTCTGGCGTCTCTGGCGTCTCTGGCGCCTCTGGCTTCTCCACACCCCGCGAGCTGCAGGTGCCAAATCTCAGACCGGACGGGGGGCCCTCTGGGAAATTTTTATTTTCTGCCATTTTGGAGGGTCTCACCCCGATTGCGACGCCAAGGATCACCAGATCACCAGATCACCAGATAACCACCAACAGGCACGATCCCTCGTCGCAATTGTATTCATTCTGCGCGACCTCCAGGGCCCGCCCAGCAGCATTGGTTACTTACTTAGCTTCCACGCCCTACCTCTGCCTCGCCTCTGCTTCTGCTTGGTCCAGCTGCACCCAATGGTCTTGTCTCCCGCTCACCACCGTCCCGTCCTCGAATGAAAGCCGCCAGACTGTTTAAGAAGATGGCGGCCTCCACCCCCGTCCTGGACGGTGTATTCGGTACGCATGCTCCGATTGTCCCGTCTCAAGCGCATCTTGCACCGCCCGGGCCTTCGTTTTGCTGGCGACCGGCCGACTGAGTAGCTGACATTCTACCCCAGCCGTCAACAAGCCCGTGGGCATGAGCTCGGCCCAGGTCATTCGAGACTGCCAGCAGCAGTTCAACCCTTCGGGCTTCTTCAAGCCCATGATCGACCAGCAGCGCGCCGACCGAGAATCAGAGTCGAAAAACCAGAAGAAGAAGCGCCGCTTCGGCAAGAACGACATCAGGGTCAAGATGGGCCACGGCGGCACCCTCGACCCCCTGGCCACCGGCGCCCTCATCCTCGGCGTCGGCCGCGGCACCAAGTCGCTGCAGTCCTTCCTCGACTGCACCAAGACCTACGAGACCATCGTGCTGTTCGGCGCCAGCACCGACACCTACGATCGCGTCGGCAAGGTTCTTAAGAAGACGGCCTACGAGCACATCACCCGCCCCATGGTCGAGGAGGCCCTCAACGGCTTCCGCGGCACGCTGCAGCAGATGCCCCCCCTATACTCCGCCCTCAAGATGGAGGGCAAGCCGCTGTACGAGTACGCCCGCGAAGGTAAGCCCATCCCGCGCGAGATCGCCACGCGTGAGGTCAACGTGACCGAGCTCGAGCTGCTCGAGTGGTACGACCCCGGCACCCACGACCACCGCTGGCCCGCCGAGGACGCCACCACCTTCGAGCGCAACTTTGCCGAGCAGGTTTGGAAGATCGAGAAGGACCAGTTGACCAAGGAGAAGCGCACGCCCGAGGAGGAAGAGGAGGAGAAGAAGGCCCTCGAGAGACACGAGAGGTTCAAGCAGAAGGCCGACGAGAACGTCGACGCCCTGGTCTACGACAAGGTCAACAAGCGCAAGAAGCACTCGGCCAAGGAGCCGCCCCTCATGTCCGGAGCCCTCGGCGAGCACCCGCCCGTGAAGCAGGAGGGCGGCAGGGGCTCGAACCTCATCCCCCCGCCCCACGACCCCAACACGCCTCCGCCCTGGGACGACAAGGGGCCCCCGGCCGCCAGGATACGCATGACCGTGACGTCGGGCTTCTACGTCCGGAGTTTCTGCCACGACCTCGGCGTCAAGGTCGGCTCGTCCGCCATGATGGCCGAGCTCTGCCGTAGCCGCCAGGGCGACTTTGTGCTCGGCACGCCAAACTGCATCGAGTTCTCCGAGTTCGCCAAGGGCGAGGAGACGTGGGCCCCCTTGGTCAAGGACGCCCTGGACCAGTGGAACAGCAAGCCCAAGCCCGACCTCCCGCAACAGGCCCCGGGCCGCGCACGGCCGGTGTGGTCGCCCAACCGCGCACAGAAGTCCATCGAGAGCCCCTCGTCACCCAGGAAGCGCAAGGCCTCGGAAGAGCCGGCCGGCACCAAGCCGCTGTCGCCCAAGAGGAAGAAGTCTGCCTCCCCCAAGGCGAGCAAGCCCGCCGCTGAGACGGCGGGGGAGGAGGAGGAGTGGAACGGCATTGCCGACGACGATGCTCCAGCTTCGGCGGCCAAGTCGGCCTAAAAGGGAGTGTGGTAACTGGAATGCTTGAAGGTGCTTGTTATTCGGCATATAGAGATATACAGGCAGAACACACAGAGACACTTGTGCATTAGCTCGGCGTTGGGCAGCGGCATGGTCTGATTTGGAAGGCACATGGCTGGTTGGATGGACACTAGATTCCCCCCATATAAACCGGCAAACATTGATGCAATTTGAGCCAAGTTCACATATCATGACTTATCATGCGTGAAAGACCCCGTCTTGTACATTGGTATGATCTTTCATTAACATTAAGTTGTAATATGGCTGGCCAGCATTGCAGAGCAGCCCTCGAGGTTTGGCCCACTCAAGGAGTCGAGACACTGATAAAATACATATATAGATTGTACACGAGGCCGGCTCCCGAGCCGGCCTCAGTCACGTCATCAGAGAACCTCTTTCCTTACCTCCCCAGTCCCCAGAATCGGCTAGGTACACGGGTATAATACACACACATACACACGCGCGCGCACGAATACACACACGAGAGAGACTTTCCCCCCCTCTCTCTCTCTAGAACTTGCCCAGCAGCAGGTTGCCGACCATCTCGCGGCCCGTGACCCAGGTGGTGCGCCACAGGGTGGGGAAGTCGAGGGTGGAGCTGAGGCCGTCGGCGAAGCCAAAGAACAGCATGGGGGGGATCCAGCCGCGGGCGTACTCGAGGGCGAAGCAGCCCTGGTCGGGCATCTTGTACTGCTTGACGGTGCCGCGGCGCAGGTGGTGGACGGAGCCGGGCGGGTAGACCTCGGCCTCGTACGCGCCGGGCGTGTACGCCCACTGCTCGCCCGTCAGGATGTGGAAGTAGTCGTCGGCCGTGTGCCGCCCCGTGTGGCCCTCGGTCCCGATCGGCGTCCCGAAGATGATCAGGTACTCTGTGACGCCTGCGACGCGGGGGAAGAAAGGGGCCGTGTTAGCCACATCGCGGTCCAGTCTGGGCAAGGGAAGGGAACGGTGGGGAGGAGGATGCAGGGTGATATATTCAGCCACGGGTGTGCTTGGGAGATCAGAAGGAAGGCAACGGAAATATCAACACGGGGTTTGTTTGCGCAATTCAGTAAAGAATAATACTTTACATCCGAAAATGTTTCGTCATATCAAAGGCAACACCCGTGGCTTGTTTTTGCTGTCTTTCATGTGTAGGAAATTTGCGATTGTCCAGACACATGTGTGTGAAGTGAGACGGGGTATTTTTATATACGTACTGGCATGGATGATGTACATGGCGCCCATGGCACCGCCGGCGTTGTTGAAGATGTACTCCTCGTCCAGGTTGATGTACTTGGGGTGCATCTGGTGCAGCTCGGCGGTGATGTAGCGCACGATCTCGCGCGTGTTGTTGCCATGGGCGGCGATGCCGCGCTTGGCCAGGTCGTGCAGGTGGTCCGTCTTCAGGATGTAGAAGGACTCGAGGTTCTGCTCGAGAAGGTAGAAGACCGGGGACAGCAGGCCGACCAGGACGGCCAGGAGGGTTAGCAACCGCGCCATGATGAGCGAGCGACAAGTGGGCAGACAAGCTTGTCCGGACAAGAGTAGATAAAGGAGAGAAATCACTCGGTGGGCAGACGTATTTATTTATTTATGGGGGATCTTTCTTGGGAGTTGAGAGCCTGCGAAAGGGGGCCCTCAATTGCGGCAGTAATTTGTGTGATTTGCTGGGCGGTCAGAGAAAAACAACAAAAAACTCGGCACCCGATTTACCGGGTCAGTCGATCATTACTCATCCATGGCGTTCCGTGTGTCCAACTACGGTTGAGTTTTGTACCGTACCGTACCGTACTGTGCTGGGCTGACGGTTGGACGGGGGCTCTCTGGGGCTGACAGGCGGCAATGGGCGGATGGATGCCCCACGGCCGGCCAGGGGTCCGCGACCTGTGCGACCCTGAAAAGAAACGATCGGAGGTTGCAACACCTGGAACGCCGACCTGGACGACGTCCTAGCGCCAATCCCGCCCTTCCACTGCAGGAAAACGACCGGGGAGCTCAGCTGGGTGGAAAGGCTGCCCGCAAAAAAAAAGTGACAACGGTGCAGCCGCCATCGTCGACATCACAGCACATCACATCACCTACGCCCGCTCCTCGCAACGAACGAGAAACCCCCGGCAACATGGCGCACACAATCGCCGTTCCCGGCCAGCTGCTGGGTCCTGCGGACCAGTACGTCGCCGGCGCCGGCACGCACATCCACGAGTCCAACCTGTACTCGTCGCTGCTGGGCACCGTCGCCGTCGTCCAGCCCGAGAAGGCCCCCGGCCCCGCCAAGCGCCTCACCAAGATCTCTGCGCTGCAGACGCCCGCCACCCTGCCCACCATCTCCGTCTCCCGGACGGGCATCTCGGAGAGGCGCGAGGTCCTGCCCGAGGTCGGCAACACGGTCCTGTGCCGCGTCACCAGGATCCAGCCGCGCCAGGCCACCGTCGCCATCCTGGTCGTCGGCGAGACGGTGCTCGAGGCCGAGTGGCAGGGCGTCATCCGCGTCCAGGACGTCCGCGCCACCGAGAAGGACAGGGTCAAGATCTACGAGAGCTTCCGGCCGGGAGACATTGTGCGGGCACACGTGGTGAGTTTGGAATGAATCGTCGGGGTCGGCGGCCAGGGCCGAGGGCCTGACACCTCCACGCTGTTGCACGCCAGCCAGCTAACATATGTGGTCACCCTAGATATCGCTGGGCGACCAGGCCAACTACTATCTCTCGACGGCGAGCAACGAGCTGGGCGTCATCATGGCCATGAGCGAGGCCGGGAATGTCATGTACCCGGTGAGCTGGAAGGAGTACAGAGATGCAGAGACGGGCCTCAGCGAGAGCCGCAAGGTCGCGAAGCCTTTCTGAGCTGCAGGCGCTGCTGAGATGGCGCTAGATATGGCGCCCTCGTAAGCCCATACTTACATACGGCTGTGGGTATTTCATGGGAGTACCAGTCGATTTGCCATACATACCGGGCCATGGCACTCATCACAGGCGTTCCTTCGCTCTGCTGAAGGTCATTGTGGCCAGGCGAATTGATCGGTATGAGATGGCCAGACGCCTTCAGTTCAGAGCATGACGACTCTGAGGTGGTCCCCGTCAGACGCCGCCCTAGGAATTGAGTGACCCGGAAGAGAGGGACGCAGCACATTAGCTGCGGCAATACCAGTCCACCACGCAGCGGTGAAGGTCGGCAGCATCCAACCTCCAACCCGATCAGACATGCAGCAGGAGACTGCCGCCAAGAAGCCTGGGGAGATGAACCAATTCGAGAAAGATTGGTGTGTCTTGGTCTGGCACCGGCTGCCGTCTAGGCTATTTTGTTGCCTTACTGAATCCGATGTTTGACAGCTCCCTCCGCCTGGACGCTACTGGAAGTAGACGCCCACCTGCTCTTTATGTGACACCAGACGGCCGGCACAAACTTGCGCAATAGGTAGACTGACATGAATCTCAATCGACCAAGTCCACGTTACACACTAAATTGACGGTTGATGCCACCAAGGGGGAGGGGAACCACATGCAGTGTCTGCTTTACTCGTCGGAAATTTGATGACTTGTCCAGGGAAGGCCAGGACACGCGAGCAACGGTCAACCCGCCAGCCCGCCCGGTGCTGCGCCCCGTGTCTTTGGCTAACCCCCGCCACCCACAAATAGCACATGCCCTGCGCCAGTAGGGGTCCCGGGATTCAAAGACACAGCCGCCACCCTGTCCCCCAGACGCAGTATGGCTTCCAGGGAACGAACCCCGGCCTGGGTTAAGGTTGTCGATGGCTGGCGTAGGATTATTTGAATTGTCCCAGCCCAGCGGATTTTTGCTTTCGTTGCGGCATCCTCCCGGACTTTGAGAATTTTGACCTTGACGTCGAGAGTGACCCTCTGATCGAGCGATCAGTAATTGAGGAAACCCCAGCAGTCGAAAAACGAGCACAAAGACCCGGGACACGGGCGTTTACATCATACATCTCATCTGCCTAGGAATCCGTACTAGGACTAAGGTCACATACACGTCCACCTCGATCGCGGCCACTCTTGCACCTGCCTGCCGCATGACCACAACCACCTGACCTCACTGCCGACTGTACCGACGACGACGACGACGACGACGACGAGCCCATGGCCTTGGGCATTGATGTGCGCACCATGACGGCGAACACCACTACACCACAGCCCGACTCCTCGCCCTGCTGCCCAAGCTGCGGCGTTGCTCTGCTGTCCCTGGCCGAGTCGGGCGACCCGACCGCGGCCCTGCTCGCCGCCCAGAAGACCATCGCCGACCTCCAGGCCCAGGTCCGGCTCCTGAACCAGAAGGCCGCCGCCGCCGTCGACCGCTGGGCCGACTACGAGGACGAGCTCAGCCGCCTGCGCGCCGCCAGCACCTCGACCGCAGCGACCACCAACAACACCGCAGCGAAGCGCACGAGCACGCCGCCGCCCTCCCAGGGCACCAGCATCCCCGCCAGCAGCCCGCGCACCAGCTTCCTCAGCACCGGCGCCAACCGCATCAGCCAGATGCTCAGCCCGCGCAAGTCGACACCCAACCTCTCGGCGGCGTCCCGTGCCTCGGCCTCCTCGCCGTCCCTGCCGCTGCCGGGCGCCCCCGGCGCAAACGGCACGGCCACCACCGCCAATATCAACAACATCACCGGCCTGCCCAGCCCGGCGCCCAGCACCGACGACCTGCTGAGCGCGCTGTCGCGGGAGCAGAGCCTGCGGCGGGCGGCCGAGGGCCGGCTGGACGAGACGTCGCGCGAGGTCGAGGAGCTGAGCGCGACGCTGTTCGAGCAGGCCAACGAGATGGTGGCCACGGAGCGCAAGGCCCGTGCCCGCCTCGAGGAGCGCGTCGGCGTGCTCGAGCGCCGCGACGAGGAGAAGCGCGGCCGCCTAGACCGCCTCGAGGTCGCCATGAGCCGCATCGATCGCGTCGGCCGCCTGCTGGACGACCGGGACCGGGATGGCGACTGAGAAGGAGAAAAGTGAACAGCAAATTCATGAGAGACAGGGGAGACGCAAAAAGACATGGCGCACGAGAACGGATGTCGCCAACCCAACCGACATCGGCCTCCCACGATGGGGATGAATGGCTAGCCGATATTTTCTGTCGGCCGCTTCGCAAACAGGGTCATGACGGCTATCTGATTGATGATCATGAATGAACATTACGAGAGCGCCTCCGTCGCGATGGAGGGTACGAGCTTGTTTTCTCGCCATTGCGACGTTCACGCCCAGGTCACACCACCCAGGGGTATACAGGAACGACAGCAGGAGCTAGGACGAGCAAGACGTGGGTCCTTCCACCCGCCCTACGGCTCCCGAGTCTCTGGTTGCACGATATCAGGGCAGCGGAGCACGGAGTGAGGGTTGGCTCCCAGGCTTATATGAAACGAGGGGGGTTTTCCCTTCGCTTTTTGAGAGATGTGTTTGTTTTGTCTTTACGAGCATAGCAAGGCCCGGTGTTCTGATGCATAGACAAGGGGTGCCTCAGCGGGTGTGGTTCTTTCATTCACTTCCTGCGCCAGCTCAGGACAGCATGCTGGATGGATTACCCTGGCAGAGACGCGCGCGAGGAATGGGTTGCATTCTACGGACAGGGACAAACGGGCAGGGCCATGGCCATGGATAGGGTTTACGGATTGGGCATATATACCACGTTTAATGATTGATGACGAGAGTTTGGACATCTCGAATTGCCAGTAACGAGGGTTGGCGCAGCAAAGTCATTATGCTAGTGGACGTAGGAGATTCCAGTCCAGTGACAGGGTGTTTTGCATCAAGAAACTTCATCATGAAATCGGCACTGAGGCTGCTGCCCCTGAATGGTGTAATTTTTTTGCTCTGATTTGTATCTTCAGACCCGCTTGCTGCGGCCATGCTTTGATCTACCACCATACAGTAGACGCCTAAGGAGGTATATAGCGATAACAAGGGGGGGAATACCCGAAGTCGCTTTCGATATCTCGGATCCCTGAGCGTTTTCCTTCCATTTCTACCGAATGCAAGCCCGCCGGATGATAAAAAAGCGCTATAACGATGGAAATACTTGCTTTTTCGGTTCCGAGTCCTCAACGCCTTTCCATCAGAGGGCATCCGCAGAGTCCAGCGTTCCGGTCGCCTGCAGCTGGCAACGTTGCGGTCTCTCAGTTGCCTTCCCCAAGTCCGGGGGAGATTTCGGGAGAGCACTTTGTCACCAGGGGCGCATCTTCTGAGACCGTCTGAGCGAAGCCAGGTATCCTATCCTTCAGGTATGCTGCACTGTTTGTAAGTACACAGTAGACCAAGGTTCCCGCTTGTGATTTACAAGCCAGGGATCGGGAGATTTAACGTCGAGCGGAGAGATACTCGGCCGCACGATCCCAGACCTTGCGGTCATCTGACGAGACCTGCTCATCGCCGAGCTTCTTCACACCCGCATGAACGGCATCATAGAACGCAAAAGCGACTTGAAGGTCCTTAAAGAAGTCGGTTGCAAACGGCACAAACTTTCCTGGAAAATCGTTGCGCTTGGCCTGCTTTTGCTCCGGGGTATCAGTGGGTTGTATGTCGTCGAGCAGTGTCTTGACAGCAATACCCAGACCCACATCGGTGTCGTTCAAGAACGGGAGTCTGAGAAAGGACGTTAGACATAAGTATGCGGTAGTCTCTATACGATTTCTTACCTCTGGGCGATGTCCAGATAGTCCTCCCGCTCCTTCTTGCTCTCGGCGTGGAGTAGCATTGACGCCACAATGGCCTCGACGAGGTCGCGGTTGACTTCTCGAATCGACGAGCTCAGAGAGCGGTAGTGGAGGAAGTTCTTGCTCAAAGGTCCTGTGTAGCCGTTGGCCTCATGGTGAAGCTTCAACAAGATGGCGCAGCGGCTGATCAGTAACAAGCTTGCCTTGTCGTCATCGCTACCGTTCATCGGCAATCCATTAAGCTCCGGGTGTTGGTTGCGAGCGTTCAGCAAGTTGAACCTAATCAACTCGAATGCCAAAAGAACGGCTTCCGCCAGGCTGTCATTGGGATGTTCCTTGACCATCGGCGCAATGGCGTCCAGGGAAGCCGCCAAGGCCTCACCCCAGGCTGTCAGGCAATGGTTCTGGTCGACATATCCGCGCAGATGCAGGAACCTCCAAACGACTACGGATGTGACCAGATCTGTGGAGTCGATGCCCTTGATCTTCTCCTTGCTTACGGTCGCTCTAGCGAAGTCCGCATTCTTCAAGGCATCCACCTCGAACAAAATGGACCCGTACTTGGCATCAGGGAAAAACTGTTTGACGGTACTCTCCTGTACATTCCAGGTTCGAACCTGGTCTAGCGTTCGGTTGGTTGCCGTACGACCCTCAATAGTGTGCGAATAAGTATCGTCGTACCAGACCTTGGCATAGATGGGCTTGAACTGGATGCCTCTGTGAAGGCGAGGTAGTACCAGCCTGATGGCCTGCTCTCGGAGGGGCATGAGCTGGGTTGTGACAAGCTTCTTGTACTCTTCGGACTTGACTCCGTCCAACGTGGGAGGGATGACGATCTGCCCATGGGTAATCCAACCCGGCAGACGGCCGCTAATCAAGCCGGTGTTGAGATAGTGGAACAACTCTGCGGGAAGCTGGTAACCTAGGTATTCGTAGTTGTCGTGTGTTAGAGTCTCGAAGTTGTGAACCTTGATCTCGCCAGATTCGGCAATGTAGATGAAGTGATCGATCATCAAACGGGCCTTCTGGTACTTGTTCTTCCAGCTAGGGTCTCTGGACTGCAGGATGTCGCTGAACGAGGCGCACGCAGTCGCAACAGATTTCTCCGAAGTACGCAGCATGTTGACGGCATCGGTCAGGATATGAGGCTGTCTCGTGTTGATAGTGCTGTCCTGTAGGGGCGGGAAGGCAGGCAAGAATGAGTTTCCAATCATGAGCAGCGCGTCAATGAACATGGACTCGCTGCAGCCCTGTCTCTGGATGAGGGTCTTCTTGGACACGACACGGAAGTTGCCGGCCTCCCAGTCAATGGACTTGATGACATAGTCCTTGACGGGGTAGAGCAGCAGCTCTTGGGAGCCCATGACTGCGGAGCACTGCTCGGAGTCGGTCATGTCGAAGTGGGCCAGCTGTAGGCAGTAGGTTAGCTTGATATGAGAGAGAGCGTGGTGAGCCCGCGGGATGCTTACCTGTGCAGAAGCATTGAAGGGTGGTACAAGAAAGTGAAGGTTCCGCTTCTTCAGTATGGCCTGGAGGAGAGGGTAGAGGTTCTGAACCGGGTACGCCTTCCTGTCCTGACCAAAGGTGCTCACTGCGAGGTTGGCCTCGCCTCTGAAGTAGAGATTCCAAGCTTCATCGGTCTTGATGTTGGCTGCCTTGCCGCGCTGGACTGCGATCTCGTCCTGTCCTACAACCGTCTGGCCATTGAAGACGAAGAAGGGCGTGGTTCGGTTCTGGGCCCAGCTGTCCAGATCAGCCTCGATGTGCGTCTCGATGCCGGTGAGCCCACCGAGCGCGGGGAGGAGGGGCTCATGGGTGGGGGGGATGTCGAGGAACAGCTGCAGGTAGTAGGAAGCGTCGACGGCGATGGCGGTGTCCTCGAGCTGCGAAACCTCGGCGGTCTGAGCCTGTTCGTTGATCCAGGTGTCTTCCTGCAGGGCTGCGTGTCACGGTCAGGTCAGCTAGCTGCACGAAAAGCGCAGCCAGGCACGGGCAAGGGCAAGCTCACAAGGCATGCTGGGCAGCTTTGGGGGGTCTCGATCCGGCTGGCGGCGCCTCGGGAGAGTGGACGGGAGAGCTGACGACGTCGGCGACAAAGGCAGGTCAAAACGAATGTTTAGAGGGGGGGAAGCGCCGGCCAACTTGACTTGCCGCTCGCCACAAATGCCAGACGGAGCAGCGAAGCCCAATATAAGCGCGACCGGGGGGTGGAGGCCAGCCGGTGATGCGGCAGTGTGCGGAATTGGTGTTTCTCGCGGCGGGAGGCAGGTGAGGTGAAGTGGTGCCTCAGTTGCGAGAGATGCGCCAACGACCTCAGGTTGATTGATGGACTGGATCGACTGGATCCCGGACCCTGGACAATGGCCGCTGGATGCTGGCGGTTTGGGGCCAAGCTGGGCCAAGCTGGGCCAAAGCTGGAGCTGCTGCCAACCAAAGTACCCAGGTACCTAACTAGCAGGCCTAGGTAAGGTACTGCGCCTAGCTGAGTTTAGCCACCAGCGAACCCCGGGCTCTGATCACTCCCCCCAAACCCCCAAACCCCCAAAACCCCCAAGCCCGTTCCTGGCGAGCCACCACGCACTGCCACAGGTCCAGGTCCAGGACCAGTTTCCAAGCTTCGCAGGGGGAGGCCGCTCCACACGCTAGAGAACAAAGAAAAAGAGACACCAGAAGAATCGACATGTTTGCAGTCCGGGTGTCTCCTGTCTCTAGGTGATCCAGCCCGCCCCTGTTGGTCAGCAATCCATGGTATCGAGAGGAGGGTTTGCCCCCAACAGTCCGTTCCTGAACGCAGCGGCATTCGTGGCCCCTTTGCAGACATGAGATGCATGCTCTCATAGTGCTAGCTTCATTGCAGAATACTTGAGCTATCACGTTCAAGACACAACATACTTGGCCCTCGTCACGCTTACACAACTGGGCTGATTGCCCATTCAAGGGTCATACAGTGACAGTAGACCACTGATCTCACACCTAGACAAAAAGATAGCATCAAGAAGGACGTATAGAAATTACACAAAAGAAAAGCTTGAATCCACTGCACCTCGTCAGGAGAGACAATACTATACACATCTCCGATGCGGGGAATCGAACCCCGGGCTTGACGGGTCATTTTCATGAGAGCGTCAAATGTTAGCCACTACACCACATCGGATTATACTTTGGGATACAGTCAAACAAACACCATGTAGCCGTTCTCTCACGGTACTTGGGTTGGCAACGAGGCCTACGTCCGAGGGAGAACCGTCGTTAGCGTGTGCCATGCTAGGTAAAAGAGGAGAGCGGGCTTTTGTATAGCCATGTGAGATCTCTATTGCATGCAGATGCCTGACCAGGCAAGCTGTGTACAAGAACACCGCGCAACCGCTCTCGAATGCGAAAAGAAATCGCTTCACTTGAGTTCTCAGCTGGGTGTGTCTGAGGTAGCTTCACATTTGATTCCCAATGAGAGGAGGGCAAAAGAGGGATGCAAAAAGGAACGCTGGGCAACCAACACCACAAGAGAGCAAGCATTGGATGGCGTCGATGCGCAAAAAGAGAATCATTGATCCGAGGCGGGCTCGATCCGCCGACCTTCAGTGTGTTAGACTGACGTGATAACCAACTACACCATCGGACCATTTCCTCGCGGCGAACGAGGAGGTTGTTGAAAATTTGCATCGTAATGGGGTCTAGATTCCACTACTCTGTGTGTGCAGGCCATTGCGGGTTCCCGAACTGGACCTTGTGGGGCTAGGGTATACACACTTGACTCAGGATGATGGAAAACGACTATGTGTCGATTTCGACTAGTCAATCTTAGACACGAGGGCTTTGCAAGGTGTTCGGGGTGGAAACTTGACCAAGACTATGCGGAGGATATTATGGGGTGGTTAATAGACAGATCCTAGACAATTGGCCGTCACCTCTAACCAGACTTCATTCCTGGCTGCCAGCTGACATCATGGCGCCGGCTCAACCGAGCGTACATTAGACGAGGACTGCAGGTCGTCCAAACCAAGGCAAACTTTGATTCCATTGGCTGTCAAACTCCAAGATAATCTCAGAGACGACTGATTGTCCATGGGCTGTAGTTCGATACTGGGCCGCTCGCACAGCTTCTGGTTGATTATAACAGTGTTTCCGCGGACTGGTCAGAGGGCTCACCCGAAAAAGATCCACTTGGACAGTTCCATTTATCGGCGGCAGTCGCCGGCACCGGGCAAGCAGAGATAACCCTCGACGACGCGGCGCCGTTTCCAGTCTGTATTCCCGGTCTTCATTTACGGGAGTAATCCCTAGAGTAAAGCCACGATATACTGGAACCCGTGACCATGCCGGAAGCCGCAAAAATCCCCATCATTGACATCTCGGCGGATGGCGCCGATCAAGCTCAGGTAGCCAAGGCACTGGTCGACGCCGCTGCCGAGTACGGATTCGTCTACATCAAGAACGCCGGAAAAGACATATCGGCAGAACAGATTGAAAATGCATTCAATGTTGTAAGTGAGGGCCATCTTATCTCGGGGAGGCAATACAGAGACTCTATCACATACTCTTCTTATGCTGTATACCTCACGTGCAGAACCAACGCACTGACACACCTGGACTATAGTCGCGGACCTTGTTCAGCACACCCACGGAGGAGAAGCAGAAATGTAAAATCCAGAAGAACAACCAAGGCTGGTCAGGCATGCATACTGAGACCTTGGATCCCAAGACGCAGCGAGTAGGCGACTTCAAGGAGTAAGCACACCCACCTCCATCACGAATCCAGACCACTATCTATCTCTTAAGAGTATAGCTGACTGTCATGGCAACAGAGCCTTCAACTTTGGCCCCTTTTCAGACGGCAAGGCCACGCAGCCCATCCCGTCCACGCTGAGCGTGCACGAGGCGTCCATCGGCGCCTTCCGGGGCGCCTGCGAGGCGCTCTGCCGCAAGCTGCTGCTGCTCTTCGGGCAGGGGCTGGGCGTGGACCCGGCGGACTTCTTCGAGGCGGCGCACTCGCCGGAGCGGCCCTCGGGCTCCATCCTGCGCCTGCTGTACTACCCGCCGCCCAACAGCGGGGCGACGGCGGGGGCGCGGGGCGACGACCTGCGCGCCGGCGCCCACTCGGACTACGGCTCCATCACGCTGCTGTTCCGGGTCCGGGGCCAGGCGGGCCTCGAGGTGCTGACGCCGGCCAACGCGTGGGCGCCCGTGCCCGTGTGCCCGCCCGGCACCGAGCACGACCCCTCGCCGCCGATCCTCGTCAACATCGGCGACCTGCTGTCGTACTGGACCAACGGGCTGCTGCGGAGCACGGTGCACCGCGTCGCCTTCGAGGCCGGCGGCGTCGAGGGCGAGTCGACCAGCGAGCCCCGGTACTCGATCGCCTTCTTCTGCCACCCGGCCAGCGAGACGCGGCTGGTGCCGGTGCCGAGCCAGCGGGTGCGGGAGTTCAGAGGGGACCTGGACAGTGCCAAGGAGGGGAACCCCTATGCGGAGCGCATGGTGCTCACTGCGGATGAGCACCTGCAGATGAGGCTTCAGGCCAGCTACCTACAGCTGTACGAGAAGGAGAAGGCGGAAACTAAGTAAGGAGCTTGTAGCCATTCACACCAGAATGAAGACAGAGTGATGGTTGCAGGTGCTCGGCAGAAAGAATCTGCCGACTTTGTTCTTAGTAAATCACATTGCTCCATGAAAATGCCCTTTGTACCGTGGTATCTAATGCCATAGAATGCACCTCCTAGTCCCCAGTCGCAAAGGCGCCAAATGATACTTATGCGATTCCAACGTAGCGATGTCGCCACGGATCTAACCCCTTGTGCGCCACACCCGACTCAATACTTGTGAAATCCTCCAATATCCTCCAGTCATACACCGGGATCCACTCGCGCTGTCCGTTTCTGCGCTTCAACCCGGCCGCCTCAATCCGCTGAAGGAAGTCCTTCGTCGCCGCTGGCCGTCTCACTTCAACGAGACAGACCTTCCGAATCCGGGACTTCCTCGTGCTTCTCGAAGTTCCTGCAACCGGGGTCATCGTACCGGCCTCAAGCGCGGGAGATGAAGGCTCGGAGGATGGCTGGTGCGCCCACGACGATGGGTCGACGACAAAACTGAGGACACCATGGCTTTGTAGAAGATCGGCTATCCACGCGTACTGACTGATGCAGGGTGACACCAGGAAGCTGTGATCATCGAATGCACATTTCGTTTCGACTTTGCTATGCCCGCAGCCTGTGGATGGTTGCGGCTCTCGGATAATGTTTGGCTTACTTTGCGTTACCCTGTGCGTATTCTCCCGTATTGGCGTGCATGTCGGCGGCGAAGATTGATGGCCTCCAGCTATGTGGAATGAAGTCGTCACAGTTGGGAAGTATCCCTCCAGCGTCGGTGATAATACATCGGGCTCTACTGGGGAGCGAGCAGATATATCAAGGCCCAGTCTCTGGTCTTGGGACGAACTGTTGCCATTGATCGCCCCGAGAGGCTCCCTGTTCTCGGTTGGTGAAGATGTAGCTCCGACAGAATAAGACTGCAAAGGCTGTGTTGTCTGTCCTGACTCCTGGCTTGAACGACGTTTCTTCCTCTTTGGACTTATGTTGATCGCTGAGGGTTCACTGTGTCGTTTTCGGCGCTCTGCTTTTTTAAGAGATGGAGTGACTGCGGAGTGGCCATCGGACTTCCTCGCTGCAGATAACATAGGAGGTGTAGCAATCCATTGCTCTGGTGCTGCCACGCCAGAAGCTTTGCCATCTGAATAGCCATTGATGATTTCTGCATCAACAGCGGGAACTATAGGATCGGAAGGGTTACCGTTGCTCGTCTCTGACGTTGATGATGCATGTGTGGTAGTAGTCAAGACCGTCGACACACTACTCTGGCTGTCGATAGCAGCGTGCTTTCCTCGGCGATCTACTTGTTCCAATTTCGACACCCAGAGGCGTAGCTGCTGACTATCTTCTAATTCAGGAGCTTCTCTTTCGGTGGATGCCGCCTGTTGCAACTCATCGAAGGTCATAACATCTAAAAATGACCTGTCAAAGTGGATTTTGCTTACCGTCGGAAACCTCATACTCCAGGTGTTGGAATTGGGTTCCTTGTCGAATGAGAAGCACCTCATATCGAACACCGGAGGATCGGGGAAAACTTCTGAAGGAGCCCTCGAATTGCCGATACCCTGGAAATCCAATTCAATGAAGCTGTTCTGGTCCAAAGGCACAGCAGCTGGATTGCAGTAGGTTCGAAACGTTTTCATGAGGGTTTCGGAGAGTTCGACGATATTTGTCACCATATATCGCGGCCTTTCCGCGCAGGCTCGTGCCTCGTCTCGATTCTCCAAGCAGCCAATGAAGAACTCGGTATATCTCAACTTCGGAATGTTGTATGTTTTGGCCTTCGCAGCATTGTAAGACGCACCAACGACGGCAAAGTCGCCGACGTCACCCCATCCCTGTATGTACTCCTTTTTGAGCTTGATGCAGCACGAGCCATAGCGTTTCCACTTGGGCGTGAAGTTGAAATAGGGGTCATCTGGCTTGAGGACTAGGCCCTCTCCGTTCGTTGTGATGCACTTCGCAAATAACTCTCTCAGACGCTGCGACGCATCGCGGCCAGAGTAGGGGATAATTTGCCTTTTCACAAATTCGGCAAAGCCCTTTCGAGGAGTAATGATTCTTTCTAAATGCCGAAAGCGTTTAGAATGTCTGACCTCTAATAGTGATTGATCATCAACCATCAGTACATCGTAGTAAATGATCATTAAGTGTTCGTGATAGTGACGCCTCGTGTTTGTTAGCCAACATGTTAGAAGCGCGAGGTAGTAGCAGATGGGACTTACTGAGAATCGGCCAATGTCCCGAGGAACGAGCCGGACCGCGAAACGTGTTTCCGGATTTTATGAAATGGCATTATTTTTTGATACTAGAAATGCGTCAGTGCCGCAAGGTGGTGTCATTGCAATATATCAAGCTGGTATACCTTGGTGCTATAAACTACCAGTTCTCCTTCCAGGATGCAGCCAGCGTTAAGTTTGCAATCTTGCTGGCCAAGCTTCAGCGAGTCACGTATTGCACTGCCGGTAGTCATCAGGATTGCAATCTGATGCATAAGATCGGACGAGCTCACCTGTGGAGACCTTCGCGGTCTTTGGTACTGTCCTTTCCACTCTTGGAGAAAATCTGGATAGCGTTCCGTACTGGCTTGCGCAGATCGACGTGGATCTGACAGTATTCACCATCAATTTTTTGCTCACAACTTATCTGCCGTTTTCCTATCATGTCTGCGCAATGCTTGATGCTTCTGCCCTTGATCCAGGGTTGCCTTCCAACCTTGGTACCCAGCACAGGCTTCAACATCTCGCGTGAGACATGGCCCTTAGACGATTGCTTCAGATCTTGGATCAGCGACGCTGCCTTTGAGAAGTCCTCCTGAACGCTTAATAATTGCGGTAATGAAGGATGATATGCCCTGAGTACGACATTGCCATCCAGAGCAACCGGTTGATAGTTCTTCAATACCAGCCGGGTGAACCACTTTGCGTCGCGTGCAGTGAGGCGCTGGTAAAATTGTTTGAGGTCATTTTTATCCGCTTTAGGAGCTCCTGTGGCATCATAGCCTTTTACTGCTGGAGAACTGAACCGACATGCTGCCGCCAGCCGGTGTAGCGTTTCGTCGATTTCCTCTACTGTAACTTCGATTGCTTGCTTGGCATTTGGCTAAGTTTCTTGTTAGCTGGAGCTGGGCATAAGCTGGGCAGTGATGGTAGAGCAGCAAGAACTGCCGCGATCATCCGCATGTGAATAACAGGATCCTTACTGTGATATTCAGAATATTCTCTACACAGTCCCCAAGGTCATGACCTATGCCTGGGGTCTTGTACTGGCGCAGTATCCTTAATCGCGCAGCCGCTAGTGACTGAGCGCTTCCGAAAATCCCTTCAAGGGTGAGGACCTGAATACCATAGACGCGATCTGTTCTCCGCTCAGGAAGAAGAGTTGATAGGATTGAGGAGACATCGACGTCAGGGGCGTCTAAGCGCACGCGGTGTTCGCGAAACCATTCTTGGATAATGGTCTGGCTCGAAGACGTCGGCTTCTTCGCCAGCTTCACCTCGTCTTCTAGTCTTTGCAATAGATCGCAAATATGCCTGAATGGAAAAGGCATACTCAGCCTGATAAGTCATAACGCGTCTGCCGTGGAGTGATCTACAAAGAAGGGAGGTGCTCAGGAAAGTAGGAGAGAAGGGAAAGGCAGCAGCGAACAAGGCAGGTACGAGCCAACTTGTGCTCCCATACTGGCAGGCAACAATAGTGTGCTTGTGGAGAAGAGAGGGATCGCGGTGCTGATGTTGCCTTGCTTCCTTGTCCTCGTGAGGTTTGAACAAAGGCACCAATCAATCGGAGTGGGCTTCAGAGAGGATTGTGGTCAACCGCTGGATTAATTGCCTAATTTGGATACACAGCTGCTCCCAACTGGCCGCGTGATCTCTCTAGTCTTGACATTGTACACTATCGCAAAGACTACGTAACCTTCAGAAGGCTGAGCTCAGCAAACTTGGAAAGGGGCAAGAAACGATGTTGGTGTTACCAGACTGTTCTGGTCCTTGGAAACATATGACTGTTTTCTCCAACAGCTTGTATGCATGATCCTATTTGGCCCGGCGTCAAACCGGCAAAGTTATTTGTGCCGCTCCCAATGCAATGTCTCACTCAAAACCTAGGCTTCTTCCCCGGAGATATTCGATTCCTTCCTCAATTGACTCCTCAGCCCTTATCCTGAGAGTCGCCGATGACAGTTTGTACCTCATCTAATAAGTCGGCTCTGTATTCCAACCATTGTGCAAGGGTTCCAGGTCGTTAGAGAGGCTAGCCAGTCTTTCAGTCTCTACAAAGAAGTCCCAAGACAGCTGAACTCGAAAAGTGGAACTACGCTAGAGCTGCATCTCCCACGCCGTTTCGTAACTGGCGATCTAGGTCAGACGCCGTATCCAGAGCAACGTTGAAGTTAGTTCTGAGACCACCGACCAGCTGCTGCAAAACCTGGGGGCTTTGAGCCAACTTCAGACCCGGGAATGGCCTATTCCGTGTGGGCTTTCATCAACCTGGACAATCGATTCCGAGTCTTTCCCCAGCGATCGTGACTGACGAAGACAACGTTAGGTCGGTCCAGACCCAATTGATTGTAAACGTCTTCCCACTTGATATTCAGCAGAACAGTAAGCGTTGATGCACCATATAGGTACATGGGTCACGGGCAGGTCGCCAGATCATCTCGATGGACAATGGACCTCAATGGACCTCAATAGTTACGCGGCAAGCTCTGCATCTTCAAGTAGTGTTGCGCTGGCTTGTTAGGCCCGCTCAAGTGCATTGCCTCCAAATGTGCAGTAGTCTACATTTTCTTGGTTTGGCTCGAAGACAATGTCCTATAGTCCCCGCTACAGAATCACTGAAGTCTAATTGGGCCAGAATCAATGCTCGGCGGCAGATGACCATTCGGGTCGCACAACAACACTCACTGATGAGCTCAAGGGAAGCAGTCCACATTGCTAATCCCCTATGGGATGGGGTCCCATCGTAAGCTCGGTACAGGAACACCTCTGGCCAGCATCTACGAGAATTCTTCTGCTGTAAGACTCGAGCAACTGTATGCACAGGCTTCGCCTCGCCCCATGGCGCCTCAGCTAGCGTCGTCGCCAGCAAGCCTGGCTGCGCTTAGGCCTTGGTCGGTGCCATAGGGATAGGTGCCGGACAAGAGCAGCGAGCCTTGATAGAAACAGAAGAATCGGCCTGTCGCACTGCTCAAGGGTCCCGAGGCTTCTCTAAAGGAGGGGGGCATCATCTGGGCACTTGTTGACCTGTAGGCAAAGACGTGGGACGTCGACGACGCCGAACGTCACGATGCTCGCCTTGGAAGCTCGGCGTTGTGTCGTCGTGGTCATTAGAGACGACGGGACGATTTTCAATGCCATCGGACGCCGGCTTACCGTGATTGGACGAAGCTGAGGTCATGGTGCAGGGGTGCCCCTGTCGCCATCCGCGGTCCCTGACAGCTTCGATGCCGCCAAATTTCGCAAGCCACGAGGACCCCCGAACGGTTGGAAGCAGCAAGAGAAGAAGAAGCAGTCCCGCCGGTTCCGCCAGTCCGAGCTTCCCCCTGGGCGACTGGGCCACTGGACAAGCCCCAAAGCCTCACTCGTCCGCAGCGGGTTGGCGGGCGCCCCTGACGAGTCGTTTGCTTTTGTGGGATTTAGTGGGCAGGTGGGCCCGCGTCCGTGTGGTTGACGGGGGACTGGAGGAAACATTGGAATCAAAACACCCAGGGACGAAATGAGAGTCATCAAGTGTTTTTAAAGCGAACGAGAGCTCGCCCTCGAGTCCCCTGGCCGTTGCCCGTCCTTCCACCTCTCACCACGATATCCACGGCCTCAACCAAGTCCACCCCAAGTCCACCGCGCACCCACACGCCAGCCTGGGCTGCCCCGTTTTCGACCGCCCGGAGATGGGCTCCATTGGCCCTCGTCGCCCCAACCCGCCTCTCCAACTGCCTTGATCCGCCGCCTGCTGAGCACGCTGCCGTTTGCCCATTTGCCCATTAGCTGGGCCCCTGGACCACTCACGACCCAGGGACGCGCACCTTGGCCTTGGGAATCCCCCCCAAAATCCCCCGGCCCACCCCAGCGACCGGCCCAGGTCCCAGGATCTCCGTCCCCATCTCGCCAGCGAACCCAGCTCACAATTTCCCACAAGGACTTGCCGCCCCGAATATCACCATCTGCCTTGTCGCTGATGGCTGGTACTCCGGCGGTGCTCCTTGTCATTCACTCTTATCCATGACCTCAGCTTTACTCTTGAAAATTTGTTTGATTACATCCGCTTCCAACACTCTCTTAAATGACTATAGACATCTCAACGGTATAGCCCGCACTCTCTGCATCCGCAGATCGTCCCCTGGGAGACCGAGGCACCGCCGTGCCACCAGCGCTCCATCCACTCCTTTACGCCGACGACGAAGGCCGCAAGCTCCCGCAAGCCAGCTGCTTCCCAGCTCGACCCTCAGGGCATTACACTCGCTCCCAAAGCCATTCGTCCGGGCAATCATGGCTTCCGGCCAGCTGCGACACCGCGGCTCATCGCTCAAAGCCGCGTCGCTGGACACATTACTCGTCGACACGAGCTGCAATACGGGTGGAAACTTGGATTCCCAAGAGCGACCAGAGTCGGATCCCGCGCCTGTGTCTTCGCCGCATGACGGAGATGCAGACAATGCCTCCAACGATGGCCAACCAGAGTTCACACTGCAGCCGTGGAGAAGCTCTGTTACCACTACGCCGGGCCCCAAGACTAGCAGTGAGACATTCGACACGCGCTCGACGCGCTCCAGCTCCACAGCATCTCGGAATGCGAATCGCCTCTCGTTAACACTTCCAATCGCACCCGCAAATAGTCTGCCTTCGAGGCCGACACCAAATTCAATTCCTCCAACCCCTACCGAATCTCTTGGTTCGGCAATTGCGTCGCCCTCCGACCCCAACGAATTCATAGTAGCAATCGCTGCGCAAGAACGGCGCGTTCTGGAGCTCCGGGAAGAGCTCGCCAGAGCCGAGGTGGAGCTCAAGACCTTGAAGACGCGATGGAACTCTTCCGAAGCACACAAGGTCAGATCTGCCCTTCGGGGTCGCGAACCTGTCCGTCCCATGGGCTCTGCGGGGTTGGATGGCGATGGCACGAATGACAGCCCCGCAAACAGGCGCAGCCTGGACCTGGAGAGAAAGAAGGCCCTTCTTATGAGTGGTGGCACGCCCAGGGACTACAGGCGGAGAGTCATACGTGGTGGCCATACGCGGACGTTGTCGTTACTGTCGCCAACCAAGTCTGAGCACGATATTCCGATCCATCATGACCTCGACGTGATTCGGTCTCCAGATGCCTTCTCGGGGCAACCGCTAGAGTTTACACCCACGCCCCTGAACAAACGTGCGACATGGACCCCTCGGCAGACGCAGCAACCAGCCGGTATGAAGCAGATAGCACAGGACTTTAGGCACGGCCTGTGGACATTTGTGGAGGACCTCAGGCAAGCAACTGTTGGTGATGAGGGTATCTCAGCTACGTCCAACAGGACAAGTGAGTTCTTGTCCAGGAATGGCAGAACGTATTCAGACCAAGATACTATTCGCGCGCCCACGTCGGCACGGGGCCGTGTTCCCTTCTCGACGGAATCCGACTCACAGATCGAGACACCACGAAGGCCTTCACCGGGCAGCTTCCAGGACCGGGCATCCCAACACGAGCGCTCCTCGTCGTCCAAGGCCGAAATCAAACAACGAAAGCATTTTTCTTGGACACCACTCACCTTTGACGACCTGGGCGATGATGATTGGTCAAACTGGGACTCTCCCAACGTGAAGACTGCGAGATGGAGTGGCAGCACGGTCAACGGGGATATTATTCCTGCGATACCGGAGAAAGCTGATGAAAACGAGGCAACATTGTAAGGATACCAAAGCCGGACAGAAGCAAGCGCGTCTCGCTTTCTAACCGTCGGGAGGATTCGATCTGACTAACACTCTTTGCAGGAGGAAGAAACGGTCTCGAAGCGATCTGCGATCGCCATCACCGCAGTCCGCGGGCACTCTTGGAGAGCTGCCATCTGCACTACTCAACAGCCTTGCCCCCAGTAATATCAAGAGGTTCTCATCGGATTTCATCAAAGAGTGGGAGAAGAGCCTTTCCCCACCGGCCGAGAGCACGACATTCGAGCCCAGCTTCCAGAGCATCAAGGACAAAGCCCACTAAGCAGGACAATGGGTAATGTGTAATTTTCTTCTTGGCAGCAGCTGTGCAGTGATCAATCGGATGTGCTGTAGTGGCATACTACATGTACGGACACAGCGGGGGGCGTGCCAATTTCTAGGGCCATGGGTTGGATTTCAGAGGAGGCTTGCGCCGCCATTTGGTCGTGAAATGGACCTTTGGATCATACGCGGCTTAGGAGTACGGATATAGGCCAGGCTGAGGCGAACAGGCTGGCCTGTGTCTGAGTTTGGATTCCAACGTATATTCTCCATGGTGGATTTAAGAGGACGGACTCAGTCGGTGGTGGAGGGATGAGAGTGGACCATTATATATAATGATAATGACTTACGATAGACGATAATGTAGAACGAATCAAGATCGTTTGCGTTGTTACTGTCACAATAAGCAAGGGGCGTGCATCTGACACTCGTTTTTGTTACGAATAGCCTTGCTGAGCCTGTATGTGAAGTCCAACTCTGGTTCTTGGGATCCTGTGCAAAGTGGAAAGAAACCCTGCCATTGTAGCACGAGATATACATCCAAGGGCGAGTCCTTGTTGAGGCAGCGCCGTTCCCCGCAGAAGCCAGTTGTCCCATCCATCTTGCGAACATGCACGAGTTACCCTATGACTATGAACACGGCGGTAGTAGAGCGAGTCGTGTCTCAGGGGCTCGGCGGAAATGCCCATGGCATGGCCCGTGGCCACTAGAGCCGATCAGTCGGCTGGTCGGGGGTCGGGACAGGTGCTGTTGACGGGGGCATAATAAACAGCGGTAAGGTGGGCCATCCCCGTGCGTGCTCATAGACACCTGGGCCCTGGGCGGACGACCAAGAGCAGTGTGCAGCCTCACCCTCTCTGCTCTTGACTCTCGACAACAACTACGACGTTTGTGTGTTGAACCGAGACGACACCCAGCACGTTAACCCAACCACGGCCGTCCATTGGTGGCCAGCCTGCTCTGCCATCTTGCGTCCCAGACGGCGCAGGTCCTGATCGGTACCTTTGGATGCAGCCGGGCTTTCGACCGCGTCTCCAGGCCAGGCCGTCACTGGTGGATCTGCTGGAACGGGCGCGGACCCCCCCTGGATCACCTGGCACAGGCGCTGGCACGCCCTCTGGCACACCGCGGCGGCCCGCCACAGCGACGGGCAGTGGCAGCTGGAGCTACTTCAGCGGCAGCGGCATTGGCAGCATCGGCAGCCCCGGCCAGGGCACCAGCAGCAGTCCTGGCAGTCCCGGTCCCAGTGTCGGCAGCCTCCCAGCTGGCACTGCAGGTGGCGGCGGACAGGGTGGGAGCTCGAGCTTACAGCGGGTGCAGCAGCTGGGGCAAGCTCTAGCGCAAGCTCTGGAGGAGCCGCTGCCAACCTCCCCACCGCCTGCGCCCACTGACGACAACACCGCCGCCCTGGACAGCAACAGCCGCCGTCGCATCAGCTTCAGTCCGCATCCCAGTCCCAGCGAGCAGCCGCCCTCCTCCCCTCAACCACTCGCAACCCCTACCATCTCCATCTCCCCAGCCATAGCCGAACCCGCAGCGCGAGGTGCAGAGGCGGAACAAGACGAAGACGACGACGAAGAAGAAGAAGAAGAAGAAGAACAGCAACAGGAGACCCCAGCTCCACCACCCAGCAAGACGGTCAAGATGGCTCCCGTGAGTGTTTTACCTCCCGCCCCGAGAGCTCAGCTCGGCCCAGCTCCGATAAGCAAGCAAGGCAGCAGCAGCAGCAGCAGCATCGCGAGACGACGACAGCATCCCACACAGCTTGTTGCTGGCTGCGCTGCCGGCTGCGGCTCTCACGATGCTGCATGCACATCGCGCCCTTACTCACGTCCACTTATGCATTCATTGACATACACATGCACTGACACTGCTCGAACCAGAAGACAAATGGCGAGTCCGATGGCTTGAACCAGGGTATGCCTCTCCCTTCCCTTCTCTCACCCCTCTGCTTCTTGTGCCGCTCCGCCTCGGATAGCTTACCATGTTGCGTGTACAGGCAAGATCTTCTCCATCTCAGGTCCCGTCGTCATCGCCGAGGACCTGATCGGAGTGGCCATGTACGAGCTCGTCAAGGTCGGCCACGAGAGCCTAGTCGGTGAGGTCATTCGCATCAGCGCCGACCAGGCCACCATCCAGGTCTACGAGGAAACAGGTACGCTACCACCAAGCCTTGCTGCTGCCCCTTGACCAAGTTCCCTGCCACTGACCGGCGCGAGTCTGTAGCTGGCCTCACCGTCGGTGACCCCGTCCTCCGCACCGGAAAGCCTCTCTCCGTCGAGCTCGGCCCCGGCCTCCTGCAGAACATCTACGACGGCATCCAGCGGCCCCTCGAGACCATCTCCAAGAACTCCAAGAGCATCTACATCCCCCGCGGTGTTGCCGCGCCCGCCCTCGACCGGCAAAAGAAGTGGGAGTTCACCCCCACCCTCAAGGTTGGCGACCACATCTCGGGCGGTGACGTCTGGGGTACTGTCTACGAGAACTCGTTCATCAAGGTGCACAAGATCCTGCTGCCCCCGAGGGCGAGGGGTACCATCACCAAGATTGCCAGCAAGGGCGAGTACACGGTCGAGGAGAAGATCCTCGAGGTCGAGTTCAACGGCACCAAGACCGAGCACGGCATGATGCACACCTGGCCCGTCCGTGTGCCCCGACCGACCACCGAGAAGCTGTCGGCCGACCAGCCCTTCATTGTCGGCCAGAGAGTCTTGGACGCCCTCTTCCCCAGCGTCCAGGGTGGAACCGTCGCCATCCCCGGTGCCTTTGGCTGCGGAAAGACCGTCATTTCCCAGTCCGTGTCCAAGTTCTCCAACAGCGATGTCATCGTTTACGTGGGCTGTGGCGAACGAGGAAACGAGATGGCTGAAGTCTTGAAGGATTTCCCCGAGCTGTCTATCGACGTCGACGGCCGCAAGGAGCCCATCATGAAGCGCACGACCTTGATCGCCAACACCTCCAACATGCCCGTCGCCGCCCGTGAGGCCTCTATCTACACCGGTATCACCGTCGCCGAGTACTTCCGTGACCAGGGCATGAACGTCGCCATGATGGCTGACTCCTCATCGCGGTGGGCCGAGGCCCTTCGTGAGATTTCCGGTCGTCTCGGTGAGATGCCTGCTGATCAGGGTTTCCCCGCCTACCTCAGTTCCAAGCTGGCCAGTTTCTACGAGCGTGCCGGAAGGGTCCAGTCTCTCGGTTCGCCCGAGCGCGAGGGTAGTGTCAGCATTGTCGGTGCCGTCAGTCCCCCCGGTGGTGATTTCTCCGATCCCGTCACGAGTTCTACCCTCGGCATCGTACAAGTCTTCTGGGGTCTCGACAAGAAGCTGGCGCAGCGAAAGCATTTCCCCTCCATCAACACGTCGCTTTCCTACAGCAAGTACGACAACATCCTGAGCAAGTGGTACGAGAAGGAGCTCCCCGACTTCCCCCGCCTGCGTGACCGCATCAAGCAGCTGCTTTCCGACTCCGAGGAGCTCGACCAAGTCGTGCAGCTGGTAGGCAAGTCTGCCCTGTCGGATCCCGACAAGATCACCCTCGACCTGGCCACGCTGCTCAAGGAAGACTTCCTGCAGCAGAACGGTTACTCCACATACGATCAGTTCTGCCCGCTCTGGAAGACGGAGTGGATGATGAAGCTGATGATGGGCTTCCATGACGAGGCACAGAAGGCCATCGCCCAGGGCCAGAGCTGGACCAAGGTGCGCGACGCCACCAGCGACCTGCAAGCCAAGCTCAGGACCCTGAAGTTCGAGGAGCCCAGCGAGGGCGAGGAGGCTGTCTGCAAGAAGTACGAGGCTATCCAACAAGAGCTGTTGGACAAGTTTGCCGCCGTGATGGATGAGTAAAGGGGGCATTGAACAGCATTTTGTGTGTATACGATGAGACTGTCGGCAACAATAGACGGGAATGCAAGAGCGAGGAGACGAGAGACAGAGACTAGGTACTGGGATAGGGGGCAATACGAGCCCTAGTTGTGCTATCAAATCTATTTATTTTTGCACTGTTATTGAAATATTGAGCATTGGATGTCCTTGTACACATAAGAGAGGGGTCCCACTGATTGTGAGACAGCCCTGCTATTCTAAAAGATGAATGGTGGGACAACAGCCCTGGGGCGTGTTCCACTTGGAACTCTAGTCGAGCCCCCTAAGGCACGTACGTATCAGTCCTGGTAAAGGAAGTGATGCTTGAGGTTTGGTCAATCTCGAGATAAGCTTGGGTTGTATTAGAGCCAATGGGGCTCGATCTCTTCAACTGAAGATACACTAGGAGTTGTCGTGCAAGCCAGCAGAAAAAGATCCGATACGTTGGTCAGAGACGTAACCAGTATACTGTTGTCAGCCAAATTATATCGACAGTTTACCACGAGCCGTCCATAATCGCCATTGTGAGGACGCCTGTCTGCCCACGATTCTAATTCCATGCACTCGGCGATAAAACCAGAAAAACAGCACGCGTTAATAGTGGTGCTTTGTGGTGATTCAGATCTTCGCCCAACATCAAAGAATGGTATATTGCTATCCAACGACACGTCTATCCTCCCCATGGAGAAGGGAACTCGAAAACAGGACGCCGCATGAGCCGGAGAAAGACCAAACATTGCCCCGCCAACGTTCATAAACGGGAGAGCATCGATATCGTTTCAGTTCGTTAGCCGGAGCTGGGTATCTCGATGCTCGGGGCCCGCAGAAGGCTACATACGCATTCCCTCCATCTTTACATTCGTCCGTCATTGCTCTTGCTGGTCCTTACTTCCCTTAACACCCATCTCTCCTGGGCCCCCTCTCCTCGCTTTCGCCAAAGAACTCCCCAGGAACGAGAAAGAAGCCGCCGAAAAAGGAAGGCGATGCTTTTTTCCCAAGAAATCAAAAAGCCGACCTGCTCCGGTCCTGATGCTTCAATGCTATGCATGCTATCTCTTTTTCTCTCTCTCTTTCCAAATTCACATCCAGGTTCTTCTGGTTCATCACTCAAGATGGTCACTGGTCACGAAGGGGACGAATCACTGCTGAGTATTTGGTGGTTGCCGGTTGCGCAACGGTCGGAGCCCCCATATTTTACAGCGCCAGTTCGGTGTCGCTGCTGCTGCCGCGTTGAGTTGGTCACCATCATCCTCCTCCTCCTCCTCAGCTAGTCACTCCTTGCCGAGCAACGGCTTCATGACCTCGAGCGCCTTCATGCTCTGCTCGTGCGAGAGGATGACGGCGCCGGCCCTCGCCGTGGACAGGTAAGACAGCTGCTCGCTGACGCCGGTCTCGGCCATGCGCATCTCCGAGACCAGCTTTCCCGCGACGCCCGAGACGATGCCCGTCGCCTCGAGCGGCAGGTTCTCGAGGTCCAGGAAGATGGGCACCAGATCGCCGCTCATGTCGCCGACCACCGAGTCGCCAAAGACGCCCAGGTGGGACTTGTCCAGCAGCAGCGACGGCGGGTCCTCCTGGGCGAGCGTCATGGAGAGGAAGCGCGGCTGCAGGACGAGCACCGAGATCAGGCTCGTGTAGAGCTTCGTGTCCACGTTGTCGAGCCAGCTCCTCCGGCTCCCGTGGCCGTTGCCCGTGGGCTGCCGGCTCGGGGCCGGCCGGCGGTAGTCGCTCATCTGCGTTGTCTTGGTGTCTCTGCCGGAGCAGACCACGAGGCTGAGGTCATCCTCGATGTAAGGAACCACGTTGCGCCGCTTCAGCAGATCGAACGTTCGCGTCTGCAGCTCGGCGACGTTCGAAGGCGGCGGTGTGGACGGAGGCCCGCTGCTCGTGCTTGACCCCCTCGTGTGCGTCGACGGAGAGACGAAAGCCGACTCATATTCGGAGAACTCGAACCCCCGTGCCAACAGCGCCTGCTGCACCGTCTGCCGGTCTTTGGCGGGCACCAGGATGAAATCCGAGTAATATGTCGTGATGAAGAAGATAGGGATGCCTGCGAAGGCAAGCGGCGACGTCAATTCCATGACCCGACTCCCGGCGTCCATTGCAGCGCTCTCCACCGACAGGATCAGGTAGCTGTCCTTTGAAATGGTGACAGTCTTGGACGCATCCTTGGGAAGCCTTTTTATGATTGGTTCGAAGACCTTCTTGGCCCAGTTGTTGTGACATACAACTGAGCACTCGACAGGTGTTATGCTGATGTTGAGAAACCCATGTTTATTGTCTATACTCAGACCCTCGACCGCCTCATCGAGGCTGTCTGAGTCACAATCGCCTTGTGGCAGAAGCACCTGTAATATTGGCTGCAGAAATATTGGATAGAGACTCAAGGGAATATGTATCAGACTGAACGTCCCGTCCTGGTGATTGAAAAGTTAGCACATGTAGCGCTGGTGTGTTCATGTGGCATGGGCAGAAAAGTGCACTGCGATTTGGTAGAGCGAAGATCGGCTTGTAAGCCAAGACTCGGTTTTGTCACCCAATTCGCCCACGATGAGTACAGAACTCTGCCCAATTGTGCTTGTCGATTATACGCGAGATCAGGAGGGCTTACAAGAAACGATATCTGGCTAGGCGCATTCATGGTGAATGTGCCGTCCTTTGCATCACCGAAGATCGCGATGTCCCCAATGACGCTTCATCCGATCTGATAGAGTTCTGGGGGAGGGACCCCTAAGATGCACAGACACGAAAGCGGTCCCTGATTCAGCGTTTGTGGACTGTTGATTGGCGCCCTAGCGACGAGTCGTTGGTTGATTAATAAGGTTCCCTCAAGCCAGGCCGAAGGATCGATACTGGTGCAGAATATGGGCTGGGGGGGGGAAAGGAAGCGATTCTCCCCGGGATGGAAGGTGAGTCGCAAACGAATGATTCCGATGATAGGACACAGGAGTTCAGGGTAAACCTTAGTAACGGATCGCGAGATAAGTTGTCAAAACGGATCCAGTCACGATAGGACCTGAGTCGGTGGATTTGACGGAGGCTAGCACTGGGGGCGCTTTATGGGGCAGTTGGTGGGAAATGCATCTAGATTTAGAGCCATACTCTATTGAATAGCGCCATCAACATGCACCATCTACAGACAGGCGGGGCCTGAGGACAGGGATTGACGTTGTTATTTTCGTGATTCGGTAGCAGAGAGCTCGATTCAATGCGTCGAGCGCGGGCAGATGGAGTCTGAGAGGGTCCTAGGCGTGTATGGAGAATGTGACTCTACTCTTGGTTGTTGTCGACTGTGATGATCGTCAACGCGCCGGGACGATGCCGGTACTATACGCCATGCAACTCTGCAGAGTGCCCAAAGGAGATCGTCAGGGCCAGTTCCGACTTGACGACGGCTAAGACAAGGTGAGACCTGGAAGGGAAACTGTGCCTGACCGACCGGTGTGGTGAGGGGCCCGGAGGCAGACACATTTATACAGAGGCCAGAGCTAGTTTTACCATGATCGGTGGTGGCATGCCACCCCCCGAGCTGGAGCTGGAGCTGGAGCTGGAGCTGGAGCTGGGGACTGAGAAAGATGGTTCCTGAGCGGCGAGCCATGGGCCAGATCTGATGGGCCAGATGATCGAATCGCCAGGAAGGGTATACCGCTGACGGGCGGCCGGGCATCCCTTGGAGCAGCGGCATAAGCGCCGTGGGTGGCACGCACGGGAGCAGATGCGTGAGACGACGACGGCCTAGGTGATTTCGGGCGCGACCTGCAGCGAGCTCGAGTGCAGGGTGCGCTGCGGGCTGCGCCAAACCGCTACCCAAGAACGTGGGGGAAACCTAGAGCGTTGCAGCAGGGACCCTGGAGGAGGCAGGCAATGCATTATCTGTGACTGCAGGATGATGTCTGCTGGGCGGGCGTACTTTTCGCGGGGTCGGAACCTCGGTCAGTGATTCGCAGGATGCCCACGTTCTACAGCATATTGGGCACGTTCGACACGTCATGTAATTAGCAGTATACTCGCTCGTTGGGGGGCCTGAGGGGGGGGCCAAATGGCACGATCTGTGATGAGCGAATCGACCCCCGGGGCACGCAACGAGGCGAGATTATGCGGTGGCTACCTCCTATGCGCAGGTATGGAACTATGATGAATCCGTTTCTGACCCTATTTGGGACAAGTGATAAGTTACAGGTGACGGGCCCCACGGAGTTTCCACGTCGAACCGCTGTCGTGCACGCTTTGCCCAGCGGAACGCCAGCCAGGCTGTAAGTTATAATACAAGTCACTGGATCGCAGTCCCATTGCACCGGCTGGCGACCCCACCTCCTCTTGCTTGTCCGTCTCTGTCTCTCTTCTGTCCCTCCCTTGCATCCAACGCCTGCAGCACTTTCGTGTTACGGAAGGCGTCATACATCTCAGGGGATGCCCTGGACTAGCGTTTCCCGCGTGCAGAAAATCTGTCCGCACGAAAGTTTAATGCTGAACAGGTTTCAATTGACAGCGAACAGCCCGTGGCCGACCGCATGCCTGGTACAATGGCACGCTGGCTGCCTCTCGTCCGCGAGATCGTCGATCCTACCCAGTCGTACGGTCCCCTGAGCCGCTTCTAACCTTTAGCGCTCAGAGGGTTGTCACCAGCCGCTGACATTTCCAAAAGTGTTGCACCCCCAAAGTAATACAGGATTGGGGACGGGGACGCCAGGCTGACACGGGCGCACCTATACCTTGTACCGCCGGAGCTGTTTATGGCTATTCTTGTCAGCAGGCCGCCTCCCCGGCAACTGCACGGCAATTCCTCCAATTATGTCTGGCAAAACGCCCTAGGGCTATGACTCGTACCGACAGAACGCACCGCCTGAGCGGGACAGCATCGTCAGAGGCGTGATATTAACAACATCAACCAGCGGCTGGGCTTGGCGTGGGATTTTACACGATGTCCACGAAACTCGTGGCCTTTGTTCATCCCAGATGCCTCTTTTTAGATTCAGAGCTATTAAACTATGGATGAGGGTGATCTTTCCACCGGTAGCTGCTCGTCAGCGTTATCAGTCAAGCGGGCCGCTTTGACACGTGCCTCGAGATGACAGTGGGTGAAGATTGGATTAAGCTCAATGCATCCAAGATGCTTCCGGAATTTGGCGGACTCGTTCGGCTCCGGGCAGTGACCATATGGGACCATTGCCGCTGCTTCGATCGGTTAGCTATCAGATCGGCCCCTGCTAGCGGCTAGACCCGAAGCCGTTTAAGATGTTTCTCGGTTTGCTGCATTTCAGTATAGCGCCCAAGTCCATTCGACGATTGCGACTGGACGTCGAGGACACGAGGAACCCGCCAACAGACGTGATGTGGCCTAGCTACATCCACTCTGACGCAAGATCCTGCAAGGCATCCGAATCAACTCACGAGCCAAGTTGAAGGCTAGTTCATGTCTATGCCGCGCATGGCGACGAGCCAATCAACTTGCATACTGTTGCAGGGTCCACTAGTGTAACAGGTAACTGGCCGAACTGACGCGGGATGGCGAGAGCAGTAGCGGCTGGGACTTCCCATTTGATCATTCTCGTGAAGTGGATATGTCGGCAGTATCCCGTCAACTTTCCTCAACAAGAAAAATTCCGGATGCTCGCACCCTAACATGAGCTGCGTATGCCCGAACGTCGCCGGGTCCCGCATGCCACCTAGTGAGGGTACCTGCTTGCCTGGATATTTTGAGGTGGAAGAAGAGATAAGAGCTTCAAAGGCCTTACATTCCACAAATCGTGACGTATTGGTTGTTTCTTGGTTGTTGGGACGGTTGGGCAGCAACTCGACTCTGGGAACGACCGTTCATTTGCCGCGCTCTTTAACGCCCACCACGACTAGGTTCCGAGGACTTTCACGGAAGTCAAACACAGTCTCGACCCAGCAGTCTTTCACCGTATCGGTGTGTTGCTTCAGAAACAACCAACGGTCTGTCACAATGAGGGACTCCACGACCGCAGCACTGAAAGCCATCAAGCTCCATATAGCACTCAGCTCTCGCTTGCGGTGGCGGTAGAGACTTTCGTACCGTGCAATCTCCTCATCCGTAATATCACCCAGCTTCTCTTTGATGATTTCGCAATGTTCATGGTAATCAGAATGGGTTGTCAGCTTTGTGATCGCCCCTCTGACATACAAATGAAACGACTTGTAGCAGGCCTTGCGGAGTGATCCGATAATGACGGGATTTGTGCTCATGTTGAAGGGGCTGCACTCGCCGTTTTCGTCATCTGTGCCATTGTGGTAGACCTTCTGGATAACCCCTTTATCAAGAAAGATCTTCTGTAAGACGGCCCGGAAGAAATGGCGAGTGAAGAAGTCATCGCTATCTTCTTCGCCCCAGTTCTGCGGTGCCTGGCAGGCCATCATTCTGGCTGTGATGTTGAAACGCACCCCGTCGGTCTTGTAGGTGCTAAGCCGCTCACTCATGGGAAATCCTTCGGGATCGAACTTTGCAGATTCTCGAATGACTCGGCCATTGAGAGCCTGCAGACTTGGCCGCATATATGGATGCTTGTAGGTTGGAGGGCCTAGCTTCTCGGTCATCAGATTGTAGCAGCATCCAACTATGGCGACCGCTCGCACCCGTGGGTTCATCACGAGCGAACGGATTCCATGATGAGACAAGTTGCCACAGGAATGAATCGATATGGCCATCAACCGGAGATCTTTTGACTCCTCACTTGCCTTGTCAGGATTTGCCTCAAGTTGCGTGACGACGTCAGACAAGTCTCCTGACTCCAGCCGCCCAGAGACGTATCGTATGAAGCCCTTCCCATCCTCGGGCTTGTACACAGCCTGTAGATCTCGGGTGGGTCTGAAGTCTGGTACATAATCCTCGGAAACTTTTGGCAGGTTGGAAAGCCTCTTGAGAGTGCTCTCGTCTACCTCATCGCCATTTTTCTTGCTATTGAGCAGCTGCTGCCAAAGCTTCTTGTTGCGCATGACCTTCTCTCTTTCGGCCATGCCGGCTAGCATGTCTAGCTCTTTTGCGCCGGTGATGTTGTGTTCCCGTCCTTCCACCGCCACGATATGCTTATTGTAAGGAGCGCTTGCCAGAGCTCTGCCCAGATAGTTCTGGCCGCTCCCAAAATCAACAAAGTGCGTGACATCCTCACCGGTGAGAGTCTCCACGTCGGTAGACAGCCTGTCCACATAACTAGCAAAATTGCTGACTTCGTGTATCTTCTTGGGCTTCATTCCCACAGAGACAAGTCTGGTCATCTTGGGTAGCTTGTCCCGCTTCGCCTGGAAATTGCGGGCCAGCGAATGCTTGCGGATCTCCTTTATGTACTGCAACAAGCTGTCGGGCAGCCCGGCAGCGTGCTCTCCCGCCGGCGAATCCAGGTCATCTCGCATCAGCACGTCCAGAAGCCGCATGGGATCGCACCGCATCAGGTAATCCTGCCAGTCCTGCGGGATGATCTGCTGAAATAGGCCCGGCTCATTTGTGAAAAAGTCGAGAACGTGCACGCCTCCGCAGAGCATTTGAAACCTGTCCGACGTGCTTGCAAACTCTAGCAAGCTGGACACGTACTCCTCAGTGCTGCCCCAGCAGTCGGGATAGGGAAGAGGCTTTTCAGGTATCATGATGACGTTTTGCCGTGCTGGAGACAGAGAAATACTCAAGTCTTGCCCAATTGATGGCCGGGGGCAGCCAATGGTGGTACCTGTCACTCTGAACAGAAATCGAGTTCGTCCTAAAGCTCACTCTGAAAGGTGATGAGAGCGCAAGTATGTAAGAGTCGGAATGGACCTCAAAATGCGTTTGTCGCGATGAATTTCTGATTTTCTAGATGACCCCACAATTAAGTTAACAGCCAATCATACCTCGTCCCTGCGCTCAATCCGTCCACTACCTTCAGGGAGAGACCCAGTGATCTGCTAGGCTCCAGGGTACAAGTATTGCTGTTCCCTGGGCATTTACTATATGACAACCTCACTCATACGATGTAATACATCGAGTATTTTGCGATCTCCCTCTGCGTTATATCCCGCATCACAGCAGAGCATTTCTGAATGGCTCTAGGGGACCCTGCTGAATGTCCTGCTTGTGGAGTCGTGGCTGTTGCATTGTCAGTCTAGCATGTGGTTTATCCTATTTGCTTTTTGAATCAAGGTATAATTCCGGTATTTACAGTTCCGTGGCAGTGACTTTTCTTCGAGGCGCCAGACCTCACGAGACTTGACAATGCGCCACGCCATGCCATGTAATGGATCGATACACCGAAGACGTGGGCCAACCACACACGAGATGTGCGACCAGGGCAACGTCTACAACGGGGCTGAGGCAGTTCGCTGGCCCCCCTGTTTCTGCAGTGCATACCACCCGTTCGAAGCCATTAAAAGCTAGCTGATGTCGGAAACGCTGCGCAGGCGTTGGGCAAGGCTGGCTGAAAAGGTGAGAATCGCCCACCTCTTCTTCTTGTACAACTCAGATCGCATAACACAAGCTGACAGAAAAGAAAATGACCTACGTCTGTCGCAACAGGGCATGCGGGCACCAATTGGATTCAACATGTCCGTGGCAGAGCACTGGGTACAGATGTGTACGTGACCCGATGTCGGTCCTGATTGAGGAAGCGTAAAGGGGGTCGAATACTAACGCCGACAAAAGTGCAAGTGCAACAGTGAGATGTACGAGAGCCAAGTCCACACGCCCGCGTCCAACTGCAGCGCAGGCACTCTGGTCTCTTGCGGCACGCGAGGTTCTGCACGGCAGCCCGCGCCTGATGATTTCGAGGTGCAGTTGACGAGGCGACTTGAGTTGTATTGCGACGAGGCCGCGAACCCGCTCCGTCGAGACGACGCAGCCCAGGTCGCCGAGAAGGTTTCGAATTGGAGGCGCGGCATCACCGATTTGCTCTTTCCAAAGAAGAGTGCCACGCCAGATCCGCAGAGCGATGACACACAGGAGGAGACGGAGCGGGATACGAGCGAGGAGGAATATGACAGTCGCTGCACTGACGAAACGAGCGAAGATGACACTTATGGTAACTCATATGGTCACCAAAATGGCGCGCAGCGGGCCGCTGGTAATCGAATGGAGCTGGGAAAATGGAGTTGGGACCATGGAAATGCTCCTCAGACAAATGAGCAAGCAAAGGCTCCCGTTTCTTTCGGCCAAGTGCGTCACTTTTGAATCTCATTGTCACTTTTGTCTATCCCCATGTCGTTATGATCAATACCTTGTTTTGTTTTTTAATTCACTTTTTTCTATCTTTATTTTTGCTCAAAATCTGTTATTGAATTCGAAAGAAAACTTGGGTATATCAGAAACTTCGCCTGCAGTCGATGCAAAAACTGTCCTCAGCTATGTAGACCAGATCAAGCTAGAAATATACCATGCAAACCGATTCTCCCATTCATTGCGTAACATTACTACCGATTTGGCCCAAGTCATCTTTACTTAAACGGCCAGATTCTGTGAGTCTCTCCACTCCCCGTGTTGCCAGTTGCTTCCAATAGTTCGAATCAATACTTGCTGATTCTGTGATGGCAAACTGATAGCAGTACAATGCTTGTTTAGCATGAGATACTTGCCCAACCGCACTCCAAGCCTCATACATAACGCCCTGTCGGTATAGCGTCTTGATGTACTGGTAGGCCATCCTCGGGCAACTCTTACCAGGATGTTGCTCATGCCATCTGACAGCTTCTTGAAACAGATTGGAGGCCTCGTCAAAATTCTTCATGTCCTGGAGAACGAGAGCCAGAGAGACGCCAGCGTTGACACGCTTCCAAGAAAAGGTCCCATTCTCGTTGTCAGAGTCCGATAGCCCTTCGTATGCAAGCTTCAGCGCTTTGGCAGCCACCTCAAGGTCCTTGGCCTTGTGTTGAAAGATGCCGTAATTCTGAAGCGTCTGCAACGTTGCCGGGTGATTGGGCCTTAAATTCTCCCGTTGCCAATTCAGCGCCTCCTGAAAGGCAACTCTGGCTTCCTCGGGTTGGTCATTCAGGGCGAATGTATTCGCGAGCGCTGCAGTTGTCTCCACCGTGTAGTTATGTTGGCTGCCATGATGCCTCCTCCTTCCATCTCTGGCCTTTTCATACAGAGCTATTGCCTTATCCCATCTTTTCAGAAGCACATTTGCGGTTGCCATGTCGTGGATGATCGAAAATATTAAGCGCTTGCTTGTCCGGGGCATTGTGGAGGCGATTTTGTGGCAATGTTCAAGTATTTGTAACCCGGCTTCTGGTTCTTCCAGCCGAACAAGACCAAATCCAAAAGCATGCTCCAGAGCTAGCAAGGCATCTTGGTGGTTCTCTACGATGTCTTCAGACGTCCACCATGGCTTAGCGTTCATCTCGGCAATCTGGCGCTTAGTATAGCGACCATGAAGGTGTTGAATAGGTCCCAGTGAAAGAAGCGCCTGCGAGTCTCCCCCCTCGAAGCCGTTGACCAGCAGACGAAGCAAAGGTTCGAGACTTTCAAGTTGCTCCATCTCAATATGAGTCCAAGCTAAATTGGCCACTACTTCCAGAATCGTAGGCGAATCACACAGATCGCATGCAACTAGGACATTCAAGCCCTTGGTGAAGCAAGATTGCGCAAATTTGATTCCGCCGTCGAGTAGACTGCATAATCCCATGTTGTTGTATAGCTCAGCCGTTCGGCGAGGTGAAAGCTGAAACATTTCTGGGGTTATCTGTTGCGACAGGTCCTTGGCGTGCATCCGTATAAGTTCTGACTTGCCAGCCCTTTGCCCTGGCACATCCCTATTCTTATGGTGAACATAGCCGTAGAGCTGGAGCGTCGTTTTGCTGCTACCCTTCAACCGAAGTACAGACGCGATTCGCTCCAGATTATTCAGTGCTTCTTTATCAATGAACGGCGCCACTGGCATACTCATGAGGTGCTGGGCAAACCTTTCGGCGTGAGGAGCCAAGAGGTCTATGGCATTGCTGTAGCCGTCCTTGGAACTTCGCGGTGCCTTTTCCGCCAACAATTTCATTGCAGTTCCGATAAGCCGCGGGTTGCTTTCTGGGTTTTGAAGAACGTACTGTCTCAAAATTTCTGATAGTGAGAAACCGACTGATTGGTGATCAGATCTCATTTCGACTAATCCATGGACGACCAGCCGAGGAATAATGGACATGAAGAACTGAGACAAGTTTGGAACCTCTATAAACTCCAGAAACTCGTAAGTCAACGCACGGCTGTCGAATAGAGTGCACAAGGAGAGCAGATCGTTTGCTTCTGATCCAGGTCCCTTGCTGCCATACTCTAAAGTGAATATGCTGGTAATGTCAGTGGTGAATTGGGCCGGTAACCTGATCTTGCCATGCGCCCATTGCTTCTTGAATGCTGTCAAAGACTTATAAATCCACATGCTTGGTGCGGCTGCTCGAATCAGGCCTGGGTGATGATCCAAGTACACCAGGAATTGGCGGTGTTCTGTGTGGTGTTTGGAGATCAGCTGTGTGTACAATTTTGAGTTGATATTTATGACTTACCAGCATCTACTGTCAGATTGCGGCCCGGTATATTATCGACGAGTAATTGGATACTCGCATCAGGGGTCATTGCACCTAGTTTGACGCTTGGGTACCCTGCGCCTATTTGTGACGAGGATGACACCAGTACAATGAATCCTTGGTTCAGTCTCTGGAAAAGATCCGCGACCAAACTAAACTCTTTGATATGGTCGATGACCAAAAGCGAGCTGCCATTTCCATCCTTGTTGAGGAACGCACAGAAGTGCTCAATGTTTGCGGCGTGGGTTTTCCCTGCGCTCAGAAATCTGAGCAAGAATGCAGACCAAGTCTCACCTATTCTATTGATCTCCCGCCTCAGACTAACCCGAAATTGCTCGTTTGTCTGACCGTCGAGGTAAAAGACGTTGGTGAAAGCGTCCCGGTTCAACCTCGCATATCTTGTGACAAGTTGGGACTTGCCGATACCCGGTGGGCCGTGAATAGAGATGACTTGCTTCCCCGTTTGCGCAGGGTTAAGAAGAGTCGATATACTCTCCAGCTCTGATCCTCTGCCCAACAATGGTTCCATGGGAGGAAAATTGGGGCTCTCGGACGGTAAGCGAAAGGGAGGGCATTCCTCCACATGCCCTAATTCGCTGATCTCGAAAGTCGAATTACCTTCTCGGAATCCAGAGTTGGACCGAGAGATGGGGTTACTTGTATGCTCCGGCTGAAGGCCGCGGACCTCTTGAAGAGGTAAATCAAAGATCTGGCCCAATATGTTCTGAACGTTAGTCAAGTTTGGGTCGTGAATGCCTATAAACTTGACCATGCTGGAGTGGTCCTCATCTATCTGGAAGGTGAAGTGTCGCCGCTCAGGGATTCGCCATAATCCACGTGTCGCAGATTCTCGTTCTACCAGTTTCAAGCGCGGCGCTCCAGGTACTCTAGCAGACCACGTCCCGTCCGCCGGATTTTTCTGTACCCATAGTCTGTGAGTCACCTATATTCCAAACTGTTCGGACAGGATGTAGTTGGAGGGAACTTACGATAGGTATTAACGATTCCTTCGTTTCGTAGCCCCAGAAGAAAATCTTCTGGTTCAGTTTCTCTCCTCTTCGTGACACCGACTCGAACTGCTGCTCCAGGCGCTGAAGATAAGGGGCATTTTCTTTAAGTTGATCAATCAAGAAGTGATTGGGTCTTCCAATGGCGAGAGCAATAAGATGGCTGATGCTCATACCATGGTTGGGAACCCCGAAGAAGATACCACCCAATGTGGTCTCGAGGATGCTGGATTCGATGGCATCTGTGCTTTGAGAGAGGTAGATCAGGGCTTGCTTGAGTACAATTCCGCCCAGGCTGTGGCTCAGAAAAACCGTAGATCGTTTAGACCCAGATGAACGGTATAAGGCACGCAGCTGGTTTACCAGAGTGGTGGAGATGTCGTGTACTCGCTGGAAAGATATGGTGTTGCGTAACTCCGTGTCATAGCCATATAGCAATGTCCTTGCGTACGGATGGGATTTAGGCAGAGCATCCCTTATCCACATAAAATCCTTGTCACCGCCGTGTGGTTGCCAGGAACCGAATGGGTGGCTTCCTATCCCCGAAATGGCAATACAACTGGCGATGTCAGCGTCTGTCTTGTATAGGCAATCCGACTCGACTCACTCGTATTCCCAATCGTCCAGCGCAACGTCGTTGAGAGGGGTCCAGCCCAGAAAATGGTCGTCCAAGACGAGGCCGTCTTTCACCCGTGAAAAGGCTGCAAGAAAGTGATCTGGTGTTGAAGTAGTAGTGCTTTCTGTTGATGTGATTTTGCGGCGTTTAGCTGTGCTCCGTTGACCCATTTGCATGAGTGTGGCTACTTTGGTAGACATCGGAATGATCGCCGAAGCGAGAGAGCATATTTTGATGTCGTAATCGGCCAAGTAATCCCTTCCTCTGTATATGCGCTCAAGGACATCATCGTGACTCTTCACATCTGCAGGTATCCCCTGCAGACGATATACTTTGACTTTCTCACGGGAAGCCATGGTGCCACCGCAAGTAGCTGTGATAGAGCAAACAACTATGGTGCTGAGCCAAATCTCCTCATAGGATCGATTCGGATTCCATCGTCAATATAGACGAATATTGGATGGCCTGGTGTGGCCAAAGGCTGAAAACAATCGCGGTCAGGCTGAGAGGCACATACGATTACGATTCCAGCTGCGGTCGCGCCCTTTCCCGGAGTGGACTAGTGCACAAGGCAAGGCATACTGCGCGACATGGGGTAAGTTAAGACCTACGGCTTTCAGCAACTGTATTATCTCAAACACTTTTCTCACCTCATCTTAGCAGATCCGCGCTAAGAAATTCTCAGTCTATGATGAGTTCAGTTCCACCTTGTACAGTCCGATCCTATCGCGCTTCGGGTGCCTATAGAGAGAGGCAAATGGAACCTAAGCTTACACAAGGCAGCAAGACTCTTGTAATTGATGGAACAGGTCACACTGCTAGGATCTCAGCTCGAAATTGGAGGAGGCTCTTCAGGAAGCCTGCTATCCTGGTAGGCTTCATCGTTGGATTTTCATCTCTCATTTTGCTTGAGGGAGGTATATTATCCAGCCTCTTGACCCATACGACATTGATCCCTACTTGCCGTTACCGTAATAGCAACGATGTGCACGATGGTATCTGTCGAACACAATCCGCCATGAGTCCTGGAATGATAATTCCTCCTCAAAACCTGCAGTTTTCGCTTTGTCTAGGGAAAGGTGGTGGTCGAATGTGAAGTGTTCCATCCATCCTTCGAGGCCCGTATCAAGTCCAATCTCTTGAAGCTCGTAACCCTTTGCTTTATTGAGTTCCGCCACAGCGTTGGCGTGGCTACCCACGAATGAGACGGGCAGGACGAATGCTGGATCTGACTTTTCAAGGGGCGGGACGCCTACAAGATCGAAAAGAGAACAGATGTATGGCCAACGATCAGCCATGCTGACAGGCTTAGCAGCGTCTCCGATGTTGTAGAGCTCACTATTGCCAGCAACCTCCGGGTTCACACACAAATAAATGCTGAATTTCGCAAAGATATCCTGTCCACCGTCGTTAAACAATGTGTTATAGGATGGTGGCGGAGCGGGAAAGGGGACTTCTTTAGACTTGGCATCCGGGTGTCCCTGTTCCTGTAGGAACTTGTATACGGAGAGAAAGTTCATATAAATCCCAGGAAGATTGTACGGATTTTTGTGAGGGACAAAACCGAGCTGTCCATGAATCATTAGAAACATGATGGACCAAGATGAGACTTGATGGACTTTACAACTGGGCCGCACCTGATCTCAGCAAATTTCCACGACTTTCCTTGCTGGAGGCTGTCAAGCTCTTTGTGCAGCACATAGTAGAAGAGCTCGTCGTGCCAAGGGTGAGGGACGTCCGACATATCTTCCGTGAAAGGGGCTTCGAATGGCCGCCTCGGAACATGAATACCATAGCCCTTGACAAGGTTAGTTAGGGCGAAGCTGTCTCTTCAAACGAGCCTTACCTTCGTGCCAGTGGGTAGAATCACATACTGCAACTTGGGCGCAAGACTTTCTGCCGCCACAAAACCTCCCTGCAGCATGCCGAGGTTGATCTTCGACTCCGCTGTGAAGTCAGGATCAAATAGATAGGCTACTTGAGTTAGTTTTTCATTGGGGGTGCGAATACTTCTGGAAACGTACCAAAATAATAAATGTGAGTGACGGACTCGATGTCAGGGATACGACTTTTGAGTGTCTCTCTCACTTCTGCCATGGTTCCCGAGGTCAAATCGATGCCGTCCACGATTTGTAGAGATGGCTTTCCAGGTCCTCCGACTGGCCAGAACGCATTCTCTTCCCTCAAAGGCCGGTTGCATAGTGCAGTAACCTTGGTAAACGTTCCCTTCTCGGGGTAGTTCTTGAGGATCTGGTCTACTACAGACCAACCCAAGATGCCCGAGGCACCGAAAACGAGCGCGTGGTGAGCCATAGACAAGTATCCTACCAAAATAGAACGGGTTCCAGTAAAAGGAAAATGAGAGCATGATGGAACTGTGAAACCTCACGAAGGCAGCCCATATCGGCATCTTGTACATCCATGCCCTGCCATGCGACTGCTGCGGAGACACAAGCTTTGTGGACCTGGTTGCTATCCGGAATATGACGAACCAATCCTGGTGCCTGAAAGAGAGGAGGAAGGAAAAAGAACCATCCCGCTGGGATCAGCTGACCAATGAAGGTACCATAGATCTGCATCATTAATCTAGATGAACCAATAAATCAGGGATCTCCTAACCCAACGGCGAAAGAGGTCCGAGCATTTAGCAACGGGTCATATTGTACCATGTTCACACCCTTTGCCTCAACGGATATCATTATACCGCGATTAGGGGTCGCATGTAAATCCGTAGTACTGCACCCGATTGGGCGCCGCCAGTCCTAAACTCGTATGATGATGGCCTCGTTGTAACAATCGACTTCCCGAATGTTTGCTTATTGCGTGCGAAGCCCGTTTCACTGCAGGAAATAAGGGTTGAGATCTGCTTTGGTCCTCTCCAGGAAATATCGTTGCGATGTTGGCATTCATATCCTTAAGATGTGCTCTGGTCTCTTGTCAACCTTCCGGTAACTCCAGCAAGAATTTCAACAACATCACGCATCGAAGAAGTTCACAAGTTTCATCAAAATGCCGAACGCGGTAACGCAGATGCTCACCGAAGTGCGTACGGAATATGTTATTGGTACCGCCATCTTCGTGATCCGATTGTTTTGCAAATGGAAAACGAGAAAATGGTGGTGGGATGATGCATTCGCCGTGTCAGCCTGGGTCTGGTTCACTTTGCTGTACTCAATGGAAGAGTATCTCGGTAAGATGGACTCCCACTTATTAAGTGACTATCCTGCTCATATGTTGGTATCGCTTCAGTCTTGGTCGGCGCCCCTGCAGCGATGGACCAGGCCATGCGAGAATCGTTCACTGACGAGCAGCGCGAAAACTTGAGGAAAGGGGGCATCGCGATGTTCGCATCCTTCTATCTCCTCATACTCCTGACTTGGAGTTTCAAAGGCATGCTCATCGCCATGTTCCTCCGACTCACAGGTGAATTGGCGATCCATCGATATGTCAAGATCGTGGCCGGCGTCTCACTGACAACTTTGATTGCTGCACTATTGACTGAGACTCTCCATTGCCTTCCGATCGAACGAAACTGGCAGATTCTTCCTGACCCGGGGATCGAATGTTCTGCTGGTGTCAACACCAATATCGTCATAGCTGTTGGTAATGTCCTGTAAGTCTACACACCTAATGTGATCTTCAACAATTGCTGATTTTTAGTTTTCAGTACTGATGTGCTACTTCTTGCTGTACCTCCTATTATCATGAGGAACCTTAGGATGCCACTTTGGAGGTATGTGACTTCTGTACCGTAGCTTACGGGTAACGTTAGCCGCAATTCTGACCTCTTCATGTCTAACCAGGAAACTTCGCATCCTCTTCCTTCTTTCGCTTGGACTCTTCGTCATTGGAATGAGTCTTGCTCGCTGCATCATGACCGTTGGAAATCCGAAAACCGTCAACACCAGCTCCATGTGGGCTCAGCGAGAAGCAATTGTAACCATCTTCGCCGTGAACGCGCCGAGCCTCAACGTCCTATTCAAGCGCGAGACGTGGTCAACCCATCGCAGCAGTTCTGGCTACATCAGAGATACAAGTGGCAGCGACAAGAAAAAGCCGGCAAGATTTGAAGCATACACGATGACCAATTTTGAGACAAGTAGTAAAGGAAGTACGTCCGATCTTGTCAAACCCAACCGAGTCGCTGGTGTAGAGACACATATCAGCCGCAATGCCACCGAGGTGTAGGAAGTGTTTGATCAATTGATGCCTGGAATGAGGCATCGTTTGTTATCGTGCGAGTAGCAGTTCCTAAATTCATTACGCTTTACCCATTGACAATATGTACTTCCATATATAGGCCAACACAATGATGTTAGTTGCCGAGAAGCTCTGATGGTCATTGAACTCAACGGATGAAACGACCGCCTCACACCCAGTCTCAATCTTGCCTCATCGCGTTTATATGTGCAGAATCCCTGAACCGGAAGTGGCGCTCTAATGCCACATGTCAAATGCTCCGTCTCTATCCACTATTACGTACTGTACCTATTCGTTGACTCTGACGAGGCCGCTATCGTCCGCTCTCCCCCCTATCATATATCTATGGCGCATGTCCTTGGCAGCGACTTGGCTCAAGTCTTGATGCTCGTTGCTCTGTTGGTACATTTAAAATCGAAATGAGTACTTGATTAGAGGTATACCATTGAGCACATCAGGATCGATTCCGTGATGCAAGTATCATATCTTTGAACGCAACTCAGCACACCTGGCTCTCGCATAGGTGCGAGAGCGACGTCAGGTTATCCCGCAGCCGAACAAAGGAGCTTCAAGTCCAGCCGGTAGATCGCCCGGGCTGTATGAGACCAGGACAACGGCCAATGAGTGTTTGCCACAACAATCAGCAAAGTTCAGCCACCATTCAGCCCATCAGCTCTGCAACCTCTCCCGAAGGCAAGGCTATATCTACGAGACCCCTCATGATTGACCCTTTCATTCTTAGATTCAGACTCCATCGTGAGCGCACTCCAAGCAGCCCAAGATGCCATTACCGGCAGCACCTGTTATAGTATACGTTGCCGCCGGCAGTACCTGCATTACCTCATTCAGCGCGTGTGTTTGTGTATGGCGATCAACGAATGCCGCGGTCCAAACACTGAAGATCAACATAAAAAAGAACAAGGTATACTGCGCTTTGGCCCCGTGATAAAAACAAAAACATTACCGGGCTATGACCATACTGATCAACCTTTGGTAGATTGAAAACCTCGAGAACGCCTCGACCGATCTTCGTGAAGCGATCAACTCTCTCCTCGAAATCCTACCAACCAGCGAAGCTGGTCGAAGAACATCTGTCGAGTTTCGAAAGCGCCTGAGCGACGCAGCCGGATACTTGAGCAGCCGTATGCACCAAGCGGAAGCGCTACCTCAGAAAAAACAACACGAAGCCAGGTTGTCTGCATACAACGACAACATAGACACTCTGTTGATTATCAACAACGAGCTTGGCAGGGTTTTGGGCGCTGGATTGGGCAACAATGCCGTCTCGGTGTTCGCAGACCAAGCGCCTCTCACGCAGCAACAGCCCGAAAGGCAGAACTTGGTCATGAGTTATGATGATCCATTTGCTGATCCCCTGTCAAACCCGTGGTCAGACTCGTAAAAATAAAACAGCCCGCTTTTCATGAGTGTTAAGAATTGTTTGATATATTATAGTCTATAGTTTATAAGTTTGGTGATCGGGATTATTTGTTGGTGTATAGTACCAAGCCATGCAGATCTCTCATCTATTACATTACCAGTGCACAAGTCAACGAGCTGCGCGGCTCATAACGGTGTTCGTCTTCTCTCAGGATGGCACGATTTACTGGATCAATGCGGCCTCCTGAACTAGCTCTTGGTGCAGATTGCAAATTCCTGAGTTCAACAGGGTGACACCGTTTCGGCGGAGTGTAACTTGGGGCCAGGGGGTTCCACCAGACCCAGGCTGGCGGGCAGGCACCCACCCGCGACCGCCCGGCTGGCCGCCGAAGATCTACCCAGACGGTGGGTGGGACGGGCCAGATGGATGGATCCCAGCGAGCCTTCACTAAACCACACGTCATCCCTCCCAAGCTTCAGCCTCGTCCGGCACCGACATATTATAACCACAAACAGCACAGAACGCCCGCATCGGCATTCCATGAGCATCTAGCGCCCCGTGACTTCCTCGTTTACAGATGTAGCCATTCAGCACCTATTGGAAACAGCAGATTCCCCAGGCCGGAAGGGAGCCAGCATGATGTCCTCGACAAACGAGGAGGACCCTTTCCTCCAGGTCCAACAGTACGTCCCGGCGCATCCCCGTCCCCCCTTTGCAGCCCTTTCCGCCTACAGGTCCCGCTTCCATGGAACAAAGGCAGCTACCTATCCGATCCCTCGGGGACTGACTCGCAGAAACCTGACAGGGACGTCCTCGCCCAGCTCCAGCAGACCCGGCCGCTCTTCTCCTCCTACATCCGCATCCGGTCGCTGACGTCGGCGCCGTCCAACCCCGAGCTCGCCGCCGCGCGCTCCGACCTTGAGGGCGCCCTCGAGTCGCTCGCCGAGGACCTGGCCGACCTCGAGGCCGCCGTCAATGCCGTGCAATCCGACCCGGCCCAGTACGGCCTCAGCGCCGCCGAGCTCAAGCGCCGCCAGCGGCTGGTGCAGGAGGTCGGCGGCGAGGTCGAGGACATGCGGGAGGCGCTGTCGTCGCCAGGGCCCGGAGGCGGCAGCAGCAACGCGCGGGCGGCGCGCCAGGCGGCGTCGGGCGACCTGCCGGACCCGAACGCCTTCGCCATCGACGAGGACGGCCACGAGGGCGGCGGCGGCGGCGGCGACGACTACGCGGCCGAGTTCGAGCACCACCAGCAGCTGCACATGATGCGCGAGCAGGACGACATGCTGGACGCGACGTTTGTGACGGTCGGCAACATCCGGCGGCAGGCCGACGACATGGGCCGCGAGCTCGAGGAGCAGCGCGAGATGCTCGAGGTCGTCGACTCCCTGGCCGACCGCGTCCAGGGCCGCCTGGCCACGGGCATGCAGAAGATGGCCTACGTCGTGCGCAAGAACGAGGACCGCTGGAGCGGCTGCTGCATCGCCGTCCTGATCATGGTGCTGATCATCCTGCTCGTGCTGCTGCTGATCCTGTAAGGCCAGCGGACGATGATGACGGTGATGACGGGGAGGAGCCGTGCGAGCCTGCAGACCGCAGGCCCTTGGAAGTGTACAGATACGGGAAAGACGGGAAAGAAGAGCGGGAGGAGGAGGCTTGGTTCCAACTGCGTAATTAGAAGACATAGCATTGGCGCGTGGGTTCGGTTTCTTTTTCATTGCTTCATTTGTTCTTGTAGATATTTTTATGATGAGGGGCTAGCGGTCCATGGCTTTGCTCCGGATGCCCCGAAGAGAGGGTACGCGCCTACTAGTTTTCAAGATATGAAGTTCTCAGATGGACGGAGATGTGTGCCTGTCCCATAGGAGCAGCAATTTCTCTATGAAGTAAGACTTCCTGACGCTGTGCCAAATCGTGGCTCTGAAATCTCATCGCTTGCCTGAACGCCGCCAGCTGCTCTAGTGGCCGCGTTCATCTTTCCCATTCACCATGACACGTGGTACCTTTACGTATCTGCTCCCGGTCCCCAACCCTCCGTGGCCTGAATCTCACCTGAGATCGAGACCAAAATTCTTGATATACAACTGTGCCAGGATCTCCAGTGCGCTGACAGCGGGCGTTTTGGCGGGTGCTTTTGCAGGAAACTCCACCAAAGCCTTCCGCAGTGCCGCGATTGCCTGGTTGCCGTAGAAATTGATGAACTTCTCCTCATAGAGATTGATCATGGCACGTAGAACCGTGCACTGCGTATCCGAGATCTCAGCTGGAGGTGTGTTCAAGATCCTGGCCATGCTTGTCCAGTAATGGGAGGGGGGAAAGGGATTTGTGGTTTTAGCCTTGGAGAAGTCGCGTAGCGCAATCGATGCGTATCCCACGCCCAGCCCCTTCATCCGATCGACGTGTTGTTGTTCGGTCGCCCAGTGGCCTTCTTCTCTCCTCCAACCTAGGCGTGCCCTGCCCTGCTCAGTCTTTTCACTTCCCCTATAGCCAAAGAGAACGGGGCATGCTACCCGGAACTTGGCCATCAGAATATCAATCAGTGACTTGCCACGCCACAGAAAGTCTTTGGTAGAGAATATCTGCGCTGCAACGACGCCGATCGGGTCGGCTTTACTCGGCGTTGCTCCGCATTCGCTGTCGAACTGCTTGATCATGTCCTTGGCCAGAATATTCAGAAGGTATATGAAGAGTGAAGGGACCTCCCCGTTTATTGAGGCATCCTGTGCTGGTTCTCGCTTGTCGCAGACAAACTCGGATGGGTCCACCAAAGCACTTGGAGGTTGGCCACGTAAGGCTGCTGTAAGAGTGTTTCTTATCCGCTCAAGCTGGACCCGGTCAGTTGTGGGCTGTGCGCCAGTATAGAGTGCGAGAACATACCTGTTGCTTATTCGCTCCTCTCTCGCCTGTCAACTGCCCAATGGACTTGCGTATCTCCCGCCTCATGTCGCCCGCATTCTTCTTGAGGTCAATGTTGGTCTTCATCTGCTCTTTGATGCTGGCGCGTATCTTCTTCAAACTCTGGTGGATTTGAATATACCGGTCTACTGCTTGAGTTCGTTGGATTTGTGATGGGGCTGCGGCTGGCACTGTTGCATTCGTGGGAAGGCCATTGGCAGCTGGTGTAGGAGTAGCTTTTTGGAACGGGTTCGCTGCTGCTTTTGTAGGTTTTGCGAAGGGGTTCGTCGCTGGAGCTGCGGCTGGAGTGGTGGCTTTCAAGAAAGGATTCGATGGAGCCGGGGCTTGTTGAGTTGCTGAAGGTGTCTGCTGGAACGGAGACGCGCTCTTTGCAGCTGTCCCATTCGCTTGGCCCTGGGTCTCCGTAGCGGGCGAGGCCGACGAAGTCCCAAACAAGCTCGCCTTGGGAGGAACGAGCGCAGCTGGCTTGGCTGAAGCGCCAGGCCCAGATACCTCTGTATGTGTCCCGTCGGGGCCATTCCCGGTGGTAGGGGCAGGGACATCACTGGCCTCGGGCTTGGGCTTGGGTTTGGGCTCAACAGGAGGGAGCTTCTCGACTTTCTGCGCCTCGAGATCGCGGAGTCGCTTTTCCTCGTCTCGCAGCTTACGTTCCTGTTCCAAGCGCTCCCGCTCTATCCGCTGCCTCTCTAATATGCGTGACTCTTCATCCCGTAGCCGGAGCTGCTCAAGGCGTAGAGCGTGCGTCTCGATCGTCTTCAGGGCGGCAAGCCTGACCCGTTCGTGCTCGACCGCAGCAGCGGCCAGGGCTTGCTGGTGGCTCAATTCGTTGTTGCGATCGTCCGAGAGATAGCTTCCAATGTGGCGCCTCTCTGGGCTAGAGATTTGTGCACTCTTTCGAGCGGGTGAGGATTCCGCCATGTCTTGTTTGTTGCACTCGCGCTCATCTCATGATGATGTTTGGTGTGTTCTTGGTCGTAGAACGTGTTGCAACCTCGGGCGCTCTTCGATAACGGGGCGGGACCGGGATACAATAGTGCAGAGGTTCAAGCAGGAAAACAAGTAAGGGCAGTGTGGTGATCTATCGCGCGCCGAAAGAACCTCTGCTGGCAAGCGCGAGATGTCTGTCGTCGTCGAATGGATGTTTGGATGAAAGTTGGAGGCTGAAAGCTCGGATTGCATAGTTTCTGCCGGTTCCAGACTAGCTGGCCCGGTAGGGGTAGAAAAGCGCTGGTACAATTAACTCGTACCTGGGCTGTAGTCAATGCCTTTTCCGGCGGGCGGTCAAACCCCGCCAAAGATCAGATTTACTAGGTAACTAACTGCTGTAACTTATGTAGGTACCTTGAGTTACGCTATCTACAGTACTATGTGACAGTACTCCTGGGCATGCATAACTCGCAACAAGCTCCGCATACTCACCACAGACCTGGCAACTTACATACATGTCTACCTTGGAACGTACCTGGCCTCGGGAATCTAGTATGCTGATTAGAAACAACTTAAGGGCCTTGCAGTATGTGAATGACGATGTGGTTTGGCCTTCAGCCATTGCTCCTTCGATACCAACCAAAAACAGCTGTCTCGGTAACGGGGCAGAAGAGCAGGTAGACGAGAGTCGAATGTACACACAAGCTCTACAGGTCCTGTCTTGAATGCCTAACGTGCTCCATACGAGGGAGTCGCTCTGTACATCAGTTTGCAATCCTCCAGCTGCAGTGCTGCTGATTGAGCGGCTGCTTCATCGTTGACCCAGACCAAAAATATCGAGACAATGGCGTCCTTCGGCGTTCTTTGTTTGCTGAACTTTGGTTGGGTCCGGTCCCAAGAATAACTTGACTGTGGTACTTCGTGCCATCGGCATAATGATGAAACTTGGGGGTCTGGTTTGGGGGCTAGATTGGGGTCGGTTTGTTCTTTTTCTCCCCAGTGAAGAAACGATTGGCTGTCCCAGGCGCCGTCCCATTGGAACCGTACTGTACCCGTCAGCCACGGTGATCATCTCTTGAAAGTAAGATGACGGGCAACGATCGGCACGCCGATGGGCGAGAGAGCCTTGGATTTCCTAGGACAGCCATATCGCAGCATCGCGTGCCCTTTCGTCATCGTCATTTCGTTCAGTCTCTCAGATATTGCCCTTCATTGGCAATGTGGGACTTGGCCTTCGATTGATATGCCTTGCCTGCAGAGATTTTGGAATGAGGTGCTGTGATTTCAGCTTGACGACTCCACCGTCGTCGTTCGGTACTCAGGCAGACTAACATGGCGACTTTAGATGACGATGGGACGGCGCCGAATACCCTTGAATATCCAGTAAGAATGTAGGATTTTTGAAAGGCCTGCCTTCCTATCGATGTAACAAGATGCAGACGACCTTTTTACTTGAACAAACGTATCAAAGTGCCTGCTCCATTAGCCACAGAGCGAGGATGAGATATGTAGCCCGGTGTTGTTTCGTTGATATTTCAACGTTGTCCGGGTTGCTTGGTAGGTTCCGAGGTCCCCACTGAGCATCATATTGAGCTGAAGCTGGAAGGGTCTGCTCAGGCGAGACCTGGGACATGGTGGGAGTGGGCGAGGCTCGTAAAAAAACAGAGTCGAGGCCCACTGTAATCTACTCTTGTAATGTACCGATTTGCCAGACCAAGCTGCTGCACATGTGTTACCAAACTCTGACCCGACGGCCAGTAGTCAGTCAGTAGACCTGACTACTAACCGTCGTTAGGAGAGCATTCAGGGCAGTCTGGAATCGCACTTGCGCAGTTCTGACGGCTTCTCTGCGCACAGCAGGAAACCTTCATGTGGTCGGCAGCCGGGACAGCCTATCATTACCGTCATGATGGTGCATGACTCTGAAAAGACTTGCCACCACCCCTCTCTCTGATAACGAAGCTTTGCTGAGTTGCTGCACGCTGCAAGCTGGGCTCTGCGGCACACCACCCGCTACGACCTTATTACGTTAGCCCCCATTCGGACAGGGGTAGCTCTGGGAGGATCATCGCATCTCTCGGATGAGCAGCACACAGGCCACATGTCCACAATGCCGGACCAGGAGCCCGGGGGTGTTTGTTCGTGACTGCCCAGGCCGCCGCCCGCACGGGCGGAGGCTGAGAAGTGATAGAAACCAGCTGCCTATGGCATCGGGTGCACGTTTGTTTCAGTGAGAGCACGGCGAGGTAGCAGGCGTGTTGTCTCAACCCCGTGCGAGCTCCAGCAAGGGGGTGACGACGGCCCGCTAGTGTTTGGTTACCAACTGACACTAGAGGGGGAGCTAGCCTGGGCAAGGTTTAGCACACCTAGCGACCCCCAGCAGGCAGTAGGGGAGCAGCACCTAGCCTGCTAGCAGCAACGCCGCTAAAGGACCTGACCTCAGGTTGCGTGCGCGAGAGGGGCGCCTCACAGCGACCTGAACACCTGCACTCAACCATCCCCCGGGCCAGGCCCTTGGGGGGGGGGGGGAAGGGGGCTCTTGCTGCTACCCCGTATTGACTTAGTTAGGGCACTGTAGAGGAGCTGCCAGAGAGCTCCGAGTACTGCGTGGTGGGCGCTGCCGCCTCCATCCCATCCAATCCTGGACCCTGCCCTGCGGCCTTGGGCCTTGGGCTTTGGGGGGGACTCGCAACCTTGCTGCGCGCGCGGCGTCGGGACCTTGGACCTTGGACCTTGGACCTTGGGGCCTTGGGCTGCCTTGGGGCCATTGCTTCCACTTCCTACCTGGGCCTTGCCTCACCTCACCTCACCTCACCCACGCTCTCCTCCTCCCCATCATCGTCATCGCCAACTTCTCCCCCGTGCCAACCCATCTTCCCTCCTTCCTCCCCCCTTCCAACCCACAGCTCTGTTGACATTCCTTCTTCAAAGCTTCATCCGGGACGGACCATCTCGCCACGAGACCCAGACCACCATTCACATCTCTCATTCACCCTCCTTTTGTCTAGTCGCAAAAGCCCACGCAACGCAATCTTCACTCCAACCCAAAAAAGCCCCTACATGCTGTCTGACTGCCGGCAACCACCATATCTGCACACATAGACGCTCCAGCCAGCATCGATCGGTTCCTAGCCGCCTACACTGTTGGGACGGCCCCTTTTCTAGCTACAGCTATCTACCCACTTTCCCATTGATACATACTACTAGCACCTGACGTGCCATCACCCATCCCACTGCTCGCCCACCATGGAGCAGCAGAACCAACAACAGCAGCAGCAGCAGCAGCCGCCGCAGCCGCCTCCTGCGGGAGGCGTTCCTGGCCCGACCGGCCGTCGCTTGCACATTGCTCATCGTCGAAGCCCCTCGGAGCTGACGCCGTTGATGAGCATGTTTGCCAACCCTGGGAGTGAGTCCTTCCTTATCCCTCCTGCACAGATTTGCCCCCGTCGGGTGTTACCACACCCACGTATAGGCTGCCGCCGCAAGCTTGATTTGATTGTACAGTTTCCGAGTCACAGAACCCCACAGATGGCTAACGGCGTGTCCTTTCCTCTCTAGTGGAGCAACTTGCTATTCAGCAACAGATCGAGCTGCTACAGCAGCAGCAGCAGCAGATACAGGCTACGCAACAACAATATTTGAACATGGGCATGATGCCGCCTGGACAGCTGGGTCCCGGTGGCTTCAACCCCATGCAGCCGGGCATGGCCAACATGGCGGCGCAACAGGGCTTCCAGTTCCCCAACCAGCTTCCACAGCAACAGAACGTCCAAATGGGTGCCCCGAGCCAGCCCATGTCACACCGTCGTAATCAGTCGGCACTTCCCAACATGGGCATGGGCCCGCCTCCGGCTCCATCTTCGGGAGCATCTGGCTCTACCTTCGGCCAGTTCGATAACTCGCAGGCCCACGGCAGAGAGAACAACGCCCCTCGAGGAGGGCGAGGCGGCGGTTCTGGAGGCGGCCACCAGCGAAGACACTCCCTAGCACTGGCAGATGCCAAGAAGGCCGCTGAGATTGCTCAGCAGAAGCGCACTACATCCGGCTTCCAGTTTCCCGGGCCCGGAGCGTCTGATAGCGCTCCCGCCGAGGAGGCGAAGCCCGCTACCACCACTACCACCACCGCCGCCGCCGACACCCCTATCGCCCAAGGCTCATCCACCCGAGGTGGCCGGGGCGGCCATGGACGTAGCCAGAGCATGGCTGTTGGTGCAAACCCCAGAGGCCATGGCCGCGGAGGCGATTCGGTTTCCATCAATGCAGGTGGTCACCAAGGCAATGACTTCACCCGTGGTCGCGGTCATGCCAGAACCGGCTCACGTAACTTTGAGGGGAACTGGCGCAACCAGTCCCAGAACCAGGGTCAAGAACAGGCCGGCGGTCAGCAGCCCTTCCAGCCCGGCCACCGCTCTCGCGGCTCCGTGAACCAGTCGGTCTCGGGTATTGGTGCCTTCCAGTACCCTGGCCAGCCCCAGCTGATGCAGGTTCCCGGTCAGATGCCCATGATGCAGATGTACCCTGGCCAGCTCAACCCCATGCAGCTGAATCAGCTCCAGGCCCTGCAGGCGGCCCAGATGAACGGACAGCACCTGGTTGGCCTGCAAGGAAGCCAGCACGCGCCCCAGATGGGCGGTCAGCAGAACCAGCAGCAGCAGAGGAAGACACTCTTTACCCCGTATCTCCCTCAGGCCACCTTACCTGCCCTCCTAGGTGATGGCCAGCTTGTTTCTGGCATCCTACGTGTCAACAAGAAGAACCGAAGCGACGCCTATGTTTCTACATCTGACGGCCTTCTCGACGCTGATATTTTCATCTGTGGCAGCAAGGACCGGAACCGTGCCCTGGAGGGAGATCTGGTCGCCGTCGAGCTTCTGGACGTTGATGAAGTCTGGGGCCAGAAGCGCGAAAAAGAGGAGAAGAAGAAGCGAAAGGATATCACCGATACTCGTTCCGGGTCAACTGCCGGTAACGCTCAGTCCGGTGCTGGGAATGGAGATGATGCCAACGCTGGCGAGGGTGGCATCCGCCGTCGCGGCAGTCTGCGACAGCGACCCACGCAAAAGAAGAATGATGATGTTGAGGTCGAAGGCCAGAGCTTACTCCTTGTCGAGGAAGAGGAGATCAACGACGAGTCCAAGCCGCTCTACGCTGGACATATCGTCGCCGTTATTGAGCGAGTGGCCGGCCAAATGTTCTCGGGCACACTCGGCCTGCTGCGACCTAGTAGCCAGGCTACCAAGGAGAAGCAAGAAGCCGAGCGGGCAGCCAGAGATGGAGGTCGGCCCCAGGACAACAACCGACACCAGGACAAGCCCAAGATTGTCTGGTTTAAGCCGACGGATAAGCGTGTGCCACTGATCGCTATTCCCACCGAGCAGGCCCCGCGTGACTTTGTTGAAAAGCACCAGGAGTACGCTGATCGCATTTTCGTTGCGTGCATTAAGCGCTGGCCCATCACCTCGCTGCACCCCTTCGGAACATTGGTCGAGCAGCTTGGCCGTATGGGTGATCTTAAGGTGGAGACTGATGCATTGCTGCGCGACAACAACTTTTCATCCGATGAATTTTCCGAAGCTGTCCTCAGGAGCGTTGGGCTTCAAGACTGGTCAATCGCCAAGGAGGACGAGACTGCCATCAGCACTCGCCGAGACTTCCGGGACGTGACTACGTTCACCCTCGACCTGGCTGGTACTGGAGAGCTGGGAGATGCTGTCCATGTCAGGACCGAGTCTGATGGCAAGATCGAGATCGGCATTCACGTGCCGGATATCGCCCATTTCGTCAAGTCTAACTCACTTGTCGACCGCGAGGCCAAGAAGCGCGGTATGGCTGTCCACCTTGTGAACCGTACTTGCGCCTTGCTGCCACCACAGATCGCCAAAGAAGTCTGCACCTTGACCGCGGGTCAGGACCGGCTTACCGTCAGTGTAGTGTTCCGCGTCAACCCCCAGACTGGTGTTGTGGCGGAAGGCGACACCTGGGTTGGCAAGAGTATCATTAAGAGCGCTGCCAACGTCACGCTCAAGCAGATTGATGATGCTCTCTCCAATCAGTCCTTCAAGCACGATGTTATCCAAGCAAAGGACATCCAGATCCTCAATGTAAGATATATCTAGGCGGCCACTATCGTACTACATGCTAACTTGTTTCAGGCTGTTGCCCAAAAGTTCCGGGAAGCCCGCCTGGGTTCAGAAGATGAGCCTATCGCACCCCTGAGACTGCTCCACCAACTGGACGATGAGAACATTCCTATCCAGCACAATCTCTTCGACTCGACCCCTGGTACCGAACTCGTCGAAGAGTTGTTGCACAAGGCAAATGCTTACGTGGCCCAGCGCCTGGTGGAAGGCCTACCCGAAAAGGCGCTGCTTCGTCGTCAAGGCCCGCCCAATGCCCGCCGTCTCCAGACATTGGAGGATCGCATGAGAGCACTTGGATACGACTTTGACACTACCAGCAGTGGCTCTGTTCAGAACAGCCTTTTCAAGGTCGATGACAACGAGATCCGCAAGGGAATGGAGACGCTGTTGGTGAAGAGCATGAACCATGCCAAATATTACATTGCCGGCAAGACCAACAAGTCCCTGTGGCCCCACTACGCGCTCAACCAACCGCTTTACACCCACTTCACAGCACCTACCCGCCGCTACGCCGACATTGTTGTCCATCGTCAGCTCGAGGCTGTATTGTCCGAAGGGAAGGTGGAATTCGCTGACGATATTGAGAACCTGGTCAAGACTGTCGAATCTTGTAACACCAAGAAGGAGTCGGCCCAGAATGCTCAGGAGCAAAGTATTCACATAGAGTCTTGCAGAATCATGGACAAGAAGCGTCAGGAGGTCAATGGAGACTTGATCAGCGAAGGCATTGTCATCTGCGTGTACGAATCTGCCTTCGATGTCTTGATCCCAGAATGGGGCTTCGAGAAGCGAGTGCACTGTGATCAGTTGCCTCTGAAGAAGGCCGAGTTCAGGAAGGAGAAGCGGGTGCTGGAGCTTTACTGGGAGAAGGGCGTCCCAAGTTCTGCATATGTCCCTGAGGATGAACGCCCCAAGGCTCATCAGTCGCAGAGAATGTCGAATGCCATGGCTGCCGCCAGGCAGGCCGAGGAAGCCGACAGGGCGAAGAAGGAGCGCGAAGAGGCTGCTCGTAAGCAGACTGAGACTGGCACCATATCTACGGACGACGTTGATGCGTTGTTCGACGACGATGACGACAACGCTTCTGACGTTACTGAAGCCATGGCCGGTGCGTCACTGGCCGAGCGACCTACCCAGAGTGTCCCCGGCTCGCCGACTCGATCCACCTCAAACGCCGGTGTCCTTCACCGCACTAGGTCTGACTCGAAGGTGCCAATGGCCGAGGCAGTTGAGACTCGTCTGACCAACAAGGAGAAGTATCTGAAGCATTTCGCCTTGCGGGAAGAGGGTGGCGAGTATATCCAGGATGTCACCGAGATGACGAGAGTGCCCATTATTCTCAAGACGGATCTCTCGAAGAGCCCACCGTAAGTTTACCTCCCACCAGCCTAACCTACTTTCAAGACTAATAGCCTCGACAGGTGCCTCACCATCCGGTCCTTGAACCCGTACGCTCTGTAAGATATCCTCAACGGGGACTCGCGGAGATAGACACATTGCTCCCGAATAATCCTTGAGCTCTAATTTGACGGGGATGGGGAGGAAGGTTCTGTGCTCCGTGGTGAGTCAGGATCATAACCGGGAATAAAAGTAAGGTAGATTGTTAGTGCCATATTATCAGCCAAAGACCGGTTTCATATATGCACAGTGTGTTCATTTGTCAATATGTGAACCCAAAACAGCAACTAGTGCGAGTCGTTCTGCGTAAGATGCCCACAATTAGGAAGAGACGCGATGAAAGCTACGAAGCTGCGCATTCCTTTAGAGATGATGAAGAAAACCCCATGTATAAATGGGCCTCACGTCAGGGAACCAACTAAGACGGGTTACCAAATGTGTCTGCTCCTTAATTACTCAAGTTATGCCTTGGATGGCAAAATGCATGCAAGTTTCGTTCGGCCGAATGTTTTTTGGTCTTTTCTGGTTGATGGCATAGCTTTGCGATGGCCCAGAGACACAAGCTCATGCTCGGGATTTCTTATCATCGTGGCGAACCATCGGATCATTACAAACGACAATTGCTTCACTATGTTTGGAATTGGAGCCAGAGTCTAGAGCATATGATCTCCCGAGCCGCCGGGATCGTTTAGGAGACGGGACGAAGAGGATCTACCTCTCATCAGGCCGCGGGTTCCGAACGGTGTCCAAAAATCCCGAGCCAAGCAATGGGAACACCCACGGTACCCACGGCATGGACGGAGAATCTGAGACGCGACAGGGCAGCAGAGTTGGACGACAAGAAGAGAGGGGGCACGTGCGTGAGCCGCTATCGAAGGCCATGATGTGCAGGTCTTGCTACACCCGGCCGTCGATCCCGGCTGAAGTTCGAGTGAGCGACGACGGGGACGCGCAGCAGATCTGAGCCTGTTATGTGGCCTTTGCGTATACCCACTTGCGGCTCCCACTGGACGCAAGCAAGACTTGCTCGCAGCGGAGGGGTCATCCTGGGTTCGGGACGGGTGATGGCGAGGGCGAGGATTAAGCATAAGTAACCTCTCACATACCTACCTGGCTTACAACGTACCGATTGGAGAGAAAGACTCGATTGGCCCCGCTGGCTACACAGGGGCGCCGATAGCTCCACGTGTGTGACGTTTGGGCTTTCGGGATTATTTCAACGGGGGACTGAGTCGTTCGTAATTTCTAATTTCTACGATAAGAATACAGGCATATGAGTTGGACTGGGGAGTATTGTCGGTAATTCATGACTCAAATGTTTCTGCCCAAGGAGATGTTCTGGCACCGGTTGAGAGGTCAACTTGTCAGACGTGACCGCGAGCCTGTGTATAATAGTTTAGTAGTATAGTCACATTTGGCTCAGAGATACTGGGGCACGGAACCATGACAGCCTGTTTCTCTACGGAGCAGGACGTTACTAAGCGACCCCTTCTTTCGATGCCGCCGAGTGAGTGCGCTCGATATAATTCCTAACGGCCGGCCGCGATATGCAGGCTGGGCAGGAGATCACTCGCGATCCTGTCATCTTATTTGCCAAGGGAACGGAGATGTTTCCCCTAGGCTGAAGCCATGATCCCTTCCAATGTTGGGACATCTTGGGCCATCTTGGGTTGCATTGAAAATCCCCCTCCGTCTGAAGGTGTAGGGCAGAACCTGTAAACTGAGCGCCACGGCCACGGCCACGGCCACAGGAGGCAGCTTATTGCCTTTTTCGTGATGGCGACGAGCTGGGAAACGCAGGAGTCACACGCAGCGAGCATTCTGATTCGCCGAGGAGGGGGAAACAGGCCCAAGGAGGGTGTAAATGGCAACCTCCTGGTATCTCGCATCTCGCCATGGCGCCCCGTCCAAGAGTCCTGTGCGGCACGGGACAGGGAAACGAGCCTTGCTGTGGTGCCCAGGTTGTATGAGAAAAGAGCGTGGATGGCGAGCTGGCCGGCATAGCGAGCGCTCGGTTTCAGAGTGTCGGGTTGCAGTCCGTCCGTTGTGTGAGGCTCGGCTATGCGCCGGCGGGCAGGTCGCTGAAACGGGTTCTGACGCAGATGGCCTCCTGGGCGCCTCGGACCCCTACCGAAGCCCCCCCGGCGCGCCCCAGGTGCCCCAGGTGCCCCCTTCCCCTAGCCGGTTTAGCCTCGCTGGGGACAGGCTCAACCACTGACAGACAACCTTCGTCCCAAGTCTTTCGTCTAAGCTTAGTTGCCAGCGACTCTGCTCATTGGCTGCTCGGAAGCTTATTGTCCAAGACGTTTCGTTTCGCCCTCCGTTTTCGACATGCGCTCGGCTCCTGATTGGCCGCTCGCCACGCACCGCGCGCGGATTGGTGGTGCTGCTCGCCCGGCTCCCCTTCTACGGCTCTCGTCCCTGGCGGCCCCTTGGACGCCCGGCCTCGGATCCTGCTGGGAAAATGGCGACTGCGACGAGGGAAGCTCACCTTCCACTCCCACGATGCAGATCCACAAGGAACCGGATGCTGACAGGGGGGTTGTGGCCCTGGCCCTCTTGCCGGCCAACCCTCTTTCCGTGACCCGCATACTCTCTGGGAATCTCAAGATCCGTTTCTTGGCGGATGCCTTTATTGAGGACGTTTCCTCCTCCTTCCAGACGCGGTTTCTATCTTCCACTTCCCATCCCGTTCTATTTCGTGTCCAACTCCGAACCAAAAAGCGCTGGTCTGCTTCCTGGGATCAACGACTTTCATCACTCTCCTTCAACCCCAAGTTTAATTTCTTGTAATACCCCGGTGGGACCTTTTACCTAGAACAGCCAGGCTGGTCTTGCTTTCATTATACGACAATCTATCGCTCTTTATTAACAACAACCAAACTGTCGCTATTTCCCCCCATCCGGACATATTACGATCGAAGTGAGAAGAAAGAAAAGTCGTCAGGACAACTTTTAATATATCAAACGCCAAGATGCCTTCCATTACGAAAATTGCCGGTGTCGTCGCCGCCGTGGCCGCTGTTGCCAGTGCTCTCCCGGCCCAGCCCAAGTTCACCAGGGCGCAAGAGAAGATCTTCAATGTGGCAAAGCGTCAGACAGCTGCCGAGCAAGCACTGGGACTTACGGATGTCGATATTCTGCAATTGTTAGTAGTGCTTCCAGAAGCTGGCACTCGCTGTTTCACCTCACTAATACGTTCTACAGCGCCCTGACTCTCGAGTGGCTCGAGGCTACCTTCTACCAGCAAGGATTTGCCCAGTTCCCCGATGACCAGTTTGCCGCCCTCGGCCTGACCGCTCAGCAAATCTCGGATCTCAAGAACATCGGCCAGACGGAACAGGCCCACGTGCAGACGCTGCAGAGCTCGATCGCCCAGGCCGGCGTCAAGCCCGTCCAGCCCTGCACGTACAACTTCGGCTTCACGGACGCCAAGGGCATGGTTGCCACCGCCAGTGTGCTCGAGAACGTTGGTGTCTCCGCCTACCTAGGCGCCGCCCCTATCTTGGCCGACTCCAAAATCCTGGCTGCTGCCGGCTCCATCTTGACCGTCGAGGCCCGTCACCAGTCCTTCATCCGCGCCGCCAGCGGCACCGTTGCCGTTCCCCAGCCCTTCGACACCCCTCTGGGTCCCAAGGCCGTCTTCTCCCTCGCCGCCCCCTTCATCCAGTCGTGCCCGGCAGGCTCCAACCTGGCCCTCACTGCTTTCCCCACCTTGACCATGACCACTGCTGCCCCCGCGGCCGGCCAGGTCCTGGCCGCAGGCACCGGTATCCAGGTCCAGAGCACGGCCTCCGCTCAGGCAAAATTCTGTGGTTTCACCAACGCCAACGCCCCCGGTGGTACCGTCTTCGCTTCATTCACCGAGGGTGCCGGCTGCCAGCTTCCCCAGAACTTGGCCGGTATTACCTACATGACCCTCACGAGCGCCGCCCCGGCCACCGGTGTCATCTCGGACGACATCATCCTCGCCGGTCCCATGGTCCTCTCGCTATAAGCGCTCAGTCCCCGCAGCCGGATGAATCCCGGCCCCGGACCATCGAAGGACGGATATGAGGAGAATGCGGTAATGAAGGAGCCTGCGACTTCTGGCTTCCGGCCCGAACGGAGCGGAGCAGAGCGGAAACAGAAGAAGGGGAGGCCCGGCGCGCGCCTTCAACGGCACCACCGGCGGGGAACAACAGCACCGGTCTGGAACTTGGTCGGTAGCTCGCATAGTACCACCAGTTTTAGATTGATAATAGAAAGCCGCTGTTTAGTTCTGTCCTCTACTGCAGGTGTTGGGTGCGCATACTACTTCACTTCTTGCTACTTGTATATATCACATCTACTATAGCTACCTTTTTTTCTCTTTATATTGTTATAGTCCCCATATCGGCGCGAAGCCTACAGCAGAGGGGAGAACAGGAACGGCGGAAGATCGTTGGATCTACTTTGGTTTACTTATGTCAATTGATGGAAGGCAGCAGAGGCTGGCCACGAGGACTATACAGGCGATACCCCATAGGCAGAGGAGCCGAGAGAAGCTCTTCTCATAGCGTCTTAACAACTTGGAATAAAATTTCTAATCAGTTTCAAACATTCTTGCTCAAGTCCCGCTTTATGATGATAGACTTTGAAATTGACAAATGCGAGACGGAGAAAAGTCTCAAGGACGGGCGGGAGAGAAAGCCTCCGAGAAGGCCCAGAAATCCCCGGGGCTCCCTCCCAGCTACACCTGTCCTTGGCGTATGACGTGTTTGATGCTCGAAAGATCTCCATCATGCCCGGCTTGGCGCGGCTACTTCGGCCAAAACTTCTGCATATGGGATGACACATCAAACCTCCCAAGGGTCCCTCACATACGGGCAAGGCACTCGATATGGGTAGACACATATAGCAAGCGCACCCAGAGCCGCTTGGATTCTGAGTTGAGCTGCACAGCCCCTTACTTCACTTATAATATCGTGCCGTGCCGTGTGGCCTGGCAATGCGTTTTCTGGACGGCATAGCTGCTCACCGAAATGAGACTCACGGAGATGACAAAAGTGTGTCTGATTGAAGACATGGATACAAACCAAGGAGAAAAAACCGGCAGATGCTAGAAGATTCAGATACCCAGGTAAACATATGTAGCGCTCTCGAGGAAAGGGGCAGCTGGACGGCTTTGAGAAAGCTCAAACGAAGCGTTTGTGGTCCTATGACGACCTCTCCCACTCACAGTCAGTCGAATTTCATCGGCAACTGGCGAGTTGGTTTTCGGGGCGCTTTTCACCATAATGCTCTTTCGATGGTCTAGACAAAGTCAAGATTCGACATGAGAAATTGCCTATCTTCTCGTGGCACTGGGTGGGAAGATTTGCACATAAGTGCTATGCGCTGTTCACTTCTCGTAGGAAGAAAGCTTGCATGAGCTCTCAGTAGGAATGGTCAATATTGATTCTCCAGTGCAAAAGAGCCGAATGAGCTCACGTAGAAATATTTCAGTGTGCACTTCCGGTTCCTTGCCCTGCTTTACTGAAAGGGGATTCAATCGTTTGGAAAAATTGTGTCTATGTTGTCGCATTTCGACTTTCATCCAAAGGTCTACGAATCAAAGGTGACGAGTAGATCTTTGTGTCGCCGTAAGAACGTACAATCCTTCCAGTGGCCTCATTTTCACGCACGATCATTCTCTGCAAGTCTTTAAGTCCTCCGCAGACCTTGTCCGACATCCCATTGCTTAGGCCGTCTCCCAGTACGACAACTTTGGACATGCCGCCAATATGACCTCGGGGCTTTGATGCACGGCCCGTCCGTTTGTTCTTACCTTGGATGATCGCAACATTTTTGTGGTTGCCACCGCAACTTGCCGCGCTGTCACCTGGCTTAAAACCCACAGCATCTGACAATTAGGTGACACAAGCCCAACTTTGAGAACAGATTTTCCTTCACCACTGATAGGGTAAATACCCGGGGAACGTAACAGGCGTGACGGTAAATCATATCTGCCCGTAATGAGAATTTCCACGGTGGATTTTCTCATGACAACCCTCTTCTTCAACATTCAATGAGTGCGCACCTGGCTCTATGATGAATTTTGGTAAGATGATTGATTGCAATATGATCAAGAGCATATTACAGTGTTGTTCTGAGGTGATCTCCTCCCTTTATGGCGCCTAGAATCATGCCTGAACGCAAAGCTAACAACGAAGACTCGGCAAGGCACATATGATGCAGAATATGAAGGTCCCGAACAGGAACTCCATCGCGATTGCATGCTATCGATCACGATCTGCATGCGGTGTCTACGAAACCGGTACGGCCTCCACCAGCGGAATTCGACTCAGCATCTCTGGTAGCAGGAATAAATTTCTAGCCGAGTGCCAACAATGTATGTCTCTATCTGACATAGTTGTGAGCGAGTAGGGAGATCTCGCCCCGGAATCTCAAGTACTCCAGGTTATCATATTTTGTTCCTAAGGCTGGGACGGCTGCGAGTAATCATCGGAGAAACGGGCATAATACAAGCTGCAGCTACAAAAAAGTGGTATGTTCAATTCTACTCGACTACCAGGCCCGAAAATTGGCTATGATGAGAGACTGGGTACACCATCTGAAACTTCTATGTTGCAATATCCAACGAGACCTGCGCTGAGCCTTCATTCCTTACGAGACGCACCTTACCATGATTGTCATTAGCTACAGTGCTAACCATTTAACAGACCGAGAAGTGCAGCCAGCGAAAATGGCTAACATAGAAAAACCAGACATAGCTTGCTTGACCTGCTCTCCTTGTTGATTGCAGCCCTGGGATGGCTTGTGGACTGGGAAGCAAGCGACCGCCAAACTTGGCGGCAGAGACCGACACGTCGTCCAAGGCTGGGTGCCTTCCTTCGCTTATCATTCAGCCAATTAACATCCGAATCAATGGTGTACAAAGCGACTTTGCTCTTGTCTCCAGAGATAATCACTGCACATGAGAATAGCCAGTTCATAGAGGCAGCTACATAGCCTTCACTGCGAACCCGAAGCTAATATGATATTGGATTTCTTCCAAACCTTACTCAATGCAAGTGGGCAATATGCGGGTATCTCCATGGTCTCTAGAAAGCCTTTCTGCCCCTATTAATATGCTGCCATCAATCCTTCTTACCCCGAGCCTTCAACGCCACCATCTTGTCGTCCCATTTCTCCCACCCGGCCTGGCACAGATCTTCTTCTACAACCAGATCCCGCACTCTGAAGAACCTGGCGATCGGGTGGTCAATGGCCCAGGCCAACCACCCCGATTGCCGGACAGCCGCCGTAAGGATGAACCACGCGATTGCACTCACAGTTCCTGCGGCACACCCCACAACTACTTGCTTCTCGGTATGGTAGTTCAGGTATATCCTGCTCCAGGCAACTGCTCCGGCCATGCAGACTCCCACGACGCTCCAGAAAGCTCGTTCAGCCATGGTCATGGGTGTGTGATTTCTCCTCCGCCCCTGGTAGACTGGCTGATGTCTGAAGATCAAGAACAGGGCCAAACTGACAGCGAAGTAAGCCACAAACTGAGAGTGGCTGCTCGGCATCCCGTAGCCCTTCCCGTTCATTCGCCGTGGCCGCTCTTCCTTAATCAAACGCTTGAGGGCGAAATTCAGGGCTTCGCAGGCCAGCTGGCCGGCAAACATGAGGGCGATCTCGACCTCGCGAGTCGACCATATCAGCGTCGCGTAGACGACACAGAGCCCCTGGGGTACGAGGGCAAGCCAGGCGCAGAGGTAGGAGATCGGGTCGGTTGGATCCTGGAGGCGTCCGGGTTAGCGGGATGGACCGGACGTAGCAGAGTACTATCACATGGGGGAGGGCTAGACACCTACATAGTGAACATGGGTAAGCGACAGAGATGCCAGCGGAGTCGTGTCGTCCATTTTCGACGGGTTGCAGAGGCTGGGGCAGCAAAGGGGGGATGGCGAGGAGGAGATTGAGGAATGATGTCAGGGCCGGCTGCGGCGATGCATTGAGTTGTGGTCCTTCAGGTGCTGGGTACTGCTAAGTCCTCGAGGCCGTGTGGTCGAATTATACCAACTGCAATCGGAGTGTTGTAGCCGGCTGGACAAAGAAAAGGCGGTACCGCGACGTGCCTCGTGCCTCTTGTCGCTCGTGGAATCCAGGACCAACCGCGGTTGTTGGAGGCTCCGGTGCGGTTCGACACGAGACACGGAGCACCAAAAATTAGCGTCGCCGTTAACCCCGGAGCACTGCATTTCCCGCTGCCCCAGGTAGTTAAACTGCTAACCACAAGCCTGGACGTCTAGACGCTTCAGTTTGGCCGTCCGATGAGTTCCCCGCCCGATCAAGCAGCCTGGGTTCAGACTCACTCGCTCGCTCACTCACTCATGGCCCAGGTGACTGTCACGGTTCCATGATCGCTGGCCCATTCTCGCTTGCGTCGTATGCGCGTATGCTCCATGCACCTGCTCCTCCATTGCGGCCTGCGCTGTCAGTCTTACTAGTGACGTAGGATTGCGGCGTTCCCAATGTGTCGGGATCTCCAGTGCTTGGGTGCGGGCGGCAAAAGAGTCATCTAACGCGACATTGCCCCTCCAATCCAGGGTCTGGCCTGTGGGATTTTTTTCTTAGCTCCCGGCCCAGTCACTTGTTTGCGCCACCACGCCGATGACAAAGAGTTCACGACGACCTCAACCCTCACCCACATATACCTTGAACGACTCCCAGTTCTCATACGACCTTGCCAGGAGCCCACATCCTGCCAGAGGCGCTCTTTTGTACAAGAGATCGCCGTCAAGGGAAGCCGGAAGCAGCTAGCCATTTCAAGCGAGACCTGATCGGCGTGTACAATTCCACGGCAGGGGGCTGGTTACACATGAACATAATCGGCGTTTGATATGTGCTCATATCCACAACACATTATACCCATGACTCGGTAGCATTTATTGACGGCTATGGATGAGGAAGATGCTCGTGAGGTCGAGCTCTCGACCATCACCGCTATCTACCCGGAGGAACTCAGAGTCGATGAAAAGAACCCTTACGCCTTTACCATCGAGCTTCCTGTCAGCCTGGGGAAGCCTGTGGCGGTCAAGTTCCCGGCCGCCTCTGAGGCCGCAGTGCCCGTTACGCTTCAAGACAGCATACCAACAGGCCCCTCTGATGGCCTCCTGGTAGACTCACAAGAGCTATCCAATCTGCCGTCCCTGCAGATCCAGATATCCCTCCCAGAGGGCTATCCTCACAGCAAACCTCCATGCGTCCGAATATCGACCACGCCACCATGGCTACCAGAGAATGTCATCATCAAGCTTGAGGGAAATGCGGAGAAGCTATGGGAAGATATGGGACGGGATCAAGTCATCTTCACCTATGTCGATGATGTGCAGCAGTCCGTAGATGATGTGTTTGGCTTGGTTGGCATGGACAACACACTCGAGGTTGGGCCGGAGCACAAGATTGCCATATTAGATTATGACATAGAGGCAAAGCGCAAGGCGTTCCAGAAGAGCACATTCGATTGTGGTATTTGTCTAGGTAAGGATTACCCCTATCCTCTATAGTCATCCGCAGCTTTGCTGACCAGAACCATCCGCAGATCCAAAGAAGGGCTCAGTCTGCCACCGCATGCTTGACTGCGGACATGTATTCTGTAAACAATGCCTACAAGATTTTTACAATAATGCCATCACGGAAGGTGACGTCGCTTCAGTCCAATGTCTGGAGCCCAACTGCGCCAGCACTCGGGAGAAGGCAGCCCGGGCAACCACACCCGGGAGGAGAAGAAAACCAAAGACTTTCATCAGTCCTAGCGAGCTGCTGCAAATTCCTCTTGACCAAGACAAGGTCAAACGGTACGTGACATTGAAGCACAAGGCAGAGCTCGAGTCGGACAAGAATACGGTCTATTGTCCACGTTCATGGTGCCAAGGTGCAGCTCGGTCCAAGAAGCACAAAAAGCCTGAAGGCCTGGAGTTTGCGGAAGCCTCAGAGGATGAATCCGATCAAGAGGATACGGCTGGGGCCGTTGCGGGCGCGGACGGCAAGAAGACAAAAGAGCCAGCTAGCAAAGACCTGCTGGCCATCTGCGAAGACTGTGGCTTCGCCTTCTGCTCGCGGTGTGGTCAGTCCTGGCATGGCGAGTTCAAATATTGCATCCCAAAGGAGCGCAAAGACGAGATCACGGAAGAGGAGAAGGCGTCACTCGAATATCTCCAGATGCACACAACCCCCTGTCCCACCTGTGCCGCACCTTGCCAGAAGACTCAGGGTTGTAACCATATGAGGTGCTTCAGGTGCCAGACGCACTTCTGTTACCTGTGCAGCGCCTGGCTCAACCCCGAGAACCCTTACCAGCACTTCAACACCCAACCTTCAGGGGAAGTCAACAGTTGCTATATGAGGCTATGGGAACTCGAGGGCGGAGACGGAAATGATGTTGGCATGGCCTATCAAGGAGGACAGGCTATCCGTAATCCAAACATTCGGCCAGGTCAGTATGGAGAGCACTTGGAGATTGTACAGGGCGGTCGCGAGGACGAGGATAGCGATTCAGAGCTAGATGAAGAAGAGCAGGTCGGTAGGCCAGACGCTGCAGCAGCACCACGACCGCTGCAGGAACCCGTGCAGGGTCAACAGCCTGATAGGAGAGTTGCAATCGCCCGTGAAGGCCCGCTGGTTCTACGGATCGAGGGTAACGCTCCGCCGGGACGAGGTAGGCAGGCACACCGTCAACCTGCTGCTGCACCACCTGCACCTGCACCTGCACCTGCGCGTGGAGGGGGTCGACAGGCGGTGAACGGCGGCCAGCGCGGACGCGGGAGAGGAGCAAGAGGCAGAGCAGCAGCACCAGGCGGCGCATTTGCTGTTCGGCAAAACAACAACAATGGGGTGCAAGGGCAGCAGAACCAGAGGGCAAACAGGGACGGCCGCAACAACGGCCAGCCTGTGGAGCATGATGAGCCTCTTGGGCAGGCCCTGAACCAAGCCGACGAGGTCTGGGTTCGCCACTTTGTCCAGCTTGCGCTCAATGACCAAGAGCATTTGATTGAAGGAGACAGCGGCGATGAGGACGATTAAGGAAATACATCTGTTGTCTTTTTTGGTTCACGGCGGGGAACCTGATGCCCAAAGCAGTAACAGCAGTGACTTTGTAGACTCAGAAAGATTGCGTTCTAATGCCATTCGAGAGACAACCCCTCCCTTCTCACGTACTGCCCGGGCAAGCTTCTGCTGAATAACAACTCCCGACGGGGCGAAACCAGAGCGCCGTGGTGTTTGGTAGCGACTTAGCCCCTCCAATGTTGCATCGTCTCGATGTCCCTCCGCCGGTTCCCGGCATCTGTCACGGGGTCGGAATCAAACGAAGCCTGGCACGACAAGACCGAGCTCCCTTCAGGTTTAGGTACGATTACCAGGACCCTCGCGGAGAATTCTCTCGAATTGATCGGTCTCCTGTCACGTCGCAATTGTCCGGTGGCGTGACAGGTCCCGCTGCCCGTTCCAGAACTGGGTTCCTGGTTAAGCTCTGATGAGCGTCGTGAACCAGCTTCCTTGCTGAGTCCCCAGACGAACACACCACTTAACGGGGTGAGTACCTGATTCCCACAGGGAAGAACTTGAAGATCATATCGCAGCCGAGAAGAGAGGATCCCCGTGCTGCTCTCATATCCATGTGCGTAGTGCATACATTCTCGGGTCTAATCTGTCGTCAACCAAGGCTTTGTCAACTTTAACCTAAAAATAGTAAAAAAACGTTCTCTGAAGATGGAGTCTCAGTATAATGTCATCACATCGATCCCCACTGCATGAAAGTCGTCGAGACTATTGATATTCGGTGGATGTGTGCAAATGTCCGTAGTAGGTTATCCAATTGATCTCGAAGTCTTCGTCCCCAGCCGGCCGGAGCTCTCGGACAGGGGTTCCGAAATGATATCCCGTACGTGTTATGGACTATTGGGGGCTGTGTACAATATACTATGCCGCAACCAGACACGCATGAAGCCCAACCCTCATGTTTCTGATTAGAAGAACCCGTTATAATTGATGAGGTGTAAGGGAGTCCAGGAGCAGCCGGAGATTGTGACAGCGGCCCTGCCAAACAGTTCGGGATGCTGAGAGCCGCGCTCTCCCACCGGCGCTGCTACTACTTAGGCACGCTTGCTCTGTCGAGGGTCCCTGGAACCGCTCCACTCCAGAACAGGTCCTGAGGCTGCGAGGTCCGTGAGCTTGCAGTAGTCCAAGAAACTCTAGTATAGCCGCCCCGCTGTGGCATGAGGGTTCGTGATTGTAGCTGCAGAGGTACGGTACGTTTGCTCATGAGCAATTGTCCCTGTCTCTGTTATTGTTATGGCTTTCAATATAGCTGTTCTCCGTTCGCGGGTTCGTATCACGAGTCAAAGCTGCACCGCTGTGTGCTCGTGCACGTTCGGTTCGCACCTGTGCGTCAATTGAAGTGGGCTGGTTGGTAACGGGCTCCGTCGGTTTTCTTTGGTTCACATTACTGTACCTGATGCAGGAGCGTTGGCAGATTCGTGGTGACATTGGATCTACCGGCAACCATGAAGCCCTAGGAAGATTTTCTGATTGACAAGTAGTTACGTAGTACGGGGGTTCGTTTAGTGTCATGTAGAGGGCCTACGAAGACTTGGAGAGGAAATAAAAGTGGCAGTGGGCTCCCCTGGTGCCAGCTTGTTTCGCATGGATAGGGTCTGTCAAGGGCATCATCGACGAAGGGCCTATACACAGTTACGGCTAGACGCTTGGGCAGACATGACATGACTTGTGCAGTAGTCAGTTGGAGCAGAGCAGATCAGAGCCATAGATTTGTGGGCTAGGTGCATGCGATCGCCCGCTACCCAACACGTGGGAGATACTAATTGATGTGTCATCGCTCCGCTGGTAGAGTTCCACCGGAAGGCTCGCGTAAGTCAACAGGTGCGCCTGCTTGTGCAGATGAGAGAAGAGATGGATAGTTAAGATAGATAGAACAAATAGAGCTGTGGAGCAACCTGGCCGGAAGTTTGGCCGTTGACGAAAAACATGGAACTGAGGGGACAACCAAGAGAGCTCGCTCTGCTGCGGGTATGGGGAGGTCAGAACAAGACGGTGAAAGATTGCTGCGCAGTCTACTAGTGTGCTGTGCGATCTGGTCTAGCCGCGTAGGCGATGGACTCGATTGGAGGCATTCGCATCGAAAATTATCGCCGTGGGTAGACGTCCCGGTAGAGCAACGCAACCGAAAGGGAGTCAAGTAAGAAAGAACACAGAGGCACGCAGGGAAAGCACAGATCGGCGCAGCCGCACCTTGTTTCCCGGTGGTGTGTGTCGATTGGCCGCGGAGATTGGCCGGGTTAAAGTCGGTAGCGCATTCGGCCCTTCCAGGCTAAAAAAACTGAGGTGTGTATAGCACGCCCACAATATAGCCTTGTCATATGAACAAGCCTCGCTTGCCGACGGCTTGGCTTGCCATTCAATGGCCTTGGGACGAAAGAAACTTTTCAATACATTTGTCTATGAATAGTCTCGGAAATAGCTGCTGGAATGGCGGAGGAGAAAAACGTGGTCACGAGACGAGACGAGGCGCGAGGAGGGATCATACCTAGGTATGGTTATTGGCAATTACCCAAGTTGTTGAGGCCGGCATGTGAAAGAAACATGGCAGCAGGCATGCTAAGGGTACGGTATATTGCGGGGTAGAGCATTTGCCAGAAGGCAAGCCGTCCGTCTGATTGTGGGAGCTAAGCAGTTTTGACCTCGACGAGGGACGGCCAAGGCCGACGAGGAATGGGAGACTTCTCGACACGGTGCAAGTGGACTCGTCCGGGCTGAGCATCCTATTCGCAAGCCGACTCTTCGCTGTCCAGAGGCCGGCTCTGTCACGGGGCCAGCAAGATGCAGAATCTCGCTTGCAATTGCGGCACGGGACCTATGTAGTAGGCGAGGTAGGAGCTTCCATCTGTCTGGTGGAACTTCTAGAATATGGGTATCTTCCATGATGCCCGTTCGACGAACTTGGGATGGTGGCAGGAAGCTGGATAAAATGACCTTACCTAGATTGCCTGATATGAAGGGGCGTAAAGCTTCCCAGGGAATTGGAAGAACGTGGGGAGATTCTGCGGCACCTGAATGGTCTGGATGCGTTGGATCACAGTTGCGTCGAGGTTAAAGATAGATGGCTCAATCAATGGTGTTTCTTTAGTTAGAACATCGACCCTTGGTTGGAGCGGCTGCTGTTGGTGATGGCGACGCTGGACGCTCACTTGGGACGCTGGCTGCCGGGGAGAGTTTCGTCGGAACCAAGTACTGTCACTACACGGGGACGGCACTGCATGGGAAAACAAGCAGCCGCGGTGACAACACAGCCAGGTGCAGTAAGTTGGTGAGTGAGTCGTCACACGAGGCAATCGGATTTCCCAAATCACCACATCCAGCCTGGTCTGGTTCCTAGCCTAGGACGGACACTTAGTCATCAGGCCCATCCGCTCGAGCTGCACTACTAATGGAGATGGTCCAGTATAGTAGCCTCCTGCTGCGGTACATGGTGTTGATGGTTGGAGTGCTCCTAGCCCGGCGAGTTCTAGCTTGCTTTTCCCTCCCTGGACGTAGCTGTGACCAACCCTCAACGTCGTGTTCGGAGATATTCTTTATGTAGCTAAGGAGCTTGCCCGTCGATATCAGGCCCCCCCTGGAAGGTGGCTACCCATGCTCGAACTGCTACCATCGGGCCATCCAGCGCTGCTTGTACTCTGCCCCTGGACAGGTGTGGTAACAGCCATGAGAGCGGCGACGCGAGTAACGTTTAGATAATGCGGGAGGAGCCTTAAGGAGGGTCACTAGCCGCATCCTTTAGGGACGCCGTCGACGACTAGTGGACGCGCTCCCAAGCCCCAACTGCCTTGTTGGGGGCCTGGCACCGAACAGGAACAAAGGAACTGCGAGACGTAGGTCTTGGCCCCAGTGCTGCAGCTTCTCGAATGAGATTCGCGCCAACGTTCGTCCTCCTGCACCAACCTATCGGCAAGATGCATATCTTCAACGGGCCCGAGGTCTTCTCTGCTCTACTCCCAAAGCATCAAAACGTACGCCGGGCATGGCCCGCTATGTGATGCCGCTGCCGCTGCCGCTGTTGCTGCTGCTCCTGCTTGGCTGCCGCGCCCAAACCTGCTCCGCGATTGCGCATGGTGGGTTCTGGCTGCAACCTGCTTCAGTTTGCTCACACTGGTTGCTGGCCGCCATGTACGTCGACCGTTTCGACGAGCTAAGTATCTGTACCGCAGTACCTGATCAAGCCCCCCTTGTCGATTCCTGCTAGTCGCGAATGGAGCCGAGCACCCCTGGATTGCTTGGACTGCCTGCTTCACGGCTCTGCAAGCATGGGAGCCGGTCGCCCCCGCATCAGTTCTCCTCTACGGGCCCTTCGATAGGACGACGGCGTGCCTAGCTTCCCCTTCGTACTCGTGTGTCCCGTTTCCCCCAGAGGGCGACGACGAGCGGCGACAGTCCATAGGCGCTGATGACATACTAAGGTTCAAGCCTGCAGGTGCTTACCATGCACCATCGCTGCAGCTTGCCAGTGCAACCACACCGTAAGAAAAAGGCTGGCAACCGTTTCTGTCTCTTCTTCCCTTCCCCCTTCGCCAGACATGTCGTGACCCAAAAGCAACATTCCGCGAGCCGAGATCACCGAAATCTGCATCTCGGAATCGTGCCCGGCCCTGGACAGAGCTGATCCACAAAGCTCACGATGCCTTGCTCTGCGCTCAGGCAGGGCAATCTTCGAGGGCCTGTCCTGAATCATGATCCATCTCGTTTTGCAGGCCTTTGCTGTAACCGAGCTTCCAGCACGCTCCGGCGGAACAAGGCTTACCCTGCGTGCCCTGGTCTGCCCCTGACCCATGGGATTTGCGGAAGCTCTGCCACCTAGCGTTCGGAGGTCATGACCTCAATATCAAAAGCCACGACTCACGGCTTTCGAACTTGCAAATCCGAACGGTGAAGCTGGATAATCAAGGCCTTCGCTCAACCCCATCGACATGCATTCCGTACCTTGGAGTAATGGATTCAGAATATGACATAATACTTACACATGGCTACCAATAGAGCAGAATGCTTAACTACAGCATCCATGGACTCCTATCGGCATCTTGAGCCTTGTGGTTACCTGCAGTGTGATAGAGATTCGGCTTCGCACATGATTCGTCACTATAGACACCTACCGATGGTTATGTACATAGTACTATGTAGGAGGAGGACCCTGGATGATGCTATCCAGAATCCCGTAAAGGCTATCGACGTCCAGCCCGCCAGTGGCTGCTACGGAGGAAGAAAAGCATTCTCATTTCGGATCGGCAGAATCCAACCTTGCTTCATCGAGCTGCACCTTCCCCAGCACAGTCGGGGACCCTCGTACGAATTAGAGTCTCCCGGCCGGCGATGGTGCCTCAAAGTGGATTAGAAGAGCGGGTGGAGCCATGCAGGCTCCTTGCCGTACATACTTAGCTCAGGTTGGAGTGCGACAAGCATGGGCGATGCAAATGCAGTGCAATGTGCCTTTGTCAGTGATGAGCAACAACCGTAGGAACAAGAGGCTTGCGCTGGCCAATTGCACAAGGAACGAGATGCAAAACAACCGTTGCTGGGATGCTGCCGGTGTCGACACGACATGATGGACTGTGTATCACGATCAAGCAAGCGTTTCTGGTCTCTCGTCACAGGTGAGGCGCCAACTGCCCGTCCCGCAGGCCACACCACGACTGGCCTGACTGGTTCCGACTCCCCCGAGCCTTGCAATGCCCCTGACCAGAGAGGCAACGGGGAGCGTTCATCTGCCGCGATCTGGAATACATACCCTGCGCCAAGGCCCCCCTGCCTGCGATCTTCTCTCTGGCCCAACGTCATACAGAGGGACAAGATTTCGGTATCACATGCTTTGAGGTCGTTAAATGAGGGTCGACAGCTGTATTGTAGCCCCCAGACTGTTTTATACCAGAACATACGAGGTTTGTCATGGCGGCGATTAAGATGGTGCAGGTACGTACAGTATGGTGTCCATGTTGGCCCATCTGCTGCGCGATCTTGGATATCGCGGCACCTCGATGCAGATGCAACGCTGCTGAGGGCTTCGCTTGGGGTGGTACGAAGCAACAAGAAGGGTAATCGCTCTGAAGTACTGCACCGATTCGACGATGGCTGGTACGCTGGCCCTTCGCGAATGCGGATGGGCAAGCTCATACTATGGTAGCTCGCCCACCTAGCAGGGGGTCCCATTCTCTGGCTCAACTATATTAACCGCCACATATAGCCATTAATCCGGAAATCTTATGGTCATGGACCAGCTCTACTTCATTTCGGTTTGCACATCAATAGTACCTACATGTGGCTCCGGTGCCTATCGTTTTTCGTCCATCGTTATTGTCGGTTAGCAAGTGTACCTTGTGGCATATGAGCGATGTTATACGCAGATGCGAGCCGGATTGGCAGGGCGGGCCAAACCGCTGAATCTCATGAAGAAAGCTGGCGGCCAAGTTCATCGTTGCCATTGATAGCAAATTGGAACGCTACATGACAGTTGCGCCGCTTTCTCGCAGGCCCGCTGCACCGCTACTAGCTCCTTTCGCAGAACTCTCTAGTCGAAACTGACATCAGCAGGCCAGGATTCCAGACTGGCATCGAGCTATCGATGTTCAGGGCCAATCATGTGGGGTACTTTCAGCGCGAACCGGTAGGATCAGGGGGAATCAACGACTGCCGTTGACGGTTGAACCCACTAGAGCCACGACGACGAAGGTCCTTGGAGATCTCTTCGAGACACAAAATGTCCGGTGCTGCCCCTGACAAGCCCCCAGCAAAGGCCCACGCATTTTGTGGGGAGCGGCGCAGCGTTGACGACAAGTCGACCCTGAGTGAAGTGTACCACATCGCCGTCCTTACTTGAATGATATATCCCCAAGGCCAATCTCTTTGTCACGAACGACAATATTGGGATTATGCACCTTTTGGAGGCTGCCACGAGGCTCAAGCTGCCGATGGCGATTCACCCGGCGGAGGCCGGGGCAATGCACATTAATAGCAAAAGGTGGGTGGCCAGGAGTCAATCCCAAGATGATTTGCATCATGCCGCGTGAAGGCGGGCGGGCTCGACGTTCTATTTTAAACGGTGCGTCTAATTGTGTCTTCAGTCCGCCTGTAGACGCTGATGAATTGCGTAGGCGCAGTCTGCAGATCTACAACCATTGAAGCGGTATGCTCGCCAGCTCTCGGCCTGGCCCAAACCTCGCCAGGCATGCTGATGTATTCTGACTCCTGCCCTTCGGCATGCACAACATTTGACTATTGCTGACATGCCGGTAGAGGCAGGCCGCCTCTACCGGCTGCGATTCTCCTCTTCCCTGCCGCCCAATCAGAATGCCGATGACGAGGGCCTCGGCTGCTCTTGCGGCTGCTGCATGGAGGTGTGTCGACGTGCGCTTAACGAAAAGAGACGCCCTGCCACTTGATTTCGTAGACATCTGCTGCTTGATATGCACACCTGATGCCCTAACTATGGTATCGACTTCGTGGGTTCTCAGTTCTGTGGAGCTGCAGTTAGGCACTATGACCCAAATAGGGAATGTGATATAGAAACTGTGGGAGTGGCTCTGATCTAGTCCCTGCACATCAGCAAAGTCCTTCTCCCAGTACCGACATCATCCAACAGTTGCCTCTTCAGTCCACCGCGTTCTCGTAACAATCCTAGACAAGCAATGACGCAGAGTCGACATAGTTCTCTTTGCCCTGGGCTGGCGGGAAAAGTATCGCATTCATCGCATCAACTTTTGTTTACTTTACTTTGCATTGCAGACTGGATCTCTCATCTCGGTCGTCTTCTATCTCGAGAGGCAATCCCATGCCTAATGCCCGTGTTCGTCAGCCGAAATTTGTTTTAACTGGAGTTACCTATACCATTGTTCTTTAAAGGTACCCGGTTTAGGGTTTTAATCACCGGCACCTCTCACGTATATGACCACCACCCATTGTTATTGGCATGCCGTGATCCAGAACGTGCAAAACAAGCCCAGCAGCGTCTGGGGCAAAAAGAAACATGGGTGTGTTTCCCAAAACGCTCTTCGGTACAAAGTCGCTTTTCTCTCCTGCTCTCGAAGCGAGCTGACTAGGTCCCCGCCACACATCCTTGACCCCGGTCAAGGGCAATCTCGTGAACCGATTTTTGCGGCCAGGACCCCATGTCCTCACACCATTCCCGCTCTGGCTCTTCATCGGCGCGTGTGCCCAACGGCTTTCTAGAAAAATAGCGGGCCTTGAAAGGTCTCACTCGGAGGATTTTGCTAACTAATCAGAACGCCCAGGTTGGGGGCCAGGGCGGGCACCGGGTCGAGAAGGACCTTGTTTATGGGAGGGGCCTTGCGGGCCATCTCGAGTGACTCCAGGTTTAATCGCTCGATGGCCCGTACCTCCATTCAATCCATGTGCCCCCTACCTGCCTACTCCGTCCCTCCAATCCCACATGTTCAGAGCGTTGTGTGAGCATTTTCCGTTAGGTTCTTTGGCTCTTCACCCCCCCCTCCCCTTCCCCCCACTGCCTTGGCCGCGCGAGGGTTTGGTATGTACATAACTAGGTACAGTACTTCCGGGGCCCTGGTCAGTCGTCGGCAGAGCAAGAAGAGAACATCCCTCTGCTATGGGTGGGTTTGCCATGGATAATACATATGTATTGGGAGCCCATGTTGCTTCTCTACGGTGACCCTTGAGTAAAAAATAAACCTCGTTCAACTACGATCACCAAGATTTCCTGCTATATATCCCTACAGGCAGAGTAACAAAGAAGGCTCAAGTGCCAGATTCCGTACCTGACCCTTACCTTGGCGTTTCAACGAGGTGGAAGCCTTGATCTTCGACAGCGTCGTACCGAGATATCGAGGTGCCGAGACGACATAGGCCGTGTGCTGTGGTCACCCTGCTAGAGCGCTTGTCGCCTCCGCCTCCTTCCCAGTCTGGCCGTATGCACTGTGGTGAAAGCTTGCAGTGCGCGCGGTAGTCGTGTTTAGACCCCGAGACCTTTCCACTCACTAAACCTGGACCTGGCCCTGGCCCTGGCTTCCCTTCCATCTATCCTGCTCCGGGACCCTGGCCGTCAACGTTCATAAGCGTCCGCCAAGAATATCGTTTAGTGCCGTCCATTGCACATAACCAAGGCCCCTCCGACTCGCAATATCTAGCGTAGCCATCCATCCCCATACAAGTACAAACTTGCCTGCAACCTTATCTTCCAATATCACTTTATTCCGACCCCGTACCTTGAAGTGATCATCAAGTCTCTACTAGATCAGTTTGACCGATCAAAGCAGGAAGTCTCTGGGACTGAACCTCCTGTAGCGGTAGCTGGATCTAGGTTGACGACGGTGGCTTGAGATCACGAAGGCAACACCAGCAACCTCAAGGATTTCCAGAATCGACACCGGTTTTCTGGAGGAAAGGCATGCTCCCATGTCCGCCACAGCGACTCTAACGGCGACCATGGCAGACCTGAAGCCGGAGTCGGCACATGGAAGCCTTTGGTCCAACTATGCTGGCTCGACTGTCCCGTTGTCAACCCGTTTTCCAAATACCGTGGAGTCGTCTCTTCCTCATTCCTCGGCGGCGTCCTCGTTGCATCATCCAGCGCGAGCCAGGAGCAGTGTCGACCACTCGTATCCTTATCCAAGATACTCCCACGGAGAACCGGAAGCTTACAGCAGACACCCGCAACCGCCCTTGACGCAGCACCACAGCTATCCCAATCTGAAGCGATCGTATGATGAGAGCGAACACCCGCCGTACCAGGAAATTGTCCAGGACCTCCGGGACGATGGCTCCAAGCTGACAGTAAACCATGACCACAAACTGCTGTCGTTCCGCAGAGTCCAGGACAAGCACACCATCGTTGACCAGCATGGCCGCATGCAGCAGCTGGAATTATCAGCGCAACTCCATGGGATGTTCTTCCTCTCGGAAATGCCTTCCAATAGCAATGATGGCTCGATACTGCAACCCGAGCTGACGTGCTACCGGCGAAATCTTTTCCAGATTAGCGGTTCGCTCATCACGCCACGAGGCCAGTTGTCCATTCTGCGTGCAGAGACGGGGGAGCAGGTGCCCGTAAGCAACACCGAGGTTACAGTATCAGCAATCGAGTCAGTAGACGGCCATCCTGTCCGTCTGATCGTCATTCCCTGGAAGACGCCACCACCGAACGCCCCCGAAATACCCCAAGGCCCGGACCAGGAACCCCCTTCCTTGCCCTTGATTCCGTTCCAGGATGATGGCACAGAGACGGACGGAGACTACGCTGTATATCCAATCGGTTGGCGACGTCTCCAATTCAGAATGTAAGTGGAACCGAATGTTGCCAGGGGATCTAGTGCTGACCATGACGGAAGAGCGACTGCGAACAATGGACGGCGGAAGGAACTCCAGCAGCATTTTGTGGTGCACCTGAAGGTGATGGGAACTTTGACGGATGGGACAAAGGTGGTCCTGACTGAGGCCGCAACCGCACCCATCGTTGTTCGAGGGAGGAGCCCGAGAAACTTCCAGGCCAGGAAGGAAATCCCTCTACTGGGCTCGAGTGCAGGGTCGAGAGGACAGGCCCTCGTTGAGACGGGACTGGGTATTGTTGCAGGGCCGTTAACGGTGAAGCACCAGGATCCCAAGTTGCGAGGGTTGAACTTGGAATTGCCTAGAACAGCTTTCACGTTCAACGCTTCAAAGCTGCCGGGTAGCCCTATGACGATGAGATCCAAGTACGTCTTTTCTTTCGGAGAGCACCCAGTCAGGGGCTGCCAATATTACCGAAGCCAGGTTGAGCGTGTGGCTAACAAAACAATAGCTCTTATCCTACCTGGAATCCTTCGAATCAGCTTCCCGTATCACAGATGCCACAGTCTGCAACCGCTGCTTATGCGCCAACGAGCCTCTCTTCAGACGCTTATCAGAAGCTGCCCTTGTCAGGAACATCGACGTACACGACGGAACCACAGGAGATGCCGCTTCAGTCATCCATGCCGCCTGTCCAGGTATCCATGGTCGCCAACGAGCAGCAGCCTGCCATCAGAACACAGTACGCGTACGTCCAGAACACCACAGCTCCTCCGCAGCTCTCGATTCCTACGACGGCCATGAGCACCAGCTCTGATAACAGCCTCAGCGTCCCCCGGTACATGGACAGCTCTAGGCCCTCAAAGAGCCCACGACATGCCACCAACCAGTCCGTACATAGCACCGGCTCCATCACGAATAACGACACTTCTGAATACCGTTACGGATCGTCGTATGTGCCAGTCAACCACGGCAACCCTAGCGACATGGGCTCATCCTCCTACACCACGGGAGACGGTAGCTCAGCCGGTGGTCATGGGCAGCAGAGCTCGTCACGAGATTACTACCCACCTACCACGTCCTGGACGACAACCGCCAGCGAGCCGAGCGTAACCGCTTATCACCACGCTGACAGTCGGCCATACGGCTACTCGGATCAGTACAAGGCAGGCCATAATGTGCCACCCTTGAAGACGGAGCATAGTCACGCTCAGGCATCGTACGGTAGCTCAATGGGCCATTACAACTGGAGCCCGACGTAAAGGGATGTGATCATCATACCGCAATCCAGCGGGTATATGCCCTCGTGCACCATCGGGTAGAAAATATGTGCGGTGCTCTCCCTGTGTATGGAGTCAGCTCTTGCTGCGCAGCCAATCTTCAAACCTAATGTACTACTATATTTAATAATCGACAAACGACATACCGAAGAGGAGGATTTTAGAACGGGGTCGCCCAAGTCTTGACACAGGCAGACTGGGATTTTCCGAGGGATCGGAATGCCGCAAACATGGGGGAAAAAAGGCATCTTGGGTTGGGTTTTGGGGTTCTGGTCATAGGGGGCCCAATTTTTCGTTCATGTCGTCCAAGCCTTTTACTGTCAACATCTTGTACAATGCATAGCTGCACCCCTTCAACCCCCCCTTCGGCGCGATTCAAGGTCGGCAATGATACAGCAAGGCCACTGGGAGGGCGGCGTCCATCCGGAGTTGGATATATATTTTCTCTTCGCATTTCCGGTATCCCGTATCCTTTGACAGCCTGGAATGGATTGATATGGCGGAAGTTACTTGTCTCGGATATCGGTAAAGTCGGCAGGCAGTTCAGGGTAGCAAGTCAAAGTGTTGAAAACCGAGTTCCTCCCCAGCTTGACCGTCGTTCGAAGAGAAAAAAATTGTCGATTACATGGTCGATGAGTCCTAGTGAAGCTAATGGGGTCTGCTTCGTTTCGAGGACCTTTGGGCCCTTCTTTCTTCCTGCCATGACGCCAAGATACGCTCATCGTTGGGTTAGGGATGGTTTGGGATCCCGGATACCTGGTGTAGGAAGTTGGCGGGACGTAACGCCGACATGGGACGTAGGTAGCATCGCGGTGGCGTCGTGGTAATGGCGACACTGACAGGAAACAAACACGGGCGCTCCCGAAGGCTACACACAAACACACACACGGCTAGGTGCAGGTTACTAGACAGACATGTAGCAATCAAGACGGCTTCCACCTCTGAACTCCAGCCTAGCCCGGCTTATGGGCAAAGAGACCCTCAAATACTCGGTACAGATCGCAATTCTACTGAAACCGCTCAAAAATCAAAGACCCGGATGGAGCACGAGAGTTGGCGGTCTTTCCCCTTGTGAGCTATGCTTGCGAGAGCTATTGCTTCGCTCTAATGACGGCGCCCCACAGCCGCAGCGTCACTAGACACCGTTTGGGCGGCGGGAATCATCTAGGAGAATTAAATCTCCATGATCCCTGGCTGCCACGTCCGCCGCAAGGGACGGGGAGCAGGTTTGACAGGCAGCGAACAACGTGCCCAACGGGCGCCGGGTCTGAGGGCTGACAAAGGGGAAAGGATCGGTCCCCTCAGTAGTCTGGCCCCTGTGGCCCTCTGGCGCCGCCTATTGCCTGGCACCATGGCACGCTGGGTACTGCCACACCTCGAGGCTTGGCGCCCGCCCTGGCCGCGCCGCTAGCTCGCGTCTTGCCCGCCGCCGGCCTGGTGCCGATAAGCCTAATGGGACATCCACCGCGTTATCAACCCGGTTTTTTTCGCCCTCTGCGCCTCGGGGGGTCCTGCTCAATTGCCGCCACACAGACTGCCAGTGCAGGTGGGCGGCCATTTCCAACCCTCGTCAAAGCTCGTCTCCGTCGCACAACTGCAGCGCCCGGTCCGCCTCCAGTGTTCCATTGAATGCGGCTCTCGTCAGGGAGCCCCCCGGTTCTGTCCAAATTTGACCGGAATAATCCTGTCTGCCTGTCCGCCAGCTGTTTGCCCGGCAGATTGCGCTCTGGAAACTCTACACGTCTCCTCATCCCACAGTGGCACCAGCATCAGACATGTTCGAGGTCCCTGACGCAAAGCGGTCAGTTTCCCGGCACCGAAGGAATGATCTTCTCAGCTGACCACTTTGATGCAGGGTTCGGCGTGAAGACCTGTATGATGAGCTGGCGTCGGACAGCGACCGCGCCAGCCAGGATGAGGAGGCGGCCAGGGAGCTGCGAGGCAAGTTGAGTGCCCAGCTGTCCGGCCTGCTGGACTTTGACTTCTCCTCAGATGAAAGGGCGGCCCAGCCGGCCAAAGAAGCCAGGTCTCAGGAGCAGGCTGGAAATGGTAACGCTGGGGCCGAGGACGCAGACGCCGATGAACCTGATGAGCTTGCTTTTGAGTTCAGACTCTTCCGTGACGAGGCCCCCACCCACACCATTGTCATCGACCAGCATGACGACCAAAAAGCGTCGGGCGAAGGGGCATTTGTCGTCCCCAAACGGCCCATGTCCTATTATATGACCGAGGGGCCAGACAGTGATGCTTTGAACCGCATCAGGTCTGCCGCCGTAACACCTGATTTCATCTTCGCAGATGCGAAACGAAGACGGTGGGGGCTAGAGAAGCCGTGGCGAGTCACTCATATCACTATTACAGCGAAGGGTGGTCCCCAGGTGGAACCAAAAGAGGACGATCTCACAGAAGGCAAGAGGAAACGGCCAGGGAAGAAGAGGAGGATCATCCTGCGCACGCGGGCCAAGGCGAAGGCAGAAAAGGAGGAGGCCGCAAAGAAGACCCTCCTGGACAAGGAAGAACACCTGAAAGAGAAGAAGAAACGGCTCAACCGCGAGAAGAAGCTGAAGCGCAGGGCCAAGGAGAAGGAGAAGAAGGCTGCCACCAAGGGAGACGGCCAGAACGCGCCTACTGAGGCCGCACCCGACAGCACAGACGGTGATGATTCGGAGGCTTAGATGACTCGAATTCGTCGTCAGATGTGTGTGGTTCCTGCGATTCGGCTGGTATTAGCGACTGATCACGGACTGTGCCGTCCGCTGTTCGCGTTGACAACATGGCAGTGACTGAGTCTCCCCATTGCAAGTTGGCACCTTGGCGAAAGGCTGTCTGTCGCATTCTTCTGCAATCTTGATGGATGGGTGATCGGGTCGAGTTCGCGGCGCGGAACCAATTGTACTTATATCTTGATGGGATATGAAACCCCTGCGTAAAAACAGGCTTTATGTGGAGATGCAAGAATTGAGCTTGTGTGAACTGTAGTTCTTCGGTAACTGGAATGTGTATGACTTACAGCAGCGTTCAGTTTCTGTAGCGGCTTCAATCCATCTGGGCAGTTCGGGGGAAGAAGGCAGGCAGGCAGGAGAGGTGGGGTTTAAGTGGAGCAGATTGCCGGACAGACTTGTATACCCGTATACACGCGGACCGGCGAAGATAGTGCTCAACTTATCACTTGTGACTATAAGATGAATCAGATGAATCCAATGTACTTATGAATCTTCTTGGGGTTTCTTTAGCTATCTTATCATGGGTCTCCTCTGCAGACGCCATTATGCTACTATCTGGGTTCCTACATCCCACCTCTTCCATGGCAATTTGCCATCGCTTAAGCACAGACGTTCAATCGTTTCCCTCATCGGCCTACATGGCATAATCCCAGCTGGGCGGCTTCTCTTCGATGACAACCCCCCAGCTCACCGTCGCTTCTCCACCCGGCCTCTGTATCTGAAAGACCCCTTAGAGAAAAGAATCACAAAGGAAGTTATGGGAATCTCCTGGTCTTCTGTGCGACGCCTAAAGTATGCAAGTGAAAACATGTATGGAACAGCGCCTCCCCGGTCTTGACTCCAGTTGGTGGTGAAAAAAGGGCTTCTTCGTAAAGGAATGAAAAGAGTTAAAGAAAAAAAATATTGAAACAACGAAACGAACAAGTGGGTCAGGTATCACACAGGACCCCCGTAGAACGCCGATTTGTGGTGGACCGGACCGGATTGAGCTTTTGAGGCCATGCTTTCTCACACATCTTTCTGGTTCATCGTACAAATGCGCCCAGATATCTGGAAGTCCCAGTGACGAGCGACCAGACAATCTGTGTCAAGGCTACTGTCATGGGAAATGATGTCAAGGCGACAAGGATGAGTGTCGCCTCTGCATCAAGCAACTTTGAATTCATCAGATCCAGTCGCCTCTACGCTCAGCGACGTCTGAGTTGCCACGGTTGCGGGGCGGCGGCGGGCTGGTTGCTGTTTCTTGCACGGGCGTAGTGTTCGCCCGTTTCGGAACGTTGAAACCAACGCCCTTTGGGCTAGGGATCTTCTTGACGGGGCTTTCCGGCCTGTATACTTTGGAACTTAGGAGTCCTTCTTGCCCCTGAGAAGTGTCAACCTGTGCGAGGGTGACTGCGCGTGGTACAGGAGGCAGAGTCTTCATCCTTGCATCTTTTACTGGATCCCGTGAGCTGGTCGCGCTCACAGGGCTCTGAGGCTCTGATGGACTCGATGGCTCATTGCCTGTGAAGGCTGCAAGTGGGCTCGGTCTCAGTGCCTTCGGGCAATCCAGGTTATGTACTTGCTCGGCATTCTTGACCATTGTACTCGCCATTGGCGGCATATCGTCCACATTCGAGAAGCGCAAGCCGATCTGTACTGTGGCGGATGATGCCATTGATGAGTCTCTTCTGTGGCGGCCGCCTGTCTTGATTGACGGTGGCGGTTTTAAGGTCTCAAAGTCGAACGGATTTGTATTTGCGACGGGTGAGTATGTTGTCGCTGGGAGCATCGCCACCGAGGTAGTATTGGCTGCGTTGCTCGGAAATAACGAGTAGGATGTTGAAGGCCTCCGTTGGTGGATGCCTGCTGACGGCAAAGTCGAGGCTGGTAGCTGAGCCGGTTCCGGGGCTCGGGGTATTGTTGTGGATGGGAACACGCTATTTGACTTCGAGGGATTCGGGCTGAAGCCGTATGTGCGTAATGATTGATTTTCAACGGACTCCTCCTCTTTCTCGTAACGCACAAGGGACTCTTCACTTGCTGTCCTTCCAAGCTGACGAGGGCCACTGACTGGTTGCAGTACATGGCTGGAGAAGTCGTAGTCGTTTGAGTCGGCCTTGCGTATTTTATGTTTCAACTGCTGTCTTTCATACTCGGCCATCTTATCTCTGGGCCCAATCGTGGAGATGATGTTCGAACGGAAGAACAAGTGGAGCCCGCCGTTCATCAGCCCCGAGACATTGGCCACTACCGTCGCAATCATTGACAAGGTGAGACCGGCGTCCCCATCCATGTCACCAAGGTTGTTGAAGGTGAGATAAATGAAGAATGGTACCATGAGGATCTTTGCAGTGTTAGCAGGGCTGGCATAGCACAGATACTGATCCAAAAAGACTCACGTTGGAGAGAATGCCCACAGCAAGATAGTATACCATCCTTGACGCCTGAACCCTTTCACTCGTTTCAATCGTAGCGTGTCTTGTCAATTTCAAGAAGACAATCACAGCACATGCGATCAAGATAACAGAGATGGTCATGAACAGCGCGAACCCTCCTTCTGCCCACTTTGCGACGAACCAAAAAAGAGACGCAAAGCAGAAATCCGATGACGGGATGAAGAAGGCCACTAAACCCGTGATTACAAGTAGCATTTTCCAAACGGCCATGCATATTGCTACAGTCCACTTCCCTCTCGGAGGGAACGGCTTCGTTCGAAGTCCACGGAGCGCAATCTCGATGCCGAAAATAAGCTGCACGTAAGGAACGATGAAGATTGCTAATATGCCTGTTAGTTTCTCTTGCATGAGAGGGGCCCGTCTCTTCTCAGCTCACCTGGCCACATGAATTGGGATATTAATGAACAGCCCTTAGCGAAGAGGCCGTCCAACCCGCGAGACTGAGATACAGCGAATATGATTCCCTGTATCGTAATAGCCAGAGATAATATGAAAGGGTAGGTCTCGGCGCCTTTAACACAAGTGAAAATACTTGGTCTGGAACTCAAAGTCAGCGAGTGTTTTCTTTCATCGTGAAACTTAAGCGCCGATGCTTACTTGGCCTGTCCCCTTGTTCTATTCCTCTGTGCCCTCTGGTAGCAGTCGTACAGAATACCCAACGCTGCAGCGAACGCCGAAATGGTGTTGAACACAGACAGTATTATGGCGGACTGGCGAATCGATCGTGCGGCGAGGAATTTAAACTCATTGATGACCTGGAAGGTCGAGTTGCCATTGGCCGCCTGTAGAAACCCCCTCGAACTGTTCGTCATTGTTGTGTTCATGGCGAAGGCGCTGTTGGCTGAATAGCCACTCCCAATGCTGTGAAATCCAGACATCGTTGCTGACAATGGACTCTAGGCAATGGCGCCGTGCCTAAACCTGTCTTTCGGCCGTTGTCATTTAATCCATAAATGATATCGGGTGGCGGTTCGAAGTTTCTACCGTGATGTCGTGTGGGGGATAGGAGGAAGGAGGAAAGTAAGAGAAGGATGAGATGGAAAGAGAAGATGGATTGGCTACACCAGGAGCCGGATTACAGACCAGACGAAACAGACCCTGAACCTGCAGAATGGCAAAAGAAGAAGTCTACAGTTAGAAACGAAAGACACAGCAACCACTGGGGAGCTGGGATTAGCGGGTAGGAAGACTCGCACCAGGCCGCAGTCCTGTTCCAGAGGAGACGGAAGAAGATCAGAAGAACGCATGAAAGCCAGTGGTAAGAAGAGATCATATCACAGATATGCTGCACAAGGTGATCGCCGTGACCATGGCCCCCGCGCGGGCTCAGCAAGGTCCGGCGTCGCCATCGAGCTAGGCCTGCAGGCCACCAAGGGTCACAACCGTCATCTGGTGTGGTGGGCGGAGAACTCAAGCATGGGAACGACCAAGGGCCAGACGACGATTGGACACTGGTTTCGAGGGACCCAAAATAGCTATCACTGGTGCATCTGCTCGCCGTGGGACACAGCGAGATGCGAGTGGACACGGCAAAGGTACCCTCCAGACGACATGTCGCGCCATTCCGGCGAATGGGTACATGGCAACTCCCGTCACTGGTTCATGGGTGGCCGAATCCTGACGGAGTGGTGTCAGGTCTGCAAGCAAGAGGTGGCATAGTGGTGGTGAAGCGATCGCAGGCCTAGACAAAGCAAGTGTAGAGCATTGTGTGGCGATGGGGGTTGAGGCAGAGATGGAACACGTCCAGGTTTCGTCGTTGGACCAGGCTATGACAATAAGGTTGGGAGTTGAGCCCCAAGGGGCCGCGCTATACCGAGGACGGACTAGCACGCCCCGCGTCTGGACGGGGATCAAACGTCCCGGAGGCAGACCCTGGCTCCTGCACGCTCGTGCTGGGGTTCGAGCTGCCAGGGGATCAGCCGTCGCTATTGCCAAATGCGACTTTGCGCCAACCGCGCCGCTGGCTTGGGTGCGTTCTACGGTAGAGTCAACCGACGACAGCCACCAGATGCCGCCAGAATGCGTCGGGTCTGCAGCCACGACGGTGTCTCATCGGCACAGACGAGCCACCAGTCTGCAATAGAGGACGGCAAGTGACAGCGCAAATAGCCAAATCAAGACTTGATTGCCTCTGCGTCCAAGCAGTTGGCCGCGGCATAGTCATGCACCAAAGGTGACCGATACCTAGCGTACGAACGCAGGCTATCGTACTCCAGGTTGGACCCTCATCGACCGAGTGACATGCAAAACATGGGGGTTTCTGAGAGTTGCTGCACTGGCCTAGCCGGGTGCTGACCCACTACGACTACGTAGCTGTTTGGACGTGCTACACGTACGTGGAAAAGTCTGAGAACTGATCATCCTGGCCACTAACGTGGCAGAAATCTGTGTAAGACGAGTGAGGGAACCCTCAAGCTCAACGTACCTCCACGCCACCTCTTCCGAAAGAGCCTGGTGCTACGAGGTAGATGCTGGCCCGATGATGACAAGAAACAACGTAACCCCTGTTACAACCCAAGTGCTGGTTCGTCTGGTCCCACTGCAGCTGGTTTCTGAGGCATAAATGGTGTCAACAGCATGAAGTGCTCGGACTATACATCGTGAGGGGCAGCCGACTACCCTGGCAAGATGCGGAAGCGTTCAATTTTCAGATGACGGATCCGAGGGGAGGGCGATCAAGAACTCGATCTTCTCTTCGTGGTAATACAGTGGCAAGTTTGGTTGACTTCACTTACACCCTTGACGCTCCTCTTGTCAAAGGAATATACTCGAACGTGATCGTCAAATCATGATATCACTGGAGGTCGTAATAAATGGTCATCAGTGACCTGTAAGACCTTTCGAGACCTGTGTGGAGCGCTCAGCTGAGACCCTCGGGCCTAGGTTCTAGAAACATTTTCCACCTCCCTGCCCCGTAGAAGGTATGGACAGGGTGGGTATGTGTTGGTGGTCTGCCAACCCCCAACCCACACCTCAGAAGACTGTATGAGCCTTGTGGGCATAACGCCGGCGTTTGCGAGCCAATGAGCTCGCTCCATCGGCATAATGCTGGTCTCCAAGATAAGCAAAGCTATGAACAAGCTCGTCGGAGAATTGTGCCGTTCTAGGCCAACTCCCGCCCTGTCGTCGAGGCAAGTAGACTTACTCAGCCTCTCTCTCTCTCTCTATGGGGGATTCAGCTGCGCTAGTGAGCGCGAAGGTGGTAGGAAGCATGTCGATCCGAAATGAAGGGGCAGCGCAAACATGAGGACGAGCAAGAAAACTTGGCTTCTGGCCACGCGGTGCTAGTTCACTTATTCTCCGGGCCTATTGTTAATGAGGTTAACTCCATCTTCGAGGAATCCTGCCCCAGGGACCGTGGTTGCGTAGTGGAAATGAGGGATCAAGCCTCACATGCTCCTGCAGACCGGAATGGTCCTTGACAGTATTCCCGAAGTTGGCTGGCCGTATCAGCCGCTTGTAGGCAGCAAGTGGACTGAAAACTGATATATGTGTCTTACTCAGCTTCTGAGCACCAGAATTCATGCTTCCTAGCAGTGTGGCATCGCTTCGAGTGTAGTGCGAACAGAAAACAAAGCGCAACTTATGATGGAAGACATAACGGTGATGACCAGGGTGTTGATCATGCTTTGCATAACTCACCTTTCCGGGCTTCTTGGAGAATGCGGCGCCAAGCGTATTACATCAGTAACGGTGTGCCAACTTGCCAAGGGCCTTGCGGAACTAGCAGTAATAGTCCGCTGCCAAAAATTTAGTCCATTGTCAGAAAATGCTCCGCAAAAGCTTCCGGATCCGTACATGTGGGAACTTCCTATCAATACTCGGTTCGCTTTTACCGAGCCGTTGGGGAAAACGGGATGAAACAGCCACATTCGGTCTCAAGATCCGGTAGCAGATATATTGCGTGGCATCCCAGCCTCATCGCCCGTGAATGGAATATGTGGAAATGGAAGTTCGAACGAGAAACGACACAATCTTGAGACGGAAGAAGGCCAGAAGTGACTCTCATGCTTGACGTTGCGCAGCGAAAATTGCTGCGACTTTCGGGGTTGACGAAGCACCCTTTGCGAGTCTGAGACGCACCACAGAAAGACAGCATTTCAAACCCTCTTATTGTGTCTAGTGTAGTTGAAAAATGTTAATAGCCGTCCTTCGTCTAAATCTAAGTCGAGCTTGACGTAGAGTACAGAAGAACACATATCATGGTCGGCCGGTGCGTTGGACTATCAAGACATCATTTTACTAACGGTAGTATTGGCATTGTTCTTCAATATTTGAAACGGCTCTAAGTAACGAGTTCAACAGTGTTTTCTGCTTGTTGCCAGTTCCTGTGAGCAATACCATGATTACGGTGCCACAACATGCTCGGCTGATGGATCTCGCGGAATCATTGTGTGGCAAGAAGATTTGCAGTTACGTCTCAGGACCAACTCTTCCATGCTGGAGGTTGAGGCGAACCATCTGGATCGCACCCAGAATGATCAGTTGCGACTGGGCTGCCTTGAAGCTGGTGATCCCCAAGACGAGATGAACGGCTCTATTTGCAGAAGAGAAGTAACAGGTCGGAAGCAGGTGTTTCTGACTGGCAAAATCTGAGTTACCGAAATGATTATCATTTCAGCATGTAAAACCTGCTATGACATGATCATTGATCAACACAACCTGGGAATCGAGAACCCAACTGATCGTTCAACGGCTCGCACCAGCTTAAGAGTGAGCCACAACAGCTTTGCTAGTCATGCGCCACAAAGGAGGCGTGGCGCGGCACGGGGCTTCCAATCCGAGCACGTGCATTTGGACGCTAGCAGCGATTGTTCTCGCCAAACAACACACACCTCAGACAGTGAAGCCAAGGAGCAGAACAGATCCCACCGAATCCACCGCAACCAACCTCACCTTAGGGGTTTCCATCGAACTTGCCGTCGTTCCATCGTCGCGATGTCGCATGGCACCTTCAGGATGGAGAGATACCATCCGTTTCTGCTAGCGATGGGAGCGCTGACTGCCTCCAGGCAAAGCACACCTGGATGACGGTCGACACCGCCAACCTGCGTCCTATCTAATGTCACGATCCCACATCGCGCAGTTCTTTCTAGCACCTCGCCGCCGCTGCCAAACCGACCCGATCTCTCATAGTCTTGGAGTTATATTGACACTCCGCGTTGACGTGATGCCCTCCGCAATCCGAGGGTCGGTTCCTATCCAAAGTCGTCAGAGTTCGTTGTTCCTGGTCGTGGCCAGTGCGGTCGCATTACCAGCGAGCCTCGTACCCGATGCCCGAAGCCTCATTGAAGCCTGGCCCCCCTCGCCTCCCATTTTTTGTCCACGTTGGGGACGGTTTCGCTCCCGCGCGACGTCCAAGGTATACATGGGTTGAGCCCCCTGCTCTCGTGGTTGGGGATCATATTTTGAACTTACCATGCTCTACTGCGTGCACCAGTGTTGCTGTCGGCTCTCGACTTAAGAACGGCACGTTTCACTACTGGTTGCATGGACGGGTAGTTGTCTAGTTATTTGATTCGACTGCCAGCTCTCGCTCTGTATCCAGAAGCCAAGGGATGGTGGTTTTCCTGGCGTTGCAGGCACTCTCCCCTGGCTTTCGCCATACCCATCAGCGTTAACGGACATTCTGTGCAACTGTTCTCAATGCTAGGAAGGCTGGGAGGACCGCGCCATGTGACTCTATCGTCAAATTATGTCGGTCTCTTCCCATTTCTGCCCCTACCTTCCTGGTTGCTGGCTGGTTGCCGGCTGCGACTGACAGGGCCTTGATGTGGTGGGCTGGTGTCGCTGGCAGCTGATATGCGCATGCAACAAATGCGGGGAGTCACAACGCCTCTTCGCATCGCAGTCTGGCCATAACCAGGCACGCGCCGCTTTTGCATCGCTAACTGATAGCATCGCCATCAGGCATGAACATTCTCTTCTTTGAATCTTGGGACACACGATGAATCTGGGGGCGGCGGGACTGCCTACGTTAGGTGATCAAGCTGCTACGGCAAGTTTGCAAATGTGCATCAGGACGTCTACTGTCGGCACTGGCGGGCCCGCTACTCCGGTCTTACAAGTATCGGGGCAGATTCTCAAGTAAATGGGGCCATGAATAAGGGAAGGGAAAGCTGTCGGAGGATGGGCGTCTAGGAGATTCGTAGATAGCCTTTTTGTGTTGCTTTGCCTGACTTGCCTGCGCCTTTCGAACGACCCGAAAGCACGGTCGGCAGCGCTGCGAAGCCTGAAGGCCCAGGTCGCCGTGGATTTGGGCGCATCAATCGACCAAGGCGTGGCGAGGGCGCGGCGCGTCCAGCATATGATCATTGGAACGCGGGATGCTGATCCGATTTGGAGCAGTATCCTCTGGTCCTTTTTGCTGGTCGGCGGGAATGCACTCTGTGCCTGTGCCTGTGCCTGTGCCTGTGCCTGTGCCTGTGCCTGTGCCTGTGCCAGTGCCTGTGTGCGTGTGCTTATGCCTACGCCTGTGTAGGCTGGAGGCTCTGCGTCGACAGGCCACTGGCACCAGGCGCTGCCCGTGGCACTGAACACTGGCACTAGCAGGGGGAAAACGACGACCCACCACCGCGACGGAAGCTTGACGCTGCACCCTCAATCAGGCGCAAGGTCACTCATTACTCGCGAACATCGGCAGGGCCTCGTGGGCAACTGGAGAATCTCATCGCCGCCCTCTTTGTTCGGACCTGCCATCGACCGGATTCTGGGACTGGGAGAGCAGCCTCATCTGCCCGCTGCCCACTGGACTCTCATACCATTGGCCTACTGCATGGTGCAGTCGCCCCCATGTCCTTCGGCTAACTTGCCGTCTTCGTTGGCACTAAAAATCCAGTCCCGACTCCGTGCTGCACAAGATGGCCTACGCCGACAGAGACCACGAGCCTCGATCAGGCCACGCATATCACCGCCCAGCACACTCGCCACACGGCTCCCATCGCAGCCATTCGAGGCGAGCCTATGAGCGTGCTGGACATGGTGCCATGAACCGCGACGACGACGACCGCAGAGATCGAGGCAGATCGGATCGAGAGCCTCGAGGTCCGCCCAAGGCTTCCTACGACAGAAGACGCTCCTTATCGCCTGCACCAAGACGCGCGGAACCCCCGCGGGGGCGCGACTACCCACGCGACACACGGCGTGACGGCTTCCGGGAACGAGACGATATCCCCAAGGGGCCTCGACGTCGCTCGCGTTCGCCCACCTCGCCGGGCAAGAGACGGCGAAGCATCAGCCCCGGACCACCGTACCACGGCAGCAAGAAGTCGAAACGCGATCGGGAGCGGGACAAGCGACGGGTCAAGAAGGGCCGCCCCCGCCCGTCATCCCCATCCTACCGGCGCTCGCCCTCGCCTTATCGTGGACGTCACGCGTCCGACAGACCTGATCTGTTCGATTTCCCGCCTTCGAGGGCTCGCAGCCGCTCTCCGCGCCATCCCGGCGAGTCTCGTCTGGACAGAGGTGCATCGCCGCACGAACGCCCTCGTCGGGGGTCGCTGTTGAGTAATCGCTCGCGCTCACCACCACGGCCCGGGTCTCGCCATTCAGGACTCTCACGTGTTCATTCCCCCCACCCCCCTCAGCTTTCAGAAGCCGGGTCATACTCGCGGAGGTCCACGCCTGGCCCTGAAGCTCCGCTGTCTCATCGTCCTCACTCCCCGCAACCCGACCGGCCACCCCCTACAGGACCCTCTGCCTCTCGCAAGAAGCACCGCGAGGACCCTCGCCTGGCCAGACGGCCACAACCTTCGTCAGGCGCCAACAGCATCGAAGTCGGCATGAATAGAAGGGCAGACGTGCGAAGTAGTTACGGACCGAATACGTCTGCAGCTCTCCACCCCCCAGGCCGTTCCAGTGATCCTCGTCACAACTACTCGCCCTCTCATGCTACGTCTGGCTCATCCCATCATGGCTCACCAAGTGCACAATCACCCCATGGCGAGAGATCTCGAGGTGCTTCGGCATTCTCCCCGCAGCGTGGCTCTCACAGCGGACCTCAGTCCCAGTTCAATCAGTCGCCGCCGCACCCGCCGACAGGACCAAGTCGTGGCTTCTCAAGGGGGTCCTTCCGTGGTGGAAGCTTCAGTGCCCCTCGCGGCGGATCTCGGAACGGTGGATTCAACCCGCCCACAGGCCCATCTGCTGAGAGAGGCCACACGAGCCATAGCCATTCCGGGGAGAGCACACCTAATCACGGACCAAACCTTCAACAGCCTGAGACAGTTGCGCTCAGGAAGGATGATCCTGTCACCCAAGATCCCTCGCAACCCGAGAAGGAGCCGCCATTTGATGAATCAATGGCAAAGAGAATCGACGACCAAGATATCGACGAGCAAGTGCCTCAACCAAATCGTGCTCCGCCCAGTGGTCCTACGACAAGCACTCAGTCGGGTCCAAAATTCAGCTTCGCCTTCAAGGCTACATCCAAGACTCCAGTTGCCGCCCCTAAGCCGGAGATCTCGCAGAAATTCAGCGCCGCTCCTCCACGAAGAGACCCGCCGCAGCCTGCCGATGATCGTAGCAACAGAGACCGGGATTTGCCTAGGGATGTCCCAACTGGTCCAGCATCGTCTAGATCACGAAATGACCACGAATACCACAGCAGGCAACGAGCTCCCGAACACCCTAGGCCGGCGAGGCCTCCCAGAACGAGGAAAGTAATAAGGATAGAGAGGCGCCTGAAACCAAAGCCCACATTACCCGAGCACCTGGCCGCTTCCGAGTCTCCGTTCTATAGAAAGCCTGGCAATGACTCGGTGGTTGGATCTGGTACCTATGGTAAAGTCTTCAAGGGCGTACATGTTTACAGCGGACGACTTGTTGCCCTGAAGAAAATTCGCATGGAAGGAGAAAGAGATGGCTTTCCTGTCACTGCCGTGCGCGAAATCAAACTGCTCCAATCTCTGCGCCATGAGAATATTGTCTCCTTACAAGAAGTAATGGTTGAGAGGAACGATTGCTTCATGGTTTTCGAATACCTCTCGCATGATCTCACGGGTCTTCTCAACCACCCTTCCTTCAAGCTTGAACCCGACCAGAAGAAACACCTAGCCAAGCAGCTCTTTGAGGGCTTGGACTATCTGCACACCAGGGGCGTCCTTCACAGAGACATCAAGGCTGCCAACATTCTCGTGAGCAGCGACGGTATACTAAAACTTGCAGATTTTGGTCTGGCCCGGTTTTATGCCAAACACCATCAGAACGACTACACGAACCGTGTCATCACTATCTGGTACCGGTCTCCGGAGCTGCTTCTCGGCGAGACACGATACAGCGCTGCAGTTGACGTGTGGAGCGCTGCGTGTGTGATGGTTGAGATCTTTACCCGCCATGCTATCTTCCCCGGTGATGGCACGGAAATTAACCAGTTAGATAAGATCTATGCCATCCTCGGCACGCCAAACAAGGTGGAATGGCCTGATCTTGTCAAGATGGAGTGGTTCGAGCTCCTGAGGCCTGGCTATCGTAAACCGAACGTCTTCGCCGAGAAGTATATGGAGAAGGTTCCCGCAGCCGCGTTCGAACTCCTAGCCTCCATGTTTCAGTACGACCCTGTTCGGCGGCCCTCGGCTGCCCAAGCCCTTGAGCACCCTTACTTCACCACGGAGTACCCGCCACCCCGGCAAGCTACAGAGTAAGTGCCCTCCTGGTGACTGCGCAATGCACTTGTCACTAACGATGTATTCCCAGACTTGCGAATATCCAGGGTGACTGGCACGAGTTTGAGTCGAAAGCACTGCGCCGCGAAAAGGAGCGTCAGGAACGGGAGGCCCGCCGTGCTGCCAACTCAAAGGCGAAGGACGCAGAGAAGCCAGGAAAGGAAGTCGAGGTGCGAGATAAGGAGAGGAAACGGCCGGGCTCATCGCATGACGGACGTGACACTAAGCGACCCCATATCGAGGGTCGTCCATCATCGTCAGGAAAGCCCTCGGAGGGACCGTAGAGAGCAAGGGATGAGGTGCTTCACCCCCATGGCCATGGCCCTGAGGACGGGTCGGATGCATGCATGCATGGACTGGCATTAGCACCATCAGGATCATATGCCCTCACATCTTCTGATGGATTGGAGTCTAGGAATTATTTGATACCCCATTTCTGCATTTCTGCAGCCATCTCCGAAAATCACGTAGAAAATGCGTTTTAGATGGAAGCATGCTTTGCACGTGAATCAACGTGAAGAGATTTCGAAAACGTGAATGGAACGCTTTGGATGTGCTGCTCTGGACCACTGCCCAGAGGACTGAAGCATGGCAGGGAGTACAATCCGCATGAGGTGATGAAAATACTGGGTTGTCGCGTGCTAGCTCTGCATAGATACACCCGGCCAGACTACTGACATGCAGTATAGGATGCCATTATATTGAACGGGATTTGCGTGGATGCCTATCCCCCCTTTAGACCGAATAGCTACTGTACTATGGTAGGGATCTTAGATATGTACCTTGGGGGGGCGCGAGGGGCCCTTAGGTACCTTAGGCAGACTTTACAGTAGCACGGGTACCCAGCTGCCCAGGACCCCTTGCTAAACAGCACACCAGCCAGGCACGCTAATTGGCACCTACTATGCTAACTAGAGGCTTAGCTTGGCGCCAATCATCAGTGGGCGAGACCCGCGTTCGCGCCTTAGTTGGATCGAAGCCACCGAGCTATTCTGTAGGGAACTTCGAGTGTTGATTCCGCAGCTTCGAAAGGGGACAATCGGCCCAAGACTGGAGCGCGGGCGAAGTTGGTCGACGACCTGCAGCTACAAGAAGCCATTCCTGGAACCCCAAGGCGAGACGCCCCCGAACAACATGTGCTTCCGCCACCTGCGCCGCTAGATACCCATTTTTACCACATCCCCCCAGAACTTCATGCGCCGCCCTCGACAGCCATGAGCTCTCTGTGGCCATCGCGGGTCCCCAACGAGGACGCCGACGGCTCCAAGGCCGCCGGCCCCGGACCGGTAGATGTCGCTGATACAGGCGTGGCCGCCGAGAGTAGCGCCGTGCCGTCCGATGCTGCGTCGGCAGCAGCCGCAGCCGAATCCACGAACAGTACCACCGCCGCCGGTGCCCTCAACATGCAGCAGGCAGGGCAACGGCCGGGCCTGCAACGGAACCAAGTGCCTCCCAATCCACCGAGCCTGCCACCGCCGCCCCCGGGTAACCAGCCGCCTGACTCGCTGTCACTGGCCCAGCTGCGTAGGATCGTGTCCGAGTTCCCGAGAACCGAGGCCGCCGCCTACGACTTCACGTACGAGGACACCGGCCCTCACGCCGAGGAGATTGACGAGTGGTTCGTCTACCAGTTCTGGCAGTGGGTGCGCCTGAACGCCGCCCAGCGCGTGTTTGAGTCGCATTGGGAGCAGCATGTCGCGGCTGCGCTGGACGAGAAGTGGGCTGCGTGGGACGACGTCGACGGGGAGACCCGGATGAGGTTCTTGCGCAAGACCCTGCGCCTCGTCGACTCCGGAGATGATGTGCCGCGCATACAAGCTATTGGCACCATCATGTACCTCGTCTGTGGGCGCTGGGCTGATACGGCGGTTGTGCCGCCGTTTGCGGCCGATCGGGACCACGCACAGGTAAGAACTGTGGCCACGCCGGGGCAACTGCGAGCTATCACAGAGGGTATCACATTGCTGGCCGACGCGGACGGGCTGCCGGTTATATGGAGAGCATTACAGAATGCTTTCGAAATCCTATGGTAGGTCCTGGTTAACCCCTGCATCCATGAAATCCCACCGTGTTTTATGGGTCGCTCACGACGCCAAACAGGACTTCAGACACAACCCGTCCACCGCAGGAAGGCTCCCAGGAGGCACAGGACGAATTAATGAACTTGATGACGATCATGTACATGACGATACAGGTGGTTCTAGGCAACCGCCACGAGTTGCCCGGCGTCCACGACAAAATACGTGAGTGTCACTAGCCCATCGGGAGTCAACTGAGCTGATGTCTATAGTCCAACTTGATCCAAACATAGCCACCTTCATGCTAACAGTAGTCGCCAAGATCAGGTGGTTGGAAGGCGTTCCCACCTGCATGACCCAGGTTCGTGGCCCTAGAGTCACCCTGAGACAATTCATAGCTGACCCAGGATAGATTCTGTTGTTGCTGTGGAAGACCATCCTGATTGTCTTCGGTGGCATGCCTGATATCGAGGAAACAAAAAAGGCCCTGGCAGAAACAACGACTAATGAACATGAGAAGGATACCATTACAGCTTCACCCCTGGACTACCATGCTTTCAGGCAGGAAATATCGTCCAAATATCCTGCGTATGTACCACCGCAATTACCTCTACCCCTGGAGGCGGATGACACTTCCCTCTTGCCTCCTCTGCCCAACCATCCGACGAGAAACAATGGATCAAACGGCATCTTGCCTGGGCCGCCAAATGCGCAAAGTAGCGGTGCCTCGATTCTGCACCAGCCCGTCCATATAGCAACGCCAGCCCCATCTCCGCCACCTTCTCCGGGCGTAGGAGGTAAAGGAGGAAAAAAGCAAAACTATCAGACGAACCAAAATTTCCCCTTCATGTACCCACCTTTGGATGCGACTAGCAATAGTGCGGGCGGTAAAGGCGGCGCTGGTCTTCAAGATCTCCTTGTTGGGCGCAGATGGGAGGGGAGCGATATACCCGCTTCCATCCTCGAGGCGGGAGAGCTTTTTTCCAAACGAGTTCGGATGACGAGAGCAACACGCCAGCTTTGGGAAGAACGTGAGAGGTTCCTCAAATTCGAGAGAGGCTACGATGGGTCAGACGATGACATAGATGACCTTGACCTTGACGCGCTGTCTCTGGGTGACGAGGAGAACATTGATGAAGAGAAGCTCCTTGCCACTATTGAAAAGCGGATGGCTAAGTCTCAGGGGCCTGCCATTGACTTTGGCCCCGAACCTGATCGACTAAGTGGCGACATCAAACACCGCCTGCAAGTCATTGAAACATTCTACGTGAGTTGTACTTTCGGTTCAAGTTCCCGCCGCGGCACTGACTGAAAACAGGATACCACCTTACCTCAGCTCCAATCCGTTGTCATAGTCCTTATGAGGGTCGTGCTCGCGAATGTGACGGCGTTCATCACCATGCCTCAGCGTGGACAGGATGCTCAGGCGAACAATGCCCGCATGAATCAAGCCGGCATGCCCCTACTTCGCTCCCAAGATGGAACAAATGGTTCTGGCTCTCAGGACTCTCCTGATTTGTCCTTGGAAGATCTAGATCAGCTGAGGCAAAGAGAGCTGGAAGGCAAGGCGCTCTCAGGAGTAATTTTGCTGCTACTGAAATGGTTCAAGATCTCACGTATGTTCCCACGCTCCTTTGCCAATGCTTCTCAGACTAAGTTAGACTTCAGACGTGCTCAAATTTGAGTACTTGACGCAGTTGCTCCTGGACTCGAATTATATACCACTCATTCTGAAGTTCTTCGCCCATCAAGACGTCCAGCAAGTGGTCGACAGCAAAGCCGACCGCCTAGATCACAGGTGAGTTCTTGCTACTTGTTTTGGTTGAACCAAGCTAATCGTGTATAGCTTTTTTCAGTTCTGTAATCTTCGGGCCCGAGGTCCTGGCGATAAGCCTACGGAGCCAACGGAAATAGATGGACCAGAAGATGAGAGCGAAGACGAGGCTGCACCTCCCCCTATAAAACGGAGAAAGTCACCTCCGAGGCCACCACAGAACGCTTCGTCCAATGGGGAGCAGATATCTAACCCCGAGCCTCATCCCTCGGCTCGCCCTGAAGTTGACGAACTCGGTTATCCCTTGAACCCCTTGCCGAAAGAGCCGATCACGGACTTCTCGCGGCGCAACTTTTTCGCCTTGATCAATTACCTCCGCATCTTGCAGAAGATATGCAAAAACAAAGCTCACAGGAATCTGCTATTGGTGCAGTATAAGTCGTCTAACATCATTCGCAAGTCTCTCAAGGTGCCGCAGCCCGAGCTGCGCCTTTATACGCTCAAGCTCTTCAAGAATCAGGTCCCCTACTGTGGCCGTAAGTGGCGGCAGAGCAACATGCGTGTCATCACCGCAGTCTACCTGCACTGCCGGCCCGAGCTGCGCGACGAGTGGCTCGCGGGCAGTGACGTCGACGCCGAGGTCGAGGAAGCGCTGCCTCTGGAGCAGGCACTGCGGAGTCTGACCCACTGGTTCAATGTTCAGAGACACCCGGACCAGATGGCGGCCGAGGTCCGCGAGGCGCTCCAGGAGGAGCAGGACTTCTTCAAGAGGGAGCTGGACAAGCTCGAGTTCACCTGGCTCGACCCGACCATGGCCCAGGTCGAGGGCGGTATGGGCCCCGGTGTTGAGTGGGACGGTCAGGTTGCCATGGGACCTTGGGGTTAGAAACCCGAACCCAAAATGTCTGGCCACGAGCCAAAGGATCAATGAAGTACTGAGAGCGCAACTTTGTTGAACAGTACGACGGACAGTATTCAGTGCTCCGCCGGGAGGGGAGTTGGTGCGCCGTCTGGCTTCATTTAGCTCAATTGTGCCGAGTATTCTATGTGTGTGGGTCTGGGGTATAGAGCTTGAGAGCAAATTAAACGCATCAGACCGCCTCAATGACCTAGCCTGTTTGTCAAACATGGTGCTTCCACTTGAACCCCATGGACTTATGATGGTACTGTCAAGGCAAGAAGCGAACACCGTAATAGACAAAATGCTATTCTTGATGAAATATTGGTCTCTCACAAATGTTATACGGACGCATAACGGTCTTCAAATTTGACTAACTAGAAGCAATGAGACAAGCGAAGATACATCGAGATTAAAGTAAGATCAATACAAAGTATGCCCTGACCCGTTCCCAGACCAAATTCACGCAGCAGAGAAAAGATACGAGGGTTCTTGAGGGGCCCGACAAACAAGAGAAAATCCTCGTCCCCGGACTGTATGGGAAGGGACACTTACGAAAGCTCTCATGGTATCCCTACTGATAGTGCTAGGGCCGCAGCGATCGCGACCTGGTGAAGGAATCCGGGTCTGTGAAAGAACTGCTGTACGGACCTTCTTCATGCTACGGGCGGAACGATCCAAACTACTGAGAGTAGTAGACGTTCCTATGGTCTGAAGAGGAAAAGTGAAGTCTACTTACGTGTTAGCCTTTGTCTGCTTCGAACAGGATTCACCTCACTCTTACCCAAAGCTAAGATGCGCCTGACACATGAATGGTCCAGTCGGCGTGCCACCTGCTGCGCATCAATGACGTAAAAGTCACCGGCCTGGTATGCACCCAATGGGTTCCTCACATTCTCAAAAGTTTCCACAACACCTCCAAGGACAAATGCCTCCCAGGCTCTTCCGGATTCGCCCACGAGGGTTCCATCCGAAGAAAGGCTATTATATAGTGATGGGAGAACGTTCACTTCGGCAGGTGTGGATGGCCTATCATACCCAGTCAGATATCCGACGAAGAAGTGCATCAGCTCATGAGCTACTGTGACTGTCATGAGAAACATGAACTTCTCATAGGCGCCCAGATGAGCCTCATGGGGTTGTCGGTTTTGAGCTGCCCCCGCCCCTGCCCGAATTAAGTTCTGGATAATCTAGCAGAAAGAGAAAAGCAGTAGGAGGCATAGACGACAGTACTAAGAGCAGAGCATACCATCTTCGTCGCCAGCGCTTAATATCATGGGCCTTGCTAATGGTGCTGTATCAAATCTGCTGTATGTGCTGTATCACCTGACCCCACCCCCTAAAAATTAGTGGGAGTCCCCTGTAAGCCCCTTAAATCTACCACCACCACCACCCAACCTACGCACCTAATAAAAAAAACCGTAAAATCAGCCTGAAAACGCGAAAAACGCAATAAAATACTAATATAATAAAAGTGGTACGATTATATATAAAGTGGTTCGTACGTTAATTACGTAAAATAATATTATAATATTATATAATTATCTTTTAATCGTCGTTTTCCATCGTCGTTAAGTTTATAAAGTCTTTAATTTCGATACCGTTTTTTAATTATTTATTATTACGATTAATTATAATAATCGTTACGATTTATTAATCTCGTAAAGACCTCTTTCGGGAGGATTGTAAAGTAAAATTTTAAAAGGATTTATAATATTATAAATGGGTGAAAAAACGGCCTCCTTTATAACAATTTAAGTGAATTACACTTAATAAAATGGTATTAAAAAATCGGTCTATTCGCCGGGCCGGTGGTTTGGGCGCAGCTGATGGCAGCTGAGTTTTGGTAGTTTATAAGGGACTCCCACTAATTTTTAGGGGGTGGGGTCAGGTGATACAGCACATACAGCAGATTTGATACAGCACCATTAGCAAGGCCCAATATCATTAGTACTCTCCACTGTATCGCAGGGCTCTGTGGTGCACATGTCAAGAAGAGTCCCTGAAAAAGAGGCTGTGTTTAGGAAATTCCGCAATACTTATGACACTCTGATCGACTTCGCATTTCAAATTGGTTGAAGTATATTGCGTAGCTGCCAGCGAGTGGCTGATGAGCGAGCATCCTGGGGTAGGCTGTGGCTGGTCCCACCCTTCTTGTTGGTAGCGTGCTGGGCGACCCCAAGCTCCGAACTTCCATGCATCACAGCCTTCCTTCCTAACCCTTTCTTCTTACTCCATTCACAAGAACCATTGAAGCCCACTTATTTTGAGTAACATCTTGCTAACCTCAGGATGAAAATTCCAACGTCGATACCAACAGATGTTCTGGACCCTGAGCATCTTGACGCGCTCAACGACGCAATCCACAGGGTCCTCAACACTGATCTCGCGCTTGAAACATATGCCCAGGTCATTGATGGACTGCCACTTTGCGATGTCGCTTGGGATCGATATCAGCACAGACTGTATCGAGAGCATCCCATCAGCTCTCATGTGAATCTCTGCCCTGGCTCACTCGAAATGGCCAGTTCCATGAGGGATGATGTGGACTTGTCATCGCTGTCGTTTGACAACAGGGTAGGTGCCTCCCTATTAAACCCTAGCCGATATCAGACACCAAGAAGGAATTCTTAAACAACTAACATGCCATCTTGCAGCTACTGCAGTCCTATCAAGCCTCACCACCTGGTTCTCCCGCATTCGAACCACGGCTTCTGGAACTGGTTGCAGTGACCTTGCACCAAATCGCCGTTTACTTATTCAAGAAAAATGTACGCCTTCACGATCAGAATCATGCTCCAGGTAGTAGCCTCAGTATTGAAAACGCCACATCGTGGAAACGTGTGCCGACAGATGGCATAAGCCTCACGATTGAGCCGTGGCCAACTCTATTTACGCACCCAGCCTTTGCTGCGAATGAGCAGTACCCAGATGGAGTGGCTGATATGGTTGGATACTGGGCGGAAGATCGAATACTTGGAGGGGTTGTGTTGTTCGACCGTACCAAGGACTGGAGTGACGGGGCTGGTAGCAACGAGCCTAACGTTTTCTTCCAGTCGTCACGCCCAAGGCGCACATACCTGATATACCAACTGACCGACGACCAGCAGCAAAGCTTGCTGAACTTCCTGGTCCCCAGGCCGCTGTCCGGATTGCGAGAGGAAGCATCAAATCATGAGACTCCAGCTTCTGGTTGTCCCTTGCCGCTCTTATATTCAGCAGAGAACAAGGTGACTGTGGATCCGGAGTTCGCTGTTGTTAGTCATAAAGTCTACCGAGACGTGTGGGAGCGGTCTCCGCCAAGGCCGTATCAGAATCTGATTCGGGATCGCGACATTGTAGACATGCCAGGCGCTGGCGACGCCGAGTTGGCAAAGCTGAGGAAATTCGGTTTATAGCATGTCATAGCGGCTTTATCATGGTTTGTGTCAACAGCTCATGTTTTCGACCAGACTTCTTCAGACAAAAAATCACCGTGAGGAAACTGGGCCCAACACCAGTGTCCAACAAAGGCAAAGTCGCCACTTTTTTACATCAAGGAACGACCAGAAGCCTGGCCTAAACGTTCCTTTCTAACAACACGATCGGCAATGACAAGAGGAAACCATGACTTGGAGATACCTTGGGCTTGAAATGCAGCTGCCATGCGGCTTTTAATTCATGACTTATCCGTCAGGCTCGTTTCGGTTCAGAGGTCATTGTACTACAAGCGTGTGGTCATCAATCACTACTCAACGGTTGGATTTCACAGGACAGGCTGGGGCAAAAGACTATTTTATTCTGGATGATCTAATTCAAAGCACAAGATTCTGGACAAAGGAGATTGGTATCAGAGGAGCAAACATGAAAAGAAGCAGACTGCTTCTGAAATCCCGGCCTGGGAAGGTACACTCAGCCAGGTCATCACCATTTCCCTCCAAAAGTCCTTAACCCAGCGGCGATATCCATGGCCTTGTCTGTGCCAAGATGCCGCGACTTCATGAACCACATGATCAAACTGAAGGGTTTCCATGTGCCTACCTGTCCAGTGCCTCGCCCGGACCCGATCGAGATACCAAGCATTACCTTGCTAGGATCGAACTTGTACTCCTCGACCTGCCCGGACTTGAAGTATGAGTCGAACTGCTTCGCTAGGTGGCGGATCTGGTTCTCGAGCATGGCGGCCTGCTTTGCCTCCAGATTGCCGGCATCGCCTAGCACAAAGACGTTCTTGTACTTTGGGGCGCGGAGGTACTTGTCCTGCTGCAGCTGTCCCTGGGCATCGAGCATGTCGCGCGGCGCAAACTGGGTATTAAGAACCATTCCAAAGGTTGGGACGAATAGGTCCGTCTTGAGTGCCGTCTTGCTGCCATCCTTCTTGGTCAGCTCGAGCACCTGCTGCCCGCCGGCTTCCGTAACGTTCGTGATCTTGGCTCCGGCGATGAAGTTGACATTCAGCCTCTCTAGCTCGCTCTTAGCCGTTGACCTGGTGGACTCCATGACGCGCGACTCGAGCGGTAGAGTATCCGCCGAGATGATAGTCACGGCCTTGGTGCCCGCTTTGGCGTACACGGTGCCCAACTCTCCGGCAAACTCAACACCGGTCGTGCCAGCGCCACCCACGACAATGGATTTGGCGTCCTTGATTCCCTGTTGCAGTTTGGCGAGCGCAGCACGGGTCTGTTGACTTGTGCCAACGGTCTTCCAGGGCATCCCATCCTTCGAATCTGACCCCGTGGCGATGATGACGGTGTGGTAGTCAATGGAGCGCTTGGACCCGTCGTTGAGAGCCACCACGACCGAGTTGGAGTCGGGAGACAGGGTCTCAGCCTTGCCAGCGAGAAACTCAAACTTATCTGATGGGTACTTGGCGAAGAGCTTCGGTATGGACCACAGATACTTATCCTCGGAGAGCTGGCCTGGGACCACCGCGCGCACCGAGGCCAAATTCCAGTAGAACTCGTCACTCGGGTTAACCAAGATAACCCGCAGATCAGGGACGCTGGTAGTGGTGTGTGATAGGAGATAATGGGAGATGGGAAGGCCGGCCATACCGGCGCCGAGAACGACGACTGTTTTCGTCATGTTTGCGGATGTGATGTCTTCCTAAGGGCTTTGGGGATAAGGTATGGATGAGGTAGGAACTAGTCAAGGTTGCGAGTCTGGGTTGAGTGAAGTGCTTTGAATACTATAGGGTGAAGAGAGGCAGTGGTGCTCAGAATAAACAGAAACATTAGAGGGAATCGACTTCGATCATGGGCATATATATGTTAGGCGGCAGCATCAGTGTCTTTCTTACCGCTGGGGGCATCACGATACCCGCTGAGATGATTTCTCAGTGTTGCACGAATCGACTTACCAAGCCTCAGCTGCGCAATCTAGCAATGCCCGAGACGGCATAATGTTCGCGTAAGGAGAGCGTGCTGTGCGTATGGTATCGGAGACATTTTTAGGGGTTATTACATTTTCGAGCCAAATTGCGATAATACAGTCGGTAGATGAGTTGACTGAATCAGCACCCGCGCGGGTCAATTGATAAATCCTCAATATGCTGAGCGGCACGGAAGCTGATTGGGCGGACCCTCCTTGGTCCCTGATCCACAAGGCAGGGCGAACCGAAGGAGGCAGGGCGAGACGAGCTTTTGTGGCATGTGCACTGCTTGTTAATCATTATGAGTTCCTACATAGACGGATCTGGCGACTTCTACGACAAAACACGAACATGCAAAACAATTTTACTCTGCCGTCGCAACTTTTAGACTTTTAAATCAACAACATGAACTCAAGCAACTCACTCCAGGCTCTGCACCCGGCATACGCCGCCTCGTTTGGCTGTGTTCTGCGCCAGTCTGACCACGAATGATGTACCATGCACTTGTGGGCACCATGTCTGCTAACGTCACGATATATCCGCTACAACACAAGGGATAAGGGAGCATTAAATAACTACGGCTTTGAGGGCCGGATTCCGAACGAATACTTGCAGAAGATTAATTGTGCGTAAATGACTTCATGATACCACCGCGTGGTTCGTTGAGGTTGTCGGCGTACTATCAACCCAGACCTTCGTCGTACCCTCCAGCTGATTTTGCGACCGGCTTTTCTAGTCAATTCATAGACAGAAAACACTGATGTCAGAATAGCTGAAAGGAGGTGTCACAGCTGATTTTATCATTTACAACCGATTACAGAATCAAGAGAGCAGCGCCAGCAACAGTAGCTCCCAAGAGCAACGAGTTCGTCTTTTGTAGGACAGCCGACCCTCGAATCGGTGCCGTCGTCTGATTTGGCCCGTTCGTGGTGCCGGTACCCCGAGCACTCCCACTTCCACCCGTGGAGTTCCCAGTGGCAACGTTTTGAACAGGTCCCGGGTTCGTTACATTGAAGAAGTTGCCCGCCACAATCTTGTTAGCCAAGCCAGCCTTGGTCAACACTTGCTCAGCGTTGAAGCCTTGACGGCTTTGCGCCGCCTGCATGAGAACGCTCATGCTCTCTTGCGAAGCTGCCGAGGTGTCTATCAAGAGTTCGGTGTATCGGTGCGACAGAGGAACACGTGCCGGGGGGCTCGGACCGAAATAAGACGCAGCTGCGGCAACAGCACCGGGCATCTGCAATGCGAAGGCGTTGCTTCTTCCAGCTGTTGTGTTCAGGAGGGTTGCCGAACTGCTCTGTGTCAGGCCTGTCTGCATCCAGTGAAGCAGGGTGTTCGTAGCCGGCGGGCTGTTCGTTGGAATATCGAGATCAATCATCAGGACCGCGAACGAAGTCCCCGTCAGTCGCGAGCTTGTCGCTAGTTGTGGCTGCGCTTGAGACGCTATCGTCTGGTCAGTTTCCGTTCACGAGATAAATCACACAGCCTGCTTACCCTCCTTCGCGACAATTTTGCCGCCGCTTGCGTCTATACCGCTGAAAGACACCAACAACGGCGTTTCAGAGGCGGGCTTGAAGCCTTGAGGAGTTGCCGCCAGCGACACTGACGCCGCCGCCAGGACAGCAACGATATTAAACAACATTACGGTAAGAAGGATGACAGCAGCGCAGAGACCAGCAGAGCGACAGCAATTTCAACACACGACAGAATGTTAGAAAATCTCCCCCAATCCTCTGAGATTCTTCAGAATACCGGGGCCAATGACCATTTTGTTCTCTTCGTTGAGCCTTGTAGATATCCGCGCGGCGATCCACCAAACCGAAACCCACGCGGTGAGGTGAAACGGGGTGCTACATGCCGAGCGTCAAGCATAGGCCAAGCCGAACGAATCAATTGAGCCATCACTCTTCCAATTGGTGACAATTGTCGATCAAGCCTTGCTAAGCTGGAATATGGCGAATGCTTAAATTAGCCTTTGTATTCCCGTGTAAGTCTTGGGATGTCCTTCGAGGCCCTGTCGCAACGCATCGGTATCCGGGGACCAAGTCTCCCCCACCCACGGCCACCTGGTCGGCAAATGCAAGCAACATTTGATGTTTTTCCGTCGGTAAAACACCACTACTAGTAGCCACGTAACTCGCGCGAAAGAAGTATTCGGTGATATAGCTCCAGTGTCGAAGGCAACACGTCAAGCGTTACTGAGCGGGTTGTTCTCCCCAAGGCGCATATAGTTGAGCTCGGTTCATTCGTCGCCAGCCAAGACTTTCAGTTCGATCGAGTTCTGCTGCATCTGGCGAACCAGAAACTTGAGTCGTCACTCACTTCAGCCAGCTTTGCTCCAGCCGCAAACAGTTTGAATCTGTATTTGAAGGCAGGCCAAAGCCAACCCCGGATTATGTTGTCGGGGTATTTCATCTCGTCCCATCCCCTGTGAGTGTGCACCCTGGCAGCTCCCGAAAACGTTGCAGAATGTTTCGGTATTTCTTGGCGAGTATTGCCAACATTCGCTCGCTTTCAAGTTCTCACCTCTGAAATGACCGGTAGGGCATATATACGCTTGTAGTGAATGCTGGTAAGGCCAGCCGAAAGCTGTTGAGGAATTCTAGACATATTTGGATAGGCGCGTCTCATGTATTAATGCACTGAAGTCTGATCGCAGGGACAGAGGCGGTTAGATGAATTCACATTAGTCGCTGCTGTCCCTACCGTCGCATCGTCTTATGTGTCCGTTTACATTGTACTCACCTATGCAACGGCAGCAATCGACTGACAACGTTTCGGCATGCAAGGACAGTTATTCAAGTATTCAAACATGATCACCTTCAAAGCGCGTCTTCCGCATGCCGACGCATTTCGGGTAGCTTTACCTTTCAGCTACAAGTTTGTGACCAGCTGCCCTCGGGGTAGACTCGGCATAGTCATCTGGCTTGTTGAGTGCCTTTGCCTGTAACCATCAAGTCGCACCGCTCAGGACAGGCACTAGGTTCCCGAAAGAGGTCTCCCGACCGCGTGCTGGAATGGTAAGAAAGATGATCAGTCGGCCTACTCGCATTCCCGGTTGCCCGGCATTGGGCAACTTCCAGGGGTCCACCCAGCGGAATGCCGAATTATCCCCAAACTACGAGTTACCACAGGCGGACGAACCCCACCACTGAGTCCTCGTAAGATCTCACTGGAGAATGAGCCCAGATTCGCATCGTCAACGTCACACGAAGTGAGGAGTTGATCCTCAGTCGTCTGTCTCCTTGCTAGTTATCCGCTCCTAGGGAGAAAATCTACCTTGCGGACCTAAGACCAAAAAAGGGCCTCGTCTTCAATATAGACTTGCGGTATAGACAAACTGTGAGACTCGGACCCAAACTCCTTAAACTACTATATGTACCCAAGGGCGAACGCTAATAGTGTCAACCTTGATGGCTTGGCAGCCCGGGAAGCTGAAAGGCGGGCTGGGCGGGGCTAGACCAACGGCCGCCTGTAGGTCGTTAACTTCCCCGCAATTCTGGGCCCCAGAACGTTGCAGTGATGCAATGCCTACAAAGCTTCTCTCGCCCGTCATTGCGGGCTCTACGGAGTCTTCCTGGAATGATCGCTGAGAACAATCAAATTCCGAGCCTCATCCACCTCTAGACAGTAACGCCTGAGCGTATCCATTCTCCATACTCCATATAATGATGTTATGTTGAAAGACAACGACATAGTTTGTACTTAGCTCCGGGTCGATCGCGACTATACTACATACAATGAATCGGTAGTGCGGGGCGGCTGGACAATACCGAGCCAACTCCGAGTGGAAACCGAAGCCGCTTCTATCAGATGAGCATGCACTCCGGAACCCAAGGAGCAAACAGAATTCACTGCCAAGCACCGCACCGTCAAGCGGGGTCTGGCCTGTAGTCCCTTGAATGAACGATGCTGCAGCCCTGGCTTCTTCCTGAATCTTGAGCACCTGCAATGCAGCGCGAGTGTCTGCGCCACCTGTACATAGTATATGAAGTGCGGGGATGTGGTCGCGTTCCAATCGCGTAAGGGCTCTCCAGCTTAGATCATTGATGGAGCCACCGCATGTCACGAAGGACAGGGGGCGGTTGGTATGTATCAGTATTGAGGTGCATGGAGACTCCTCGGCAACGCGTCTTCTGTTCTACGGCAAGCTCTAGATTAGGCCATGCATTCATTGATCGTGGCCTCCAAGGTGCATGCTCCCAGTGGGTACCTTCCAGCCAGCCGGTCGTCCACGATCCTGCTTCTCCTTGGGTGCAGGAGGTGGAACCATAAATACCGATGGTTGTAGACCCTTGGGTTTGGTCATTTCCTACTTAAGCCTCGTCCCGCCCGGCTTCATCATCCAGGTGTCATCATCATAGTCATTACTCTTATCCCTCCCTCAGCTAGCCCAGCTACAGCTACTTATAACCACCCCTTAAAGACGTCGGTTCGATCGTTTTCATATACACTACACAACACTAGTTATACGTTTCTAGCAAAAGCTTTGAAAGACGTTTCACAATGGTACTGCTCGCTCGTTCTATCCAACGCTGCACTCGTCCCTTATCAGCAAGGGCACTTTCTACAACATCTTCTTTGAGCACCCGCTCGTTGACGTCGACAAGAGCAGCCGCGGCTTCGCGGCCAGCTCTGACGTCGTCGAGATGCTCACCCCTGCCCCTCTCTCTCCCTAGTCGCTCACCATTCGGAGCTCCCGCCTCGATTCGCATGCTGACAGGTAAACGTGAAAAGGTCAAGGTTCTGCTAGTTCTATACGACGGCGGCGAGCACGCCAAGCAGGTACGTACACGCTGAGACATTTTCTTCCTTATCGCCTCTTCGCGAGGCGTTGTCCTGGCATTTTGGGCAAGAGAGAAGCCGCCTCTGTCACGGTCCTGCATGTTTCTCAAGCAGCGCCCAGAGCCCGCCTGAGCACAATTGGTGTTGCTGGTCCAATGGCGTAGCTCGGAGCTCTGTTGGAGACGTGCGGGGCCGGGACGGATGGATATGCTCCTCGATGTCGATTCCCTGCATCCCTAGAACCACCTCGCACCAATGATGTACAGAATGGCTAATGTGGGGTAATTTCTCTGCTTCCAGGTCCCCGAACTGCTGGGAACCACTGAGAACGAGCTTGGCATCCGCAAGTGGCTCGAAGACCAAGGCCACACTCTGGTGACGACTTCGGACAAGGAGGGCGAGAACTCCACTTTCGACAAGGAGTTGGTGGATGCCGAGATCATTATTACCACACCGTACGTGCATCGCTTTAGACTCGGTCAACCGCGGTGCAAACCGGGACCAAAGAGAGAATGTATCATCTAACAATTGCATAGCTTTCACCCTGGCTACCTTACAGCAGAGCGTCTGGCCAAGGCGAAGAAGCTGAAGCTTGCCATCACAGCCGGTATTGGTTCCGACCATGTCGACCTTGACACGGCCAACAAGACGAATGGAGGTATCACAGTGGCCGAGGTGACCGGCTCCAACGTCGTGTCGGTTGCTGAGCACGTCGTCATGACCATCCTGGTCCTTGTCCGCAACTTTGTCCCCGCACACGAGCAGATTGCCGCCGGCGACTGGAATGTCGCTGCCGCTGCCAAGAACGAGTACGACCTGGAGGGCAAGGTTGTCGGTACCGTTGCCGTTGGCCGCATCGGTGAGCGTGTCCTGCGCCGTCTCAAGCCCTTCGACTGCAAGGAGCTCCTCTACTACGACTACCAGCCTCTCAAGCCCGAGGTCGAGAAGGAGATCGGCTGCCGCCGTGTTGACGACCTCGAGGAGATGCTGGCCCAGTGTGATGTTGTTACTATTAACTGCCCGCTACACGAGAAGACCCGCGGTCTGTTCAACAAGGAGCTGATCTCCAAGATGAAGAAGGGCTCGTGGCTTGTCAACACCGCCCGTGGTGCCATTGTCGTCAAGGAGGATGTTGCCGAGGCCTTGAAGTCTGGCCACCTCCGCGGCTACGGTGGTGATGTCTGGTTCCCCCAGCCCGCCCCCAAGGACCACCCCCTTCGCTATGCCCAGAACCCCTTCGGCGGCGGCAACGCCATGGTCCCCCACATGTCGGGTACATCTCTCGACGCCCAGAAGCGCTATGCTGAGGGTACCAAGTCCATCCTCCAGAGCTATCTGTCTGGCAAGCACGACTACAGGCCAGAGGATTTGATCATTATCGACGGTGACTACGCTACCAAGGCCTACGGACAGCGCACCAAGAAGCAATAAGCGGTGCGATGTGTAGGCTTTCGTAACGATAAATGAGGAAAAGGGTACTGCATTGAGCAAGTTATTGCTCGGGCCCAAGGATTGGCCCTTCTCTTGTCAAATAGTTATTAGCAATGATTCTTGCAGTGCAATGTTCATGAATATTATGACTAATTTACCACGGCCATTTTCTTTGACCCATGGGTGATTCAAAAATACTAACGAGTAAGCGGTTGGAATGACAGTTGGTTTCAAAGATGTACTGTGTAACATATCCAACGGTTGAACAAATAACCTAATTAATTCGGCAGTACAGTTTCCCGCACAATCAAGACTACTTACACGCAAATCTATCTCGAATATATGCATTCAACTTTCTGTTGTAAGGCGGTGAAGAAATCGTCTACTTTTAGTAGATAAGAGTGTATCATTAAATAAGCTTGATCCCTTGTACGAGTGTACCAGAGTTCATTGCGTACAATCCTGAGTATCCTTGAATAGATTGGCTTCTCATTCATCTTCTCAGTCGTCACACCCGTGCTGAAGACCTACAGTCGTTCCCAGGAGCATTTGGAGTATTTGTCCCACGACGCCTCGGGTGTTGTAATGTGGTATTGGTCGACAGCGCCGTTGTGCCGCCCGTACACAATCTCCGTACACCACGCTTCTGTGACATGAGCCATAGCTATATTCGGCGGATCTAGCGTTCGTATTGGGACCACGAGCAGAACCCCAATAACTTGTGTTGGCTCCCTGAATATAGGCGTTGAGCATTCTCGGACCTGTCGCTGTCGCCGTGGGTACCGTAGGTCTCGCCCTTCCGGTGACAAACAAGAAGAGGGGCTAGGTATTGGTCGAAGTCGCTGGGACAATCAGCGGAGCAGACTCCAGTAGCAGAAGCTTCAGGAGAAGCGAAAGGATGCCCCGGGACAGACCGCACTGATATCAGTATCCTGGGCACCACCAAGTCGATTACCTCAATAGCGAGGATGTGTGGCGCGAGTGACTGTCAGCTAAACCGTAGGTGCGCTTTGATGACTTCTTTCTGGGCAGTTTCTGCGAACTGGGTTCGAGGGGTTATTGCGTTTGACAGTGCCATCGGCAAAAGACAACATTCCGAAGTCAATAACAACACTCACCATTGTAGTCCTCAAGTTGAGCCTCATTATGACATAGAAAAGGCCGTGTCTTAGAATCAAGACTAACAGTAGAGGACATTGGGCCACTTTCTGGGAGTTGTGTACCCATATAACGCCAGGCCTAACGCCGTACCGTATATAAATACATTTCGTAACTATCCTGGGTACGAAACCCAGTTGAATATAGTACGATGGGTTATAAAGGATTTTTTCCGGTCGAACAATTCCGACATGATAATCCAAACTTGCAACATTTCAAATGAAGGTGCATCCCGGTAAACCGCGTTTGCGCACATCAACGACGTAGGTTAGCTATGAAGATGTCTTCAGCTTAGATTTTAGCTCTGCCAAGACATATGCGAGCTACTACGCCTTCTGACACCTGAAGCTACATAGAAGAAAGCAGAAGATCGCCAGCATCTGGAGGAGGATTAGGCTGGTTTTAGCGTCTTGCAGTTGGACTTGCAGGTAGACACCCGGAAGCTCACGATGCCGGGCGCCCCACTACCGTCCACCAGATGCAGTTGGGACATATTCCCTACCCGCTTGGCGCCGTCAGCGCCGCTAACTAGGCCGGATCACTCAGTACCCGCTGTCTCGGCACTCGACCGAAAGCCCGTATTCAAAGCCGGTAGCTCGGTATAGGTGTCTAGCCAAGCAAGCAGTTGCGCCTTGGCCATCCAAAGTCGTCTCTGGGCAAGACTACTTACGCAGCGCACGAAGTCGACTCAATCTCCCATGCCCACCTGACCATACAAGGGCGTGAATCCTCATTGGCTGTACTGAGTAACGGAAGCCTAACGAAGTGTATACAGAGCCTCACTGCCATGTTAGGATCTTGGCTCTTCGAGAAGCCCCCCTTGGCAGCCCCTTGGCTATCGATAGTCAAATACCGGGACCTCACGGCCGCACTCTGCTAAGTCGGAGAAGTTATCTCCCGTCAAATATCGATGACTCTAGTAGGCCAGCGTAGATCTTACCACGCTTAGAGACTTAGCTTGCTTGCCCTTGAACTCGTAGTAGCAGCAAGTGGTGAGTGGCAGACATAGGCCAAGATATGGCAGTAAATATCCAGCCTCTCTCATATATCCATTAAGTTCCTGACGTGCGGATATAAAGGACAACAACCATCCGCGCTCAAGCACGCCAATAAGTTTCATCTTCCATCACGTTACAATAACGAAGAACACCAATCGCGCAATTCCTAGCAATACCACAACAAATACCTTCAGCTATCTTCTCTGAATTATTATCAGCATGAAGTCTACTACCATCTCTTTCGCCATTGGCGCACTGGCTGCTACTGTTGCTGCCGCTCCTACAGCTATCGACTACACCCCACCAGGTGGTTGGGGATCCGTGGATTATAGCAACGTAGACTACAGCAAAGTGGACTTTACCAAGGTCGACTACAGCCACGTCGATTACAGCAAGGTCGATTGGACCAAGGTTGATTACAGCCAGGTCGACTACAGCAAAATCGACTGGAGCAAGGTTGACTATGGAAACAAGGGCTACGGCCAATGGGACAGCGCTGTGAAGATCTTCACCTCGACGTACAGCGTCATTGCCACTCCAGACCAGGTTGTCAATGGCACAGGCGCCGCGACCACATTCACTGGTGGTTTGAAGGGCAGCAAAGGCTTCTTCAATTACGGCATAATTGCTGACTCGAACACCATCTGCTACCGCATCGAGATTTACGGATTCAGAGGAAACTATCAGTCGCCAGCAACGACGGCAACACACATCCACCAGGCTGCCAAAGGACAGAATGGGTCGCCACGCATCGCCTTCCCGAACCCCGTCGCCGTCGACGAACACAAGCCAGAGGGTAAGAGGGTCAGTGTTGGATGTGTCAGTGGACCCTTCACCACCGGAGTAATTACCAATGGTGCGGACACCGGCACTGGTTTCCACGTCAGCCAAATCGAGAAGGATCCCAAGGGTTTCTTTACCGATATCCACTCTAGCCTGGCGGTTCCTGGTGCGTTTAGAGGACAGCTGGCCTAGGTAGATTGCATTGCGCCTTGGATTTGCACGATGGGATAATTTGGGGCCAGTTGTATGAGATATATGGCTATATATACAACCTAATTATGCATTAATAATAAAGTAATACTTTAGAACAAATCTCAAGATAAACTCTTTCACTGTTTACTGAAGTATCTTCCACTTGGAAAAAAATTCCGCGTACGCGCGATACGTTGCTGCCAAAGTTTTGTTACGTGGGCGGTGAATAGTTGTCGCACAACGTTGAAGTTTGCCGAAGAGCAGGCATTTAGAATGGTAAGTGGATCCTACATAGATTGAATCGGAAGCACGCCGAGAAAGAACATTCCCTCCAACGATGAGCGGCAAAAACGTCAAGCCCAAAATATGTCAGTCCGTCGACGGACAGCACCTCATTGGGGAGAGTTTCAATAGCTTCTGAAAACCAACCTTTACAGGTACACACAGCCTTTCGGCGCAAACATGACCGCCGGCATGATCTTTAGGACGCAGAGCTTGGAGTTCGTACCCTCGACATTGTCACACGCGACCGGATGGGGTGAAAATCTTACATTAAGATTTTCTGGTGCCACAAGGTGAATGCAACGGAGAGGTCCAAAAGGTCTCCCGAGATATTCCATCAGTGCTACAGGCCGAGCCTAGTATTGTGATCCAGACACTCAAAATCTCGATAAGATATGTGTTGTGGATATTTGAATGACCAGAAAGGATGCTAAGCTAACTAACTCAAGTAGCTACGGTGCCCTTAGGTCTACGAGCGAAGATTCGAAATGACAGAGGAAACGGGTGAGCCTCATGCGACAACAAAGAAGACTTGAAGTGATATTCTTTTGGTCTAGAACTAGGTGGTATGCATCAGTGAATTGAATATAACGCGAAAATGGAGTTAATTTAACATGTGCATATAGTTGATTTTAACGCAACACTAGATACAATAACTCATGCTGAATATCTATATATCCGTAGGCTCTAGAAGACTGTACCTTTCCTTTCTCATAAACACAAACAACAACATCAAGCACTGAAGCAAAGCATTATCGCAGAGCACCGACATTGAGAATTCTCTACTTACAACATTACCACCACAAAACCAACAGCCAACTTCTACAATGCCCGAAAAGCTGCAGAAGAAACAGAAGTCGTCCTCCTCCAAGGATTCGTCAAAGAAGCACTCCTCAAAGGACGGCGGCAGCTCCCACAAGGGAAAGAGTAGCTCCTCACACGGTAGCTCTTCGCATGGTAGTTCCTCGCACGGTGGCTCTTCAGGCGGCAGTAACAGGATGAGCGACAAGGACTACCTCGACAGGGCAAACCAGAACTTTGCCAAATACTAACAACCTTTAGAACTACATATGAGACGTACAGCTTAGAATGGGGTAGCAAGTTATACATCAATAGTGAGAGAGATTTGTAGTTCAACATCAAGTGCATTGTGGCATTGCCGAGCTTTTGACAGGCGTTTGGGAACACCTTGATGAACTGGAGATATCCAACATCTTCGTCACCTGCCTTAAGTAGACCACTACGGGTTCCTTCTCTGCCAATCTCCCAAGAATCTTATAAAAACGAAACTTTCCGATTAGCCATTCCCGAATTACGAAGTGACACAATCGCAAGGTTTCATGCCTTGTAGATTTCCACGCGTATCAGCAACTCTGTGCAAGATGTGTGAAGTATAGTATTAATTCCGATGTCTTAATAAGCCTTGATCTTCTGCGCCGTAGGGTACTAACCTCAGTCTTTGCAGCCACCACTCACTGGCCACACCGTGGCGTATCAATGCCCCCGAGTCGTAACATGGAAAACCACATCATGGAATGTCTCGCCACCTCCAGATCAAAACGCTCAGCAGCCGCCCTATGCCGCCCGTCCATGTTTCTTCTCGACGGAGATCTGAATATCTTATTCCTTTCCGAAGAGCATGAGTGATGTATCAAACATAGAGAACGCAGCTTTCCGTGACTCTCCTCGGAGTGTGTCCACCATGGTGCTAGTTTATCTCCTTAACTAAGCAGTGGCTGACATGTTCATCCATTTGACAACTGGCACAGCCACATCTGCCATCCCCCCTGGATCAAATATATCAACCAAGTCCTGTAAATATAGCACATAGTTCTTAATTACAGAATTGCTAAGAACGATGACAACTGTCTATCCATTAAGCATACCGCCTATGAAGGTTTGCTGCGTACAAGCTCAACTTCAGGAAACTTGGTATCTGCACCCTGCAAGATCTTTGGGGTTTTATGCTCAAACACAAGATCATCGAATGCCACAACGAGTCTTTTGATGATGTCGCCAACTCTGTCCCATTGCCCTGTTCCCAAGAAATCCTCCAAGCTTTTCTTAGCCGTTTCTGTAAGACCCAAAGCGCTGACAATCAGCGGGTAATCCGTGAAGGAACTGTGAGTGGTTCCGGCAATGGCAAGCTCGATGCTTTGAGCCCGCATGCTTTGTTGAAACTCGTCCCAAGTAGGATCGTCTGATCGGTGGTTCGGGCGCCCAATATCAAGAAACGGTCTTTCTAGCCCAAGTTCCTTGACGGGGCTGAAGAACCTCCCATCCAGATTTACACCGCCTCGAATGCGTTTGTCTGACAGCATTGTGGCTGCAGCCGCTGCTCCACCCAGCGAATGGCCGTACATGATAATTCTATCGAAGTCGATACGGACAGCGCTGTGGTCAATGGACTGTCGCAGAGCTGTAACGTTCTGGAGCTGGTCGATGACAAAGGAGATGTCTGACGCCCGGACCTTGATGTCGTTAGAACCATTCATCTCCAATATCTAGAGGGATTGCGAGGGGAATTCGTTTCATACCTGTATGACCATCTCAAGAGCTGCTATGTCGTCAGTTGAGATATTGGCGGCTCTTGTGAAGCTACCGTCCGGAAACTCGACCACCGAGGCATCGTATGGGTGATCAACCGTTATGACAACATATCCTTCACTTGCCAACGACCTCGCCATGGCGCCATAAAGGAGCCGTGATTGTCCAAATCCGGGAGAGAACAGAAGAAGAGGACGTGAAGGCTTGCTGATATCTGGGCGTTGACCATGACCATTGAAGCAAGATTTACCCCGTGGGATATCACACAGCTGCATCCTCAAGGACGTGAATGTCTCGTTAGACAGCCCAGCAGAAGCAGCCAGAGTATCGTAATCTCTAGCGACCAAGGGGGTCATATAGAGAGTGGAGCGAGAAACACATGGCGTTGTCGTACTGTTGAGCGGAACAAACGCAGAGATCAAGACTTTACGCTCATGAGGCTTATCGTCGGGTGCGTAGGGGTCCATGCGTGTCGCATCGGTGAGCGTGTGGACTGATACTCCAACCGAGTATGGCCCAGTAGCGTTTGGCAGGAGAACAGCGTAAGCTGATGCCACAAAAAGAAGGTACGTCAGGCAAAACATCGTGGCGCTGCGCGGGACGGCGTTGATGGCTGCGTTGGCTGAAGGAGAAGGAGGGATTGGTAACAGTGTAGTATTGCGCTGATATATAAGAATGGTGGTCGGGAATGGAGTTCAACAGAAGTGAACAGTTGATTCTGCTAATAAGCTTCCTTTAAACTCTTCTCGCATCGAAGACTTTATATAACATTTTCCCACCTTAATGTGCATGCCTGATTATGGAGTATGTCACCAGATCCATACATGGTATAATGACAGTCAACTAGTAACGCGCAAGATCCTTTCCTATTGCGGTAATAGTCTGGCGAACACGGCTCTCCCTGGCCTTGGCGGTAAACCGCTCTAGCACCGCCTCAAATTGCAAGTGGGCCATCCTCGCCCGATTTTTGCTGCTTCTGGCATAGCGCTCAGCTACAGCCCTCTCAGCTGAGTCTTCAGCCAAGTGACCGGTTCTCGTGGGTCTGTTGAACATTCAGAAGAATATTGAAAGAATACTGTGGAAAATTATTACACACTTTCAGCCCACGTTGTTTCCGTGATGACCATCGGACCTTTCGACCCTAGAGCGAGGCGCTCGCGATGCCTGCAGTGTGCCAGCAGCCATTTGAAGGTACTTCGTTTTAGCCCCGAAGACATGCTTGAACTAACAATTGGAGTGTTCTGGAAAACCCCCTTGCAGCCACTGCTATCGCCGAGGTCTGGCCTGCAAGTTTCCCAACGCGGAAGCCATAAATGTTATTACGCTTGATCGCGGGAAACATAGAACGCCCAAACAATATACCAATAACGCAGTTTCCACTACGGAGGTGCCGGGCGGCCGCACACCCCGTCTGTTGCAATGTCCTTCTTCCGAACCCACTTATCGCTACCTCCATTACTTTGACCTTTTCGTTCGAAAAAATACCTTCAACACATGGTATCCATCATATGACACTGACATCAGAAAACTTTTGGGCACTGAACCCGAAAGTCCCTTGGTCCAGGCCGTTCTGGCCGTTGGCGCCCTGGAGTCTTCCAAGTCCTCTGCCACGAGCCCTATCGATGTGTCATATCATCGGTCTGACAGTCGTTATGCCCTAATGTCGTATTCTGGCTCGATGGCGGCACTTCGAGATGCTATAAACCTCCCCGGGGTTCCTTCACGGATCCAGGTGCTTTGGACCACGCTCTTGCTGGGACTGTTCGAGGTTAGTCACCTTCACACCAACTTGGCCGCGCTACAATTTCTTGCCTGAGCCGTTAAATACCACTATCTAACCACATCTTACAGCTAATGCACGACTCAACTGGAAGCGGGTGGGTGAAGCACATGGTTCATGGAACATCAAGAGCTATGGAGGCTGCCGGCCCAGTCTTGTTTCGGTCAGGACTGGGTAGAGGCTTTTTCCTCCAAGCAAGAATGTTCGAAGTATGCCGGGCTGTTGTCTTTAATGAAAGCACGTTTTTGACAACTCCTGGTTGGGTGGCTTTATCGAGTGAGTCGTGGACTGGTAACGGCAGTTGGGAATGGAGTCCGCTGGATGGTCTCTTGGACGCGATTTCCATGTGCTCAAAGCTTTGCGTACAGTATGTTGAATGGGAGCACTGTGTTTTAAGGGTAAATAACCAGTAGCTGACCATTGAACAGAAGCGGAAACCTCCTAGACAATCTGGACCAGCTCGGTGCCGTCAAGGTAAGCGAGTTGGCCAATGATCTGGCCCTAGAAGGCCACCGCCTGCGACATACTCTCGAGATGTGGAGAGTTATGAACTCAGAAATACTCGACACAGCCATGAATTTGGGAGCCTGTGTTGGGTCCTCTCGTATAGTAGATCACACAGGCTTGCTTGCGAATGCTTTTTTCGCTGCGATCAGCATATACCTTTCAGGAGTATATGACTATAGCATAACGCTTTGGCGCAACTGGGATATCCTTGTCCCAACCCTTTCTAAGGAGGATGTCCAATGTCACGTGCATACGATTTTGAGCTCGGTGAGCCTCGCAATGGAGCGGACAAATATCTCACATCTACTGTACCTATTTCCTCTCAGGGTGGCTGGTGCAAGATGTGTCGATGACTGGCAGCGCAATCAGGTTCGGACACTCTTAAGAAGGGTTGGAACCAACTTTGTTGTCGCGCGGGCGTTTGAGACCGAGCTAAACATGCTATGGGGCCATAAATAACAGTATGAAATCGATTTCTTATCATGTCCTATATGGCTCATAACGTCAAGACACAATTTGTGAGATGAAAGGCGACGTGAGACCATTTTGACTCAAGTATTACTTGCAGACTATAGGGACTAAGATAACCGGCTGAGAGACATTTCCCGTATAACAACTGCTCCCTAGCCAATGCAAACAATTTTAGTTTTACTTACATCGGCAGGGCACTGAAAGTCTTAAGTTGCAATGGTAAGATGAGATCGTAAATGTAATAATGCTGAGGTGCTGTGCATTATAACTTTTTGTTCATTCGGAAAAGTATTACTTATCACCTACGTGAAAAGTTCATGATAATGACAAGCAAATCCTGTATTCCTAGAAACGCCGTTGCTCGACCATGCGTAACTAAACCGTCCTGTTCATTACTCTTCGTCACTGCTATCGATGATAAACCCAGCTTTGGCTCTGGGCCGCCGGCGGGCCGCCGGTTTGGCCGCTGGGATGTCCTCCTCCTCCTCGTCTTCCGCCGCGTCTTCCATTTCCGCATCTACGGTGGCCATCTTAACCGCGTTACTCGCCTCCCCAAGGCGCCTCCTCTTGGCGCCGTTACTGCTTGTGGTTGAAGCTGCGTGTGGACTCGATGACAAAGGCGTATGATCTGTATTCAAATCGTCGTCGTCATCCGCATCATCCAGTGTCTTATCCGCGTTCCTGCTGGAAGCAGACTCTTGCGTCGGCATCAATTCGTCGTCGCTGTCCCTTTCGCTTTCTTCTTCGCCTTCGTCATCACTGCCCAGCAGTGCAGCCGCTTTGCGCTTCGTAAGTAGCTTGGGGGAGGGCGGCCGCTGGTGCGTAATGGAAACAATCTTCTGCTTCTGCCTCAGTCGTGCCTCGTTGGCGAAGAACTCGCGATCGCGCTCCTCGTCCGTCTCATCATCGCTGGCGTGCACGTATACGTCAGACTTAAAGCGACGTGCCTTCTCCAGCTCCTTCTGACGCCGCTTGCGCGCCTTCTCCTCGAGCTGTTCTTCCGTGGGCGGTTCAGCATCATCCTTTCGGCGGCGGCGGATCTTCTTTGGCTTATCGGTGTCCTCTGCCGTTGACTTGCGAGCTGTTGGCCCGCCGGCTGGGAAAAGCGTTGCCTCTTCATCGTCACTCAGCCCGTCATCGTCATCATCGAAAACTGCCTTCTTGCGAGGCGCGGTCTTTCTGCGAAGCTGATCTTCGGCTAACTGGCCATCATCAAAGGTCGGTGGGTCAAACTCGGCTTTGCTAACCATGTCTAATGACTCCTTGAGCTGATCTGCGGTGAATGATGATGGGATGATCCATGCAGACTCTGGTGTCTCGTCCAGAGTAGGGGCCAGACACTCCATGCCGACTAGCTTCATCAATAAGCGCAAATGAGCGTTCTTGAACATCGCAGTCCGACGAGCATCATCGTCGGGACGAATAGCTGGAACTATTAGTAGGGACTCATCGCAGGATCCGTAGGAAACTTACAGAAAACAGGCGCCTCCTTGACAGGTGAACCTTCAATAGGCTGCTCCATGCTTACGTCTACGTTCGATTCCACAGACTCCATCGCCTTCTCTGCCGCCTCCCACGCCCTCCTCTCGCTCTCTGCCGATGTCAATTGATCTCTGACCCATTTAATATGATGCGACATCTCCTTGTCTAGCAAGACCCCTACAGCAGTGGCGACCTGCTGATCATGCTCAAGAAGATGACGGAACTCCAATTCTGCTGCCGGTCGTGGTGTTGATGCCGATACCGTCTGCTTCTCGTATCCGTACTCCAAATAGTACGCTGTGGCATTGATCTTCGAAAATAGCATCTCGATCATCAGGGCTGGTCGCTCCTCGATTTTGCGTATGCATTTCTTGAGGATTTGCTTTACCAGCTCTTCCCACTCTTTATAGGAGCTGCAACTTCTGTCTAGTGGTTCTTGGCCCTTGATCATGCTGTAGAACAGATGGATGATGTCAACTCTGTACAGCATAACACCCATATTTTGCTTGAAGGCCACGCGATAGAAATATCGGTGAGCCCGTTTGAGTTGCGCATCACTCAGATCTTGGTAGTATTTGGAGAACTTGACGAATGTGTCAACCACGCCTTGCGGAGTAAATCGGTTGGCGAAACGGGTGAAGTCGAATTTCCGCTCTTTGCTGGTCTGTTCTGCATTTCCTTCGTCGTTCTCCGACTCGTCCACGACATCTGCCGTCACGTCGTCTTCGGCGCCTGCAGCCTTGGCAGTCTTCTTCTTTCTTCGTGCGCGTTTTCGAGATCGCACTTGCATATCTACATTCTGTTTCGAGTACGATTCCAATATGCGCAGGTAGGTATGCACAAGCTCGGTGCAGGCATCAAGGTATTCGAAGCCTTGGTCCTTGAAGTTCTTGGCGATGTTGGCCACACGATCATGTGTATCCTCCTCGTAGAAGATTCGGCTTAAAATGTTCTCCGCAATCTCTTCGTCCTCCTCTTTGCCCGTCTCGGACATCTCTTGAACTGTCAACAAGATCTGTGTGAAACATCTCATGGCCGCACCTAGCTCTTGCCAGTTCTTGGTGTCCAAAGCCTCGGCCATGCTCCGGTTCAGCGTGATAAACATTTCTTGGTTCAAAACAGTGGCCACCAGATTGAAGCTGCCAACATCCTCCTCGCCTTCTTCTTGGGTGGCTTTTTTGCCCTTGCCCTTGGCCACCTTCTGTCGCACCCGCTCGGCTTCCAAGAACCATGACACCAGATAGTAGAACTGTCGGTAGTGGTACTGCATGACGTAGTCTTTCTGTTCGTCTAGCTTCTTCCGCACGTTAAAAAACAAGGGGTTGAAGCCAGAGTCCAGGAACTCCTCGACAAAGTCTCGCAGCTGTCCTCGAGCCCTCGTGTTCAGCGTAACAGGCGGTCCGAGGTCTTTGGGCTCCATCTCTTCCTTCCGCGGTCTGCGGGGTGGCCGGAAGGTCTTGCTGCTGTCCATCTTCTCTTGTCTTGTGGCAGCGTCTAGGAGTGCATCTTGGCCGGAGACCGTGGACACCTTCCCATCATCTCGTTGGACCCAGATCATGGTGCCCCATCTGTTATGTCTCGTTGGTGCCTTTCGATTGTGTGGCCGATGCATCGCCGCCTCCTTATTCATCAGAGATGTCAACTCATTCGCCTTCGCTTTGCTCAATTGCTTGTCGTCCATGAAGAGCTTGGTGACGTCGACCCGTTTCACCAGATGGAAAATGATCTCCATCAGTATGACCCCCTCTTGATTGAAGTCCTCGCCTATGTTCGAGGCTATCGTCAAGAGAGTAAGCAGGATATCCTGGTATGAGAAGGCGTCTATCAGTGCCGACCGGGATATTTGCGATTCGTCGCCGTCGTACGTGACGTTGGGAGGGGGCGCAATCATGGCGATGTTGCGCAGGAAGAGCAGCACAAGCTTGATGATGCCATCGTCTCGGGCGGTTCGGTCGCTCCTCGACAGAACCATGGACGGCAAAGTGAGGCGTACGGCGGTGTGCAGTATCTGTGCAGCATCGAAGTTTATGACGGAGCGCTTGTAGTTGACCTGAGCCAGTTGCAAGACGGGCATGTGACGGTGATGGTTCACCGTCATCTCCTCCAGGTTGCGATCCATGGGCCAGGTCAAGGGCACCAGCAACTCGAGACAGGCCAAGGCGGCTCTCGACTTGAACTTGTTCTCGGTCGCAGCGATTGGCCACGCGGCGAGGATCTGGAGCAGGTCGCCGTCGACCAGGTTCGCCTCGGCCAGACAGCGCGCAACGTCCATTCGGTTCGTCTTCTCGTCGTAAAAGCGGATCCATTTCTTGATATCGCGGAGAACCTCGAGGGCAGAGTCTCCCATGACATAGCGCCCGTCATCCTCGGCGCTGTTGCCACCGAGCTGGTTCGCCGTCGTTAGTGTCCCGGCCGAGAGCAATATCACAGGAAGAAGCGTGTACTCACAGCCGACACCAGACTGTTGATGTGGGCCCGAACTTCCGGGTGCACGACGTCGGTGGTGCCATCGGCGACCTCCATATTCGCGATCTTGGGGGTCTGGTGGCCCGACGGTTCGGGTCTTGAGGCCGTTTGCGGGATCAATGGGCGTACATGTGAAGCTGACCGTTGTGTGTTTGTGTTGGATGCTATCTCTCTGCTATCTCGAAGCCTGGGATGGGCGACGCGTCGAGGCTTTAGCTGCGCGGGACCAGAAACGCGACGCGTTCGCGCTAACTTACAGTGGTACCACAGTACCGCAGGCCGCTGGAGGTAGTGGCTACAGTACCTGAGTACCTAAGTTAAAGTGGTTGGACCCACCTGCTGCCCGCCCGCCCGCTCGCCAGCCCGCCAGCCACCCCGGCCCATTCTCCAGCCCGTGGGCCGACGATTAGACGGAGCCGAAGTTAGCCGCAGGGCCGAGCTTGTTACCACTACATCACCTCTCGGCTGCCGAAGCTCGTCTCCAAGTCCTATAGGCCACACTGGAACACCAAGGAACATGGCAAGTCTCATCGGCAGAAGGGGGGCCTTCCAGCTCGCGACGAAGGCGAGATACTTCAGCTCTACGGCCCGCAGGAATGCCGCCGAGGTGAAGAGCCTGGGTGTCATTGGCGCAGGCCAGATGGTAAGTCGCAGACATGTGATCAAGGGGGCGCATTTGGCATTCGTTCGACTCACGCAGTGACAGGGCCTCGGGATAGCCCTCGTGGCTGCGCAAAGGGCTGGTGTCCCCGTCACTCTCGTCGATACCTCTCAGGCTGCTCTAGACAAGGGAATGGGCTTTGCGGGTCGGTATCCCTTGCCAACCCCGGCAGCGTGCCTTGACTAACTGCTTCGTCCAGACAAGCTGTTGGCCAAGGATGTATCAAAGCAACGACTCACGCAGGAGCAGGCCGACAAGGCGCGCTCTCTGTTGTCCCCAAGCACCGCTATGGAGGACCTGTCTAAAGTCGACTTTGTGATCGAAGCCGTCCCGGAGATCCCCAAGCTGAAGTTCGACATCTTTGCCAAGTTGGCCGCGATCTGTCCCCAGCACACCATCCTGGCTACAAACACGTCGTCGATATCCATCACCAAAATCGCCGCCGCCACCACCAAAGACCCTAAGGACACCTCGGCGAGTTCCCGTGTTGTGTCGACTCACTTCATGAACCCCGTGCCAGTGCAGAAGGGTGTCGAGATCATCAGTGGTCTCCAGACCAGCGCCGAGACGCTCGACACCGCAGTGGCTTTCTGCAAGGCTATGGGCAAGATCACCTCCGTTTCCGCCGATTCTCCTGGCTTTCTTGCTAACCGCATCCTGATGCCGTATATCAATGAGGCCATTATTTGCCTGGAGACTGGAGTTGGCGACAGGGACTCTATCGATTCTATTATGAAGAACGGTACGAACGTGCCTATGGGCCCACTTCAGCTCGCTGATTTCATTGGGTTGGACACCTGTCTAGCCATCATGAAGGTGCTGCACACCGAGACGGGCGACTCCAAGTACCGGCCGAGCGTGATGCTTGCCAAGATGGTTGACGCTGGCTGGCTGGGAAAGAAGAGTGGCAAGGGATTCTACGATTATTAGGCTGCATCGTCAAAGTGTTACAAGATATGAAATTTAAATAGTAAAGGTGCAAGCGCAGTCCAAATTGCACAAACGTAATTGAAGCTTAGCTGGCTTTGATACCAAATAGACCCTGCCAACACGGTTTTTATTATCTATCAGCCAACCAGAATTTCTAGCTCCTCGATGGATACTCTAGTTGATATTGGTCGCTCTGGCAATGCTAGTGTTGTCGACTTACTCCACTTGAATTCTGGTCCTGCTAGCTATCCCTTCACAACGCTTTCGCGGCCCGTGAAGTAAACTTACAATTCTAGGGTCGTCAATTACGGTCGGAAGCGGCGGCATTTATCGTACTGGTCCAACCGTTATTCGTATCTCGGCACTTCACGCAGGAGTACCCGTGAGTTAGCATTACTTCAGTGCGATTTTTATCGTTCAAGTTCCACTCCGGTCAAACTAGTGAAACAATGGCAGCTTTCTGGAGTTTGGCTACTACATTGGGGGTCAGGCTAACTACACAGCCTGCGTCCGAGCACAGGGAGACTGGGAAGGACTGCGCCGTCTGGAGACTTGCGGGACTGTATGTTTAACATCCGTCTACGGAAGTGCATCCGGCGGGAGGCCAACTGCAGAACAAAAGTGGGCTGTTGATCTCGATGCAAGAAATTCGAATAGAGACCGACAGGGAGTTTTGGTTTCGGGGTAGCGCTGAGGCCCGTCGGACGATTATCTTGTGTCTGGGAAATGAAGACAGTAAGCTGGTTTACCTTGTATTTAAAGTATAACACGGATCCTGGAATTGATATTTCACATATGGACTATAGCCGTGAGCTGAGAGGCCGTTGAGAGTACTAGTCGATATCACTATTATCCGCTCCAGGACATCACCTCGAGTGCTTATCATCAAGAGGGTCATCCTGTATTATAGAAGGGCTAACAACCTAATCTCCAGCTAAGGAGAATAAAACAGCAAGCACGGTATAGGGGTGTGAAACCAAAGCATCTAGAGAACAACAAATTGTGATATATATGTAGATCTGTGCAGAAACGTTTGCCTACGATGAGGCTCGGGTATGGGTTTCAGGTCCATATGAATGATTCATGGTAAGTTGCTATATCAGGGTTCTAACATAGAAAGTTTAAAGTCAAATGAGGCTCAGCTTTCTATATGACGACACAGCCATCTCCTCAACTCGACATATTGCAAGCTTCTTACGACGATTAATTACATACAGACTCGTCACCTTAGGATAGATGAATACATATTTACTAATCTCTCACAAATGAAGCGAATGGAAAACGAAGCTTATCACTTCCCGACGCCCTGGATTCCAGCCTCCTTCCTAGCCATACAACATTGAATGATGACTGCACAATGACTGATAAGTGAATATCAAGGCATGCTGGACAATGGATACGCCTTTACTACCACGCCGAGGGTCTCCCGACAGCACTCAACCCCAAAGCTCACCGCTGATTGCGGCAGGATCAAACAGGGCCGGTCCCAACATGCTGACAGATTCAACTCACAATTGCAAGGCCTTGTTGCCGCGTCCAAGCTTAGCACGCGTCTGCCGGAAGCGCGGAAAAGAAAAGCAACTGATATGACCGCTTCATCTATCTTTCCATGCTTGTGACACGCCTTCTCACCCTCTGATAGGCCCGTTGGCGTGCCAATGGTCATGATGCAGCGACAGCAAGGCCTGATATAGGGTCGCTGGGAGGGAACGGCAGGCGGCCTCGAAAGCAAGCGCTCCCCGCTCAAGTAAGCGGCTCATGCGCAAACGGTCAAGAAACGGAGACTTTCGAGACAATGTCTTTTCCCTTCCACAGGTGCGAGTAAGCATAACGGTGCAAGTGAGCTCGTTGGTAAGAACAATTATCCGCTTGGACGGGCTGGGTGAAGGGTCTCGTTTCCTTGAAACTGAAGCCGTGGGCAGGGAAGCCGGGCGGCTCGTCCATCATCTGACGGCCGTGGTGGAGGCAAATCCTGCTTCACGAGTCCGCGAAGGCGCGTATGAGCTATTATAGCGTTATCAATTAAGGGCGTAATAGTTGTGCTGCTATAGCGATTGTGCAAGTTGGTCAGGTACGATCGGTAGCTGCATGGGGACGGGCCACAAGCATGTCGACGACCCCACGAACTCCTCCGCATCAACCATATGTCAAGGATGAGAGCACTATTCCCCGGGAAACGAGTCACGCGCCCAGGCACATCGTGATGATCCTGTGGGGAGGAGGGTGGGAGGAGAGGGCCGAAGCGAATCAGCAGTCGACTGGCGGCGGTTGGGCCTGTCAGGAAGCCCAACCACCCGAAGCAGGATCCGGAGCTGGCCCGCAAAGGCCGGATTGTAGCTCTCCTTTTCATGAAATCCAGTGGCTGGTGTATCTTCGCTGAAAAACAAAAGCTTACATTCAGCCGGCGGGAACAAGCCTCCAGGCTCAACCGGTATTTCCCAAAGCGGAAGAACTACCAACAGTAGACACCGTAGACGTTTCAGTGGCAATTCAGAAAGCGGTTACTCCTTTTCTAAGCCAAAAAGTCCTCTTCAGGCTAGATAGTCATGTATGATTTTTCACGGCAATTTCAGCGGCGCTGGTAATACTCAGAGGCAAAAGATCTAATGGTATTGCAATGGCCCTCCATGACACCAAAGTAAAGAGACCTCGGCATCTAGATATGTATTGTCAGAGATAAGACTCCGAAGAGACAATCTACCTCCAGAACCTTCAATGCATAAAATACGTTGGCTGTCTTCCCAGAACATGATACACCTGTTCGAGTAACAAGTTCTTTCAGGGATACGTTAGGCATCTATATATCAGGCGTATGCCAAAAAAACGTCAGTTGGTATATGTTACACAGATGGTTTGAAAAGTACAACCCAGGGATTTCTTTATTTGTCATTGATCGTAGATCGTTGCTGTGCTATTCATTAAGCCCAGCGTCGTCAGTGCTCATATCCCGCCGAATCCATACTAATATTCAGCATCTAAAATTCGTCACTACGCCCTCATAACCAGTCAATAGCAGGATGCCGGACAGTGTCGATGGAACATAATGCTTCAGGTAAGGCCACGACCCAAACCAAATTATCTGTGAATAGTACGTGAGGAAGTAGAACTACGTTGCCAGCAGGCTATAATTCACAAATTTGGATGTGCTGGTTCAACCCGTGGAATCCGCCCCCATTAGTGCAGATGTGAAGAAAGTGTACATTGGCTGAATGTACTCAGTCCTGACTTGGTCGTGTGAGTCCCCGCGCGAGGGTATCAAACTGCGAGCCGGCTGAATGGTTCCAAGGCGAATTCGGGGGATCTACAGTTAACGTATGCTACAATACTCAGTACATACAGGTTGAAGAAAATTGGTCTTCAATGCTTGTAGGATTCCGTTGAAAGCCAGAGAGAACGAAGCAATGCCAATGTAGCCTTGAAGTTCAGAGAGTAAAACCTTACTTGCAATATCAATTGAACCGCGAACACGCTGTGAACAAGGCGGCACTGGTTAATTGAGCGTTTTGCCTGAACATTGGGTGCAATGGACCATCAGTGGCCGCACCTGAGTCCTGGCAAACTTGCTCCAGTTTGCAAACATGTCGATGTTCGTATGCGTAGACCCATCCAAGGTCTGTGTTATGTATGGCGTTGGCCCTTACATGAAAGGGAACAAAATGTAGCATGCTACAGCCGGATCAGCAAGCTTGTGCAGTACACTCTACGCCTGTAGACCACCTGGGTACATTGACTGCCTGCACTTTTGGACTTCCCTATAGGTACCTCTACCTACCTGTGGCACCCTATTGCTTTCACTCGTCCCCGGGTAACATGATAACCTAATCAGCTAATTGAGAATGATCAAGCAGGTATTTGTGAATGTTACTGCTGGCGCTCTCCAATCTTCGAGTTTTGTTCCAGGAAGGACCACAATAACCAGACTATTTAGCCGTCTAGCTAGTTCCTCACGTCTACGCATAGTTTTGCGTGTAAGCCGGAACACCGCAATACATGGAGCGCAAGACTTCCCAGGTAGCCAGACAGCTCTCGGTACGTAAACTTTAAACCAATTCTGCCGTTGAGAGAATGATGTCTCCAGTAATGTATAGTAATCCAGATCCATGCTGTGATATCTTTGCCGCATTACATACGTGCACACTGATACATAGATGCAGGCGCACTAGGTCCCATTGTTTGCTAAGTATACTTGGGGGATCTACGTTCTCCTACACGGAAGATCTGAACACCCAATCCTGTCATCACGGCTAAGGGGTAGGGAAAGCACTGCTAACATTACGCGATATCATTCCCTGACCGTATGATTTGTTAATCCCACACAATGTGATAGGGTGGGTCGCTGAATGTGCGTCTCGGAGGCGGGAAAATAGGGGGGTCCGCGCGTTGAGTGTTCGCATCTAAAGCTACTTGAGGGAAGACGTCAAAGGAAAAAGAAAAGGAGGTCCAACGATCAGAACGAACAACGCGTGCCGAGGGGGAACAAGGGTGCGGGTTTCCCGGCAGTGCGATCCCAACGACAGACCCTTGCCTCGGTAACATCCAAGATGGATTGCTACATCCCACCACCCATGACACGATACTGAGTACTCTTGCGGCGCCAATTCCTCCAGGGCACGCTCAGTTGTCCACCCAGACTGTTGGGTCGGCCAGCGCCCGCTGGAGATGTGCTGCCTGATACCCATGCTTCGTAATTTGGTGTTTGACACAGATAGATGGGGTCACCTCCACCCTGTCTGTCTAGACATGGGGGAAGCCGTCGAGCTAGAAGGTCTAGAAACGCAAGGAATCTCGACTGCGTTGCCGTCTTGGTTATGACGTCCGGTGATAGTCTCCACGATATCCAGCTACATGGGTTGAGATCGCAGTATGGTGGCTAGCGAGAGGCTCTGTGGCGTCAGAAGATCAGACGACTTGGTGCCATATTTTTTCCATCAGTCTCCGCTTCGGACACGACCCTATCTCCGATCAAGCAGTCTCAGCTCGATGGAAATGCCACCCGTCATATTGCAAGGCTCTTTTTGCGCTGGCGGGGGCGGCAATACGTTGCGCACACTCTGTGCAACGCTCGGCCGTGAACCATTGCGCAGTGTAGTGCATCACCAGCTCTATTCTCGTCTTCGACGCATTTGTACCGGCTACTCGAGATCATCCCCAACCCCACCACCCGGCGGTTGACTGCATCTGTCTCGCGGCCTACGGCGCCAATGTCTCCAGGGACCTAGACCATGATCTCGCTTCCGCGCAGAGGCTTGGCCGTCCCGAGAGAGAACGAGAGACCTGTTAGACTTGGACCCATCTAGCTGCAAGGAACCCTCGTCGACGGTGGTGGACGGAGTCGACGGCGGATCGCCCCTACAGTCGTGAAGCCACGGTCTTCTTGGCGTCCAGAATAATGGATCGCACATTGCGTGTTCCGTGCTTCAGGTGTCCAAATGGCTAGTATATTCGCACCAACCAGGGAATCGCACTACGCAAAGAACCATGATCACGTAGAATTTACCGAGGACTGATCAAGCCCCAGCCAAGGTATTATGACCCTGGACTTCGTGCAATTATCCACGTTCAAAAGCGGCTTCGCGGGTTTTGCATGGCGACGTGATTAGTCAACCAGTCTCATCTTGGTTCTTCGCTACCCAGAGTCTCAGACAGCCCAGTCTTACGGTCTGACGAGGATGGTCTCATCAGAACACAAACAACATCAATCAGCCTTACGACCCGTGAATTACAGTACCATCGCGGAAGGACTGGCGACGAGTGAATGCTCGAAGGGGAGAGGGGGGGTTCCCAGCATAGTGGGTCGCATCCTTGACCCAGCTCAGTAAACTTTGGCCACGGTGCTGGGGGCCGCATTGTTCTGTTCCTTGGTGTGCGTCTATGTTTAGCAGTTTATGTAAATGTCGATCGACACGTTAAGCATTCTCTGAAACTGGAGAAAACGTTAAAGCAGGCCATGTCGGGACGCATGCGCAAAGTCGCGCACACACGAAAAATCGACTGTAGGATGCCCACGTGTGAGCGAGCAAAGGGATGAAGTAAACAAATCTCGAAAAAGCGTTGAGAGATGTAGTGGCAGATGATGGTTAGAATGGCATCGAGTTGAATTAAGGTTTTTCTTTGGGTTGCGGCAATCATTTGCACCATCTGCATCTTAATTTGAAGCTCAATATCGTTAATATCTGTACCCGCTCGCCCTGGCATACACTATGCGGTGCATATTCCGAGAGGCGGCATAGCTAAGGGACAGGTAGCCACAGCCTCTGGAGCTGGAAAACCACTGCACAGGCGGCGCCTGCTAGCCTATACCGCGAACCATACCATGCCCAAACCATACATTTTAGCTCGAATCTGTCACTTGCCCGAACGAGACTACTGGTTTAGTGCAACGTTTTGTCTAGGCCCTTGGTTCCGTATCTCTGCAGTATTGCAGAAGCCTAGTCACATGTAGTGACATGGGGAAGAAACGGGCACGTCATGGACGCTGCAGGCCCTGAAGCCCTGCGATCTATTAAGACGCGTGCTATAGCTACCGCGTTTGGCATCTTGGATAGCGTCTAAATCTGGTGAGGCTGTCACATCTCTCGCTGGGTGTCGGGCCCGGCCATCCCTGTATCAGATCTCGAGTTGGTAGGTCGTAGTGGTGCGCGCGCAATCGCAGTGTCTCAACGGCAGTGGGGCAGTCTACTCTGCCGGGAGATCCTCACTGGAATGGCAGGTCGCCATCGCCTGTCAAGGTGGGCATGCCTGCTTCCGTTTGGGAAATCCCAAGACGACTTCAATGCTCGTCTTCGATCATCGGCTTCCAACTCGAGTCAGAACAACCTTAATCCGCCTGCCTGGACTGATTCTGCAGGACTCAAAACATCTCTTGTGGGTTTCTTCATCGCCAGTGACTCCATATTACCGGGGCCCCTGAGCTGGCAGCGCCTCGACGGGAGGCGACTTCGCTATTCTGGGATACAGCACTCATAACGCAGCCACCGTTAAGTGCGAGGGTTGTCTTCGCTGAGCGAAAGCTACCTGGGCGGGCGGGGGTTCCAAAAATGTCTTGAGTCGAATCATGCTTGCGCAACCGCTGATGATGCTCTTTGCTGAGCCTGGCCGCGGAATGGCGATATTTTTAGTTGTTTCGATACGTTCGTATCCTCGTCGACAGCGTGGGTCGTCTAACGTGGCTATACTGACTATGGAGTCCGTATCTTTCACACATGTCCTCCCTGTATGTCAGATGTCATCCCGTGGAAGGGTGTTTCGAAAAGCCAGGCTAGTGCATCCCACACGACTTACGACCTGGCATGGCAATGGATAACATGGCTTGACAGTAGACAAATCTGGAATTGACTTCGGCCATCTGAATCTGCTGTGTGGTATCACCATGATGACTCCAATATCAGAGCTACACAACATGTGCTCCTACTCACAGACGGAAACAATGCTTGCAAGTTACTCAAAAAAGAAGCATACATTCCCCAAATAACCACGCCGCGTCTTGCTGTAAGGTTGAGCGACAAGGGTGCTTACCCACATATCAAATCAATAGCCACGGCTAGGAACTGCTGCTGTCGGAGCCCATGGCGTTGAACAGCACGACGAGGTCACTTCCGACGATCGCGGTCACCCGCCACAATGCCTGGTTGCTGATTATGCCCAATTGTCCCATGACGGCGCAGACAAGATCGCCGTCGAAATTCCTAGATTCAGTGCCTCCGGTACGGCTCCGACGGGCGTGGACACCTGTTGCGGAAGGCCGGGGTGCCGCAGGGAGCAGCGAACCAGCTTTTTCAGACAAACTCACGATGCAACTAGCTTCTGATTTGCAATGGGACCAAATGTCGACGGACAGCGTAATGGATGGCCTACGCTGCAGCGGTGAGCAATCTGTGGTGCCAAAAGAATTATCCACCCTAAAGGCCTGGATCGGCCTCAACTTGCGATGCCAACGGGTCCAACTGGAGATATGTGCTGGGGCTTCATTGTGGAGCTTGTGTGCGTCGGGGGGAATTACAAGTGCATCGTCTTGAGAGTCGTTGTCTCGAACTTGCTCCAGATGTCTAGTTCCTACATACTTGACAAAAGAGGACTCTGATCCAGGGACAACTCCGTACTCCATTATTTGGGGTCTCTTATTAGTTAGTGTTCATGAGCTGCGGTACTGTCAGTGGTGACCCTTGCTTGCCCACACTGCTGGGATCTCCCAATTACCGTGGTACCATTGCCACGGTTGCCCGCAATACATATGGCATCTCATGGGTTGAAGTGCAGATCCAGTGTGGCTGGCCTCGGCTTAGACTGGCGGACACACAGGCAAGCAGGCAGAGAGGCAGACGAGCAGACGGACGGACAGACAGACAGACCTGTCAAGCCAGAACCACAGCGTGGACAGGTTGTCCAGCTAGTGTCGTGTTCAGCCACCCCGTGCTGCAAGACATTCACGAGGATCGACTTCCATGTTGATAATCTCGCACTTTGTTGGCTTGTGATGTCCAGGTATCTTGTACTCACGGCCTGGTGTCCCGTAGCGCCGATATGCAGGTACATCGAACTTAGCCGTCTTACCAGGGCTTGCCGTCCACCGGCGCGCTGCTCCAGGTGCCATGTGATTGGCGGAGCTAGAATCCAGGGGAGCGTGGCTCACGACTGTAACGGCGCTCGCAAAGTCCATTGCTTATCCTCGGCCGGTGTCCGCGCCGTTGCTGGCTGTCCCGCTATCAGTCGGGTTCGCTGCTAAAGATGCGCGAACGGCCAGATTCCTCTGTAGTCGGACTAAAAGTCGTTCTGGTATGGCGCTGGTGGGTGCTTGCGAGATTGCGGGAGGACGACACCTGTATCCACCGGCCCACGACCATGAAGTTTCCATCGCTGGAATCCTCCAATTTGCTCTGCCGTGGGCGATTCCTTGGCGGTCAGCACCTACGTATTCACAGGTGCGCAAGGCGTTTTGGGATAGCCAGGGATCGTTATCCTTGCGAGCCATCACCGGTCGGCGAACTGGACCGCAGCGCGAGACCCAGCCAGCTTCCCTCCCAGACCTGGGGTCCTGGCAGACCTCCCCGACCCTGCATCCATGTCGCGGCTAGCACCCCCTGATGAAACAGGCCATGGTGTGAATCCATGCTGCAGAAGCGGCCAACGCGAAGCACAGACACTGGAGCTCGCCCGCGATCCACCCAAGGTTGGCAAGCCCGCATCGCAAGCTCAAGGGCCCTGGGGCATGCCCACCTAGCAGCCATTGCCATGAGGCTTGCATCTACCATCAGCTCGGTTTTGTTCTGCCAGTCTGCTTGTGGTGTTGGACTCCGGCTCTACATGTTGACGTTGACTAGTGCACCGAGGTGTGGATTTCACGGCACCTGTCCGAATGCAAACACGGCCACTGCCTGGACGATATCACGACACCAGACATCTGGCTGCATTGGGTCGTCTGCACTACTACCTCACTACACCTCACTACCTCGCATTGCCTACAGTCGTTCTAGCCCCACTACGGCCAGCAAGTAACCCGTCATATCAGGCTACGGCTTGTTCGGCGCAGCTTCCTATGACCCTCCGGAGCCTTTAGGTCGTTTTGAGCAGCGCCAGACTGCCGAGTGTTAGGCGGCTCGCTATAGTCAGCTCGCCAACGTCGGCATAATGGCTGGGTGTCTGCTGTGGCCATCGTGCTAGTGCATGACTGAAGCCTCCTCCGCCTGGTCATTTCTGGCATCCCGAACATGGCCCAATCTAAGTGTGAACCTCCTGCGGCCTAGCTTGCGAACCTTGTCTTCACCATGCTCCATGATCCGGCATTGTGACTACCAGCTGCGCCTGGCGGCGAACGCGAGCGGGCGGGCGAATGAATGTCCTTGACCACGGCTTTTCCGGACGGTTGCTGGAGAACAAGCCCGCCTGTACGCTGTCCTGGCGCCACCCAGTGGAGGAGCTCTGGGGGATGGTGTACGTACATGGTACTGGTCCTCGGAAGCAGAGGTGATCTCTTGGATCTACCCACTGGTTCCCTGTCAGCCGTCAAGGTTCAGGCATTAGACACCAATGCCCTTGCTTCTGTTTTCCTTTACTCGGCCCACTCCCTCGGCCAACAACGCCAATTCAGTCTTCCTCGCGCTGCGTCGGGCCACGCCCTTTCCCACGGGATAGACGAGCTACACTAATGGTGTGGATTTTCCATTGGCTAAAGATTCTAGCAGCTTTGTAACGGTCATGCGTACATCCGTGGATATCTCGCGCGGCTGGTGTAATGAAGGACCAATTGGGAACTCACAGGTACCCTGCTCTGTCAGCTGTGTACAGTCAACTACTCGCATCTGAAAACCCCAAGATCGATGCAACTTACGCCGCTAGGCTGGATAGATCCGTGCTCATCTTTCTTTGTGTGGACACTTCCACGATGAACTGATGCCGCATTGCTGTCTTCTCGCTCTCGCCATTGTCTTGTTCCCTATCCTCTCAATGCAGCAACTATAGAATTTACGTTCCATCACCTGGGAGACAAACGTCATCAAGCGATGACCCTTCTCTTCAAAGACAGCCTTATGGCAGGGTTACCATAACACGGCATTACCCATTCAGCCGAAACTCCAATGATTTTAGCTCGATTCGACAAGATCTTGTCACTGATACCACTGGCCAAAAAAGGTGTGTGGCTCAGCATAAACCAAGCTGTCTCCGTCCAAGTTTCCGCTTTGGAGCCTTGAAACGGACAACCAGGGCTGGCCTCAATTTTCTGACCGTTTTTAAAGGTACCGTCCGAAGTTGGTCCATTACCCACGAACGGCTTGTGATCGCTCACACACTACCCGTGCTGGCCCTGTCGTTCTTTCGGATCCAGCCTGGACATTTCTCCGTCAGGGTATGCCATACTGTCCGGTATTAATTCCACCTCTGCCATTCGTACGAGCAGGGGTCCCCTCGAGGACTTGTCTCGCTTCGACAAGACAATCTTCGAGTTCCCATACATAATAACTGGACCCGTCAGGCCCAGGCATGTCGAGGCGATCAACCCCACCACAGCACCATCGTCTCCTCCCAATTTATACACATCGTATCCCCAATCGAGGAGGCTCAAACCCACGGACAGTCTCCTTCACTTCTACTTCACACTTCACTTTCAACGAGGTCACCGCTCTCTTTTCAATTCCCTTTCACTTTCGATTCGTTCTTGGACATCCAGCCTCATTACAGGCGGGTTACTTTTGATCTTGATTGTTGAAGGGCTGGCCTCGATCTTTGTTAGTCCCACCGTCGTTAGCAGCTTCTTGTGGACACACCATTTCTTTTCTGGATTTTTCTTCTACAACATCGAGCTTGGTTCACAGCGCTTTTGGGAAAGATAGAGAACTAGAAGCAGGCAAGGAAAGTGCGGACAGATCCGAAGCCTACAGCTGTCTCGAACTACAACATCTGCGTCAACTTCTACTTTTCCTCAACACGTTCTTGAAGCTGCTGAGCAGGACCAACGTCAAGAATCCACAGTCCGGCTTGGGAACTCGCCTCGAGAACTTGACTGGCAATCCCGGACAGCAATAGCACTGACAAAAGCACGGAGTCTGGAAACCCTCTCGACGCTCGTTTATTATTCCAAGATAGCTCCTAGAGAGTTACTGTTTTGACCTTGGTTTTCAATCCAACACACAGTTCAGGCAGTCAGCATACTCTTCCCAATGCTTGTTACTAGGCAGTTAGATTCGGAGTCAAGCCCTTGGTCCAGCAAGTACCAGACCATATTCCACAAGCCCACGAGCCCACGGATGTCGAACTTTGAGGGACCGTTGTCAACGCAGCCTGAGTGGCAAGGACATTACTCATATCTTCCCCCAGGGGAGCCCAACATATTCGCTCAACCGTTTGAGCCAGTCTCAACCTCTGCCCCGAGCAACGATGCTCCTACAGAGCCGCACGCTTCGGCCAACACAAGCAACGTCCCAGAGTCTCCTCACCAGTCTAGTCAGAGTACGACAGACCCACCATCCCAATCTCGCGCCTTGGATTCGCAAGGACTACGCGCACCAAAGGTCGAATCGCCAGTCAATGACATGACTGAACCCCGGGCTGTACTTTACGGGGTCAAGACCGAAGGCGCACAAGAGCAGTCATTAGCGTTGACGGACACCCCAGGGCTACTCTCCGCAGAGCAAGCTCAGGTGAATCCTGAGGGTCAAAATGGCAGTGAAGATGTGGCTTTGGGAAAGGAAGAGGACGACGACATCGTAGATGATGATGACGACATGCTCGAGGTGGAAGGTGAAGGGGAGACTGGGACGCAGCCTCAGACAGCCGCAGAGAGGACGGCTGCTAGACGGAAGATGAAGAGATTTCGGTAAGTAAATTTTCTCTTTTATGCAAGCCGATTAGCTGATTTTCCCAAAGCCTTACCCATCAGCAAACTCGATTCCTGATGAGCGAGTTCGCGAAGCAGCCTCATCCCGATGCTGCACACCGCGAGCGGCTATCTAGAGAGATCCCAGGCCTCAGCCCTAGGCAGGTCCAGGTCTGGTTCCAGAACCGGTAGGTAATGGGAACCGCCTACTCAGATCAATGTTGGCTAACGATACACAAGGCGCGCAAAGATCAAGCGACTTACCGCCGATGACCGTGACCGCATGATCAAGATGCGTGCTGTCCCTGACGACTTTGACAATGTCCAAGCACTCCACTCTCCATATGGCGCTGTACACACGTTGAGCGCTCCTATGACACCGCCTGTGGATTTTGGAGCTCAATCATACGCGGAACACATGATGAGGCCGCTCATGCTGGACACCATCAGGAGAGGTGAAGGTGACGACCACATGTCTCCGACCGGCCTGAGCCCGTCCTTTGGAAGCATTGGCTTCACGCCCTCTGGAAGCATGAACACACCTGATATCCTCTCGCCGCTGTCAACGACGTCAAACGATCGTGGATACTACTCAAGCCATCTAGCTAGTCCACTGAGCAGTGGTCCCAGGTCATCCAACCCTTTCGCACGACAGAACAGTCTGGACACTGGCTTGCAGTTGCACGGACAGAGCAGACAGCAGATTCGACCCCTGCAACCGCTTCAGCTGAGGGAAACCATGTCGAGATCAAGATCTGACAACCTCCAATCTCCCTTGAGATCGGGCATGTCATGGAAAGGAGACTCGATCGACTATACCTACCAACCAGGCAGTTCGAGTCCTGCGATTGGGGGCCGCCACCCGTCGCTCTACCAACCAGAACAGTCTGGGACTTCTTCGGGCAACAGCCTCAACTACGATTCGGGTTCTTACTCTGGTGAGTAGCCGAACCATAGGTTTCCATGTTATAGACAGCTAACGGCTCTAGCAGGCGGCCTTTCATCTTCGCCGACTCACATCAACTATTCCAGCTTACACTCCGCAACTCTTCAGCAGCCTCCTCAAAACACGCGACTAAGAGCTGCCTCAGCCACGCTGCCCCTGGGCTTAGATCTGCGCCATCAATACCGATCAGTTTCGTCCGGTCACAACCTACAGGGTACCGGACACTCGACGCCTCGAGCTGCTTCGGCTACTCCGTACTCGACAACATACACCTCGAGCTTTCCCTCGGCACCACTGACTGCGCCAATTGATTTTGCACAGCCAAGGACTCCGGGCATCAGATCTTCGGTCCATGATTACTCGATGCCGCAAATGAGTGCGCCCATAGCACCCCCTCAGGACTTCTCTCAGGCTCTCCATGGCAGTATGGGTGCCCCAAGTACACGAACACCAATGAGGGATTCTTTCAGTGGTTCGGCCCTGGGTGCGAATCAGAATCAAGGGTCGAATGAGAGATCCGATGAATATTCCCAAGATAGCTTCGGTGCAGCCAGCCTCAAACGCAAGCGAAGCTACAGCTCTGGCGCAGGTGCACAGTCATACCCCCATACATCTTGAACGAGCCAACACTCAGGGCTCTTTCCTCCGCAACAGGGTTGTACTAGGCGTAGTCAAGTCCTTCCAGCAACTTTGTGCTGACCACTTCAACATACCCAACCTTTTCTTTCTGCAGCCTTCTATTCATTGGGTTATATGTTCTTACTATACAGGTTTATATTTTCCTTGGTGTGTTTTGTGGGATTGGTAGCTTTTTTTGCACGCTGCCGGGTTACGGCAAATGAATCGCATCAATGGGCGTGAGCGTATTAGTCAGGTTCAATGGCGTTGGGGTTTGGTGATTTTGGAACGATGGAAGAGGCAGAATGACACGGCCATGACCTTCGAAAAGACGGTGACACGGTATGTCTTCTTCAGGCGAGGAACGAGAGCTGAGTTAGCCGGGAACGAGCTGAAGTCCGCTTCTCCATGTACATAAAAAACGATCGAGCTTGAGATTCTATGGCCTTCGCTACGAAATGAGAGCAGGCCAAGCAACTCTACATTGTCCAAGACTTTGCAACTTTGATTTACGCATGCATACCGAATATTCTGTGGACCTCCGTTCATTCACAATTCCAGCAAGGCGCATGACCCGAAACGCACCTTTGAGCGCTATGAGTGAAAACCATGGCAATTAAACATGCTTACTCAACCAATCGATTGCTCTTGGTCGCAATCGCGTGTTTTGAACTCGTCAGTTTACCTCTTGGAAGCTGTCATTTCTTGGGGCCTGGCACGATTTGGCCTCTTCCCCTACTTGCAGATTTCCCGCAGATCCAAGTCACGGTAATGCCTAGGTTACACTTCGGAACGCAACCCCGATTCCTAGCTGATTTACTTTCAGATCTGTTCATCTCAGAAAACCCGAAGCGCCTCTGAAGCTTGACAATGTACCGTTGGACTCTGGTTCAATACTACGTTAACCAGGCTCTGGATCTGGTGTTTCTCAACTATGCGGGTTGTATTCCACAGCAACATCGTACATCTCACCCAGTGCCTTCACCGCCTTGATGTCAGGCACGTCCGGCGATGTCACGCAGGCCCATACTTTGCTAAAGCGTAAATTGCCTCCTTGGGGAGGCTGATATCTTGAGCACAGCTCCTCGATTGTCGGCCCCAAAGAGCATAGCTTGGCCGGAGTAGACTCTTAACCAGCCCCCAAAACGGATAGATACGTCTTACGTTGTCGAGCACCGGCGGGGATACCTAGACACTGCAGGCTGAAAATGCATGTTGGGTCACACAACCCAAGGCTAATTCATCGAGGGATCGTGGCGCTCTAAGCTTTGTGTAACACTCCAGATTCTGGCTTCTGGTTGCAGAACCCGGTCGGAACTGGGGTCTTACATGGAATGGGGCAGACGGTCTTGGGACGGTGTTCTGCAGCTCTTGGCTTTGGCTCTTAAATCACTTTGGGCCGTCAAGATGCCCTCACTGCTACTGGAAACGGTTGTCATGAGGGAGATTCTGCTCGGAGAGATTTCTCTCTCATTGCGCTCCTATTGCAAACACATACTCGACAGCAGGTATATTGCAATCTACTACGAAAGCCTAGTGATGTTTGGCTGAACAAAACGCAAGGAGCTCAGGCTGCTCAGAGTCAGCCTGTGTACATAGCCAACATGCCATTGGCTATGACATACATCATTGATATACAATCCCTTGCATGAAATGGTGGGGGAAACTCTGTGGACATGGAACGCAGCTTTCAAGTTGTATTCCACGAGGCTTAGATACACGCTATTATTTCCAAGCAGCCACGAAGTCATGTCATCCAGGCACCCAAGAGGCAGCCCCGATGCACCATAGACTCTATTGTACCTGCGATGTCACCTCTTCCTGGCGCTCTTGCAGATCGCGGTTAGCAACCTTTTCGCACACCGATTCCAAGCGTCAGCTACCCCGGCAAGTCACGACATGTCTCTGATGCCGGCACTTAGCTTGAAGTTCTCACGCAGGATACACGGAGGCCAGCGGGCCAGATACCCTGGATGCTACCAAATCTCCCCTCCCTAGATCCTGTCGAGCGACAGCAGAGCGCAGCCGGTTGAAACAGAGTATGGTTCGTGTTATGCAACTGGCCGTAGAAGCCGAAAGGGGGTATATGACGCCTATTAAGGTCCCATCAGATCCAGACCCACCGTCGAGTCTTGTTCCCCTGTCGCGTGTGCTACCTACGACTTTTGTGGACAGCGCTGAACCCAGGGAAGCATCACGCACAGATTTTACTGGGTGGTGTTCGCTTCTTGCTTCCGGCTGATGCTACGCTGTCCAGCCCCGGAGGAGGAATCGCCCTGGGCGCAGATCCGACCCTACGCTACCTTAGGGTAGACCCCCTGGCAATTGGGCACATCTAGCTCGTTTTTGGCGTCTGCTGTCAGGATCTTATGGGCACTGCGGCATGGGTACAGCAGATCCCCGGTGGGCACGATGACTTATCCGGGGTAGCATTGATGACATTTTGACATCTTGCGATCCACGGGCCAACAGAGGCAAAAAGCCGCCGATCAACGGCTTCGGCTTCAGTATATGCCTTAACGTTAGGATACGGAATGACGCACATGAGGAATACGTGTTGAACCTTGGCTTCTTCTGACTGCGCCTCATCTTTGCGCCACACTGTCTTTCTCGGAACCATGGCCATGGCATATATGTGAACGCCTCTTGGATGGCACGCTGAGCTGCGACCGCAAGATACCGCTGACAGATTAGCAACAGTCAGTTCTGTACATGTTTAGTCTTGCAGGGGCCTCAGCTAGATGTGCGATGCGACTAGGATACACCGAAGTATGGCCGCCCCCTCCAAATGTCATGAGATGTCCGTATCAACCTAGGATCAGACTGGTCTTTCACCTTCATTTGTGTGTCTGCTGGAAAGGGCTGTTTTTTTTCTACCTGTAGTAACGCGCTTTCTCCTGCATACTGCTTCAATTCAGCGAGGCTATCTCGCTCGGATGGGAAGAAAATCTGGGGAATGTTGTCATGCTAGCTTTTGCCTAAATGATCCGAGATCAGTAATTGCCCGAGTCAACCCTGAATAACCCCTGATCTAGCTTATTTCCCGGTCGGGCCTTAGTGGTATACACGACAAGCCGGCATCAGCTGGCTTGTTCGTACGTACCGACGGTCATATGCTCAGCAGGCCAGAGTATCCGGCATCATGTAGTAAGTCCCACACCACGCAGGAGACAGTGCACATGGCAGGCAAATGCAATATACATCAACCCAGGTTCTTGAAAGCCATCGGGCCCACACACTATCGTTCCGTTGTGGAGTTGCCCTGTCCCGTCCACTCATGGGCTGACACTGATTCCGCTGGTGGGTGATGGACACCATAGCGCTCGTCCAGTACAGCTGCTCGTTGGAATTATAGATGTCGTGGTATCAACCGTACACGGCAAAGATTCTGAACAGTCCACAATAAACCAGTGTCTAATGATATGCCAACCTCTACGGGTGCGCAGGGCTTACGACCATTCTAGATACACATAATAATTCTACTTACTCTTTTACTACTTGACGCAACCAAATAAACATGCAGTACAATGTTAGCCTCATGGTACGGGACATTCTGTGTCTGTCAGATCCCTGAAAAAGTAGGTGCTATCATGTGCCCAAAACATGCTTTACATGCAGTCAGAGGTCTGGCAGTAGCGCGGGAGGCCTGGTGGCCAGGACCATATTTCGAGACAGGGACCGCGTAGATGCATCGCCGTAATAGATTCGTGCGCCGCTACTCGTATGCCGCCTCCAGCCGTCTTGAGGGCAGATTTCAGGGGCTGGGAACAGCCGGGACGACTCCGCTTGGCGCACTCACACATTCGTCTGTCATGGCCAGGTCCGTTGCCCCGGCTTATGTCGAGATAAAGATGCATGGAGGCAATCGCGGCAGTTCAGTAGCGGTACGTGCGACTGATGATGAATACAAACGGACGAAAAACGGAAGAGGCAAGTAGAGAACGACTCACAACCGTTGCGTTCAAGCAAAGCCGCCACGCTCCAGCTCGATGCTCGTGACGTTCTGGCGAGAGGGGAGAGGGGAGAGGGTAGCCATAATTCTAGCACAATGCCCAAACTCTCCTTCCTACAACTTCATCAGAGTTGGTGTCTCAGAAAAACCTTCTGGGACATAGATTAAGAGACACAATGACTTTTCGTCTGACGCCAGGCTTTGCCCTGGCGTTATCTCTAATAAATGATTATATCGCTACGAGTTCATTTATCTGACGGCCTTCGCGAGATCAGATAGAGCCCCTTAATGAAGCGATATTGAGTTTAAGTGCGCACCCATTCGTGCGAAACCAGGTGTTGGTTATGGCTAAACGCAGAAGGGTATTCGAGGCTGAGCGTTGTGTAGGCTAATAGATATCATACGAGTGAAGAGAAAAGAGATAAAGATCAGCTCAACTTTCTTCGAATACATGCTCTTGACTCTTTTTTTCGACTTTCTGCTTCTCACTGTGTAATACAGAGACCTGATTCAGTTGAGTCTCAGGGTCATGGGAATTGCTTCAAAATGCCGCCAAATTCGCGAAACAGATCTTGCCAAGTGCACTGCTATTATCGTTGTCTATTTCTTTTTTGGGGCGCCCACGTCGCTGCAGATCTTGGGAAATTATACCCAATCTAGTTATAACTTTCAACCTCACTGTCATTGCCCTTAGTATCCCTGGTTTCGAGACTACGCAAAAGAGATTTGCCCAAGTACGGCGAGAAGCGGGCTATGGTTATGCATGTCAGTAGATAACTCAATGCATCGGCTGCATCTCACCTCTCTGTTTCATCTTCAAGCCTCCAGCTCCTTGACGCCGTCTTCATATATCTAGGAAATTCCTCCAATACACGAAAAGATATGCTCGAGATATACTCCAGCCGATCGAACCAAGATGCCATCGATCATCGCAGCCGTTATCGCATTTTTTCAAGTCAATTCTAGTTGTTGTGCCGCTCACTTCGGACTTGTCCGCTCTTCAGGTCCTCTTCGTTGCCAGCCGAGTTGGTTGCGTGATCAAATGTTACAGCAACCGCGATATATGTCATCCCATTACACCGACGATAGTCTTGTCCATACTGCCGCGACTTCTAAAAGATTGATCTCGACCCGCGTTTCTCATGCCATCGATAACTGCCATACAACTAAGGGAACCATATCACTGGGATGGCCGTGTCTCTTTCCGACCCTCCCAGGTGACAATGGCATCGAATATGGCCCAGCCACTTGAGACGATAGAAGACTCGGATTAACTATTGATTCAAAATGATAATGACCGTGTTTTATGATACTGTGAAGCGGCATTTGTCTTGGGATACCTAGAATCGGAGCTCCCACTCGGGGGATGGACTACTTCAACTACACGAAGACCAAGGCCAATTCCGACTCTGCCTCCCTCATCACTTCCTAGCGACACACAGCATATGTTCCAGCATGTCGATATGGCGAAGTTCGCCACAAATATACAATGTGTCTTCCACATCTTTCTATAAATACAGCAGACCACGCATACATAGCGAATAACGAGGGGGTCGCTTGAAAGATATCTTGGCCCGCGAATTCTATTTCTGCTACAGAAGTGCCAAATCATCAGCGAGCCCGGTCAGACCTCGTATGGTGCCCGGCCGCTGCGTGAGAGACCGGCCTTCATAACGAAACCCGGCAGTCGAACTACTCGACGTGATTATTCGTATCATCGGCCTCGAAACCTCCATCGCTTACGCACTTTTCTCACAAATATCATGGGTTAGATGCTCATACTACTCCGCCAGATATTAGTTCATAGTTCTTGGGTATTGCCTGTCCTGGTACAAAACGGATGGCTAGACCTCACAGAAACTTCCCGTCAGATGAACTGATTTGGTTCGATCTCAAGGTCTTAGGCGGCGATTGGAGTTTCTTGGCCACAAACTCTAGCGTCTGCCTTGTCACCTTCAGCAGAAAGAGTTCAAGTTTGCGGCTGCTCCTGTGTCACCTTTCACCGTTGAACTGGACGACACGATCATAGGAAGAAACAGCCAGTTTCTTCGGCCTAGTGGTAGGATGTACTAAGCCAAAACTGCCGCAGGTGTTTGATGGTGCCATAGGAACCGGTGAGCTGATATGTTAGGGCAGTGGGGTTTAGCATGGGCGACAACCATGAAGCTCAAGATCTGAGAGTCTGAATTGCAGAGAGTGACTGACATCACAGAAACGTAGACGCCATGGCCTTGTTCCCGTGCCTAGAGATCCCTTCGGGTATCAAGCGTGGAATATGGGAGACACACCTAGATAATTCCACCTTAGGTTCTCTCGACCGCACGCAGGTTTTCCCCAGAGCTAACGGTTCATTTGGAGATCAAGTTCTAGAGATGTTTTTCTCAATACATTTGGACGTCTTTACGTTCACCCTTCTTCGTTGCCTCGCGTTGGATTCTCCGGGCCCCATAACTGGTCGGGGTGGTAGTGTAAGGCCGCGGCCAACGTTAACAAGCACACGTATCGGTGATTGCATTGCCTCTAAGCGCAATTCACTGCTTCGAAGAGCACGTAAAAATGTACCACTTGCAGGCAATCAATAAACCTAACCAATTACTACATACACCATAAGCGGTTGGAAAATATGAAATGAGTGGATCAAGTATTTAGCTCCTGTTTAGGATGATAGCGATTCGTTGAAGCCATGTGCTGCTTGCAATGGCCCATCTGATCCTACACAGCTCTTGTTATCACTTCCACTACTGTCTTCAACGGTTCTATTTTACGTCTAACCCCGCCACAGATTAATACATAGGTATAAGTCATCTCTGTATAAGACCGGACTCAACTAAGAACGGCTTGTCGGTATCTTCCGATCACTCGGTCCCACTCCTCGCGGGTTGCGATCGCCTGCTCACCCCAGTACCTGCAGAGCCGACTTTGCTCAGCTCAGGCCCCCTTTGTCCAGAAACCCCAAGACCAGCACTCTGACCACGCTCTGCCAAATCCTCATCATTTTTGCGTCTTAGCAGCGTCTCACTATTGCCACTTATCGGCGCTTCACTCGCGATGCCGCTCGCGACAGCGTCCGGGCCCACGTCGGTGATCCCTTCATGGTGGCCGTACGAGCCACCCACACTCTCCATCGTGAATGGGCTTGCGGTCGGCCCGTCTAGGATGCCCAGCTCCTCTGGGCTGAACAGCCTCGGCAGCAGCAGCGCCCGCACGGGAATGAGGGCCATGATGAAGACCGGGAACCCGACCGCCGCAACGGTCTGTGTGATGGCAAAGGTGGCTCCGAAAGCTACGAGCTCCAGCGCAACGAAATACCATATCGCGGCGCGGCGCTGCACCCGCTTCAGCGGTTCCGAGTTCGAAGTAAGCGCCTTATCCCGGAGCAGGAACAGGATCTTGGCCGTGATTCCGTTCGCCGCTAGCGCTTGGTAGCCCATGATGAAGAAAAGGCCGGCCAATACGGCTTGAGGGATGAGGTGCAGTACAACGAGGAGCGGGCCGGACATGGTGCCTAATGTCAGCAGACCCTGAGCCAGGTTCGACACACGTTGCTCGACGACATGCGTGCGCTTGAATGAGTAATGGCCCTTTTCTTCGCCACTCTCATCATTGTCGGCCACAACTTTGGTCACGCATAGACTCTCCGTGTGGAACGGAGCCTGTGGGATCAGGCCGTTTGGGAAGGGCAGACCGAGGATACCAGCAACACCCGTGGTGAGGCCGAGGAGGAAAAGATCCCAGTGGAATCCAGCAGGCTTTCGGAGGGGGAACTCGGTCCCTTGAGCGATTAGAGAAGATACTGCAGCCTGTTAGCGCTGATAATGTGAGAAAGAAGTCAACACCTACCATTATGATCAAACCAGAAGAGTATAGTCAACAGAATGGCAAACGGGATGGCCAAGAATACGTCGCCCACAGGGATCTCCCAGAACCGGATGAACCAGCCCCTATCGGCCGTGGGGAAGAAACTCGCGCTCGTGGGCAGCTTCTCAAGATCCACCTCAGTCATACGTCCGATGTGCACGAAGCCCGTAAAGAAGATGACCGTCAGCGGGGTGCCGTAGTCCTTCAGGAACACGCGGACCCAGTGCCAGAAGAGGGGGCTGGCGCCGAGCTCGCCGCACGCGTATGCGATCATGAAGACGAGCAGGGCGACCATGACCGAGAGGTAGAACGGCGCTTCGTTGCCCAGGAGCTCGAGGACTTGTATGCCCTTTTGCAGATAGATGAAGGCGACGTAGAAGCCAAAGATGTCGCACGGGAAACGAGTGACATACTTCAGCCAGTCGCAGGAGTTGGTGATAGCGAGGATCCAGTGGAAGACGAGCGACCAGAGCCCTATCCAGCACATGAAGGCAAGGTAGTTTGTGCCCGTCGGAGCCATGATATCGTAAACGGTGCTAGACTGCACGTTAACAACCACTTAAACTGAAGAGGAGACAAAAGCCAAGGGGAATGTATTCAGCGTACTAGTTGAAGACGGTGATGGGGCCGGTAACTCCCACAATGACCAGCGGCTGGCATGCAAGTACAGCGAAGACCACGGCGCCGAGGACCGAGGCCAGAAGCACTTCGTTGACACCGTACTCCATGCCTGTCTTTGTAAACATGTCGAGAGAAAAAGCCAGGGCAGGCATGATGCTACGAAGAACTGTCAGTATTCCTCCTCTAAAAGGGGCGCGCCGCGGAAATACAGAAAGGGGTTGCACTCACTTGGCGAAATACATGTACACAGTTGCAGGCACCACGCGATAGTCCCAAGCATCGGTCCAGTCGCTACAGTAAAACGGGGCTCGGCGACGAAGGTCATTCACCATACCGCGAAACAGGTGAATCTTCCACCACCGGTCTGGTTTCACTTCCTTGCTGGCATTTTGTTGACTGCGACGTGATGGATTCGTTAATGGCGATTTCTCGCCGGGACTAGGAAGCACATCCCGTGGCAGCCCGGCACCCGAATGTTGCGCAGTGGGCATAATCGACGGATCCTCTGCTGACGTAGAGGAAGCCATGGCTTAGTTTCCGGATTTCTCTCGTGCGTCGGGGTGCAAGTCAATGATATGAGCGCTATTGGCCGACCACAACTCCTTTTCTCAGCGCGGAATGGAATTGAGTTGCTTGCAGGGCTCGACAGGGGCGAGGAAACCAATTACAAGGACAGAAAAATTGAAAAAAGCAAACTGCATTAATGGAACGGGAGTCTTTGACAAGACACCAAACATGTCTATAGCGCTCGCTTGTCCATGCGTGTTGGAGGGCAGAGTAACTCGGCAACGAGCACAAACACAGGAAAACGGAAAAGGCCAGAATGAGAGGGAGTAGCCGTGAGGCGAAACGCGATCTCTTGACTACGTACTAAACTCTTAAGTACTTAAGTAGATAAGAGTATTCCGACCTAGCGCCCGCGGACCGGGGGCCAGCAAGAAAACTTTCCACCTTGCTGGGGGGAGCCTGAGCAAATGGTGGGCGGGTCTCTAGTCGCTTTTGTGGGGAAGTGACCTGGAGATGTTGACTAGCCATGATGTAAGTGAACATCACGGCCGGTATTCTATTGGACTCAGCGGGAACGCAAAGAAGTGCACTTTTTTCTGTAGGGCCAGACTGACGCTCCGGAAGACCCGCGAATCACAGTTGGAGAGGCCGTGTGGCATACGCGTCTGGAATTGCCCAGGTTCCTGGGTCAGGGTGCTCTGAACTGTTGTGTCACGCTGCAGGCGAGGTATCTTCAACAGCTGCCGGTACGTTGTGGGGAGAGATACCTACTGGGCAGAGCTTATTGTGGACCCCACGTGGAGCTGCTCCGGCTTGGCGACATGGCACGGCCAGGGTTTTCATTGCACGCGTTTACTCATTGCCTGAAGCCGAGTGGATGCGAACGAAGGGATGCAGGAGAAGCAAGGGAATTGGTCGACAAGTCCGCAGGCAAGTAAGTAAGCAAGGGCACGGCATCGCGGTTCCGGTGCGTAGTAACCGTCTTGTGACAAATGACCAGACTCCGTTTTCTGTGCGGCGACTATCTAATCTAAGTTAGTGGAATATCTGTACAAAGCGCCCCCCTGATGCGGCTAGGGCGCCTCCATTGTGACAATAACTACAATATACACAGCTGAGCTGAGAGCTTCGATCTTCAGAAAGGGGATCCTGCCTATTTTACAAGACCTCCAGCAATGACCCTCGGCGCCGTTGAACGCCTTTGACGTGCTCGTATGAAAAGCTCATCTGGACAGCTTCACCTGAACTGGTCCCCCTTGACCTGCTCGAAAATCGCGGGCTGCGGCGGGATAGGCGGCTGGTCTAAACCATCGTTGGGTGGTGAGGGCGGCACACTCTCCTGGCCTGGCTTGGGCTTGTCGACGTCGACACCAAAGTACTTGTTGAACTCCTCACGGTCATCGAACGGCCTCTTGCCAAGAAGTCGGACCATGTCATCTCGGGTGAGCACCTCCTTGCTCAGCAGTTCCTCGGCAACGATCCCAACTTCCTTCTTCTTCTCAATCAACAGATCCTTGCACTGCTTGTACGCTTCGTCTATGATGCGGCGAACCTCTGCATCAATGGTCTGAGCGGTGGACTCGGCGAATGGCTTGACGATTTGGTTTTCGTCGTTCTTGAAGTGGAGAGGACCGAGCTTGTCTGACATGCCCCACTGCGTGACCATGGCGGTGGCCATCTGTGTAACTTTCTTGAAGTCATCACTGGCTCCAGTCGTAACGGTAGGGAAGTGGAGCTCTTCCGAGATGCGTCCGCCAAGCGTCATGGCCATACGGTCCAGAAGCTGTCTCTCAGTCATGAGATAAACGTCGCCTGGTAAGTACTGGGCGTAGCCCAAGGCTCCTTGCCCACGCGGAATGATAGAGACTTTAAGAAGGGGGTCTGCCCATCTGAAGAACCAACCGCAGATGGCGTGTCCAGCCTCGTGATACGCGACTGTTCTCTTCTCCTCGGGGCTCAATACAAGAGACTTGCGCTCGAGACCTCCGATAACACGCTCGATGGCTTGCTCAAAGTGCTTCATGGTGATAGACGTAGCGTTTGATCGTGCGGCTATTAGCTTGATTAGTTCATGTCCCTGCTGAAAGACTGGACAATGAAAACTTACCAACAAGGGCGGCTTCGTTGACACAATTCGCGATATCGGCGCCTGCGAAACCGGGCGTCAAAGCTGATAGTCTTCCGCTCAAGTGCTCGATCTCTTCGTTTGTCACGACCTTCTTCAAGTATACCTTGAAGATATCCTGTCTACCCTTCATGGTAGGCCTGTCAATGTTGATGTGTCTATCGAAACGCCCAGGCCGCATCAAGGCCTTGTCCAGGACATCCGGTCTGTTGGTACCGGCAAGCACAACAATCTGCTCCGTCGTGTTGAAACCGTCCATCTCTGTCAGGATCTGGTTAAGAGTTGCTTCGCGCTCATCATTACCGCCGCTGAACCTGCCACTGCCCTCGGAACGTGATCGGCCGATAGCGTCAATCTCATCGATGAAGATGATACAAGGCGTGTTCTTTCTCGCATTTGCGAACAGATCACGAACTCTGGAAGCACCAACACCAACGAACATTTCCACGAACTCTGAACCACTGACGCTGAAAAAGGGGACACCTGATTCGCCGGCCGTTGCCTTTGCGAGAAGAGTCTTACCGGTACCCGGCGGGCCTGACAAGATCGCACCTCGGGGGATCTTGGCTCCAAGTCTCTGGAATCTCTCAGGCTTCTGCAAGAAGCTGACGAACTCCATGATCTCCTGCTTGGCCTCGTCCATACCAGCAACGTCGGAAAACTTGACCTTGACAGCTGACTCGTGGTTGAAACGTTTGGCCTTGCTCTTACCGAACCCGAACATGCCGCCGGCACCACCGCCTCCGGGTCCACGACGAGACGCCCAGTAGATCAATCCAACGATGAGAAGAGTTGGGCCAAAGGCGGTGAGGAGGTTGGCCATCTGGCTGGCGCCCTGGTAGCTTACAGGTATCCTCTCGGTAGGGGGGATACCAAGTTCCTGCTGAGCTTCGTCGAGGTGACGCTCGAAGGCATCGATGGAACCAATGGAGAAGTAGTAGTTGAAACCTGGGCGAGCTGCAGCGGAGTCGGGATACATGGACCTGGTGGCCTCCTGGTTCAGGTCCACCCTGACCTGGTTTCCAGTGACGACGAGCCGCTCTACCAAGCCCTTGGCAAGGAAGTTCTTGCGCAACTCCTGCCATGTGATTTCCCGGCTGTCTCCAGAGAACATTGAGTTGTATAGGTAGTAGGCTACCAGAGAACCAATGATGGTGGTGATCCAGTCGTTGCCTTTGAGAGGATTCTCTGGCGGCTGGTTCGGGCGAGCCTTCTTGCCGTCAGCTGTTGACTTGTTCTCATCTTGCGACTGTTTTCCTTGCTTCTGGTCGGGCGATTTGTCCTTGAAGAACTCGGGATGGTTCTTCTCCACCATTCTCTGGGCCAGTTGATTCGAGAGCGAGTTGATAGATTTGAGGAATGTGCCGGCGTCCCTGAGGCTGAACGAGCCGTCCAACTTCTTGCGCAGAAGATCACGCAGTTCCTTGGGCACGCCAGTCTCCTTGATGTCATCCATGAGATCTTTGGCATCCTTTCCGTCGCCATATTTTGGTAGCCATTTGGAACTGTCGACTGCTACCTTCCTGAGTTCTGCGTGCTCTGATTCGGACAGGTACACCCAGCCCTCAGGTAGCGGCGGGCGCTCATTCGGCTGCGCGCCGTCGCCTCCGGACGGCTCGGGGGCCTTACCCTCGGTTGGGCCGGGCGACGAGGCGTTCTTCTGCTCCGGCTTGTCGGACGGCTTCTTCGGGTCGTTCTGGTCGCTGGAGTAGTAGCGCAGCTGCTGGTGGCGCGCAGCCCACACGGCGGGCGAGCTCTGAGAGAAGCGAGTGGCCCTCAGGCCTGACCGGGCGTATGCATTGAGGGAGGATTTGGTGATGCGCGCGAGGCCCGTCGACCGCCGGATGAAGCTTGACATGTCGGGCAGAGTCGACCGCGCCTCTGGAAAAATTGCGGATGAGGCGGGATTATCGAGTGGGACGAGGAGAAGAGAGTGGCGTGCACTCGTGCTACCTCATGGAAGGCAGGTCGTCGTCTCGGATGGGTTCCGTGCAGAGAGGTGACAGCAGCGTGACTCCCACAACGCCGCGGAGGTTAGGAATTGTCGGGTTCGGAATGGTGCTTTGCTCTCGCCTCCATGCGCTTCGGTGTGCTGATCAAGTCATCATCAGTTCGGCCGAGGGCTAATCCGTTTTGGTGCTAGCTCCTCCATATGCAGGGACTGAAGTGCTAAAGGTGCGAGGGCCAGCGCCACACGTGATCCCCATTGACCTGGACAACGTCAATTGGGAGAGTAAGTCTACCGTAAGTCTACCACTTCCGCTCCACTAATTACCCTCTATAAATCCGTACCATAGCCTAAGCAGCATTTCGCGATATGATATCAGCCCATTGTCTGGACCCAAGACTTCAACGTTCGATATTTTGAACGCATGACATTGTTAGGTCTGCATTGTTGCCTGACGTGAAAGCAGTCAGTATATCCCTCCGTACCTCGGTATGGCGTTGCAAAAACTACTCATGGTCCGGAAATCATATATTCAGGCATTCGCAGCAATGCACAGCAAAAGCCCCAATTTGAGTAATGAACAGCACGTCCTCTCTTCGCTTTGCAGACACTTACATTGTAGGCCAGGCGAATGCTTCACTACCACACTGTATCCAAGCACAGCATACTTCTGAATTCTGAACCAGGAGGGGAAGAAATCAGAAAAGAAGAAGGGAAATACACATAGGTGATTTGAATCATTAGCAAGTAAACAGCAAGTCTGCTACTTGCCAGGCTAACTCGTCAGTCTTACAAGACGCAGACGATGTGTTTGCACAAGGTGGTATCACACACCATGATCATACAGGAAGAAATCCTCTTAGCAAAAGGGAAAGAGGGAAAAAATTAATTTCAACCCTCCTCGACGCCCCGCAAGTCTGTCCTTCCGGATCACAGATCGTCTCTTTTGGCGCGGAACCGTTTCAAGTCCTACTTCTTCGCGATGGTCCCTGGCCTCGTTTACTACCTCGCCCGCCAGCGAGCAGGGGCGCAGGGTCGTGTCTGCAGACAGCCCTGCTCCGATGTCACAAATGGCTAGAATGAATGCAATTGAACCCGGAGGTCAAACCGCACGCACGCTTTACCACTGCACCACCAGGCGAGCTCGTCTGAATCTGTTGGAAGCAGATGGTGACTATTGAACAATAAGACACCCCGGGTCGACGAGAAGGCTTTGGCCGAGCAACCGGGGCGCCTGATTGGCTTGCCATGACGGCGACAGCATTGGTCTGGCAAACGCCAGATGGCCATCCAACCAGAATTCACCTTGCACGTTTTTTCCACCCGCGACCAATGATTGGCCTCACGTCAACGAGATCACGAATCAGGCATCAGGAGGGAACGTATTCTGGACTGCCAAGGTACCTATCATCCATGCTTGAATCCCGGGCTTCTCCCCTTAGATTTCCATGTGTGACGATAGCCAGCGGTTCTTAATAGATGGACGTTCGTCGTGCAAGATATCAGTAGGACGCTATTCGGTCTTCTGTTCTCAGCAGTCCCCAGGATGTTTTCCTTGGCCGCCAGCTCGTACCAGGCACGGATTGAGAACCAACTTGGGCAACATCTACATTCTGCGTCACACCGCTTTCACTAGACGTAGGACTGACGTCCGTATTCATGAACAAGTAATAATCAGGGTGGATTTTTGGATACTGCTACATTAGATACTAAACTGGATATCTCCATCCATCTACCAAACCGCGCCAAAGCTACTGAACGAACCCCCACATCTCCTGAGGACGATTTCTCGCCCTATGTACAGCAGGTGTAGTGGGATCCGGCTTAAAACAAGACCCATATCCGCTTGACTGATTTGAGTAGCAAGTGCCTGCATGCCCCTTGAAGAAAGAGGAAACAAAAACGCAAAACAAATACGCCGTCCGCCTCTTCATGATATGATCGACTGCACAACAATGCTCATGACTCATTAAACCCCACCAAATCGCTAGTTTTCCCTCTGGAAAATATCATGTCGGCCTTCAACCGCCATTGGGCATCGTGCTACCATTCTCGAATCCGGGGTAGGCACCGCCACTAATCTCTGCCCAGTCCCAGTCCAAGGTCATAGGCAGCTGCCACAAATCCTGCGGTAACAACGGCTGCTGGAAGCCACCCGGCACATTCGCATTCTGCATCGGAGGTGAAGCTATCGGCTGTCCGAAGCCTGTCAGATCATGGAAGTTGTTGAAGTCAGGCGTATCGTAGATCGGTCCCGTGCTGGGATAATCCTGTGGCCAGGCGTTCTGCCCGTCCCGGGGTGCCTGGCCATTGCCAGAGCTCCCGGTGTTCATGGGGCTATGGTAGTTCGAGCCCGATTGTCCATTCATGCCAGGGGAACCCTGTTGCTGTGCCATGGAATGCTGGTTGAAGTGCGGAGTTGGTGTTGCTTGAGAAGATGTCGGCCGGGGTGTCGCGTTCTGCTGCGAGCTTGCATTCGGCGGGTTGATAGGCCTGGGCGGGTCTTGCGTCCTCCTCTTGCGTTTGGATCCTTCCTTCTCAGTCTTGTCAATCACTACTTTCGCAATGCGCTCAAATTCTGCGCACACTCCCAGCATTCTGTGGACACCGCCTGTCTCAGCCTCCTGGCCAAGCGTTGACAGGAATGTCACCACGATGTTCATCAACTTCGTATCCGATCTCGCTCTCGGGTCTAACGGGTTTTGCAGGATATTCCCAAACAGACTCATCAGAGCGCTGACAGGGAAGTAAAGGATAAGCCTAACAAGATTAGTAACAATAAACTTCGGAAATGGCCAGGCAGATACTCACCAGACACACTGGTTATCACCTTGTGGAATGTACTTCAGCAAGGAGATGGTCGCACGTGCCGCGGAAGCACACAGTGCGGCAGAAGCAAAGACTCTCGGATTTAACGGCTTTGCATTTAAACCTTGAATGGCAAAGTTGGACAGACGACTCGTCCAGTAACCCCTGTGGACAGACATCCGGTGAATCGTCGTCAGGCAGTTGTAGTATGCGAAATGCAACATAACCACATGCAGAATCAGCGGTGTATGCGAGGCTTTGATCTCATGCTCTGGCCGGAAGTCAATTGGGATGTTGTCCTTCCAGTCTTCAAGTTCCTTGTCCAGCTCTCCGATTGTTTGCAGAAGCTCACCCTCGGAGAGTTTTGCGGCCTTCGTCGAGTACAGTCGCTTGTAAACACGGCTCTCAATAGTCGTCAGCTCGCACATGACCCGGAACAAGTTCATCTTGCCCTTTCCATCCGCGAGAGGGATATTGCCAATGTTGTCTGCCGGATCCGCATCCGGAAGCTCAACATTCATGTCGTCATCGTCCTGGGCAGGTGGCCTGCCTGAGCGCAAACACAGATCCTTGTCCAGAGTATACGCAATCCAGAAGACTCGTTTCCTCTGCTCAATCTCGATGGGATTCAGGTTGAATCCACTGCCACGCTTGTGCAACCCAATGCTATGCATCAGCCGGATAGCTGCGGCGACCAGAAGGAACGAAGGCTGTGGGTTTGGCGTCCCTTGCATGAACATTGCCATGCCCAGCAAGGCCTGGACACTGAGAAGATCCGTGTTGCGCATTGTTAATTCGGTGAAAACCCCCATGGCGTTCTTCATGTATGCCCAAGCCTTGTCATCCTCTTCCTCGGGGACGAGTTTGCTCATAACCCTCAGACGGTGAGCTGTTGCCAAAGCAACATTCAAGCTCGCCCACCAGCCCGAACCTTCGTAGGGCTCATTCGAGTATTGTTTCTCTACCAGGTGCATGAAGGTGGGTTGGTGGAATAATGGGAACATGCAGTTGAAGTTCTCAAAGTAGTCCTTGAGCAGTGACATGGCCTCGGGTTTTGGCGGTAAGGGGATGTAAACCGGACGGCGGAAGACATCAGCGAAGATCTCGGGCCGCCAGCGAGTCCACCTGTGGTCGTCAATAGAAACCTCCGAGATCATGCTCTGGAATGCATTGTCTCCTGTTTTCTCGTTGACCCATGAAATACCCTTCGGGGAGAAAATAGAGAAACCCGATGAAGAGCCTAGAATGATTGAGTTAGGTCACATTGTGCAACAATTTGAAGGCGGTCTGCATTACCAAAGTATCTGGTCTCTCCGGATTGGTTTGTGACCAGCGAGCACATCATTTCTGAGAGAGCCTCAACCTCCTCTTCGCTCTTCTCGGGTGGTACGGACGAGTGCCTCGTCTTCTCATCTTTGGCTGGCTCGGGGGAGGTAAGCGCGCTCTGAGGTGTCGAGCCCGATCCATCTTGGCCCGAAGTAGCTTGGGAGGGCGAGGTTGGGTTGGAGGCAGGCTGCGATGGCTGTCTTGACTGCTGACGTTTCTCTGCCAGGCGCTTCTCGAGAGTGCCGAGGTCGGTATCCTCATCGTCCTCTCCGAGAAGTCCTGCATAATTTGTCAGCACCGTCAGATGAGGCGAGCCAGCTGAAACCCCGAAACCGCCGTGGGCGGTCGCACAAGGCGGGCCAGGGCGCCAACGGGAGGGAAATGCTCACCAGCAAGTCTGAGCAGGCTCTCCATGCGGCCCAAGCGGTTCTCTAGGCCTTCGATGTATTTGGCGCTGAGTATAGTGTTAGTCATCGACACTACGAGAGCTTCTCAGGTTCCGGGTGTTCGCCATACCCTTTCGGTGGACTTCGCTTCTTCTCGACCTGAGTGAAAACACAATCCGTCTTGTAGTTGATGCAATGCGTACACGCGGGCAATTTGCCGTCGCACTTGATCTTCTTTTTCCGGCACATGTCGCAAGCCTTCACAAGAGTTTAGGGTCAGCCCACTGCTTGCTGCAACAACAAAAGTCGACGGCCAAACTGTCGGGCCCAGCACTCACCCGGGCTATTCTCCTCCTCTTTGCCTCCTGGTCGTCACCCATCAGCGCCGTGGGGTCGAACGCCATGGACAGCTCCGGCGGCAGCACGGACATGCCATCGTGAAGGTATTGCCCAAAGATCTGGGGCGGCTGGTTGGTCATGGGCGGCGGGTGCATTCCAGGAATCTGGAAGCCCCCCGGATCGACCCTCAGGTGATCCATAGTACCTTGCTCTTTTTTCTGCTCGTCGTCGGTGTCCCGCTGGCCGAGGCGATAGCGTGGGCTTGCGGTGGCTGCTCAGCGCCGAGTGTCGTCGTGGATGGTTTCGCAATTCGTGTAGAATCCAAGGGCGTTGGGTCGCGGCGACGTTGGCAATAAGCGGCGAGCGGTGCCGGTTCCCAGGGGAGAGTTTGGAGCAATCTGGATGGCACTATAACTGCCGGTCCACGCCTCGATATCGTTTGGACGATGCACGGGAATCGGGAAATGGGAGAAAAGAAGTGGGCTGACCAGGACCTGATCGGTTGTGTCGAAGAAAAGTGTAGGAGCTAAAACAAGATGCAACGCGCTAACACCGCTGTCCGCTTGGGGCGCTCTTGTCACCCCCTCCCCAGGCTTCCCCCTCGCTCTCGCGGGCTGCCTGTAGGTCTCAGATGGTGGCTGAGCCACCTATGGGCGGTTCCTTTGGGAGGGTGTTGGCAGGCTTAACTCCGTCCCGGCACCCTGGGGAACATGCGCTTTGGCTTGGGGACCGGGGTGTCAGTACCGTAGTAGACGCCTAGTGCACACGTGGGGTTGGGAGGACGGCCGCGAGTTGCCGACCAGGGATGACCAAGCAAGATCGTCCAGAAGCAGAACGAGAGACCTGTAAGGTTGGCTGGCTCGTCGAGTGGACGATGGAGATGAGTGGATTGGTATTCAGCTCAACAGCTTAATGGTAGAGGGCAGGCCACAGGACAGGCAGCCGGAAGAGAAAAGGACGGCCACTGCCATGACGACCGCACTGATGCTCAACGGTGCCCATCAGATGCCGGAGATCACACCATCATAGATATTCGGGGCCTAAGGAGTTGCCAAGGTAAAGCACTGTCCGTCGGAGAGCTGGGCGCCCATTGGTAAGCACCGACCGACGTCTAGGGGGGTTGGCACCTCCTAGCCCGCGCAAATCGGAGTCCCGCGCCAAACTCGGTCTATGGCACCATGACTATATTATGACTATCCGTCCTGCAGCAGAGACGGGACAGAGCGCCAATCGATGGCGTAATGCCCGCGAACCACGGCCCTGGAGCTCTCGATTCTGGCGAGTATCACAGTACGCCCTTGGCCTGCCGAGAGATTGAGCAGGAACAAGACAATGCAGCCTGGTTGCCTGGATGCGCTGGAGGTCTTGTCTGTTGTCTGGAGTTGCTGGACCCCTGGAACAAGGGGAGCTCCCTTTCCAGGATCCTTTGGGTCCCGTAAACCCATAGCCCTCAGGGCATTGCGTACCTATCAGGACCCCTGGTCTGATTCAGTCTGAGCGACCACACTGGATCTACAAACCGTCAGACAAGATCTGGGTGGCTGTCGTGCAAAACGTCTATAAACAGCAATTCGCCTGCAGTGCTGCTTACTGCGGTGGCACGATAGACGGCTGCGGACTTCGGCGTAACCTGAAAGTCCTAACAAAAGACCATCCGGCCGCCCTACGTGCTACTATGTAAAGCCCCAGCGGCTAGAACCGCAGAAAACCTTTTAGCCCGTCCGATAGCCCCTCTTGCCGCATTTAGACAATGACACCTATATGAACCAGTCAGGGAGCTCGAAAATTCGAGAACTGTTGTAACACTGTGTCTCCATAAGCCGAGAGATCCGGTCGTTGTGTTATATATGCGTGACGGAGTATTGCATTGTTGGATAATGCGGCACGTCGAATAGGTTCGTCAGAAGTCAGCTCGGACAGTTTTTCAGACTGGTTGAGACCATCTCAAGAAAGCTTGTCCAAACTTGGGCAGAGTTTGGTTCCACTATCCACTCTGGACTTTTTCTTTATCAAAACTCACGACACAATGACAAGTCTATGGTCAACCATCTCAGATGCAGCCTTGCACCACCTCAAATAATACTAGTGAATTACGTAGTCAAGTTTCATTATCGCAGCTTCAGCCCTGGTTGAGGTCTAACGTACATACATGCACTCCGCCCACAATTTTAGTTGGAGAACACCACGTGTGCCGCTCCACCGTGTGCTGTGGAAAGTGTGCCGTGTCGACGTTTCATCCGTCCCGCACCTGGGCAGCATCTCATGATAAACGCCCAATCGAGCATCACGGCTTCTTTTCCGTCTGCGATAAGCCCAAAAAGCACGGCCAGGAAGCCCAGCAGCGACAGGCCTCCCATCGGGAGGGAATGATGGGTCGGGCCTGTTCCCCTGTTCCAAGAATTTGTCATTGCGCGACAAAGCGGACGGCACAAGGCACAGCAAGGGTTGGCATGGGGTCGCGAAGTTTCAGCACCGTCTCAAGACGACAACCGCTTCCGCCGCAGTCCCCATCAAACAAGGTGTAGGGACCAGTTGAGAGTCTGTATTTCCCGTAGATCGAAACAATGTTCAGGCTGCCATGCGAAGAGACCTTCTCTGATCTTCTTGTCGCCATTCAAGAAAAGGCAACTCTACGCAACGCACATGCATCCTGGATAGCTTTGAACACGTCGTTTTGTCGGCCAGTTCCCAAGTCAGAATACGTCAGCTGTCACTAACCTTGCTTGACAGGGTCAAGACGTCAATGTGGAGCATCGAAGGAAACAAGTCTCAGTCGAGTTTTCACGCCGGGCAATGGACAGGTCCGAGATCAAAGTGCTGCCATCCGACACAATTATGCTTTTAGATTATAGACGACCCGGGAGATCTCGAAGTCTTTCCGGGTGATCCTTATGCTTCTCAGTCCGGGTTTGTAAATATCCCCAACTGACTATGTACACGGTAAAAATCTTGGCCATACGCGGACAGGTAGGACTTTCACAGAGCCCTTTCATCCACTCGTGAGTCTTCACTAATAGCCAAACATTAAAAAACGCCAATCCTATGCTGTGGGCATATAAACAGAAGCCGACAGAATGTCAAGCGGTATCATCGAGTGTGAAGGATATACAAGCAGTGCAGCACGCCAATGTGAATGAGCAAAATCGATGGGTCATATCTCCTCGGTGAACCGAGAGCCTGAGCCATGGGACCGATTTGAACCGTCCTGCGAGGGATGAGAGCGGCCCAGGGGGTCTCTCATGGCAGGTGGTTCCAGGGTATCGCTGAAATGGCCGGACTCGGTCACGGGTGTTCGGGCCGGGCCCGGGTGGAAAACCGGAATGCCACTTTCGGGGCGCATCGGAGATCCAACGGCCACCCTTGGCATGTCGGGTCCTCCCCACCAGCCGGTGGAATCGCGGTAGAAGGACTGGTCGCTCATCATGGTGTTTCGGGGGTCGGTGGGGTCTGAGTACCCGTCTCCGCCATGCTGCAGGACCGAAGGCAGTTTCCTGCCGGACACCTTCTGAAATCCCCTTTCGGGTCCTTCCGAAGACGCATTGGTTCGGTCAGAGTAACGCTTGTAGCCTGTCAAGCTCGCAAGCGCTGCGGGAACGGCAAATGGGACCGATCGTCGCTGTGATACTTCGCCCATGCCTCCGGGACCGCCAGAAGTTGGGCCACCACCTCCAATCATCAGGCCACGCGTGCCGGGTATAGCGTTGCCGTCGCTGAGCCTCAGACCTCTTTGTCGCTTCTTATACCGCAAAAGCATCAAAGCAGCGATCAAAATGAGGCCCACGCCGGCCACCGCGCCCAGAACACTGCCTGCTACAGTTCCTGGCGAGGCTGAACCAGAGCTGGATCCGGAGCCAGCATCCTCCGTCGAAGTAGAAGAAGGGGATGATTCCCCGGTGGCGGTGCCGCCATTGCCGCCAAATCCAAAGCCTGTCACAGAGCCGCCATCCTCGGTTCCTGTCGAGGTTGCTGTTCCAGTGGTGGATGCAAGTGTGAAAGAACCCGATGATGAGCCAAAAACTGTGGTGGTGAAAGTGTCGTTGAATAGAATTGTTCCAGCCGATGAAGGAAGAGTGGAAGTAGTCAAGTTTGCGGTAAAGGGCTTCAATGACGCGGTGCCATTGCTAAAGAGTGACGATGAAGCCGGCGCGACTGTGTTATATGATTAGATGCGAGGTGCACTGCTGGAAATCATGAGTGGGTGGAGCTCACCTGTGGTAGAGTTGGTAACGCCAGCGAAAGTAGGAAAAGCAGATGATGAACCGGATGAAGGAGCGGATGTAACTGCAGCGTAAGATTCAACAGTCGGAAATGAAGAGGGCATCGAAGACGTCGTAGCGCTATCTACTGACGACGCTGTCGGATCAAGAATAGTCGATAAGAGGCTAGTGACATCGTCGACGACGGCAGAGGTCAGGTCCGGGGTGCTCTCGATGCCAACGGTAGGTACGACAGCATAGGCGGTGGTCGACGGTTCCGAGGTTTGCGTGTTGGCGCCGATGGTTGCACCCGATGCATCAATGAGCTGAACGACTGAGACGGTTTGGACGATTTGCACGATGGTGTCGGAACTGTCGGCCTGGCGCCTGTGCAATCGCTCGTGGCGATGGGAACGAATGTGGTTGTGATGGTTGTTGTTGTTGTGGTGAGAAGAATGGTCGTCCTGGGCCTGAAGGAGTGAAGACCCCAAGACTGGTTCGGTCATCGCGCGTGGCGGTGAGGATGAATACGAGCTTGAATGAGTGACTGGATTCGCTGGGCAGGTTTTTGCTGCGTGCTGACTCGCCTCGCCTGGGCTGGCAGGCTGGGTGCGTGCTGGGTGGGTGGGTGAAGGAACGAATGGAGGTGCGCTAGATGGGGGTCGATCGTCCGGATAATTCCATAATCGTCCTCCTCAGCGGGCGGTCGGTCGGTCGATTGGCTCGGTGCGGTGCGATGTCAAGCGATGCGATGCTTCCCAGAAACTCTTGCTTGTTGTGCTAAGCTGCCTTGCAGTTGGTCGTCCACGTCTCATCCGGTCGTCGTTCTTTGGGCGCGGGAACCAGTCATCCACATCACGACGACCACGGTCGGCAGAGAGCAGAGGTGGAGGGAGAGAAGGAGAAGAAACGGACGGGTAAAACAGCGCTGGGCGACCCATCCGGTTGATAATATGTCAGAGATGCCGCCGTGTAATTAAAATGAGATGCGGCGTCTGGGGCCACAATTGCTACCTACTGGAGAGTCGCCCGTGTCCCGTCCCCGTCCTCGTGTGTTTTTCCCCCCTGCGCAGATGGCACTATGGATAGGGACTTACGCAGCGCTGCGATGGGGTTCATTTCGCTTGCCATGGGCGTTGTCTCTCTGGGGGCAGGGTCTCACACAGGCGCCAGCCAATCACCGCGACCCGACCGGGGGGCCGCCAAGGCGACTCATTGGCCAGAGCTCGCGACAGGCCTGCCTCATTGGTCACACAGCTAGGGATCTGAGCGAATCTGCGAAAAGTTTCAACGGACATTGGGATCTCGCTGCAGTGCCTATTGCGGCGTAGTTGCAAGCCGGGCGACGGTTGGCTATCCGAATCAGAGCACGTTGGATCGTTCTCATTTGTCTCCGGCTCCTCCCAGGGCATGTGCAGAGTCAACATTGTTGGCTGTCCGTCCTACTAGGTGCTGTGTCCGTTGACTAAGAAGTAGCCCGCAGAGAGACACGAAACCTTCGTGCATAGCTAGTTGGCCATCTGTGTATGCACTACTATGGCGGAAATTCAGGCTCGTCTGCTAGCTGGACGCGGCCAACCACTCAGGGCAGACCTTGGTTGTTGGTGGAGCGGGAGATCTGGTGTGAGTTACTATGTACGACGGATGCTAGCGGCAGCGTGGCTGACGAGCTAGAGACTCACCTGAGATGGCGGCGGTATGCTGCGACTGCTGCTAGAGCTCGTATTCACCTTTCACTCGTTCTCGTGTCTGCACTGCTGCAGGAACACCCGTCGCGTTCAATAGCCCCGTGTCAATGGGGGCTAGCCCCTCTGGTATTGGGTGCCACCCACGAATGAGATCCAAACACCACGGCGCCATCTAATTCACCAGGTCGCAGCAGTGCTACCTGATGAGGCAGGCCAGTCTTCTGCGCACCCATTTCAACATTGCCCATATCACCCCCAAGGTCCAGCAGGAGCACAGGGCACGGATAGCGCCAAGGAACGGGGGTTGGGGGGTGACGGGGCTGGACGGGCAATACCAGTGACAGGGCTGGCCTCGGTCGAAAAGCAGCCTAGCCATCAGTGTGGGCCACGGCCTGTTGCTCTTCATTTGAGGAATGCTTGCTACAAGACTCGCAGGCCAATTGCAGACAAATGACATCTTGAAGTCGTCCCAGGTCGTACGTCATGATCGGCATCGCAACAAACGTCTTTGTGGGTAAGGAATCTCAATGAGGTGAGTCCATCGCAAATGTCTGGATGTCTTGACTTGAGCCAACGACACTTGCATCACGCCCGCTGCAATCTCCCACATTGGCCAATGTGGGTTCACTTGATTCTGCTGGGATGGGGTGGGCAAATCGGGACTAACGAGGGTCTATTTTCGGACTTGGTACATCCAGGCCTGTATATTTTTCTGTGCCCATTTCGATGCTACGCTAGGGAAATAATTATAAGCCGGCTTGCTCCGTCCCAGTTACTATCAACGCAAAACGCCTTAAAAGTAGGTACATAGGTAACTTAAATTAGTTCAAGTCCGTTCGGACGGTCACCATTGGTTGGTCTTATGGGCCTATACCGTAATCGATGGACTCTAGATCAACGGGTGGAATATATCGCTAATCGCCAGAAAAATGAAAGTCTATATTGAGAAACTGGTCGTATAAATAAATGGCAGAAACAACTTTGAAATAGACTCGGATGACAGACTAATAGTACACTCGGCATCGTGTCGCCTTAGACGGGGTATATCTAGTAGCATGTCATCACACATGCATTGCCTTGGTAAACCGGATCTAACTATGGTACTTGTGCTTAGGTTCACCAGTCGAGCCACTTCATGTCGGACAACATGCAGTGTCTTGCGGCGATATACATATGCGGCTCCGCACAACAATTACTAGAGGCGAACTCCGTGTAACAGTCAATTATAACATCGAGGTTGGTAGCAGCTGGTTCGAGGCCTAGTCTACGTTACCTAGTTCCACTGCAACAGAGATAACAGGCCCCAGCCCATACCAGATGCCCGAGCACGGTACACACAAATAGAGTTGCACACCTATCGCCCTTGCCAAGTTCTATATCCCAAATTCTCTAGTTAGGCGCAAAGTCAAATTATACATCTCAGCTCGTGAATAATGTCAAACTAGACAAGATTCATTTTCGCCCTTCTGGCATATTGTGTTTCCATTCCCATGGCATCCGAAGTCCTGAAACCTGGCAACTGCGCTCCTCATTCAGCCACATTCAAAGGCCAGGTGCTACCGTGATCATCGTGTTTATCCCAGTCTTCCATCTCAAGCTGTGTTGTCAATGTCATATGCATATCGGGAACCATCGCCAGCCAGCCATTGGGGCCGTTCGTTGTATTCAGAAGTATGCTTAAACAGCTGGCTCTGTAGCCAACTATGTGTTGGTGGGGAGGTGGTTTGTCTTTTACGCATTTCTATTTGATGGCATCTCCAAACTCAGACACTCAACGTGCCCTTTGTGCTTGGCACCTCTCCCTCCTTGCCCGGAACCCTGCTCGTGGCAGCCTTGATGGCGACGGCCAGGGCCTTGAAGGCGCTCTCGGCGCGGTGGTGGTCGTTGAAGCCGCGGATGCAGTCGACGTGGATGGTGATGCGGGCAGCCTGCGCAAAGCTCTCCAGGCAGTGGGGGATCATCTCGCAGCTCAGGTCGCCAATCTTCTCGCGCTTCAAGCCCAGCTCAATGACGGCAAAGGGCCGGTTCGACAGGTCGACGACGGCGCGCGACAGAGCCTCGTCCAGGGGCGCGTAGGCGGACCCGAACCGTGCCAGTCCCGTCGCCGAGCCCAGCGCGGTGCCGAAGGCGTATCCCAGGGCTATGCAGACGTCCTCGGCCGTGTGGTGGTCGTCAACTGTTCAGACGATACAATGTCAGCCAGTTGGCTTCAGGGAGCCTGGAGGAGCCTATGAAAAAAGCAGCTTACTGTGCAGGTCGCCCTTGCAGTTGATGGCAAGACTCCAGCCCGAGTGCTTGGCCAATGCGTGCAGCATGTGATCCAGGAAGCCAATGCCGGTGTTCACGGCGATGGTCTGAGACTTGCTCGCCTGTGTGGCATGGCTATCGTCCTTGGAGAGCAGACGCTGGTCCGTGTCGGGGGGGAATGCACCGCCGTCGAGGTTCAGGGCCAGCTGGATCTTGGTCTCGTTGGTGTCGCGGGCGAGGGCTGCCCAGCGCTGCTTAGGGGCTTCGGCACCCATATTTTGGATTGCTTAGCGGTCTGAGGGAGAGAGGGGAGCGGCTTCGGGTGACGGCAGGCTATCTGCACGATACAGAGTCCAGATAAAGGTAGATCTGTAGGTTGTCGTTGTCCGACCGGCTCGTTCACAGCTTTTTCTGGCCGCCGTCTTCCGCAAATCGGATAGCGGCCGATTCGCTGCGAGCTGACGGCTGTGGCGGGGGTGGGAGGCTCACTGTGGGGCCTAGGCCATCGCAATTCCAGCTGACCCCCGGCGCCCGACCCCTCCAGACCGCCAGGCCTGGCTATCGATAAGAACGGTCCAAAAATTTATTGTTCCGGCCGTCGCTCAAGCTGTCGATTGAAAGCCCAGCCAGCGGACAGCACCAAACGTCTGTCTCCTCCTCTCCCAGACCGCCCACATTACGCGCGCACGTCTCGATCGACAAGATGGGTGTCTCAAGAACAAAGACAGTCAAGAACAAGCATGCCTCCAACAAGTCCGGCATCAGCGGCAGCAAGGCCTCGAAATCCGGGCCTGTAGATGGCATTGTCAAGTCCAGGAAGAAGGGCCCGCCGCCGTCGTCGAAGCCCGGCAAGGGCAAGGGACTCGCGGCGCTGATGAACAAGAAGAAGAAGAAGACCTACACCGCCGAAGAGCTCGGAATTCCCAAGCTGAACATGATCACGCCCGTCGGTGTCGAGAAGCCCAAGGGCAAGAAGAAGGGCAAGGTCTTTGTGGACGATCGCGTAAGTCAAGCATAGCACCGAGCACACCCACGTACATTTCAAGAGGTGCAGAGAGGGGGTAGAAACAGAAGACAAAGCCCGCTGACATCTTCTTCAGGAGAGCATGAACACTATTCTGGCCCTGGTCCAGGCCGACAAGGAGGGTGAGATCGAGTCCAAGATGATCAAGGCCCGGCAGATGGAGGAGATCCGCGAGGCGCGCAGGGTAGAGACCGAGAAGAAGGAGCAGGAGAGGAAGGCCAGGCTCGACGAGACCAAGGAGTCCCTGCGCAAGAAGAGGAAGAGGACCAAGGCCGACGGCGCTCCTGATGCCGATGAGGCCGCCGTCAGGGATGCCATGACCGCCGGCAGCAAGGCGGCGAAGCCCAAGAAGAAGAGGGTTGCTTTTGCTTGATGGTACATATTCCCACCACCTGCTAGACTTTGTCGCATCAGTTTTTGTCAGCATCAAGGGAAGGAGTTATGGCGTTCACGGGCTACAGTCGTGTCAGAGCATTAGCAAGTGCCTATGGAGATACCCTTTAATAAGGCATACAATCTTGGGATTAAGTTTGACAAAGTCCGACGATATTGTGCAGTGCAACCTACCATAACATGCTTTGTGGATGTTTGAGCATAGTCCAATGAAGGATGTCCATGATATACTACGAATGGTTGTATTTTTCGCCATGGCTTCCCAACTTCTCTTTCGCCCTTACAGATGGACTTAGTGGAGAGTCTTGCAATTTTTGGTCATGATAAATTATTACTATTATATGCTAGCTACCAGCAGCGTGATCTACACCAAAATTGTCTCATATTTCTCATTTCATATGGCTGCAGGGTACAGATCGTCAAGATGCGACACCCTGACTAACCGGGTATCTTTCCCATCCGTCATCAGTCCTTTCTCTAATAGTACATCTAGCAATGTATCGATGGGGAACTACTATCAATATCCCATCTAGGCAGCGTAAGTACCGTCGTTATAGCGGTAACCAGCGGGAGGGTGAGTGGTGCCAGTCGGCCCGGTGACGCCCTGCTCAGGGTAGGCAGTACGTCCATCGTGGCCCATTCCCGACTCGCCGTACTTGTTGTGCAGGGCGGGATCATGACCAACAGCAGTACTCTCAGTGTTGTAGCTCTGGCGGACCTGGTCAGGGGTGGTGTGCATAGGCAGGGCGTTGGGGTCCTCGGCTGTGGTGGTGCGTTTCTTGAACAGACCCATGAACTTGTTGCGACGGCCGTAACCAGAGGTGTAGTTGTTGGCCGGGCTAGGGCCGAAGCGTGACTCCTTACGACGGTGACGGACCAGCACAAACTCCACTAGGATGGAGAAGATGAAAAAGAGGCTAGTTGGCGTTAGTACGTGAGAACTAGATTGCAGCTCAATGCAACTTACATAGCAACGATCGAGACAGCGAGGCAAGCTGTCTCCATTTGGCAGGCCTGTCGATACGTGGGCAGATTCGTGAAGCCATCTGTGTTGCCCGTAGGGGTGTCGTTGGCGTTGCCTGTGCCGAAGGGGGTATCGACAGTGCCTCTGCAGGAACTTGCTCCTGATCTGTAGGCCGTGGCTACGTAGATGAAAGCGCCAATGAAGGCCACATCTAGCACGATGGCGACGAATGAGGTGAACGGGTGTCCAGCAAGGCAGCACAACAGCAGTAGGCCAACCAAGGTGTACAAGACACCTGCGCCCGAGATGCCCTCAACGGCGCGCAGCCATGTCGGGATAGTGATGTTATGGTTGTGCAGAGCGGCGAGGAAGTAGCTGGACAGCGCCAGGACGACCGCGGCGCAGCAGAACTCAATGCCTCTGATGAACCATTGTAGGAATTTGAGGGCGAGACCGGATTTGGAGCCCATGATGATGAAAGTGTTGGCGATCCAAAAATAAGAATAGTCGATATAGGTGCTGGCGAAGACTGATTGGACTCAAATGCCGAGAACTTGATAGGGAATGGAAAAGAAACCTGGTCCGCCGAAGAGCAAGGGGACTGATTAATTAATACACGGGAGAGGCGCCAGGGCAGGATCTCGGGTTGACGTGCCGGCCGATCATAAAATTGACTTGACGTCGAATCTAGACGCGCTGGATCGTCTGGGCGCCCTCTTTTCCTGTTGGAAGTGGCCCAGTCCCGCTGAAAAGACGTGAAAGGCCGATCAACTAATGGTGGCGATGACGGATGGCTGTGAACTCTATTACTCAATCTGGCACATGCCTCAGTGAGGTTGGACCCTGAAAGGTGCCCCTCCAGTGACGAAAGCGACGTCACCCGGCAGGGATCATGCGCGCACGCCCCTCTGATTGGCCGTCGCTGCCAACTTAAGCCACGACAAGCTGTGGCGCTCCAACTCATTCCGCACTGAGCCACTGCGGATGATGTGTTCGATGTCCGCCGCATCCGTGATCCTAGCAACGTCTAGTTTCTCATCACCCGACTGCGACCAAGTTGAAACTGGGAATATAGTACGTTTAAGCCTCAGACCGTTCCTCCCTCCAGTTCCTGGACCGAAAGCTACGGCGCGGGCCCGCACGGCAATTCAAGAGCAGTCATCATTGGATCACAGGGCGCATTGGATCGCAATAGCTTATTCACTTTCAAGGATCGTGATGAGCTAACTCAAGCCAAAAATCTATGTCACGATGCGGCCTTGCTCCACGCCGCCTCGATGACCGCTTCGTAGATGTGCTCAATGATTCTTCAATTGCTACTGAATATTCCGCGCGCGTGTTTGGTTTTAGTGCAACATTTCCATTCAACACAATGATATCGTTAGTCGTAGAATTATGTGAATTGACATTAACAAGGTGAAGCAGGTATTATGCTAGTCATAGTATCGAAACAGCCTACACGGGCCCTTCAACCCCAGCCTCACACGATCCGGTCTCCGTCGAGCAGACAACGGTCAGGTCATCACTGGCCTGCCCAACCCAGATCTTGTACTCACCCGGAGGCACGACCCAGTTCTGAAGCTCCGTGTCCCAGACGCTCAGGTCCTTGCGCGTCAGGCTGAGCGTTACGGTCGCGCTGGCGCCGGGAGCCAGGGCCTCGGTCTTGGCAAAGTCGCGCAGCTGGATCGGCGGCGTGTCGTACGGGCTGTCGGCGGGGAACTGCACGTACGCCTGCGGCACGGCCTTGGCCGAGAAGTTGCCTGCGCCCGAGTTGGTCACCGTCAGTGAGACCGTGTAGGCGACGTCCCACAGCGCCGGGTTGCCGCCGTTGGGGCCGCCCGCCGCGGGGCCGGGCTTCTGCTCCTCCGAGTAGCCGGCCGGGTACGCATATTCAGTGCCCGACTGCCCTACGGCGTAGGCCTTGTCGGCGTCGCCTTGGTCCATCCACGAGTACAGGTACCGCCAGATGCGGTTGAAGCCCGACGGGTAGTAGGCCTCGGAAGCAGCGGGGATCGTTGTGTTGAGCGAGGCGACGGGCGACGTGGGCTTGGCGGGACGCGCTGGCGGCACCATGGACAGCTCAGTGACGGAGGCGATACTGGCGTCCGATAGCTCGAAGCTTGCGTAGCTCAGGCCGTGTCCGAATGCAAATCGCGGCTTCACGCCGGCCTTGTTGAGGTGCCGGTAGTCAATGTAAATACCCTCGGTGTACGTATCCTGGGCCTGTCCGAGCGCAAATGTAATGATGTCGGTGCTGGCCGGGTAGTCGTCCTCCGATACGGGGATCGAGTAGGGCAAGTGACCCGAGGGGGAAACTTCGCCGAAGAGGACCTCAGTCAGCGAATCGCCGGCTTCCTGGCCTGGCAGGTGAGCGACCAGGACGGCTTTTACGGAGGGAAGGTTGACCCAGGACTCCATGACGATCGGTCCTACGGTGTGGACAACGACGATGACGTTGGAGTACTTCGCAGCGGCCTTCTGAACGAGCGTGTCACCATTGTGCCATGCCGCGAGCCCCGAACTATCGCGGTCACCGTGGTTGTTCTCGACCGTGTAGGAGTTCTCGCCCGAATCCGAGTTGATGAAGACGATGGCCACGTCGTCCTTTCCGGGGGCGGGGACGGACGGGAACGAGTCGGTGTTATAGTAGGTCACATTGCTGGCTTTCCGCTTGAGCGAGCTGATGGGATCGTCGATATAGGGGTAATCTGCACTCCCAGAGCCCCAACCCATGCCCAGAAGGCCTCGGTTACAGCTCTTGTCGGTACACGAGTTGATACCCTGGGAGTCGGCTTGAGCGTCAGTGCCAAAAACGCTCAGGTGCGCTGAGGTCGAGATGGGCAAGAAGCTCCCGTTGTTCTTCAAAAGAGTGATGGCCTCCTGCGCAACCTGCTTGGCGACGACCTTGTGGTCGGCCTGCACGTTGACATACTGGTTGACGACACACGTTGGTGAGATCAGGGCGCTGGGATAGCAAGGGCCCTCCCGATCACGCGTGTTTGAGGAGAAGTTGGGACGCGGGTAGTCCTTGTCTTGGCCCATCTTGTACCAGGTCGCCACGATTCGTGTTGCCATGTCGTTGATGCGGTCCATAGGCACGCTTCCGTTCAACGCCGAACGTGTAAGCTCATACATCCAATAGCTGGTCCCGAAGATGATGGGGATCATGGTGTCGCCAGGCATGTTCATGTCAAGCCCAGCCAGTGCGGAGGGTACGCCAGAAATGTGGGCAAGCCAGTCAGTCATAACAATCCCCTGGAACCCTAGCTCGTCTTTCAATAAGCCGTTGATGAGATAGGCATTTTGCGACGTGGCAGAGCCGTTGATGGCGTTGTACGATGTCATGACAGCGCCAGTACCTGCGCGGACACCCTCAGCAAAAGGCCAAAGGTACAGCTCGTGCATGGTGCGATCGTCGAGGTTGGAGCTGTAACCTGGTTGGAAAACGTTGTACATCCGGTACATCTCCTGTTCGTTGGCCGTGAGATGCTTCAAGGTAGCAATGACGCCTTGCTCCTGCACTCCCTTGATCGTTTGCGCCCCGGCGATTCCTTGAAGCACCGGATCCGAACCAAACCCTTCCCAGTTTCTTCCACCTCTAGGCTTCCTACCCAAAGCACCCACCGAGGGGCCCAGATAGAAATTGGCACCCTTGCCTTTGAACTCCTGTCCCAATGCCACACCCCTCTCGTACATCAAGTCCTTGTTCCAGGTCGCGCCAGTCGTTATGCCGGCCGGGAAAGCCGTGACATTGTCGGTCGTTCGAACGCCTAGCGGTCCATCTTGCAGACATAATTGCGGGATTCCAAGGCGTAAAGCACTGCCCGTGTTGCCTACACATGGTCTACTTGCCCGTCAGAATACCCCAGGATGCCAACGTGCAGCGCCTATAAAGACAAGGAGTACCTACCCCATGAAGAAACCAACACCGCTCGATATATTGGTCTTCTCAGCCAATGTCATCTGCCCGACAAGGTCCACTGCCTTGCTGTAAGCTTCTGCCCAATCGTCGGCCCATCCGCCGTGTGGTGCCGGGTAGTACGGTGCGGAAACATAGCCGGCCGGTACGTCATCTCGGGGTTGGAGGACCCCAGCAGAGGATGTGTTGATTAAGCAGGACAGAAACAGTAAGGAGAGCGCTCGCAGCCCGGGAGGCGCCGCAAAGTCTAGAGTTACCATTTTTGCTGCTGTTCTGGTGCCGAGAGGGGAGACGAAGGGGCAGCGCACAAATCACCACCAGGACGGTGTTATCGTGGCTTTAGCTTGCTAAATATACTTCGAAGGGACAACAGCTGCTCGCCTACACGGGCACATCACAAGACAAATCCCCAGGAACCACTGCGATATCATTGGCGGATCTTGAGGATTATACAATGAACAATCCACATATTGGTTGCCAAGAATCTGCAGCGACATGGACATGCAAGGTATGATCTCATGGCTATGGTTGACAGGCCTAAAATGGGCTCGACAGGGGAATGCACGGCTGCTCTTGTGCCCAATTGCCCATCACTTTTTCCCCCTTTGGTTCAAGGGTGAGCAGAGCCAGGAAGCCCGGCAACGCATGTGAGTCTTGGGGTCCTGCAATAATATGCAGATCCTCATCATGAACCGTATTCGGAGAACGAGAACGCCAAGCGGACCAAAATCCGACCCGCGCGTGGGGATCTGGCACGCGAGATTCGGATCTCCCTAATCCTATAATCCACCAGGCTGCGCGGCACTTGGGGAACAGATTCAGCAGTGCGGGCAAGCAAGATCGGTATCCAGCTGCCTCTTTGATCGTGACAGATAAGGCTTTGTTTCCAATTAAAGTCATGGGCGCAAACAACTCCGAATGCTACCTTTACTAACTAGTCGTCACTTCTGTGAGGATATCTGGGGACGAGCCTTGTCTCCGGAAAAGTGGCACTGAGGGGCGGTTGGGTGATCAGAAGAACCGTCCTGTGACCAGGCCAAGCGGCCATCACAGGCTGCCATCCTGCTCAGAAGCCTTCACTGGGGAGGGGAGCGTCGCATCCGAGTAGGACCTTGACAGGACGACGTGCAGAAAGTTGGCACGACCCAGCATGCAGCGCCGTCTGGCGGTCGACAGACGAATCCCGGCGGGCACCTGATTGCCCAGTTTCGGGGAAATGCCATGTCTACTAAGATGATAGCTCACGTAAGCCAGTGTGCTCAATGGTTGCCCAGGTGCAGATTGGGGGGCCGTGGGACCGGTTCCTGGACGGTTGAGGAGGGATTTTTCAGCTCAGCCTCGAAACCCTTCAGCACTATCAGTTCGCACCTGGGCATGCAGCGACCCTCAAATATGGGACGCCGATAGGTTTCACCGCCTACGGATGGATCGTGAGTGCTGGATTCGGCGGATTAGACGCGAAATGCGCGGCTCCATACTGTAGTTTGAGGCGGGATCGCAGAGCACTCGGTGCACGGTTCCTCGACCAGGAGCAGGGCAGGGAACACCCCGGCTTCCATAGCGCGTGACTTGCAGCAACAACCAGGCCAACGTTGACCTCGCTTGCTCGCGAGCTGTTCCGAGCTTCTGGAATACAAAAGAGGGAACGCCAGTGGACCTCGTCCCCTGAAAGCAGATTTGCTGCCGAAGCTAAGAATGACTTGGGGCGCCTATCAGCTAACTGCAATCGGTATACGGTTCATGACAGCGGAAAGACTACTTGGAGACAACGGTCGCTAGAGCTATCCCGAGGCCGAGTATGCCAGACGTCTTCATATCAAAGCCATGACGCAAGCCAGAGGGCACGTCTGTGTGCTCACTTCAGATTGTGATGAAGCAATTTCGCAGGGAGTAGGTGTTCCGGGACAAGCAAAGCCATCGTAAGCGAGTTCTTGATCGATCTTTTTATTTTCTCTCTTTTTTTTTTTTTTTTTTTTTTTTGGCGACGCCCAGACGTTGAGGCTGCTGTGGACCAGGGCGGGGACATTTGAAAATAAGATTCAGCATGGCGAGCATGGGTAGATGAACCCTACGCAATTTCGCATTCTCATGCAAGCACTGCCGTAGGAACACAAGGACTTACATCAGCGCTGGTTGGGGGCCTGAAGTGATGCGCCTTGTCTTGAAAATTACCACACTTGCGGCATTCTCTCATTGCTGGGCGAGATTGATAAATGCGTTGTGCGTGTATAGCTCGCACTTGATCTCGGTTGCTGAACTTGGAAGGACCTGCGAAAGGCGGTGGTACTAATGCACTCGAATATAACAAGGTTCTTCGAACGGGATGACGGGCTGCTAAGATGCCGAGAAATAGCTTACCGTTCAATGTGGACCAGCCACGTTGGAGCAGCTCAACACTTTCGAAGGCGTTGTACTACCTATGGTACGGATACCAGCAGGTCCAATCGATATAGCGCAAGTCGCGTACAGTTGGACACAGATGAACACAAAGACGTGCCTCTTATCCCATGTGATAGACTAAGCCATAGTCGGCCGATCTCCCCGTCGTCACTTGACACAACTAGCACTATTCGTAGCGGGATTCCATCGGAAATGTTATGGTGTGATCCCCTCGATTCAGCTGCTTTGTGGCCAGCTACCTAAATCCCCCGCGGCTGTGAGGCGGTCACCAGGCTGCCAGGGCGGCGGCAAACGCCATTCTGTAGAAGTAGGCTGCGCAGCTGGTCCTTCCCCCGAAAAGCTGAAGATCTACAACACCATCTTTGGTGCGGCCGACGTTTGTGCATTCCGCACATGTAATATTTGACAATCTGCGCGGCGGCCGTCGCATTCCCCCCGGAACCCGTGGCGCAAATAGTTCCTGGAGGTCTATACTATCTCATCCTATAGGCTCGCGATGCAACCCCCCAAAATCTGGGGAAGCCGGGACCTACGGTTCCAGATCGGTTATTCCTGTCGACGAAGTGGAGTCTTGGCTCCTGATTTGCGCATTTCACCGCCGGCGGTACGCCTGTTTTCAGGTGAGCGGTCTTTTGTTGTTGACTAGGAGGCTGTCGTGTCTGGATAGGGAAGCCATCACCGGCTGCGCTGCCAACAAGCGAACTGTGCGCTCGACGTTGGGCGCTTCGAGCCACGAGGTGTGGCTGCAGTGCTAGGGCTGGCCTCATGACGATGGGTCATCGAATTCGGACTATCCGCCGCGGCCCCCACCACACCATTTTTCCTTCTCCAACAACCAATTCGTATGCAATGTATGCATCCATTGTACTAAGCCGCAAGATCCGCGACGAGTTCCCGTGAGTTGTTGAGATGAAGATACAATGCACCAATAGGCGACCGTCACTGGCCGCTTGGCCCCCTTAGCTTCCGAGCTGAGTGTGCAGTTCTGAACTCCACTATTCCAGGGACAACTCCAGGAACGCCTATCCATTCCTTGCACATTGGTGGTATTTGCCGATTACACCTTCGTCTACCCATGTCTTGAGGTGGCAGGGGCCCTGGATCAGTGATTGTCGAGGCGATTTGGAGATGGCCCCCGCAAGGGTGACCCAACCTGGTGGGCTAGAAGACACACCTCTGTATCTCTGTAGTGATTAGGTATATAACACCAGGCTCGTCACGATGCTTTCCATATCCCGAGCAGTCGTGTCCTATACGCCCACAGCCGCCTGCCTCTCTCCGCAGCTTTGCTAAGCTGACATAATCTTTGGCTGTCTTGCTTCTCGCGTCGAAGCCTACTCAATATCTTCTGTTCTGCACATTACAAGATGAAGCCATTCACTTGGACTTTAGTCTCGAGCTTTGCGCTCTCAGCGGCTGCTGGACCAATCCCTGATGAACTCAAGCTCTACTTGAACAACAGAGGTATACACCCAATCAACGCTATGTAGTTGGAACTCATCCTTGGGGCATATAGCTAACATGGAGTAGCTGCCACGGTCACTACCCAAGACGTCTCCAACTTCGACTTCTATGCCCAATACGCCGCCGCCGCATACTGCAACACAGAGGTTGACGCAGGCACACCTATTGCCTGCTCAGACGATGCTTGCCCCATTGTCCAGTCGAACGGCGCAGTTGTCACAGCCACCTTTGCGTGAGTACTTCCTAGCACGCATAGTAAAGACTAGTGTTTCGCTAACAGTCCGCATAGTGGCGTTGCGACCGACATCCAAGGCTTTGTGTCCACCGACGCTAAGAAGAAGGTGATCACGGCATCATTCCGCGGCTCTCACTCCGTACGAAACTGGATCACAAAGTCAGTGATTGCAATATATGAATCATACGTGACGCCTCGACTAACTCAGATCTAGTCTCGTCTTCGTCCAAGAACTGTGCGATCTGACCACTGGATGTCTCGTTCACACCGGCTTCCTCGCTGCCTGGAAGGAAATCTCCAGCCCAGTGCTGACTGCCATTGCTGCGGCAAAGAAGGCTCACCCGGACTACAGCATTGTCTTCACCGGCCACTCCCTGGGAGCTGCCATCGCCACTCTCGGAGCTGCCTACGTTCGCAACAAGGGCTACGCCATCGACATCTACGGATACGGTAGCCCGCGTGTTGGCAACAAGGAGTTCGTGGCGTATGTGACCGCTCAGGCCGGTGCCGAGTACCGTGTCACCCACCTGGACGACCCGGTTCCCCGTCTGCCCCCGATCATCCTCAATTACCGCCACACCACTCCCGAGTACTGGTTGTCTACCGGTGACGCCACCACCACCGAGTACACCGCCAGCCAGATCAAGGTCTGTGAGGGCTACTCCAACATCGCCTGCAACGCCGGGACGCTGGGACTTGATGTAGATGCTCACAGCTACTACTTCCAGGCCATCGCCGGCTGCAGCCCCGATGGCACCCCTCTCAAGAGGCGAGACGGCGAGGATGTCAGCGATGAGGATCTTGAGAACCAGCTCAATGACTACGTGTCGCAGGATGCTGAATATGTCGCCAACAACCTCTCTGGCGATGTATGGGCTTAAAGGGCAGGATATAGTCTTGGCTCTAGCCATTTGGAATGATGGATATGATTGTTTTGATACCACTGGGCAGATTTAGCATATGTAACTGGCGTCGAGGGGCAATAGCATTGAAGTTGACAGTGAATTGGTACATAGGAGTTGAGAGATGGCTCTAATACCACAGCTAAATATAATATCTAAATGATTTGCTGCCACAGCTCTGAAACTCTTGTGCAATTTACGTCGTCAGCCGAGCCAAAGTGACCTACAAGCGCAAGACTCTACATCTGCTATACAATGTCTAGCCCAGCATTCCGTCCCACAAAGGACGACATCAATGAAGTCTATAAACTCATGAATCCTCGTTTATTCCCGTCAGCCAGCCATATCTAGCTTCTCTTGGATCGCCCCTGTCTCTTCCCCCTTGCCCGGCTCGGACTCGTACCGGAACCCCAGTTCCGCCAACGACTTGGCCTTCTTTCCCGTCTGCTCGAACTTGATCTTGGCCTCGGCGTAGAGGGCGCGGGCCCAGAACATCTCGGCATCCCACCACGGAGGCTCCTTGCCGCCATCCCGCGGGGCCCGCGCCGTCGCCCATGCGTGCAGCTCGTTGATGTACTCGCCGTCACCCTGGGCCGGGAAGACGTGGAACCGGCCGGCGGGCCGGCGCTCGGCCTCGCCGCGCTCCCACGCCTCCATGTCGGCCCGCCCCGGCAGCGCCGCCGCGTTGGCCCACACGCGCGCGAACACGGCCGCCTGCGCCTCGGCCACGGGGAACGGGATCACCTTGATGGGCAGGCCCGGGAACGCGAGCGTCGGGTGGCGGATGTGCACAAAGTGCTTGTACAGGCCCTGGACCCGGCGGCCGTCGGTCACGAGCGGGGGCCCGCGCAGCGCCGCGGCGGCGTCGAGGAAGGGGTACGTGAACAGGTAGCCGGTGCAGAACAGCACTGCGTCGAGCCCCACGATCTCGCGCCCGTCCCGCAGCCGGACGCCCCGCTCCGCCACCAGGAACCGCTCGATCTCGGCCACTTCCTCGAAGGGGATGTGGTCTCGGACGCGATCGGGCGTCGGCGTGCGCACCGAGACGAGCAGCGGGCCGGCGCAGACACGGCCGATCTGGCTGGCAATGTCGAGCCCGCTGGCCGAGTTGCCCACAACCAACACCTTCTTGCCGGCGTAGGCGTCCGGAGTGCGGTACCGCTTGGAGTGCGCTACAGCGCCGGGGTGGGCGGCATCGAACTCCCGGACCCCCGGCACGTCAGGGACGTACGGCACGCTGTAATGACCCGAGGCCACAACGACGGCGTCGTACGTCTCGGTGGTGGAGGCACCGGTCAGGAGGTTGCGGGATGCAACGGTCCAGCGCTCGCTGCTCACCTGCCGATCGCTTTCCCCTTCCTCCGCCTCGGGTCTCACATCGATCACGGACGTCGAGAACCGGATCAGGTGGCGCACGTCTGTCGCGTAGTCCTCCAGATACCGCTGCACGGTTTCGCGCTCCGGGAAGATAGGCTTCCCCTCAGGGAAGGGCATGTCCGAGTACTGCATCAACGTATGCGGGATGTTGGTATGCAGGTCCTGATACATTGGACTGGGGAAGATCGGGGGCTTGGAGCCATCGTCCTCGCCCTCGCGTGGCCGCAGCGGCGGGTCCGGTGGGCAAAAGGGCGATGTCTGCGGGATGTGCTGTGTCTCCGTGGGCCGCGCGGAGTAATACCACACGCCGCCGACCTGGGCCTGCTGCTCAAAGATGGTGATGCGGGTGAAAGGGGCTGGCGAAGCGGCCGAGGCCCGGGATTGGGCGCGCAGGTACTTTGCGGCAGCGAGACCGCTGGGGCCGGCGCCGATGATGGCGACGGATTTGACGTTGAAGGGGCCCGGGACATCACCGCCCGTGTTGCCGACGGAGCCCATGGCGGCTGAGAACTGACGCCTTGAACGAACGTTGTGCGACGATAGCAGATGCCCTTGGGTGCTAGGGTGGAGAATGTTTAGGCCTCGATGTGATACGCGCGAACGGCAAAGCATAGAGTACAGCGGAAATTTTCACTCACGGTTGAAAAGCATCGGGCGATGACTCGCATGGAGTCGTGCCAGCCCCGACCGGGTGGTGGAGCTCCGGAGCTGAATCGGCATCACGACATCGGCCGGTGTGCCACCGAAAATCCCACGCTATGAGACCTTGGCACGAATATACAGCTCTGCGGAACTCGCAGTCGCGTTGTCACCACAAACAAAGAAACTTTACGTGGATGGTAACCAATTCCAACTGGATAAGAAGATACGCTCCAATCTGGAGCCAAGCAGCTCTCGCTTGTGTCTTGATATTAACAAGACTGTATAGGGTTGTATATACGCTTATACCATGTACCTCCTGATATATGTGCTAATGCCGATCCAATAACAGCTTTTTCCTATACGCCAATGCCCTCGCACCCAGCAGACCGCAAAAACGCCGTGGTATATGCAAATGCCAGCAGTAATATGGTTATACTTAGGGCATCGCTCAGTTCCTCCAGCGTTTCCAGAACTTCCAACCAGATTTGGAGTCGAGACCACCGACCTCTCGCTTTGTCACCTGATCCCGTCCGTGGATTCTCCAGAAATATACCGGAATGCCAATCAGGACAAAGGCTATCACAATCAAAGTCTTCAGAGGCTGTGCGAAGACAGCTCTGCTGAGTAAGAACAGACTGACACAGCAGAAGATGATAGGAGTCGTAATCCATGTCTTGTAAGGGCGCTCCAAGTTTGGTTCCCGGACACGAAGTATAATAAGTCCCAGGACCGTCAGGAAGTAGAAGGTGTATCCAGCAACGCCGTAAAACGTGATCAGCTCGCCGAACTCTCCGACCAGGATATATGCTAGCGTAAGAGCTGCGTTCAGGCAGAGGGCGTTGACCGGCGTGAAGAACAAGCCGGCCTCTTCGTCACCCAGCATGTTATGAAGCCGCTTTGAGAACCAATTCCTCGTTCTTGTCGCAGACAAGCCAGGCTCAGTCGAGTGGAGGCCAATGCGCCCAAAGAGGGCTGGGAAATAACCCTCTTTGCCCGCCGCATATACGAGGCGGCTGCTGGTGAACGTCTGCGAGTTGAGTGCCCCGAAACACGAGGCGCTCACGATGAGTGCCAGAACCAAAGCACCGATCGGGCCAAAGACCTTACCACCAAACATGACTGCCACGGTGTTTGTGGTGTTGATTGCAGCCATGGGCAAGACGAAAAAGTAAGCAACGTTAGCTAGAACGTAGCTTGTGATAACTAGTGGCATCGCCGTATGAATGACACGAGGAAGGTCACGCCCTGGGTTGCGGAACTCTCCTACAACATAGTTGGTCTAAGTCGCTGTTAGCCGTGTTCAATAGTCATAAAAGCACCGCCCCCATTCGCCCGCCAACTTACGTTATCCCAACCATCATAGGCCCAAAGTCCAGCGTATATGGCAACAGCCCACTTGCTGATATCTGTACTTGTCCCCTCAAACCATGAGTGAGTCTTCCAATCCGAATTGGCCGAGCCCGAGAACGAGAAACCCGTCAGTGCAACAACGACACCAACAACGGTTACGCCGGTCAAGGCAATAAACTTGAGAAACATGAGCCAGTCGTTGATGCGCGTGCCCAACCGTGTCGACAAGGCATTTATGAAGGTGATGATGGACAGGCCCACGATGGCCACGGCCTTGTTGATCCAAGGACTCACGGTCTCTGCTTCGGCGCCGATGGCGGCGCGCACCAAGTATTCGCCCATGATGATGGAGATAATGGCGGCGCTGCCAGGCTTCAGCACCAGCACGGCGACCCAGGTGAAGAGGAAGCCTGCGAGCTCGCCCAGGATCTTGCTCAAATACGCCTGGGGCCCTCCATTCAGTGGGATGGCGCCACCAAGCTCAGCGTAACTTGCTGCTCCCGTCCAGGCCAGGATGCCAGCTATGACCCACACAATAACAGCGGCGCCAGGCGAGCCGACGTTCATATTGACTTGGCTGGGCGATGAGAATATGCCCGAGCCGATGATGAGGCCAATGATCAAGCTGAGGCCGTTCAGATAGGTGAGGGTCTTGTGTTTCTCGAGCGATGTCCCTCCCAGACCGCCGGCTTGGTGTGCAGCCGACGTGGGCGCACCCAGCGGCGCATAACCATTCCCAGCGGACGAGGACAGCGGGAAGAGGTTCGCGGTATAGTCAAAGTTGGAAGCGGTCGAGAAGGTGCGGCCGTGGCCAAAGCCAGATCTTGCTGCGGGGTTGTTGTCGTCTAAGGGGTCATCTTGTTCGAGAGACAGCTTCCTGGAGGAGGATATCGAGGGCCTCGAGTCTGTGTCTGAGTATGTGTCGGGGCCGCGACTGGAAGAGGCCAGCGATGCAAGCTCGAGCGAGTCTCGGGCGTGCGGTTGGAGGCCAGCGTAGTGGGCTGGCATTGTCGCGGTTCGAGCCTGTCAAGCTCGCCTTCGACCCGTCTCGAGGGGATATTGTGTTCCTTTTTCTCTCTTTTCCCAATCCACTTGAACGATAGTCCGGTCAGCGGCTCATCAGCATGGCAGCGGGTGCGCCTGGTGTGCCTGGACTTGCGTGCTGAGCGCCCAATGTGGATTGTCGTGCAGTGCAGCTCTGTGCTCGCAGTAGGGTCTCGAAGTATAGTGCTCCGGCGGGCGCAAGATGCACGGGTACGTGGAGGCTCGCGGCGTGACTGAAAATGGACAATAGATGAATTATGCTGCTAATATATGTGCAGACAAGAGCTCGGGGCTATGTACGGTTGCGGAAGCGCCTGGTGGAATCACGCAGACAAGACAATGGCGGTGGTAACGGGTCTACTTTAGCACAGGAGTCGCATCGTGGGTGTGGTGTTTCTTGTTTGAAAGCCGCTGTCGTTGGCCTCGAGGCTCCTTTTCCCAGACACTAAAACTAGGTGCCCGTGCGCTGTGGCTCGGGTAGGGGGGCAAGTCCACTGTCGTAGTGCCAACAACACCTAGAACCCCTGACCGCTAGGGGTGTTACCTTCCAAAAAGCTGTAGGGTTGAGACTGGGAGCTAGCTGTTCGCCCTGTCCAGGACAGGCTTTCGTCCCAAGGTTTTGCTGTGTACATTACACCGAGCTTTTTTTTTTTTTTTTTTTTTTCCCCTGCAAGTCAAGTGCATTTGAACACTCGTTCTGGCTTCCGAGTCGGACAGAATACTGACTCCCGTGACTGTGCACAAAGTACGTGACCAAGCGTTGTCACCAATCTACCCCAGATCGATCAGATGGCTTGGGGGATTCGCGAGCCAAGGCGCCCTGCAGCGTTTGGCGCCCCTGCCGAAGTGCGCTAGCAGCCCATGACGTTTCAATCCATGCAAGTGGCTGCCATTGGCCGGCTAGGCCCAGCCAGGGAAAAGGGAAGGGAAAAAAAGTCGAGACCCTGGCACTCGAGAGCCGACAGTTGGCTGCGAGCAGCTGGTTGGTTGGTTAATGCTGGCCTGCGGCAACTATCAACCCACTGTAGCTCTTCAACGCGGTACCGTGATACGACGACGCGCAAGACCGCCGTGTTGTACATCTGTCGTTCCCGTGACATGGCTCTGTGAACATGAACGACGCTCAATGCAGTCTCTTCTCCATCACACACGAGCCCGGCTCGGCCGACGTGTAGCGTCCTTGCGCATCTGCACGCCAGCCATCCGCTGCCATGCCTCGACCAACGCTCCCAGACGATCCGATGCGAGCCGTCTAGACCTGCCAGCCCTTGACGAGAAATGGCGGAAGGCATGGAAACAAAACGGCTCGGCTTCCAACCCCAACGGGACCTCTCTGACCAGCAACCGTGCCGCGTCGGCCCCTGCAGCTGGGCGGAACATGTACATCCTGCCCATGTTCCCATACCCGTCGGGCAACCTTCACCTGGGCCATCTGCGAGTATACACCATTGCCGACGTCATGGCCCGGTATCATAGATTGCAAGGGAAGCAGGTCCTGCTGCCAATGGGCTGGGATGCCTTTGGTTTACCTGCAGAGAACGCTGCCATCGAACGGGGCATAGACCCAGCCGTGTGGACCAGAGACAACATTGCTCGTATGAAGGAGCAGCTGGGCGTCATGAACGGTAGCTTTGACTGGTCGAGGGTGAGTGGAACTCTGCGGACGCCGAGGCCTTCGTCACCCCTAGTCTGACCATGGATTCTACAACAGGAATTTGCGACCTGCGATCCCGACTTCTATGGCCAGACCCAGCGCATGTTTCTCTTGCTCATGGAGAAGGGGCTGGTCGAACGAAGGAAGGCCGAGGTCAATTGGGACCCCGTGGAGAACACCGTGCTCGCCAACGAACAAGTGGATGCCGCTGGGCGGTCCTGGAGGTCAGGGGCCAAGGTTGAAAAGAGGCAGCTCGAACAGTGGTTCTTTAGGATCACCAAGTACCAGGAGTCCTTACAGGAAGACCTTGAAAAGCTAGCTCTCGATGATGCTTGGCCCGAGATGGTGTTGACGCAACAGAGGAATTGGCTTGGGCGCACCGACGGCGCGTATTACCAGTTTGCTCTAAAACCCGACCTCCCTGACGTTGTGCAGCTGCCCATTCTTGAATCCTTGAAGGTCTATACCACGCGGCCAGAAACTATATTTGCCGCTCAGTATCTTGCCCTGTCGCCACAGTCGTCTTTGGTGCAAAGCCTGGCCGACCGAGATGACAAGCTCCGTGCATTCCTAGCCGAAGCCAAAGACCTGCCTCATACCTCCATGGCTGGTTATAAAATTCCCTATCTGGCAGCTACCAGTCCCTTAGGCTCGCATACGGGCGAAGCTATACCCGTATATGTGGCCGCTTACGTCAGGGCAGACTACGAAACAGGGGCTCTCATGGGCGTTCCGGCACACGACCTGAGGGACTTCAACTTTTGGAAAGAGCACTGTCCAGGTGAGCCCATCAAACGTGCTGTTAGTCCAACAGAGGGCGAGCCTACTGTGAACTCTGGTGAGCCTTACCTGAGCGCGGGTTTCATGACGTCTTTGGCGAAATCCTATGAAGGGCAGCCTTCTGAGCAGGCAGCCCAGGGGATTGTTCAAGAAATCGCGTCGGACTCCGGGTTGGCCGAACCCATTGTCAAGTGGAAACTCCACGACTGGCTCATCAGCCGCCAGCGTTATTGGGGCACCCCAATCCCTATCATTCACTGCGCGTCTTGCGGGCCTCAGCCTGTCCCTGACGAGGAGCTCCCCGTTGCACTCCCTCGGGTTGACCATCACTGGGCTGAGGCGAGGACTGGAAACCCATTGGAGACCGCGGAAGACTGGATCAGGACGGAGTGCCCCAAATGTCACGGCCCCGCCAGGAGGGATACAGACACGATGGACACATTTGTTGACTCGAGCTGGTACTTTATGCGATTTGCTGACCCGACCAACTCCAAACTACCCATATCCAAGTCAGCGCTCCAAGAGAATCTTCCGGTCGACCTGTACATTGGGGGTGTCGAGCACGCCATCCTGCACTTGCTTTATGCCCGCTTCTTCTTCAAAGCTGTGGTCGACGCCCTTTACCCCGAATATGCCGCCGAGACTCATCTCATTGAGCCATTTAAGCGACTCATAACGCAGGGTATGGTGCATGGCAGAACCTACAGTAATCCGGAAACAGGACGGTTTCTGAAGCCCGACGAAGTTGATCTATCTGACGCTTCAAATCCCAAAGTCGTGGAAACTGGAGCGAAGCCCAACGTTACGTTCGAAAAGATGTCCAAATCCAAGCACAATGGCGTGGACCCGACTACTTTCATTGCGCAGTACGGGGCCGATGCAACAAGAGCGCATATGCTCTTCCAGGCCCCTGTCAGTGACGTGGTCAACTGGGACGAAGACAAAATTGCCGGCATTACACGCTGGTTGAAACGGCTGCACAAATTTGTTGCTGCTCTGTCGCCCGTCAAGGGAGGGCCCGCCTGGAACGGGAAAGAGTACTTTGGGAAATCTACCGCGGGCTTTGACAGAGAGGCTACTTCGCAATGGGATGCAGACGTTGATGTCTGGCGTGCCACTCAAAAGGGCATTGCAGCAGTGACGCTGTCATACGAGAAGGTTTATGCATTGAACACGACCGTCTCGCATCTGATGGAGTGGACCAATGTCTTGTTGGAGTCACCAGCCTCTGAACTTGTCAAGATCGAATCTTCCAGCCGCCTAATACACCTCATGGCACCGATTACGCCAGCCTTTGCCGAGGAGTGCTGGAGCTTGCTGCATCCATCTTCGGATGGCATCTTTGAGTCCACACAACGAAACTGGCCGGAGACCGACGGCACGCTCGAAATGCTAGGGCAAAGTTACATCCGATGCGCTGTTCAGGTGAATGGCAAATTGCGGTGCGTCGTTGCGGTTTCGAAACCGCCGCAGGAGCTCAAGCAGGGCAGTCCGGAATTCAGGGACTGGTTCGTGGAGCAGATCATGCAGTCTGAGGAGGCGCGCCACAAAGTCATGAAGCCCGAATGTGACATCCGCGCGGCCAAGAAGGCTTTTGTCGTCAAAGGAGGGCAGACAGCTAATTTTGTACTATAAGTGCGACAATGTGTACCAAGAAATAGACATGTACATCACGAGAGGATATAGAGGGATACCCAGCTCAGTGCCTGGGCCAGTAGTTGCTAGGAAACTAGCAAACGGCCCCAGAATGCAAATATAACATTTCACCAGAGAATCTGACCCGAATAGTCCAATTCAAGGGCTCATATTGCTTACAAAACCGTCGGTGTTTTCGAGATAATATCGGATCCGGTGACCTGGAACGTGGACCCTGCGTGGTTAGCGTCCCGGCCTCGGTATGGGAATCATGGCGATCCTCGCTATATTCACCCAACCCTTTCATTCTCTTTATACGCCAGACCAGACTCAGACTATAAAGCCTCGCCCGCACTCACCAACACAAGTTCGTCCTCTATATCAAGACTCCAGTTGTCCCACCCCCTTCCCGCACATGCCCCGCCTCCCACCTGCCCTCCTCCGCCAAGCCCACAGTATCTCGCCCCAGCTCCACGCCCTGTTGCCCGCGTGCCGGGACCTGCAGTCGGCGCGGAGCGAGCTGCGCTGGATCAGGGAGCACGCGCTGTCGTCATCCTCCGGGGCGGGCCAACCCAGTAATCGGCATGGGAACGCCGCCGTGGCCCGCCTCGTGGCCCGCCGCGCCCGCGGTGAGCCCCTGCAGTACGTCCTGGGCTCGCAGCCCTTCGGCGCCCTGGACCTCCGGTGCCGCCCGGGCGTGCTGATCCCGCGGCCCGAGACCGAGGCCTACGTCGTGCACCTGGCAAGCCAGCTGCTCCGGGCCCGCAAGGCCCTGGGTGCCGCTGCCGCCGACGGCCGGCCCCTGCGCGTCGTGGACGTCTGCACTGGCTCCGGCTGCATCGCCCTGCTGCTCTACCAGCTCCTGCACCGCGGCTTCCCGGGCGCCGGCTCGCTCCGCGTCCTCGGGCTGGATGTCGCGCCCGAGGCGGTCGCGCTGGCGAGGGAGAATCTGGAGCGGAACGTGCGGCGCGGTGCACTGCCCGCGACGGCGTTGGAGGGCGGAGATGTGCGGTTTGCGCAGGCGGACTTGTTCTCGGACGGAGAATGGAACAGCGCAGTCGGGCAACGCGGTGGAGAGATTGCCGGCGTCGATGTCTTGGTCTCGAACCCGCCGTACATCTCAACGCAGGGGTTCGACCGCGACACGGGACGCTCTGTCCGGAACTTCGAGCCCAGGCTGGCACTCGTGCCGGGTGCGGGTCTGTCTCAGGGCACCGCATGTGCGCCGGAGGATGTCTTCTACGCCCGGCTGCTCAAGGTCTCCCGCGTTCTCCGGCCGAGGGTCATGCTGTTCGAAGTCGGCGACATGGAGCAGGCCCGTCGGGTGGCTCAGATGGCTACTGGGTTGGAGCAGTCAGAGCAGTGGCACGTCGAGATATGGCGGGATGATCCGGACTTGGATGGAAACGATGGCCTCCGTGAAGAGGTCCTTAATGGGAGACGGATCCCGGTCAGGGGTTCTGGCCATGGAAGGTCGGTGTTCGTGCATCGCGTGCCAGAATTGGTTACGTAGGAGTTGTTTTCAATTGTCAAGATACCCCATGAAGTATTTATGTCCTGATGCAGCTGGTTCATAATGGATATGTCCTGTCTATAATACAATGCCTTGTAGCACAGCTTTGGCTATCTGTGTCTCTATGAAGCAGTCTATAATCTGACGATCTCACCATTCTGCTTGATGGCGCCTCGAAAGTGATCTGAAACAATGGTCCCCTTCACAATTGTCTCCTCTATCAGGCCTTCAACGTGCTTCGGCTCTACTCTTCCATACCAAATCCCGTGTCCCGCCAAGGGATGTGGACTGTTATCTTTCGTGTTCAGCCGTGGGGGCACATATATTATGATGTTACCCGCGAATTTGTGGCCACCTATGTGGCTAATCAGGCCCACGCGAGCAGTAGAGGGGGCTTCGCCAGTGGTACCGGATAAGGCTGGAGCGGACACACTTTCGTCTAGGAGAGGGCCCTTCAGAACTTCGAAGCCGGCCTTGGGCAATTTGGCCTCGAACTCCTGCTGTAAGACGGGTCCCATGACGCCGCATCGCATATCCCGCCCACCGTGACCACAGATAAGCACAAGTACGTCCTGCACGTCGCGCACCCCGTAAAGCAAGTGCTGGTATGCCTCTTTCCTGGTCAAGCGATCCTTGTGTATGGGCGACAGACCCTCGTTCATAGGGTGTAGCTTCTCGGGGAGCAGAAAGCCCTTGACGAGGGCTTGCACCGAGTCAAAAGAGACCCGGGGCAGGAAGGGGATATATTTGAAGCTGGGGAGGAGGTAGGCGGATGTCGTCTGGACTTCCGGACGCTTCGAGATGGACGACGGAAATGACGAGTTGAGAACAGAGATGTTGTGGAACGGCTGGGAGCGCACTTACCGTCAGCAATCGAACATCTCTCTTCTCTCCTGCGCAGCCATAGCTGCCGCCGAACTACGCTGCGGGCGGCCTGCTGCTTGATCCTAGACTCACATCGCTGTAAACTCCGCCCCGGCCGATGAGCTCCTTGAGGTCGGCAGCGAGGTTGTCACCGCTGTTGTCTTCCTCAATGCGCGAGGGCCAGTCGGCATTGCCGGTGCAGATCAAGACCTGTTCGGCGTAGCTAGTTATGAGGCCATTGAGCTTGCCCTTATGGTCAATCTCCAAGCCATCCGGCATGACGGGCGTCTCGGCGCATTCGCACGTCGGCGCCGGGCATTTCGGGACCGTATTCAGGAATCTCACACCAGGGTGTTGTATTTGCAGAGCTCGTTTCCATAAGCGGAAGCTTGTCGGCCGCGGAGATCGGAGCGACATGGTCTCAGGGTTGCCTGAACTTGGTCGACGTGCGTGCTCTGAAGCACAGGCTGACAGGTTGTAGCCCACCCATAATATGTGCGAATCGGAGAATATGTCATTTGGTTATGATGCGACGCCGTGTAGCCGACCGAACTACGTAGCTCCGAGCCAGGCTTGTTTGAGAGAGACAGCTCCAATTGCATATACTCGTTATCTGCATTTGGTCCGTCGCTGTTGTCGGTCCAAGCTCTTCAATCACCCATTCATCATCGACTCTATCATTTTTCGGGTGTGAGCTGCACTGTCATAACCGATGGAGACCACCACGTAAACCTGTGTGAGTCATCATCGTAGTTTGAGTCGCATACTACGCGGCAATGGCCTCGAAAATATGTTCAAGCTGCTTTCGAGCCAGCCGGGGCTGGCCAAGGCAACCTCAGAATCTGGGTTTTTTCGCGACCCAACATGTATATCACCGAGCCCCTTTACAAGCATCCTACCAGGCGTCCTTCTCGACCACAGCGTCACGTCCAACTTCGACATCTTTGGCTGAGCTTCCCCGGCCTAATAGGGGACGAGGCCGGAAGCCCCTCTTCTTTTCTTTCGCAGCAATAGCTATCGGCTCAGCCAGCTGGTACGGCCTCTCAGAGTCCGAGGACGACAGCCTCAATACGACAAGGTTCACTCCGTTCAACATCATCTCGAAAGAGCAAGTCTCCCCAACAGCTTTCATCCTGACCATTCGCTGCCCGGGAGCTGTTCTGCCCAAAAATGCGTCCAAATTCAAGGCTGCCTGGGAACATGGACTCTGGTCGGTTGAGATGAAGCAACCCCAACTCCAAATCGCTCGCCATTACACGCCGCTGCCTCCATTAAATGCTGGTGAGGTAGATGCCGGAGAGGTCCGTTTTCTCATCCGCAAGATGGACGGCGGGGAGATGTCGAATTACCTGTCAAGACTCCAGGTGGGAGATCAGGTATGGTTGCGTGGCCCGCATTACGGATTCGACATCAAGAAGCGACTGGGGGATGCGCAAGACGTGGTATTTGTTGCGGGCGGTACCGGAATTGCCCCTGCTTTGCAGATTGCCCACAAGCTGTTGGATGCGTCGAGTACGAGCAACACACTCCAGAGTGGCAAACTGTCCGTCCGGATTCTCTGGGCGAACCGTAAAAATGTCGACAGCCTTGGTAGAGAGCAGTTGACGGGCAGGTCCAAAGAGGCGAAGCGCGGTAGAGCTATGGAATCCTCCCTAACAAATCAAGTCATGGAGCTGCAGCGCAAGCATGGAGACAGCTTCACAATCGATTATTTTGTTGACGACGAGCGCTTTATTGCACAATCAGATATCAATGCCGCGCTTGGTTTGCAAGCTCAGAAGCAGCCAGTCTTTGCGCGAGCAGACAAAAGCTGTCGCTGGCATTCTCACGAGAGACTTGCTTCAGTATCCGACGAGGAAGACCGCACCCAAACCCTGGCTTCGAAATGTACGTGTCGTCCACACAAAATGCCTGAGGAGCCTATCGGAAGAAATCTCGTCTGCGTCTCTGGCCCCGACGGATTCATCGAGGCTTTTGCTGGGTCAAAGCGTTGGTTTGGTGGCAGAGAGATCCAGGGACCTGTACTAGGCTTATTGGGTTCTATGAAGAGGATGGACCCCAGGATGGATGACTGGCTTGTATTGAAAATGTAACAGTAGGACAACTGCACCTTCCTTTTCATCTATTCATGTAATATAGAAATTGGAGGAAGCAGCTATTCAGAATTTTGTAGTCTAGAGGTCAACATGAAGTCAGGGGGTCTAGTGCTCCAAGTACAGTAGTATATATTAAAACTACGACGGATCGAAGTCGCAAGTTGCATGCCAAGTGGTTCTTATGGTCATATTTTGGCCGTCTTCACACACAAGATTTCCCTTACCCCCTCAATAAAGAGAAATTCCATACTGGGTAGATAAGGCCAGCTACACTCACTAAGGTTTACTCAACTTTGGTCCAGTATATGCATCTCAGGTCCCACAACTCCACCTTGTCCACCGTGATTGATAATCAGGTCATGACATGCATTCGCCAACGGGACTGAAGGACGCCACATGTCCACCAGGGAAATTTCGGAGCCGGTTTGGCTGGCAATGCAACGGTCTTACAAATACGAATCACCTTAAATCTCCAACGAGCGACGTCATTGGCAAGATACCAAACCTTATAGGAGGTTGCCATAGGGTAAGCCAGAGCGGGGAAAGGGGTCTTTACACATACCCCAAAAGATCAACAGTACTATCCTGAAGTCATATACTCAGAACCGAATGCAGCATTCGGTTCTCAAATTCTCTTCACATCTTGAACCTGCAACTTAGGCTCAGAAGCCCCAATTGAAACTGAGATTTACTGTTGCAAAGCATTGCAGATCTGCAACCATGTGTTCAAAGGGGCAGAAGGTGTTCATTATTGGCCCAGGATTCATCGGCTGGAACGTCTTGGACCTGCTAGTCAAGGAGGAATACCGAGTCACGGGTTTTGTAAGAAATAAAGAGCGCGAGGCGGAGATCAAGGCTTCAGGGGCGGCGGAGGTGGTTATTGGAAATCTGCACGACAAGGAGCTCATCAGCCAGACAACAGCTGAACATGACATTGTTATCCACACGGCGACGGCAGACGACTTGCCCAGTGTTGAGGCCGTTTTAGATGGTATCCAGAAACGTGCTGATAAGGGACTGAGTACCATATACATCCATACCTCTGGGACCTCATTGCTGGACGATGGCTGCCATGGAAGTACAAAGTCATCCAAAATCTACTACGACAACGTCCGAGGAGACATTGAGGCTCTCTCGGACGATGCGCCGCACCGAGAGATTGACCTTGCCATCGTCAAGAAGCAGAAGCAGCTCGGCGACAAGGCCAAAATCGCTATCATGATCCCACCTCTAATCTACGGCTTCAACCCGAACCACAAGCGCCTGACGATCCAGATTCCGACGCTGACGCGGTTCGCGCTCAAGCACGGCTACGCCGGGTACGTCGGCGAGGGACTGGCCGTCGAGTCCAACATCCACGTCCTCGACCTGGCGCGCGCGTACCGCATGCTGCTGCACCACCTGGAGCACACGCCGGCGCCTAAGCTGCTGGACAACCCGTACTACTTCTGCGAGACCACGGGCGACCACGAGCCCAGCTGGCGCGAGGTGGCCGAGCTCATCGGCGCGAGCCTGCACCAGGCCGGCAAGATCGCGGACCCCAAGCCACGGACCGTCGATTCCAAGCTCTACGGTGACCTCTTTGGCTCGTTCACGGGTGCTGTCATTGGCCTTAACAGCCGCAGCCGGGCCGTCCGCCTGCGCGAGCTGGGCTGGAAACCAGTGGAAAAGGGATGGAAGGAGAGTTATGTCGAGGATGAGCTGCCCGAGATCCTCAAGGAGAAAGGGTTTGCGGGTTTTTCTGGGTACAAGGGTACTGTGGCGAGTTAAGTCTCTGGGCTGTTCGTATTGCAGTTGTGTGAGTTTTCGTCTCATGTGAAGCCAGCTTTACCAGATGTATCGCTTTATTAGCGACAATTCTGTTCACTCGAAGAAGTCTAAACATCGGAAATGTATCTGATCCAGCAGTATATTGTTTACTTGTTACGCAGACAGAGATACAGAGAATGCTATGAGTACAAGATACGAGCCCAACAGAAATCGAGAGCGACAGTGTATCCAAAACCCAAGGGTATTCCATCTAGACCCGAACCGTACTCCAACGCTTGACCAAAATCGCAAGGAAAAGAACCTTCCCATCATCTTACAAGTCTTTGAACTCATCATTGGGCGAGATGAACTGATATTTCTCTCCTCTCGCAACACGATCGACCTCCTCCCGCACAAAGGGGTAGACATCCTTGTAGGCGTTGCGGCCCATCCAGCAGTCGAGGTGACCGTAGTTGGGCACGACCCGGCGCTTGTACTGCAGGCCGTCGTTGTCCTGCGTGTCCTTGGTACCGAAGGCATCGCACAAGACCTCATAAGTCTTCTCGGTGCTCATCGGGGACAGCACGGCGTTGTCGCGGCCGACGAACAGCAGGAACGGGATGTTCTTTAGGCGTCGGATGTTGTCCGGAGTATCGAGGCGCTCGAATAGCGGGCCGTTGGTCATGACGCCACCCTCATAGCCCTGCTTCATAAGGAGGTGCAGCAGTGTCATATTCACACCGCCAAAGAAGCGATCAATCTGCCGATGCGTCGCCTCGTTCAGGTTGTTGTGGTTCCAGCACCGCCCGAACGTCAGCGACACCCGGTGGCATGACGCGTTGTTGCATATCTCTTTCCGTTCGTCCGGCATCAGCCGGAGCAGCTCGTTGAGCCCTTTCTGGAGGTAGCTGTCGTCATGGCCCGTACTGCATGAGAACCATGAACCGCACAACGCCTTGTACACCTTGTCCAAAGGCAGTGGGAACGCCATGATTTTGATCATGTTCATGGTGTTCCAGATCGGGTTCATAAACACCTGGCTGCAGGTAATGCCCGAGATCCACTCAGCCGGGATCTTGCCATCGAGGAGACCCGTCGACAGAGCGACGCTGCCCATGCAGTGTGCAATGGTATACACTTTTTGGTTGCGGTTGAGGGAGCGGATCTTCTCGAGACAGGCCCTGATGTCGAGGCGAGCATCAAACGTTGTCCAGTCATTCTGAGCTACCATCAAGGCGCCAATGCGGTGTACAGTGATGTAAACCCGATACCCGGCCCTTGTGAAGTAGTTCACCGCGTTGCAACTGATAGTCGGCAAGGCATAGATCTGGTGGTCGACAGAAGCACCAGGAACCATGAAGAGGTCCTTCGTGGGAATATCGGGATTCGTTGGTTCGTACATCAGCATGCGGGTGGCCACTCCATCCTCTGCACGGATCTCGTACACAGCAGCGGGAAGTGTCTCATTGATATACCCGTTGTAGGCGGTGCTGGGGTACTGCAGGGGCGTGAAAGGAGCCAAGAAGAGTGACATGGATTTGCGGGTGAAATACGTCATGAAGCTGAAAGCACTCCAAGCCTTCTTCAGGAGGTTGCTTCCAGTTGGTGTCATGGTTAGGATCTGGTTTGCAAAATCTGCTGGCTGGATTCTCATGATGCCCTTGGCAATAACAATGCCCTTTTCCATAGCCTGATCCTCAGACATGTCCTCACGGAAGTCACCGCGGTTTCGTGCCCGCCGTATGGTGACATAAAGGGTGCTTGTAGCTCGCCAGAACTGGATAGGGCTGAGTGCTACTGACGAGTCGACGATCTTGAATCCATGGAAGTGAAGGAGTTTACCGTCGGTCCCACGCATCATGAAGTGGTAAACAAGATTTTTCGTCCCGGGTGCACCTAGGTACTGGCGGAAGAGATTGAAGTCTCCACGCTGAACCATAAAGGGGGAACCGGGGATGGTTGGGCAGGCAAACGTTCCCGTGAGCATTGCACGGTGCTCCGGGTCATTGACAGTAGACCTCGTGTTGAATGACTGAACGCTGAGGAAGAAGCGAGCCGCTTCACATCGAGATTCAGCAATTCGAGCCGCCAACTCGTATGATTGCTGAGTCTCCTCTTTCAACCCTTGGTCGTGGTGGATGAAACCTGACATGACTTCAGTGAAACCGAACCCGGCATCGTTGAGGCGCTGCGCAGACCGGATAACGTCGCTCGCACTCGAGATGCTGACGGTTTCTTGTCTTTCGCTCTCATCCTCAGACAGATCATAGCAGTCATGACTGTGCTGTGGCGACCCGAACAAATCGAGAATCTTATTCTTGGTCTGGTCGATCCTTAGTCCTTCTCGCTGAGCATAGTGATCCACAGCTCGCTCTGCCAGAGCAGTGATGGTAGCCAGCGGGTTTGCACCCAGCGCAGTCGGAACCAATGCAGCGTCAGTCACAATGAGGCCACGGTGAGTCTTATCGCCGTCCCCTTGGAACAGTTCTCCAAAGTGATTTGTGGCGCCGCTGGCACCAGTGCCGTCGGAGGACAAGCAAGCACCACCAATCGGGTGAACCGTGACTTGCCCTTGGCTCATGAGAGCGTAGAAAGGGTTCTGTACGAAAGTCCCCCCAACTGCCCTTGTGGCCTGCTCAAGGATTTTGTTCAGGCGCTTAACATGCTCGCTTCGCCCAACTCCGAGAAACTCGAGAACTGGCTTGTCATCCTTCAGAGTAAGGATGGCTTGGTTGCTATCATGAGACATGACAAGATATACCTGGGTTCTTTCGATGGCCCCTCTGCGATAGTATGGTCCAAGGAAGAAAGACCCAACCCGGGCAAGGTTTGCCTTGAAGGTGTCGACGAGTGTATCATCCTTTGGCTCAATGCGGCCTGGGAGAAGCTCTAACATCGCCTGGAGGAAAGGGGCAAGAGCCTTAGGGATAGTACCCTCCTCAATAACATATCCATCAAGGTAGTTATCATGACCCTCCCTTTTGTCGATAATCCCCGTGATGCATGGGCCAACTGGATTATATGGAGAACTTTGGGCATGACCAACCGCATTTACCTCGTGATCCGTGTTGTATCTGCAAGACGTCAGGTTAGTAGATGACTGGGAAAGTATTGATAAGATCACATACCCAAAGGCAAGCATGTCTCCATTTCCACTCATATTGAGCCCGACCTGGTCGCTCAGATCCAGGCCCATCTCTTTACTTCTTAATAAAATCTCGGTGGTGCCAATAGAGCCCGCCCCGAGGAAGACGGCCTTCTTAGCATGAACCCACATGAGGTCTCCATGTAAGTTGGCTTTGAAATGACCACGGTTGCGCCCGTGCCATGCAAAAAAGACGAGATATCCCTCCCGGCCCTCAGGCGCTTTGGTGATATAGCGCACCTCGGACTCGCAGAAGATCTCAGCGCCCCAGTTCCAGGCGTCGGCAATGTATGTAACCAGGGTGGAATTCTTTGAGGCGTCATTGAGTCCGGTCAAGTCCTGACCTGTCAGCGCCGAAGGGGCCATCTCAACACCGGCGTAGTTTGGCCCATTCTTGAAACGAGTCGTCTGCTTGACCCTGCGGAAGTTGTCGGTCATATTCAAGGCTTCTGCTTGCTTCTTGAGTAGCTCCAGTTTGTGCAACTTTGGCCAGTCCAGGGGATACTCTTCAGGCTCGAGCATCTCGCTAGCTAATTTGTAGTCTATAGTATCATCAGGTTAGCGGGTGGGGCTATAGTATCGACAGGGAAGAGTCAAGCCTAACGCACACTTGTCCATTTCTGCTGGGTTGTCTCGAATCTCCTCTGGCCAAAACTCTGAAGCGAGCGTTTGTTTATCCGCCTCTAGATACACATTCGCATTCATCAGACTGGTGCCGCCGAGGCCTGAAGCGTGGTTAGCACAGTATTGGCGCAGTCCATGATAGATGCTTACCATTACACACAACTGCATTCTGCCCGTTGCCGAAAATTAGGTGGTACATGCCCGTGGGATCACCACCGTTGACCAGAGTCTTTGGAAGCCAACCCGGGGCGAACTCGCCTGAGCAGTGGACCTGTTCAAGAGCGTCACTAGTTTCGCAGGGGAACTCCCCAGGCCATCGCTCCTTGCCGCGCTCTAATACGCACACCGTCTGGTTTGTCCGCGCCATGCGGGAAGCGGCAACACCGCCGCCATATCCGGAACCAATAACAACGCAGTCATAGGAGTTCCGCATCAACTCCGAGGGCTTCGAGAGACGAGGATACGCATTGCCGCTGGAGCTCTTTCCCCATGAGCGTACTCTGGCACCGCCGTTAATTCTACCGGGCCTGCTGGCCTCACTCTCATGTGGGCCGATGTTGTGGATTCGATGTGAGCCGCTCTCGAACCGCACTCCGCGAGGCGGTTCAGGAGACGGGAAACCGTCTAGAGGATCACCATTCGTCGCTCCATTGCTACTGTGGCTGGTGGCAGGACTATGTGTCAAGTAGTCCCCGGGCGAGAGCGGAGTCTCCTCAGATGTGCTGCTGGCTAGGCCACTGGTATAGCCATCGGTCTCTCCATTTGCGAGTGCGCTGCTAATCCCGTTCGTGGGCGCATTGAGTTTGCGGGCACGCAACGCCGCCGGAGGCGCCAAAGCAATTGGGGGGTCAGCACTGGGGGCCATGATGACGGCTTGGGGGATCTAATTGAGGTCCCAGTAGATTTGAAGTGTAAGATGGTTGGTAAGCCACCTCGGGCCTCTCCGTAATATGGGATAGGCCAGTGCTCGTATAAGGGAAGGGGATGCAGTTCAGTCGAAGATCTTCGAAAAAGCAAGGCACGGAACTGAAGTCCGATCAAAGAGAGCAAGCGTACTGCTATACAGGAGAATGAAGGAGTGCTGGGAGACGCGGGATCACCAACTAGTGACGCTTCTACCGTCACCCGGCCCGGAGGAATGTGGCTTCATATAAGAGTCGAACCCGGGCTGCCAGTTCCGACCCCAAGTGGAATGGATTCAGTGGACATTGAACCATGTGAAGAGACTAAGGCAGACGATGTCCCCCGTCCGCGACCCACGAACCGTCCGACTAGTGAACCCCAGAGACATGGCGCAGCGGCGTAGAGCTGAGAAAAGAGAAAAAATAGTTGGGGATCATCACCATGACCAGCAAATAGAATGGCTCGTCCTGCAGCTCTAGTCCCAATTTCGCTAAGAGGACTGTGAGTGCTACTGAGAATGGGGAGCCCCTCGGCATGCATGGGGGGGCCGAACATGTCCGCAGCTATGCCATTTCTATTGGGTCGTAAGCGCTGACTGTGGCTCGTTCGGGTGTGTTCGAATAAGATCCACGGACAGCACGCTACAAGACGCCGCTAAACTGCAAGGGCTATCTCAGCTGGCCATCTACTAGTTGAGTCGACCCCCCCGTCACAGTATGTGACTGGGGCATCCGTCTACACCCAAGATTTCACGTGGGAGCCTGGCGGATGTCCCGAACGACTCGGTGATCAAATTCGCCAGCGCCCGTTCAGAGCACGCGGCTGGCTCGCGGCGTCGAATTGCTATAGTTGATGCGAGACACTTTTCGCCCGAAACTCTAAACTGAGACGCTATGGTCCCGACGTTGGACGAATGGAGATTTTTTGTCTCCCCGACCCAGGCTCAGGTCCAGGTCCAGGGCCAGGGCCAGGGTGACGGAAGCCAAACCGTTGGAACACCCTACTAAAGGGCCGCGCACAGTAGCTCTCAGAGCACTGTACTATGGTATAAGAGGAAGACTAGTCTTATCACCTTGTGTCTCTGATTGGTTGGGGTCCGCTCGGAAGGCGTTCTCTAAGGCATCCTTGGCCCCTGGAGTGGTAAACCTATTGCATCCCAGACGGTGGTCATTCCAACACCTCGTGTCGTAGGCTCCCAATCTACAGCAACCGAAAGGGTCCTTCCAGCAGCTTAGCACAGTCGTCAATTAGCTCACCGAGGAGTATCTTTATCGGCGCAACCGTCTCAGCCCCCAGACTGATATCATTGTACAGCTGGGGTCTCTGCTGCGCTGCGGCACGGTAAAGATGTCATCAGCCGACCACAGGCACTCGATCTTGCGCTTGCTGATCGGAGGGGCACTGCTGGATGCAGGTGCAGACAATTTTCTACTCGATCCGACGTGGACCAAATCCATGCTGCACGTCAGCACCAACCGAGGCTGTTTCGATGGGCTAGTCAGAGGCACCGCGCTGCTGCACAAAACTTCCGAATGAGCTGACATGGTGACCAGCATCGATGGTTCATTTTGAAGAAAGCCAGAATACCCACAAGTCGTAAGGCTGATCCTGTCGAAGGATGCGGAAGTACCCTGTCAGCCAGGGAGCGACCAACCCAGGGGTTCATGACCTGGGCCCCGTCTCGTTGATCGCATTGGCCATCGGGCCAAAATAATCACCCCAAAAGCCATGAGTGCGGCCGAATCCTGTCAGAACTCTGATAAAATAGCCCTCAAATCAGAAGACTGTTATCTGTTTTGCTCGAGATGTAAACCCAACCGGTGGCATCATAGGCCTATCATGACTTTCCGACCCTCCTTCATCCTACTGTAGGCTACCTCCAACCAGCTGGAAGAATGAGACGGGACAGCAACTGCCTGTAAACGGCGCCATGGTGCGAGCTCGCTACTCGGCGCATTCGCGGTGTTGAAGAATAGGTGCGTTTCTGCCACGGCGCAGTGATAGCATCAAGATATCAACACAAATCGTCGTTTCATATTATCTTGACGGTCCTTTTGTCCTACCCCAGTATTCGTTTATTTTTACCGACGGCTCGGCTCCTGGAATTGGTGAAGATTCTAAAATAGGCGACGTGCTACCTCCAGTAGTGTTGAAAGCGGAGCCGGTTGGAATTGACCAATTGCTATTTTCGTTCGCTGAGGGTTGCACCATAGTAGTTGCTAACGGTGGTGGGCATTCAAGTCGCGGCCAATCAAGGACCTCGATCAGAGAGACGCTGTGCCACGCTCCTCAGCAGCGTCCGCAGCCGTGCAACGCCAGAAGCCAGGCACAAAGCTGTCACTGAATGGCCTAGTCGCACTGCCACCTTCGTCTCTCTTTCGTCCCATCTTTCCCGAGTCCATCGGCGCGCGTATCGGATGCTCGCGAAGGAGCAGCTCGATTGCATCACCATGTATGACGAGTAGGATCCCGCCGTGCAGCAGCGGCAGTAAACTCTCCCTCAATTGCCGAACCAGGCTGAATCCTTCGATCCTTGACGGCGGCTGCCGATCAATATCGCAGAGTGCTATACGACGCATTGAAAGGTCTCGTGGAGGGCCGTCAGGCCAAAAACACGGCTCAAACCCCCAATTCCTTCCCCCTGCGGATGGTATACAACGGTTTCAAATGCGCCACCGAGGTGACCGGGAGAAACTCTATACTAGCTCGAGATCGGCCGCGAGCAGTTTCCTGTAGGAACCACAGTGCCTCCGGTCTGTCGAGAGATTGGTGATCCACCATGCAACTTTCCTGGTGACTTGCCAACTAGCCAGGGGCCCTGGCTTCCTTCGGTGAACGCCTCATCTGACACAGGCACCAGGTTGACTGCCATTACCATCAGGTCGTGCAGCCTTACTTATTGGAAGTTGTGATCAAGCCACATGTTTCCTCAGGCGTCAAGAATCGAACCATTCATTATCGTAACTATCGTTATTGCTAGGACTCCTCTGCAGGAACACCGACCCTTTGTACCCCCAGGACTTTTTTATCATACAGCTGCCTGTTTGGCAGGTCTCTCAGGGCTCGCCTCCTCTCTAGTCCCAGTGGTTGAATGCTTCCACTTTATCACAGCTTCGCCCACCAGTCTCCTTGGTCGTGCATGGCGCGGGCAACCTTCACGAATCCAGCGATGTTACTGCCAGCCACTAAGCTGGGGTATTCACCCTCCTTCGCCTCGACATACTCCTTTGCCGTGTTGAGGCCGTTCTCGAAGGCGTTCTTCATGATGAGCTTGAGTTTCTCATCAACTTCCTCGCGTGTCCAACTCAGACGCTGAATGGCGCAGGCCTCGTTAGCATTGTTCTCCTGCTTTGGCCCCAGGATGGGGGTGGCTTACCTGGCTGTTCTGTGCCATCTCAAGTCCGGAGACTGCTACACCACCAGCGTTGCTTGCCTTACCAGGAGCGTACCAGACGGACCCTGCTCCCTTCTCCTTGCGGGCACCCTCGAAGACGTCGATGGCGTCTTGTGTGCAACCCATGTTGGAGCCTTCCGCAACAAATAGACAACCGTTGGAAACGAGTGTCTCAGCCTCCTCCTTGCTAACCTCGTTCTGTGTAGCACATGGCAATGCCACGTCGACCTTACCGACGTGGACCCAAGGCCGGGCGCCTTCAATGTACTTGAAAGCGCCCTTGTGCTCGTAGGCCGTGAGTGCCTTGCGAGCAAGCTTGATTTCGGCGATCTTTTCGACGTCCTCGGGCTTGAAGCAAGCATCGCCCTCGGCGATCAGGGCGCCCTGCGAGTCTGAGAGCGATACGACAGTTGCACCGAGCTCTATGCACTTCAATGCGGCATATTGAGCGACATTGCCGGATCCAGAGATAGCCACTCGTTTTCCAGCCCAGCTGCCCTTGCCGGCATATTCCAGCATGTGACCAACGTAGTATACGAGACCGTAGCCGGTAGCCTCTGGTCGGATCAGACTGCCTCCCCAGGAACCCCCCTTGCCAGTCAGGACACCTTCCCACTTGTTGCGCTCTCGGCGGTAGGCCCCAAACATGTATCCGACTTCGCGTCCACCTACACCAATGTCACCCGCCGGGACATCGGTATCAGCGCCAATGTGCTTCGATAGCTCTCTCATGAAAGCATTGCAGAACTTCCGAATCTCGTTGTCGCTCTTTCCCTTGGGGTCGAAGTCGGCGCCTCCCTTACCACCTCCAATGTTCAGGCCTGTCAAGGCATTCTTGAAGATCTGCTCGAAGCCGAGGAACTTGAGGCTGCCGAGTTGTCAGTGCAGCTCTTGGCATTTGTGAGGAGGCTATCACTCACATGGACAGATTGACTGTAGGGTGGAATCTGAGTCCGCCCTTGTACGGGCCCAGTGCCGAGTTGAACTGTACGCGGTAGCCGCGGTTGACCTGGAGGTTTCCGCTGTCGTCTTCCCAGACAACTCTGAACTGGATGATGCGCTCTGGGATGGAGACGACCTTCAGAGCGGTTTTGAATTCAGGGTTCTTTGTGAACAGTGAGCTGTTCTCGAGGGTGCTCGCCAGCTCTAAGGTTGGTTCAGTTGGCCAATGGTTCAGACTTCTCGGCGGCTGAGTTGCTTACCTTTGTAAGCCTGCTCGAACTCGGGCTCGGATGGCAGGTTTGACATCGTTACGACGGTGCTTCCGACTTGAACTTGTGGGTGGCAGGTGTGGTATATGAAGTGGTTGCGGTCTTCGAAGAAAGCTGTGTCTATCGCTGGGTAGTAAAGGATATGGGCGAGGCCGAAAAGAAGAACATGCAACTCATGAGGAGCGCGTCATACTTTATATGAGTAGAGCACTTCCACAAAACATTTTTTCTTCGGCTGACAGCTCCGGCATCGAAGCTGACTGAGCTGGTCAAGCTTAGTGTACCTTGGGGTGGTCCTGAAGCAGTCACCGACAACGGCCCAGTATCATGGAAGCGACTCGCATTACAATAGCATGGGACTAATAACTAGTCCCCCAGCTGCCGGGACAGGGCTCAAACCATGTCCATGGGGGCGTACTACGCAGTGGGGGTTGGGAATGGAGGTTATACCTCAAGTTTCGACGAATTGACCAATGGAATTAAGCCTCAGCAGCTGGTACGTAGCCAGCGGTCTACCACATTTGCTTTTGGTGTCATCCTGAAGGGACGCCATATGCATGGAGATAGGACCAGTCCAGCAATCTTCAGCCAGCCAGACGAGCTACTGCCGTCATTATGCACGCTTCTCGGAAAATCATGAGAGTCCTGTGTCGTTATCTCTGAGGTCGTCCAGCTGTTGATGACATAGCTGCGCTGCAGATCCGAACCTTGAAATGCTACGCACTTATCAAGGTCAAAGCACAGTGAACACATACCAAACGGACGCAACAGCCTGATCGGCGCCTGGTGACGAAGAGTGCACGGGAGCCATCTGAGATCGAACGGACTCATACACATCCCACGTGTGGTGTTTCCCACATGCATGCCACGTTTATGACGGAATTCCCACGATGCTCCAGTCCGACGATCTGCTGCAGGGCGCGCGTGCTAGTGCAGAGCCAGGCTATCCATCAGATCGGCTTTTCAGCTAGGCTTCGAGATCCCCCGGCCGCTAAGTTAGGGGCTCTTGCTAGTTTCGTCCTTATCATGACACGTTGATTCGCCAGAGCCAATTCGGGCAACGCAATGGTCACAGCATTGGTTCCTGTAAGAGCTTCAGGAAGGGCCCGCAATGGGGGGGTTCCCTCTGCGCGGGCGGGTGGCCGCCCTCGCTACCCTGCCAAGCATGCAGCCCGCAATTGACTTTTCCGGTATTGTGCGCCTCGAAGAAAGCAAATAACTGGACCCCCCCTCCTATGGCGGGACGATATTCCAAATTCCACTAGTTAACGAACTACACACTTGAGAGGATTGATTCCTGCTGTAACAGAGAAATGTCATCTGGCGCGGGAGATCGCGGAGCGATGTCGTCGGCCGCGGCCCATTTGCGCGCGCGAGCCTCGCCTTCCGCTACCGGACCGCTGAGCCGCCAGGGGACGGATGCATACAGACACGCGCGTGATCAGAGGTTGCTGGCACTTCACTCAGCCCTTGGCCCTGGGGTGCCTGGTCACCGAAAGAAGTTGCAAATTTTTTTTTGACCGCCGCCTTCATTGCATTTACCGCTGTCGGAGGGATCGAAGTCCCAACCCACAGCTCTTGCTCGTTACTACCGCGCTCTCCTCATAAGGCGTCTCGCGTCTTCCGGGTCGGTAAGCCCAGCCTTAGTGGGGCCTATACTGGATCTCCGGTGATTACACAGGCGCCATTTGTTCTCAGTCTCGGGCTTTTTCCTAGGTACATAATTGCTGCTGTATAATCAGATTCCTCCGTGACCGGACCTTATAGGCAGCAAAAATTGCAACCTGATCTTGTTTGACTTGATCAGCGTTCCGGTCAGTCTCAGAAGAGAAGATCTTAGTCAGAAAACTTTCAGATTCTAAAGAGAGCCTTCCACGCCTTGAGCCGAGATGGGAGTTGCAACATAAGATAGTTGCTGTTGCTCTGCTGCTCGACAGGCTTGTAAAGCTATCCGTTGGGCGAGTTGATACAACTCATGTCTTTGTATCTCCTGACCGGTTCTCAAAGAGAGATGGGCGTGGTGTCGGTGTTGAGCCTTGGACCTGTTAGACCATGGCAGCGGGGCTATAGCTAGATCAGGCTCAGTCTCCAGAACTTACATGTGTTGCGGTTCTATACTCTCCGCAACCGGACTGTATAGGCAAAAACGAGGTGCTGCCGAGACAAGATCGGCCCTTCCGCGTTCATCTCCGATGTAAACAACAACCGGCTTCGGAATTGGGCATGTCTGCAGTTCCAACTTGGATTCACAGGACAGCGGCGTCGGACAATGCGGTTTCTACAAAAGGGTCATGGTACGTGATCCACAATTGACCGATAACTCAACTTGTCAAGATCGGCATTATTTGCGAATTGTAGAAAGTCTTGTATCATGTGTGCTGGCGCGCTTCACGCCAGTCCACTATCTAACCACATTAGTTTGCCCCAATAAGGTATTCATGCTGCCTCCCAACTCCATTCGCCTTACCAAATGCCCATTGCGTCCTCTACTTTGATGCCGCTGCACTCTTGCACTATGCAGTCTCACCAGAGAGCAGCTTGATCGAAATCAAACCGCTTCAACTCCTTGCCCGCATCCTCCAGATCCTTCTTGGCCTTCATGCGCATGTAGAAGATTGGGCAATCTTTGCTGCTGCAGATGACCTCACAGTGCACACTGCCTTGGCATCGTTGGCACTGGGTCCAGAGCCGACCAAAACGCACCTCCAGATCTGATACCTTGTTTAGTGTTTTGTTGTACAGCTCGCCTACTCGCGGTCCACAGTTTGAGCAGACAGCGCCCGCACTTTCCTCCTTGCCGACCAAGGGCTTCTTGCAGCCCATACAGGTCATGGTCTTTTTCGCAAACTTCATCAAGCCGCCTACAGTCGGTGCGGCGACAGAGATGGAACGCGTGTGATCACCGGTCAGTAGGGAGTTCGCCTTGGTCTCGCCCAAGATGGGTTCGAAGATACGCCCCAGAGGCTTGGCGAGCTGGTTGTCAAGGTAGTAACGGGTGTCGATGGGCACGTTGTTCTCCAACACATAGATCGGATCCTCGGACTTTTCAAAGTTCTTTGCTCCCGCAGCACCCTTGATCATGACATAGGCCACTCGATCGCCTAGACCTGGGGCTGAACCTGCATCACGCTTCTTCATTCGTGCTGCCAACTCCACGTGTGCTTGCTTGCCATCGTAATGTTCCTTGGCAAGGGCTTTTGTAATCACCAGTTTGGACATATCGACCTTGTTCTGCAGCAGATCTGCAATGGTGTCCTTCACGTAACTGAGAGGAAAATGTCAGCCTCCAGAATCAGTGCAAAACAAAAGGGGGCTTGAGAAATCTTACTCTTGGGCGCCTGGCACGTCCCGGTCGATCAAGATCATCCTGAGGACCTTCTCGATGACGGTCTGCACAAGCAGGCAGTTGTCTCGCCGAACGGTCTCAATACCCTTGGTGTCCATCTTGTCGTACTTTTCCGTACTTGTCCAGTAGAGTCCCGCGTAACGCTTCTTGTTGATGAGGAGATATGGGAAGTAGACCTTCTCGAATTCCAGCTTGATGGGCTTAATAAACTTGGACGAGACGTAGTTAGCAGCCTCCTCTCCGAGTTTCATTGCCTCTGCCAACTCCGCTGTGCCGAACTTGACCATGACGGAATCTGTGTCACCATAGATGACTTGAGCGTCGTGGGAGTAGCCATTGGCGACGCAGTATTTCTTTTCCACCTCGTCTTTTGTCTTCTCAATCATCTGACGGCCGTAACTAGTGGTGCTGCTGGCAATTTCAAGACATGGGAGCTTGCCAGTCGTCGCACCGGTCAGACCGTAGACTGAGTTGGCACTGACTTTCAACGCAAGCTGTCGACCGTTCAAGACGGCTTTCCTGAAAGGGTCCGTCTCGACTGCCAATTCTCTCTTGGCCTGTTTTCTTGCCGTAAGCAATTCTTCGAGAATCTGTGCGAGTAACCCCTTTCTCTGCTTGACAGTGACGAAAAGATCTCCGTTGGGCGTCACGATGTAATCCTCATCCTTCTTCAAACCAAACTTCTCCACCGCCTTCGGGTTAATGAGAGTTGTGTAGCAGAGGTTGTGGGCTTGGATGATACTAGGGTATAGAGAGGCAAAATCGAGGGTGGCGATAGGAACGTCGTAGTATCCACGGGTCGGTTCAATGACTGTGGCACCCTCGTACTGGTCGTCAGAGCCCTCGGACCTCATGTTGGGGATGACCAACTTCTGCTCCAGTGCCTTTCGGAATAGCTGACTCATGAACTTGATTTGCTGGCCTCTGGATAGCAAGAAGTTGAAAGGAACGCCCGTGACTCTCGCCATTTCTGTGTAATTTGCCAGACACGAGAGCTTGTCCATCAGACGCTGTGGCAGGTAGGCATCCTTGAGACAGTACAACGCCAGTCTTCGTCGCGATTCTGGTGTACCGTTGAAGAGTTCCGTGATCATGGTATGGTGGACATCTTCTTTTTGCTCTCCTAGAAAGTGAGAACACACCGAGTTCAGGGTGTAACTTCTGAGGTGGTGGTCACGCTGAATCAGCTGCAAAAGATCGAGCTGAAGTCGTCCGTTGGTGTTGGTTGCTTTCGTGTCGCGGTTGCCCATCTGTTTGCTGGAGAAGTTTGTCTCCTTGGCAACTGACTTGACGCTGGGAAGTCTGGTCCAGTATTCAAATCCGTTGCACTTCAGATGCTTCGCGCGATCAAGGAGGTAGGGGAAATCGAAGTTGGCAATGTTGTAACCGGTGATGAGATCGGGGTCCACCTTGTCCAGGAATCTCTTCCACTCCATGAGCATATCTTGTTCCTTGCCAAACTCTAGGATCTGCGTTGCTACTATGGAACTGGTGGTATCCAAGCAGAAGACGTTCCGAATGAACGGCTTATTTTCTCCGTAGCGCGTAACAACGTTGGCGATTTGGATAACCGGATCCATGTTTGCTTCTGGGAAGATACCCTTGCGTCCAGCACATTCAATATCGAAGGAGAGGATACGGAGAGGGGCCATCTTGGACCACTCTCCCTTCGGTTCATGGGAGATGAGGTGTGTGTATGGGATTTCGGCTTCGATCTGGCAGCTTGACTGCTTTTCGTGCTCCGGCATCAACTTGTAGGACTTGGCCGGACATTCGACCCACGACATACCGGGAATCTAGTTCAGTCAGTCTAACGCAGCGCCAGGATAGCCGAGTCTAGTGCAACTTGCCTTGGTATCGACCATGAAGCGCAGGACATATTGAAGACTGTCGAATGTCAGGATGCCTCCCTCGGCTCCCTTCCATAGACCTTTCCAGTTCGCATCGCCCTTCTCTATGGTTGTGCGGACCCTGTTGATGAACTTTGGGTCGTTGACGGTAATCTTGATGTAGGGGCTCTTGGTGTTGCCCTGGAACCCATAGATATTCTCTCGCAGGGCCAGGGTGCACGAGTAGATGGCAGGCTGGTGCTGGGCAATCTGCGACTCGAGAAAGGCCTTGAACGGTTCGCAGTCCTTCTGGGTGAAGGAGACGGGGGCGGCGACGTAGAGGTAATGCTTAAAGTCGGTGACGTGCAGCATGACGGAGTGGCCGTTCTCCGTCACGCCGAAGAGCTTGACGGTGGCCCTGCCGCCATGCAAGGTGCCTTCCTCGGCCTCGATCTGCTGGAAGGTGAGGCTGTCCCGCTTGGGGTCGAAGTCGACGACGGGCGGGCGCTCCCATGACTGGTCCTTCTCGGCGTTGCTCTGCTTGAGGTCCGAGATGTCCTGGCTGAGCTTCTCGAGAACTTCGGACTCGAAAACACTCTTCTGCTGCGTGGAGCCGAGCTTGGAGGGAGGGCCCGGCTGGGAACTGTTGAGGCGCGACGCTGGGGAGGACGAGAGCGGCTCGAGACGTCTCTTCTTGGAGTTTGGGGTCCTGGCGCCGCCGAAGACACGCTTCTGCGGCAAGGTTGCTGCGGCACTCATGATGGCAATCTCTGTGGTGCTCGCTTGCAAAGAGCTTTCCTTAGGTCCTGGGCGAGTGCATTCAGTCGCAGTGGGGGAGGCGAGTCTGTTGTTTATACCGAAGATGCGGCCTCCACAAAAAGAGCCATGGGCGATGGACATGTGTGAAAGGGCGCGTCTAACAATTTGGGAGTCGCGTCGTGACGTGCCGACAAGGGTCGCGACGTGGGGCTAGTCTTAAGTGGTTTCGCGGCTGGCGACAGTAGCAGCCCAGTCAGCCCAGGGCCCATGGGAGGGGAGGGGACCCTTGGAGCTGCCTTGGAGCCTTGCCCTGGTTTTTGGCGGTTCCAGATGCCAGCGACCTATCAATACGAGCATTTCAATTCGGCACGAATTGTAGTATCAAGATGCATTGCTTCTTGGTGCTTGCTTGTCTCTGGTACACGCTTTTACCCTAGTCGCCATTCCGGACGTGACCAGAACCCTTACCACAGCTATCCTCATACCAACTCCCCCGGAAATGAATTCGACCAGCCTGTCATAATACATGTCATTGAAGGTGTGACCCTGATTTTTTCCGGTGCAAAAAGCTTGCTATTTGACGATGTCATGAGTCTGGTCTGGTGGGTGGGCAGATCACTGCCTCCTACCCATTGCCTCAGCCGTCACAACTCTCGTACAGCTACGATGCAGTAATTTCAGGTAGTGAGCGATGACAACGCCGGGCGGACAGCTCGTGGCCACGAAGAAAAGCTCATAGAATATGATGAAATGTCGTCGGCCGTTCCACTAAAAGGGCCGGCGTCGACGGTGACATTCACTTGGGTGACTTTACCGAAAGCTGTCATCGTCTACTGTCGAGCACACCATATCACAATCCAGGTAATGGGTCAGGAGTCCTGGGTGTGGGGCGAGCGAACAATTGGGTGGTGTGCCATGCTTGTTGTATTTCGTGGGAATCATCAGCCGTATGCCATTTCTTGGCCTACAGGCGTAGATCCTGAAGGTATCCGTAGACGCCGGGTCAATGACCACCAAAAGCCCAATCCGGGCATCAATGCTCATGCATCATGATAGCCAGCCGTTCATCGAGTGATACGACCACCGTCTTTCCTCCCCTGCCCGTCGACACTTTTCCGCCGCCAGTCCCTACTCAAGCTTATGCGTTGTGCTTGCCCTTCTTGTTGCTCTTGCCAACCTCCTTGATCTGCAAGTCTGTAAAAGCCAAATGGTTAGCTCGAGGGGAGATTGCAGCGGGCATGGCCCATCGCCATGCTGGGTGAAGGGAGGCCGTACTAGGGGGCAGGCTCTGCTTGAGCTTCTCGGCCTTGTCGGAGTCCTTGACGACGAGGGTGTACAGGTGGGTGCTGCATCGGACCTTGAACTTGGACAGCTTGGTGGCCTTGTTCTTCTTTATGCGCGCAGCTACATGTACACAGTCAGAACCTCTTCATTCCAGCGACACTCCAGGAAGCCCGATCAACAATCAACAGGGCGTCGGGTCCGACATACAGCTGGCATCCTTGCGGCGGCAGATCTCGATGAACTGAGAAAAACACACGGTCAGCACTTTTGGTCTCTCCTGCGGTTGGCGGCGGCGCTCCTGGCGTACCTGCTTGATATCTCCGATTTCTCTAGGCATCTTGGCGGTGTTGTCTGGCTGGTCGACGGGGTAATTGGTGAGAATCAGAATTTCGTCGTGGCAGTAGATTTCCCTTTCCAAATTGATGGATTGTAAATTTCTGTGGGAGAAATTGCAAAGGAGGGCGCACGGTCCAGCGCGGGCTCGGTGGGGATCGCTCGAGGCCAGCCCGCCAGCCCGCCAAGAATCTCCAGGGCCCAGGATTCCAGGCATGGTCCGTGCTCAGGAGACTTTGACTTCAAGTCAAGATATACGTGTGTCTCAGCATCAAACTGCATCTTTGGATCTCAACTACGCTGCAGCTTGACAGCTGTACGTGCGTCACACTAGATACATAGATGCTTCAAGTTACGATCACTCGGAATTCTTGGTCAGCCAACCCATGGAGAAACTACGGATGGGAATTGCTAGACGGTGCAAGCCTGTGATGTTTCAGCTTCAATCCCGAACCGACAGCGACACCCACTGGCAACATATTCCGGCTTGGTTCTAGAACAATTTCATGCGAGACATGAGACCGGTGACGGTTAGAACTTGGTTCTGGCTCGACCCGTGAGAGCTGGGGAGTCTCTCTACATAGGTTGTGATTTACCCCGCGTCTACACTTCTAGTTTGTCCAGCATTTTTACCCCAAGTATTCATACACGCAAGCTTTCTTGTAAGCTTCTGGAAAATGCTGTCCAGCAGCTAGACGCAAAATTGGAACATTTTTGCAAGTCCTGAACATCAGGTTTCATTTTGAGAACAACACATTCACGCTCATAGAGGCAATTTCAAGTAGGAATGCAACGGCAGTTCGATTAGACTACCTAGATTCTAGGGGTATCTGAGCCTTGGCTGAAGAATGCAGCCATGTTGACCGTTCTCAATCCATTCCGAGTATCATAAGATGATTCCCAACGCCCTTGTCATGTCCATTCGTTCATCGTACAGAGAGGGAGGATTTGTTTAGTGCTTGGCAGCCTCCTTGTTGACGTCGGCGGAAGTGTTGTGCTTCTGCTCGTCGATCTTGTCACCAATGGCGTCCTTGCCGGCGGAAAGACTGGGTTTACTTGTTAGGATTTGGTCCCAAGGAGTTGGAAAATGAACAAGCGGGTGAGAACTTACCGAGTGCCAACGCTGGCGTTGTTGTCCTTGGCGACCTCCTTGTTGGCCTCCTTGGAGCCGGTAGAGACAGCACCCTTGACGGTGTCAGAGACGTAGTTGGCGGCGTTGTTGATCTTGTCCATTTTGATGGTTGTTTGGCGTTGATTGGTTTGTGTGTGGTGAAGTTGTTTGATGGTGAGATGTGAGTGTGATGATGATGGAAGGAGAGAAGATGGAGGATGGATGGGATTCTTGGGGTTTAAGTAGTTGGTTGAGAGACGTGATTGCTTGCGGGCAGGAGCTGTTTCTTTGCTTGTATGGATGCATTCACTGCCCAGGTAACTACAATACTAGGCAAGTGCCCCACGTAAAGGGTCACATGGAGAGCCATTACATCATACTAGTTGGGCGAGCCTTTGTTGCTTGCCTGGCCAGGAGCAGGAGGGGCATCATTTTGCTCCGGAGACAAACGGACGAATGACAGATCGACCGCCTCAGGCTTGACAAGTATCCGTAGCCTGAATGCCCCTCATTGATGCAAGAAAGCGCAAAGTAGACGAGACCTAGACCACCCCTCACCAAGCCTTGTGGAGTAGGTACCCAGCGGATGGTTTCGGACGGGAAGCATGTGCATCAGGCACAATAGTTGTCAGTGACGTAACTTGAACGGCAGGGACAACGAATGGTACACCTTATTTTCTCAAGACAAGATCCACTATCAGCAATCCTGTGAGTCTGCTCCAGTTGTCGCTGCTGCCGAGGCATCTGCTGTTCGTTGTCTCCCTCTCGGTGGCCATCCTGGCTGGGGGCGAAAGCAGCATTCCATGCCAATATGCACAACATTGACTATCGATACAGGCTGAGGCTGTTCCTGAGCCCGTCACAGATAGTTGCATAACAGTAGTCGGATTGGAGCGAAGCTCCGGGGGTCGTGATTGGCCGCCAGGGCGTCAGTACTCCGGGTAGCTGTGGGCCGCTGATGTCATGGACTTCTTTACCACCGTGGGGAACCAACGGGATGCTGGTCTAGACCTGTGGCTTCAAAGCCGCCCGGCCCTACTTACTAGCCACATCGACTACATACTCGCGCCAGTCTGACAAGTGATTTCAATCACAGGTGCCACGAGATTCCGTCATCGAGATCTCATACTTGAGTTCGCCCGCAAGGTTCCCTGCTCTCCCTGCGCAGATCACCCAGACAGCTTGCCATCTTGTTTTCCAAAAGCTGCATCAGCTGGAATCGGAAAGTACACAAAAGCGCATGTTTCAATGCAAGTGAGGGGGATTGGCTGCCACCCGGGATGATGCCGGAGCAACTAGTCCGAAAGATCTCGATTCCAGTGCGCCTGACTGAAGCGGAGCTCGCCTTTGCTGCTGCGACGTCAACTCGGCCAGACACTGCTGCCAGTTCCGTGGATTGAAAGACCCATCGTGATTTCAAAGTGGTGTCAGCTTTTTCCTAGGAAGTCTGAGCCGTACTCTCCACCAAACACTGCCCCCTACGGTAAATATGACGTAGTGATTTTTCAAAGCAGTCAGACAACTGCAATGACTAACTGCAGCACGTGACTTTCATATATCTCTCGTCCTCTATTGTTGGACTGGCTGTGGACTTAGCTTGCCTGGGTAAAGAAAGTCGATTGATACAGCTTGCTAGGCCAGTGAGGCCACGTATCCATACCATAAGCCTTTCATGAACAACCTAATATGCGTAACCAGGTGGCCGGTGTTCGACCAACTGGAAAGAGAGCATCTGAGAGTTATCAGCTCAACACTGCTCGTCTTTTGTCTCACTTTTCTATGTACATCTCCTTTCTGGCCTTTACATACAGCAGTGGCAAGATCATGCCCAACTGGGCTTAATATGATGAAACAATATCATGAAACACATGGTTGACAACACAGTATAACCCATAGACTCAAGACGCCATCTGCTACACTGCGTGGCTCTGCCCACTGTCCGCTTGTTTGTTACCCCAAGTTGACCTGAGCACCTGGCTGTCACCAACAGCTATTGGTCGAGCACGAAGAAAGCCACCGCACAGTAGCATAACGCAATACAGAATTGTTGTTCAACAGTACTGGTTTAGTTACAGGTACTCGTACGGCAGGGCTATCAGCGTCGCCGCCTCAGAAGGAAGCAGGAAGCAGTTTGGCTCGAACGATCGATCTCTTCGGATCTAACCGAGTAGTGTAGCATGCAAGGGACAAGGCTGTCCAGTTATCATTATGGACGTCTGGTCTGACAATGCAATTGGATCTGGGAAATCAAGCCACATGAAACCTTGTCTAGGTATAGCTAGCCAGGGAAGCCTAAAGGGATAGTGAGCCTCATCTGGTCGATCACCGGTGCACGGTCTCGTTAGATCTAGCCTGCCATCGTGCGTTGTCTGCCTTCTACTCATGATTGCCGCGAACAAACAAACGCACCATACTCCACGTGCGCTGGCGTGTAGTTTGCTGTAGTTTCACATGCCTGTGCATGTATTGCCTGGTGTCCTGGGGCCAGAATTTTGGTGTTACCAAACGGCGTCCGCGTACTGACGGTCCAATTTTGGAGACAGGCAAGAATGTGGGCGTGTCAGATGACGCATGTCTCGTCTCGTATCCTACGAGCCCAACCCGAACTCTTCCATGGGTTTGCATTACGAGGCTATATTGTCGCGAAAGCCTGGTACTAACATACGGTCTGTTATGAGCAGAATCCGTCTACCGTGTGTCGAGGCTGGTCCCTCAAGCCTGGTGGCGCGGTAAAACCCAGAATACCGCCCTATCCTATAGAGGCTTGCCACAGGCTCTTCGAACAGTTTTCAAGGCTCGTACTCATTTCGACTGATATGACTTCTCTGTTATCTCTTTGCTCATCAGGACAGGATGAGGCAATGAGAAAGGCGGGAATGTGCCGTGGAAAACAAGGAGTAAACGATGCATCAGAATTCCCTAGCCATGAGCCTATCACCAGTTTAAAGGTCGTCTTCAAAAGCTGACATCGCTGTCATCAAGAAACCACGATGGTTGAATTGACAAAGCCCACGTTAAGTTGGCCACTAAAGCCAGGAACAGGTTCGGCGAAATGAGGAGGGGCTGTCGCTATCGCAACGAATATTAGATTATATGTTGCGCGCTATCTGGTTTCCACCAAAGATACCCACTAAACTGTTAATGAGCTACCCAGTTTAGCTCAGAGCCGCATGCTCCACCGACCCACCAACTAAAGCTCTTGGACTTCGTTCTGTTGCTATCCCAAGATTCGTGCTGTAGATGTAATCTACCTCTGCAGTTCAATCAGAACGAGTACAATGGGCATCATTCGAACGACACTGACGGCTGGCATTTGGGGCGTCACCGGTGGCGTGGCCAGCCTCGGCGCAGGAATGGCCTACCTCGCAGCCGGCACCACTTTGGTCCCCATGTCCAAGAGCGACCCCTGGTTCAAGACAAAGACGTACACCAAGTACAACCCGAAGGGCAACCCGGCACTGATTGACGACTGCATCAAACGTGTGCCTCTGAGCAAGATCCGACCTGATCTGCGGGACAACGAGGAGGCTTTGACTTTGGAGTTCTGCCGAGGAATCTGGGGCCGATGGGGTAAGGGGAACGAACTCTCTTTGATTACTGTTTCCTAATTCATGAGAGTGTGTTTCTAATTGTACGCAGGTTTCTGGCCGCAAACTAAGATGCAAGAGCGGTATGACGCTCCTCCAGGCTCTGAACATGATGCTTGGAAAACGTCAGAGCTGGCTGAGTCCAAGTTCGAGCAGGGCTTGAGGATGGTAAACCACTTTGAGGTTGTGGAGAATAAGGGCGATGAGATCACCGTCAGATGCGGTGGCTCCCCGATGAACCCTGGCCTGAGAAACTCGGACGGGCTGGTCTCGATCAGCGCGCGGATCGACCGTCAGAAGCAGGAAGCCATCTTCAGTCTCAAGTCGGCCTTGTTCAACAGTGCTGGCGCATTTGCGCCAGAGGCTGAGCACCCCATCCCGCCCAAGATCACGTTCCTTCATGGGTGGTATGTTAGAATACTGGTCCAAGCTGGTGTTGGGAAAGTCAAGGCATGATTAGTACTGTTCGGATCTCATTGTATAGTGCTCTGGACTCGATTCTGGTTTGTCCAAGAACGTGTTTCACTTATATAATCCAAGCGATCAATGGCTTTTGCCACACCACACACCTGTTCCTCGGAAACAAAATCATAATGAAACCAAATGTACAATCAACGCCTAACACATCGACATATTAGAAGCTCACGACACTAGAACTAGCCTAACCAGCTGCTGATGTCTACATTTCCACCGCAGATTTCTTCTAGGGAGACTGGTTTCATCTCCATAATGCAGCCAGGCGGAAAATATCTTTTGAATACACAAGAAAAAGCGTTTCAGGGGATTCCAGAAAGGTAGAGAGCTCGTTGAATTGTTGACCGGTGTCCAGCGCTGCCAGCTGCAGGAGCTCTCTGCCGGAGCGTCAGAAGCTGGTCAAGACGTGTGTTGGATTTTCGCAATTCAACGACCAATCACAATGCAGTGTTTCCTAGGTGACAAACCTTTCTCGATACTTACATCAATGATACCACATCCGACCTGGAAATGAATAAGGCCGAAATTGGCATCGAGTACCTCTCGGTGGGTGCCAACAGGCATACAGCGGTCGCAGACTGGAGTCAAGATGGTATCGTAGCCTTTGGCAGCGACTGCACTGTGGCTCTATGGCAGCCCAAGGTGAGTCAACGCCCGAATCTTGCAACAGCTCAATTACTCACGAGGCTGAACAGGATGCGGCCGTGAATGGCATCAGGACTCTGCTTAGGGGACACACAGACGTCGTGAAGGCGGTCAAGTTTCTGCCCAAAGCTGAGGGTGAGACTGAATCGATTCTCATCACAGGCGGGGATGACAAGTGCCTGAAAATATGGAAACTGGAGCCAAGCGGTTCTGCCTCATGCGTTCAGACCATCCAAGAGCACACAGCGTCGATTAACTGCATAGCAACTGCACATAGCAGACGCCGGGACACCTCGAGGGTTTTTGCAACGGGTGCAGCAGATGCATCCATCAAAATATGGCGATTGGAAGGTGGTGAAGCCACGCTGCTGCAGACAATCAAGCCAACGCCCAAGTTTTTCCCTCTCTGCATAGCTCTCAGCGATCTGAGCGCGGAGGGAGATGGGCTAGTCCTGGCAGCGGCTGGCACCCGGAATATTGTTCAAGTTTTTGTAGCTGCGTCCGCAGCCGAGCCTCAGTTTGAAGTACAGGCGACACTGGCGGGACATGATGAATGGGTTCGCTCGCTAGACTTTGCCTTTGAGAAAGCGAGTCCCACCAGCGATTTGATCCTCGCATCTGCCAGTCAAGACAAATACGTTCGTCTCTGGCGCTTCCACCGGGGCACAGAGCTCCCAGCAGCCGCTGCTGAGGGCAACGACCCGACGATGGGCGCTTTTCTGCCCGGGAAGTCTCCATCGAACAAGGCGCACCGATTGAAGTCCGGAGACATGGATTTCTCCATCACATTCGAGGCCTTGCTGCTCGGCCACGATGACTGGATATACAGCGCCAAGTGGTTCTCGAATGAAAACGGAACACTGCAGCTCCTCTCAACCTCAGCTGATAACACGCTTGCGATTTGGGAGGCCGATCCATCATCGGGTATCTGGGTCACTACCGTTCGGCTTGGTGAGATTAGTCGAGAAAAGGGTGCTACGACAGCCACGGGAAGCACAGGTGGCTTCTGGACGGGCCTGTGGTCGCCAGACGGCAAGTCAGTCGTGACCCTCGGCCGAACGGGGAGCTGGCGTCGCTGGGAGTACAACAGGGACAACGATCAATGGCTTCCCAACATCGGTGTCAGCGGCCACACTCGATCTGTTACTGGTATCTCGTGGTCTAAGAACGGTGAATATCTCCTGTCAACCAGCTTAGATCAAACAACGCGCTTGCATGCGAAGTGGACAGCAGGATCTAGTAATGGTTCGTGGCATGAGATTGCGAGGCCCCAAATTCACGGGTACGACATCAACTGCATCGATTCGATCGGGTCCTCTCAATTTGTTTCCGGGGCCGATGAGAAGCTGATGCGGGTCTTCAACGAGCCCAAAGCCGTTGCAAAACTACTGAACCGGCTTTGCGGCATTGAGGACTCACAGATCGAGAACTTGCCAGATGCCGCCAACATGCCGGTGCTGGGACTGTCGAATAAAGCCATCGAGGCTGTGGATGATGACCAAGAGGTCGAAGCAGCCAACCCGGAGGCCGACCGGGAAGCACTTGATCCTGGATCAACGGTCCGCAAGTCCGTCTTGGAGATTGACCACCCGCCTTTCGAAGACAGTCTGTCAAGGCATACCCTTTGGCCGGAGGCCGAAAAGCTGTACGGCCATGGCTACGAATTATCATGCCTGGCCACGAGCCACGATGGCACCATAGTCGCGAGTGCGTGTAAAGCCAGCTCGCTGAACCATGCTGTCATCCGACTGTTTGAGACGGAGCGGTGGACGGAGATCAGACCTCCCCTGGCGGCTCATACCCTGACGGCAACCCGCCTGCGATTCTCCCCAGATGATAGATATCTGCTCAGTGTTGGCAGAGACAGACAATGGGCTGTATTCCAACGAGATTCAGAAGACAGGTTCAAGTACCAGCCGCTACAGAGCAATCCCAAAGGCCACACGAGAATGATTCTCGATGCGGCATGGGCGCCAGCGTCCGATTCTATAGTTTTTGCGACCGCTGGACGAGACAAGCAGGTCAAGCTTTGGAAGAGGGGATCTGCAGACGAGACAATTTCTCTGGCAGCTTCCATCCCGGCCACACACCCGGTAACCGCCCTCGACTTCCTGCCGCGCAAGACTGAAGATGGCAAGTTTGTCCTTGCTACTGGGACAGAGGAAGGCAAGGTGACTATCCACACCGTCGACGTCGAGACCCTAAATGTCATCAGTAGCATTGACCTACAACATGAGTAAGTCCCTTGTGTGTCCGAGTTTGCTGTTCTGTTTCTGATAAAAATATAGGCTCAGCGTCGCCAAAGCCGTGCTACAACTGGCATGGAGACCGGACGCGGCAAGAAACGAGTTGGCGATTGCAGGCGAGGATTCCTCTCTTCGGGTGTATTCTTACTCCCCTTCTTCTACCTAGGCGTACGAGAGAATGAATATATCCGGATACCCGAACAATGAATATGACCCCGTCCGTGTATTTCGAGACTCACTTCTCCAAGCTGCTCGTCATGAAGGCGCTGTATTCATGCCTTCAAGTTTCGTCCTACCATTTGGCGTACTACTGGTTCCATGGCGCCTGGGATAAACTGATCTCGTGATGCCTCCCGCTCATGTGGCTTTGCCACACCATGTTGAAATCTCGTTGGACAGCGATTCCATGAACGGCCCGAAGTCATGATCAATGTGCCCCGGCTCCGAGTCCAATCTTGATATTTTGCACGCGGCCACCACCGCCGTTCCCACCGAGATAGAAGGCGGCGTGCCCTACCATCGCCCAGGCCAGGCGCGACATGAAGACGTTCGTAGCGAATACCACGAGGCAGCACAGTAGCAAAGACGTAGTATCTGGGGAAAACCGGGACAATGAGTCTACAAGGACTCAGAAATGGGAGGCCCGGCGTTGCGTCCGACGCTTCGGACGCCGTGGAGCGGATGGTTTCGTGGCACTCACAGATGGCTATCTTCTCGTTGGGCGTACACACATTGATGGCCAGTGTGACCTCGAACTGGTATTTCTTCAGGCGCAACTAACGGACGGTGGATTCGAGGCCGGCAGGCATCAGAACGCGGGCGTGGCCTCGGCGGGCCATTGTTTTCTTTTGTTCCGTGACTACTTCGTAGTACTGTAGGTTTAGAAATTCAGACTGACTGATGGGTAGAGAGGTACGCGGGTTACTTTTGTAAGACAGGGAGCTCTATAAAAGCTTGAGAATGTCGTACATAACGATCTATCGATAGTCTACTGACAACGGTATCCGTGCTTCGAAGGTGGACTTATAGGTCTCTGTTGTAAGTCAGGGTCCCAGGACATGGATGTGCATAAGAGCTTGGGGAGCTACGGGCCCACTCTCGAGGGACGTCATGTCTCAGGGTCCCCCGGTCCAAAGCTCCCTCGTCTTCAAGCACCACCCTCGAAACAATTTTCTTGGGAGCAATTGACAACCGCGAAAGGCTGAGAACGATTCTTGCAGCTGTGCAAACGGCCACTGCACTACGGCCGTACCTGCCCAGGCTCCCGAGCAAGCACTGACAACTGCCTTAACCCCCCCAGACATCGCGGCCAGGGCGCGTCCCACCGAGCTCGCCACGCCATGGCAGCGGCCTCCCGATGAGCCTGTAGACGAGAGAAGCACAAAATACCTCAATACCATGCTACGCACCCTATGCCTGCGGCCCCGAGCCGCAGCGCTGCGTACCGCCTTCCCGGGCCCAGCTCGGCCGCCGATGCCCCCCCACGCGCCCTCCCCATCGTCCTCGACCAGCTGCTCCTTCTCCAGCACGCCGGCGCGGCGCAAGAAGGCGGCGCCGATGCCGCCGCGGCCGAAGCCGCCGCCCGAGGGCGAGATCGAGGAGTCGTTCCTCAAGGGGTCCGGGCCGGGCGGGCAGAAGATCAACAAGACCAACAGCGCGGTGCAGCTGAAGCACGGGCCGACGGGGCTGGTGGTCAAGTGCCAGGCGACGCGGTCGCGGACCGAGAACCGCAAGATCGCGCGCCAGCTGCTGGCCGACAAGCTGGACGACCTGGCGCGCGGGGGCGAGAGCCGCAGCGCCGTCGTCGGCGAGGCCAAGCGCAAGAAGCGTGCCAGCGCCGCCAAGAAGAAGAGGCGCAAGTACAGGAAGCTCGAGGGCGACGGTGCCGCTGCCGCTACTGCTGCTGGGGAAGAGGGAGAGGAGGGCGAGGAGGGGATCGACCTCGAGGTAGAGAGTGAAATCGAAGAGGAGGTACATGGTAGATCAGAAACGGCCGATGACTCGCACAGCAGACATATACTAGGCCAGCCAGCTAAAGAGAAGGCCCCAACACCCGGCGACGGAGGCTGAAAAGCGCTATCACTCCGTATCCAGCTTGTGACGTTGGAACACATGGTGTGGATGGGCTGGTCAGTGGCAGATGCAGCTGGCTCCTCCACCTGATCTTACAGCCAGAACAGACATGTGAAAACCGCGCGTTTTTGCACAATTGACCACTTGTGTATATCTCACGAGATAAGACATGGATAGAACGTTTATAATCACAACACTGCACTCAAAATGGGACACCGAAAGATGGGAAAAAGTCAAGAAGTATATGATCGATCACCCTCAAAAGTGTAATTGTCTACTCCATTCCGTGCATGAGAAGCCTCCTGGAAAAAAGGCACTTCATATTCTCCTTTCCCTCAAGGGCCTGCGCAAATACAGACCCCAATCGCTCGACCATTACCAGAACTTTTCGTAGATATGAGACTCGTCTTTCTAAGGAGCATTCCCGCATCGGCACGAGGAGCCCTGATTCCTCGGGGACCATCGCCACCTGCTCGGCATTGTCGTGAGCTCGTGAAAAGTGTGCGGGGTGCACCCTGCTGCTGAGCACTGCCTTTAGCAGGCGCTTAGAAGCACTTGCGGTGGACAATGGAGGGGCCGCTCTCGTCGTACTCCTGCTTCGAGATCCACATCTGCTGGAAGGTCGACAGGGAGGCGAGAATGGAACCACCGATCCAGACGGAGTACTTTCGCTCGGGGGGAGCGATGATCTTGACCTTCATGGAGGACGGGGCCAAGGCAGTGATCTCCTTCTGCATACGGTCCGAGAGACCGGGGTACATGGTGGTACCACCAGACTATAGTGGGGTTCTGTTAGCCAACACACACAAGAAAGCTCCTCTGGCCTGGGGACCAGGGCTGATCTGTTGACAGTATGACATACCATGACAATGTTGCCGTACAGATCCTTTCGGACATCGACATCGCACTTCATGACCGAGTTGTAGGTGGTGATGTGGATACCACCGCTCTCCAGACCCAGGACGGAGGGCTGGAACAGAGCCTCGGGAGCACGGAAACGCTCGTTGCCGATGGTGATGACCTGACCGTCGGGAAGCTCGTACGACTTCTCCAAGCTGGAGCTCTGGGCGGCAGTCTGGATCTCCTGCTCGAAGTCGAGGGCGACGTAGCAGAGCTTCTCCTTGATGTCACGAACGATTTCACGCTCGGCAGTGGTGGAGAAGGAGTAACCACGCTCGGCCAGGATCTTCATGAGGTAGTCAGTCAGGTCACGGCCAGCCATGTCGACACGGGCAATGGCGTGGGGCAGGGCGAAACCCTCGTAGATGGGGACAACGTGGGTGACACCATCACCGGAGTCGAGGACGATACCGGTGGTACGACCAGAGGCGTACAGGGACAGGACGGCCTGGATGGAGACGTAGAAGGCGGGGGCGTTGAAGGTCTCGAAGACGATCTGGGTCATCTTCTCTCGGTTGGACTTGGGGTTGATGGGGGCCTCGGTGAGCAGGACGGGGTGCTCCTCGGGGGCCACACGCAACTCGTTGTAGAAGGTGTGGTGCCAGATCTTCTCCATGTCATCCCAGTTGGTGACGACACCGTGCTCGATGGGGTAGCGCAGCGTCAGGATACCACGCTTGGACTGTGCCTCATCACCGACGTACGAGTCCTTCTGACCCATACCAATCATGATACTGCCACGAGTGTTAGGAGTGGGGTCTGCAGCATTTGGGCGCAGACGAGATCGGGCTCGATCAGGGAGCTGAGGGGGAACTGGCACTCACCCATGGTGACGGGGACGACCGACAATGGAGGCTGTTACAGCGGGTCAGTGTGTTGCTCATCGCGAAAGTGCCCTCGAGGCCTCATGGCATTTGCATGCTGTGAGGCGGGGTGTGGCACGGGGGCGCTAGGGTCAGACTTACGGAAAACAGCTCGGGGAGCATCATCACCGGCGAAACCGGCCTTGCACATACCCGAACTAGAATCATGTCAGTTCAAGAACAATTCACAATGATGGTTTTGTTTGCGTGTGTCTGCGGCGAATGCTGATGGCGGTGCGCACGGCAGCGATGTCCAGCCCGATCACCTCGGGTGACATGGATCTCAGGATGTCGGTGAGGGGGTGGGTTAGGATTTGTGATTCTTACCCATTGTCGATAACGAGGGCAGCAACCTCCTCTGCGATGAGAAAAAAACAAAAGTCAGCCAAGGTTCGACGACGGGGACGACGACGACGGGGGCAGAGAATCTCGGGATATCCTCTTGCGAAAGGGGGTAGGCAGGTATTGGGCGTGGGCGGTCAGCAGGGGGGCGGGCAGAGAGCTGGCTTACCTTCCATTTTGGCGGATTAGGTAGTAGACGAAGAGTCAAGAAATAATGAGAAAACGCAGTGCGACGAAAAAGAAGCTCACGCGATGCCCGGATCGTGAGAGCTGTTGGGAGTGTGGTCTGGTGTTCGGGGGGGTGAGTCTCGGTGTCGGCGAATGGAGTAGCGGACAAGGAGAGGGAGGGAGGCTGGGAGGTTGACGTTAATAAAATGTGCTGTCACAATCGGAGTGCAGGTTGATGCGGTGGAGCGGGAGAAAAGGGAAAGGGTCAGGCCAGGACTCAGGCCAGCAATGGAAGCGGGCAAGCCAGGTCCAGTCCGGGCAACGGGCCCCCAGGTCGAGGCGAGGTGGTCGACGAGGACGAGGGCGGGCGGAGGGCGAAGGGCGGTCGGGTCCCAGCAGCACCACCCTGGACACTGGGCAAACGGGCAAACGGGCAGGCTTCCCCCCCTCAAAACTCCTGGAACTCAACCTACCCAAGTGCTCCCCCTCCCCCAAGTGCAAATTGTGGGTTCCTAATTCACAGAGGAGCGACCACTAGCAGGGCCAAGCCTGGGACGTCGGAATACCTTAAGGTCGACAGTGGACAGGGCGGCCCCCCATCTGGTGCAATCCCCCCCTAAAAAAAGCTGGAGGGAGGGGCTCTGCTCTCGCATCTGCTTGCCGCTTTTACCTGGGCAGCCTATTAACAGCGCAGAACGGCGACTCGCTACTGGCTGCTGGCTGCTGGCTGCTGGCTGGCATTCACCCCGTTCACTGCTCTTCACTTGCTTCATTTCTGGGCAGCGTCGACCCGACGACGGCAACGTCAGCATCGGCAACAGGCACCTCAAGAATGCTCATATTTCCGCCTGGTAGGCAATCAAATTACTCTGGCCTTTCGTCGCTCTTGGCCTTGCCGGAGCATTCGTAATCTTCGGGTCTCCAGACCTGCCATGTTCTAGGCTCCTCTATTCTTGCTCTCACTCACATTGACCAATTTATTGCGTTGCCTGGAATCGGGCCTGTTGGATATCCCATGCCGAGGCTACTGCTTGTCGCCGCCCATGCATCAGATCCAGCCATGCTCGTGGGTACGACAACCAGTATACTCGTGACTGTTTTCTTTTCTCGGTCCGGGGCGGCAAGGCTGAGAAGCCTTCTAGAATGATTCCCCCCATTCTTACCACCCAGCTCGCACCATAGTAATCCGCTCCAGCAAGGCTCAGCTCCAGCTCAGCTTGGGCTAAGAACAGTTTCCATCTGCAACATCCAAACATGCCAAACCTGATTCGCTCATTGAGCAGGCTTTGTGCCCTAGGGCTAGCGAGTTGGACCAATGGCGTCGGTTCTCACGTGGCTTGGAGCTGTACGGTTACGTATGACATGCTCAGCGTGAGCTGCTGCATACACTGCCATACATAGCACAGTCGGCTTCGCCGCCAAGCGGGCATCGTAAAAGTCCGGGTCTGGAGGCGGGTGGGTTGCGTATGCAGGGGCAGTGCTTTTGGGAGGACCACTTCCTGCAAACCATTACATCCCGCCAGCCCGCATTCCTGGATGGGTTTGGACGGGAGCCTGCCGTTCGTGACTGCCTACTTGTACCCAGGCACTAGCTGGCCGTGGAACGGTTCCGAGGGTGAGGGCCGGCAATATCAGCAATGCTACTGTTACAGCCGTGGTCTGGAGAAGGAGCTTAACCACGTCGATAAGTGGGATGACGCGACAGGCAGGAACCGGCAGAAGGCAGATGGTTTCAGATGGCTTCCTCGGACCGGCAACCGACCAACAAACCACTCGACGGGCATCCCGATACGCCAGACTGAGGCGTGGTGAATCCTGTTCGAGATGGCATCGTTCATTGCATACAGATCTGGCTCTCCCGCAAAGTCGCCCCCAAAAGCGTCTAGTTCCTGGCGCCTGGCCAACTTGTTAAAGCGGCAACGAGGGGCAGTCTGGTGGGGCAGCTGCTTTTGCTGTCTGCGAGTAAGGGGATTTTGAGTTGAGCTGGCCCACGAGTAGTCAGGTGCGGGCAGCTATTCCATCCAGAGAATTGCCTTGAGTTTGGCTGTGGAAGATGAGACCAACTGACGAAAGACCATCTCAGCGTATTGGGATTCCCAGAATCACTGGCCGTTGTGCCTGTACGCTCGCCTCAACTTCTTGTGCTGCCAGTTCTCAACGGTTTTGCTGGCAGCTGATAAGCTCTCCATCATACCGTGCTAGTCCAGAAACGGCCTAGCGTGTATATTTTTGTGCGAAGCTTCGCGAAAGCACGAGTTACATCACACGCCTAGATGAGATATGTCTCAAAGTCATTGCATCTTCACGACGGTTTCGACTTCAGTTACTGAATTTCATGCTTTTTGACCAGTACAGCAATTCCACTATAAAAGACGATTGCGAGAAGTGTTTTCGTCTTTGGCCATATTGTGTAGCTTTCGCGATATAGATCTTTCGCCTATCCGACCTCTCAACCCAACTTCTCGACGCAGAACGCAGCCTCGACAGGTTTCAATTATTTATACGTACGGCAGCGCACGTTCAGGCGCTTACACACTACGACCAACAGAAGGCTAAGGGCAGACCGACCGAACACAACATGGCAGACAAGAAGCAGCTCAACGATCTCCTGAAGTGGAGCATCGAGAACAGCACCAAGGGCGAGGACAACACGACCGACACGCAGGTGCCGCTGCGCACGCCCAACGCCGATGCCATCAAGGCGCTGCTGGGCGGGCCGTCGGACGCCGACCTGATGGTGGCCGCCATGACCAACATCACGTCGCCCGACCCCGAGATCACGCGCGAGTCCAAGCTGACGGCCTTCGACAACCTCGAGCAGCTGATCGAGTCACTCGACAACGCCAACCTGCTGGCCAAGCTGGGCCTGTGGACGCCCCTCGTCGAGCTGCTGGGCCACGACGAAGCCGAGTTCCGCCTCATGGCCGCCTGGGTCGTTGGTACCGCCGTCCAGAACAACCCGCCCTGCCAGGAGCGCCTCGTCGCCCTCGGCGGCATCGAGAAGCTGGTCGCCATGGCCCTGGGCCGCCGTGTCGGCATGGAGAAGCGCGCCGGCGACGGCGACATCGTGACCGAGGACGGCAACGCCGGCGAGGTCGAGACCAAGGACGTCCGGAAGAAGGCCGTCTACGCCCTGAGCTCGGCCTGCAGGAATTACCAGCCCGCCATGGACGTGCTGTCGTCCGAGCTGGTAAAGCAAGCCGGCAAGCCCGAGGGCGAGAAAGTAGAGTCGACGGACATGGACGCCGTCGACACGGTGATTAACGAACTGAGAGAGAAGGTTGCAAGTGCATGAGAGTCACTGCCCATGACGCATATACGAAGGTTCTGAGAAGGAGAAAAAACGGTTGCATGGAAAACGGCGGCAATCATGATCTGGCATAAGCGGCGTTGGTGGAATGATTTGCTATAGATGACCAGGGAAGATGCAGGCTACAAGCCGCACAGGTTATCGTCTCAAACTAGAGTCAATGAATCTTGATACCCTGAATACAAAGCACGGTGTGACCATCTTATTGGTACATATATATTACACTCTATGCGGTCTCCTATGTGATACAATTGTCCATTTACATGCAGGTCGCAGCCCTCCGCCTAGTCTATCAACTTGCCATAGAAGGGTACGCCCATGGTCTGCAGGAGTAATCTTGCATGCCTGTCCGACTTGGCCGTAGTCTCGACAAACACTCGGCAACCAGGAATCATCTAATGAGAAATATCAGTACAAGCTTTTGCGCGCAGCAGCAAGCACTTCAGGGGTGGCACATACCTTGGCGGGATACTGGGCGTAGTTGGCCTCGACCTCGGGGAAGAACATCATCTGGCTGGCCTCGAAACCCCACGACAGATTGCCGGCGCCATCGCCGGTCGACCCCTTAACACCCGGCCACTCCTTGATCTTGGGGAAGACGAGGTTGATCATCTTGTCCAGGAACTCGTAGGCCTGGTTACCATAGATGGAGCACTTGACACCCGTCCTGTCGCCCTTGATGACGTGCCACTGCGCGACGCTGGACTTGTTCCTGGTCGTCTCGGGGCGCACGCCCGTGATGGACTGGAGCACGGCCTTGCCGACCGTGATGTAGTCCTGGTTCTTCTTGGCGGCGGGCATATAGGCGGCGACGTGGACGGCGCGGATCTCGGGGATGTTGTGGTAGTTGATGTTCTCCTCCAGGGGCAGCAGGACCTCGGCGCCTCGCGGGCCGCGCTTCGGGCGGTTCTTCATGTAGGGCGTCTCGTCGCCCCACGACCGGAGCCGTATGCGCTCGGGCTTGTCCGGCGTGCCGGGGATCTTGTGCTGGTAGGCCAGGGTGAGGATGTCGGAGGCAATGGTGGAGTGGAAGGTGTGCTTCAGGCGCGGGACGTTGAAGGGACCCGGGCTGAAGTTACGGGCGACCGGGTCTGACGACGGCGGAGGCTGCACGGGGTGCATTGGGCCTCTGTCGTACTTCGGGGGGTGGTAGCGGTATCTGCACGTCGTGTGTTAGTCGCGGTGCTGGTCTTATGATGGCGGCGGCTGCCGGGCTGACCTTGAATGCGGCAGCTCCTGCGGCCTTCGACTGGCGCGCTTCCTCGGATCCTGTATAGAAACCTGTCCCCTGTCTACAATCGGAGCTGCCAGGCCAGACTCTGGCTCGATATCGGGGATCGCAGGCGCAGCCTGTGTCGAGGCGCATCTCTGGAAAGGTTTCGCCTGCGAGGACGACTTGACGATGTGCCTCGCCGAGCGAGATACCTCGCGGAGGGAGGCCATGGTCCCGGAAGAAACGCGTCGGGGAGATGGGAGACAATGTGTCAACGTCGAATGCACCGTCCAATGGCCCGGGCCTTTCCGCTGAAGCTATCGCGAAATCGAGCTCCTGGAAATTTCCTGCATGTCGCTGGACGGAGCGTTAGAAATTCCGACTCGGTACAAACTACAAGGCTCAAACATGGCCTGTGCTCCCCCCCAGCCCAGCCCAGACGGAAGGAAAAAGGGAACGACTGGCGCTGGACATTAAGCCTAGGCCCTGGCCCACCCCTGGCTGCCCTCCACTTACACAGTACCACAGCAGCACCACCACGTACTTACACAGCACATACTCAGTATACGTACCAGAATCGGCTTGTTCCTATCTATTCCAGTACATAGAAGACAGGTTTGCCTGTACGGGTCACCGTTTTGCCTATTATGTTGCAGAATTGCAAACAGACTAAGAGGCAGGTCATCGTCATAATATTCGTCACCCTTCCCGCTTCCAGTACCTGTCTTGCCTGTGGCGCGTCCTCGACGTGATCGCCCAACTCGCTTAGCCCGCTGTGATACTTACTGTACCTACCTCGAGAGTGTCGCCTACACTAGGGTCGTACGTCGGAGATTGATACGTATGCTACCTCGTGAGCAGGCTCATTGCCGAGTTAGGCGGCAATTTACGTGGACCGACACAGTCTTTTTGGTCACATGTAAGGCTTCAGTCAAGCGGACAAGACAAACGGTTTGTGTAGGCATCTATCCTGGGTTACCAACTGCCTAGGTACCTAAGTTAGGTACTTACAGACTGGAGCCTTGATTGCCACAGGTAACTATGTGACCCGAGAATTGCACTGCTACCCCACGACTCGTCCCAAAGACTCGGTTCGAGCAACCATCAAGGGCATCTCATGCGCCAGGGAGGTGGTAAGACAGGCCATGTGGCAATTGGGATGGGATGGATCAGCCCGCAACTGGTGAAGATCTCGCGGTCGAGATGGTCCGAGAGGCCGCTCCACTTGCCGCCAATAGCCCTGCCGCCTGGGATGTCTCTTGGTGGTATGACGCTATTTTCCAATTTATCCAGTGAGCCCACAGCTGGTGGTGGTGGTGGTGGTGGAAGGGACCCTGGCCCCTAACTACCTACTAAGACTATTGATGTCCTTATGTCCGTCCCCGACAGAGCGGGACAGCTGTGCTCGGGGGGCCCTGATATTGAGGTTCCCGGTCTGCCGTTGTCCGACGGCGAGGAAGCTTGAAAGGCTCCTTGTCAGCTGTTGCAAAAACAGGAATGACATGTCTCGGTCAGCGTGATCGTATATAATCAGCGCTACGTTACTTGGGCGCAACAAAGACGCACGAGTCGGGCCTGGCTGAATTCTGCCCCGCCGAGGCTCGGTCACTGACTCTCTCAGCTGAGCTCACAGCGACAACTTAATCGCCGTACCAACAGCCCAGAACTGGTCATCTTGAACTTTATCTGTGGAACGCGGTTCGTGTTTGCTCCATTCTTGTTCTGGCAGACGAGTTGGGCGCTAGTACAAGAGGAAAACAGAAAATCTACTCGCCTTCCTTGCCTGTTGTCCAACGCGAAACGTCGCCTCGCTTGTCCCACCACTGGGCTTGGCTACCTACACAGTACCTCCTACCCTTCCACCGTCCGGGGTCTCGCCATTCGCCGCAAAAGCACCCATAAACACGTACAACGATCCTCCATCCCAGGCCGGTTCCATGACGGACGATGCGCATTTGCCATGACCACTCCCTTCGGCCGTAACAAGAGCTGGGTGCGACTGAGATTCACCTCCAGCCGCCATATGGGAATACCTTGACATTGAATCGACCGCCGAACCGCCGACCCCGCCATTCCACCGCCGTCTGCTGCAGACTGCCCTGCCCCTGCCCCGCCACGGGGTCGACACCACCACCATGAAGACAGGCAAGCTGCCAAAGCGCTTCTTGACCCGGCGAGACAAGGCCAGCCATCGTCGAGGTAAATCGGCAGATGCGGCGCACAAGGTGAGAGATCTCCCGGGCCACTACAGCCTACCTCCGGGTCTACACTGTATGGCCAGTGGAGCAGAGATGAGAGAGAGGCTGACAGCGCACCTCCCTGGACAGCACCGCTCCAACTTCTTCGCGCTGTTCAAGCCTGCCTCGAAACAAACCGACAAAGACGAAGAGAAAGACCAGGATGAACCTGCAAAGGTCCAGGAGGTCAGCAAGAGGCTGGCCGCCCTGGAGATTACCAATTTTGACGACGACAATGTCCTCTACGCCCTCCACTCCAAATTCGCCGCCGGCGATGTCGACAAGGCCGTCGAGCTCATGCTCTTACAGAAGAAGTCATTCGCGGGCAACGTCATTCCGTACAACCCCAATGTTGCCATGCTGGGCGCCGAGAACCGCGAGATGGTCACCTGCTATCTCGACGCTCTGCTGTTTGCCATGTTCGCCAAGCTCGAGGCGTTCGAATGCATGCTGAAGTCAGACCTGGATGAGCCTCAGAGAAGATTGGCTATGCTTCTGCGACTCTGGGTGAACCTTCTGCGGAGTGGAAAGCTCATTCAGACGGACATGACCGAGTTGATACAGGAAGCACTGGCTGAATGCGGCTGGTCTGATGCTCTGCGCCTGGAACAGCAGGATACATCCGAGGCTTTCGCCTTCATTACCGAGACGTTGCAGCTACCTCTGCTTTCGCTTCAGGTCGACCTGTTCCACCAGGGCAAGAACGACGAGGCGGACCACAAGGTTGTGTACGAGCGGTTGCTGAACCTTGCCGTCCCCCCGGACGCTGATGGCAAGGGTATCAAGCTCGAGGATTGCTTAGAGGAATATTTCAACTCTCAAGTTGACGTTCACCGAGATAGCTTCGACGACAGTAAAGGTAACAGGCGGGCTACTCTGACACCAACTCCCCGAAGTCCCAATGCTCCGGAAACGCCCTCCACCCCGAAAGGCACCATCAGACTCGTTTCTGATGACAGCGACGAGGGCCCTGCCTCTTCACCAAAACTGGGTGAGCACGACGAGCAGCACGGCAGTCCGCATATGATACCTCTCGAGAGGAGGTGGACTGAGAATCCAGCCTCTTCCCCGGCCGCATCTCCGTCCTCACATATTCCAATTAGACCACATCGCAGCCGGACGGAAAGTATAATACAACGAGTTGTGCTCGACGACAAAGGCAAGACATCAGAAGGCGCAGAGACCGCAGGCCTGTTTGAGAGAGCCAAGAGGAGAGTATCAGTGGTCAAGGCAATCACGATACCAGCTTGGCAATTCTTCCGACTAATCCGTATGTTTCGTCCTTCCATCCCTAAAACGCACATTGGCTGACATGATTCTGTAGCATGGCATTCGCCTGCAGACGAAGAACCCCAGAACGACCTCGAGGTGGCAAAACACTTCAGTCAGCGCCCAGTTGTTGGGATTTGTCTCAAACGATATATGGTGGATGAAAAGGGGGTGCCCAAAAGACAAAACACATATATCGACATCCCGGACAGCCTGAGGCTACCACAATTTATCGTGGATCAACGACATGTTGAAGAGAATGGGTTGAGCCAAGAGTACAAGCTGGTATTGCAATCTGTCGTCTGCCACCGTGGAGATTCGCTACACTCCGGGCACTACATCTCATTCTGCCGGGTGGCCCCAAAGCTACTTACGGATAACCGGCGATATGAGAATGACCCACCGCCTGATTACGAAGAAGCGCAATGGGTGAAGTTTGACGATCTAGCAACCGAGAATCGAATAGCTCCGGTGGATGACATCAAACAGTCACTCAAAGATGAGATGCCGTATCTTCTGTTCTATCAAATCGTACCCATCGTCGATGTAACGGCCAGTTCAACAGATGGAACTGAAGCCGAGCCACCTTCATATGACGATACTGCTCTGCAACTCAAGATATCGCAGGCCTCGGAACGGCCGGCCATATCAAGACAAGCTAGCAGCTATTTCGACAACTTGAGCACGCTTCCCTCGGCAACTACCAGCATCCGCTTTTCGTCAGACATAGAGCGGCCGTCCCGGCGGAGCTTTGCTGACGACGAGGGGTTTCTCAGCGTATCGCGCCGCGGCAGTGTGATTATCGACTCCGCGGGTCCGAGCCCAGGCGCCACACCCCTCGATGGGCCATCACCGGCCGCAACGCCTCTGGAAGAGACCACAGCCCACAGGCTCAGCAGGGCAGCTGCCAAGTTCCGCGGCAGCGGCAGCAAGAGCAGACCTCAGAGCCAGGCTGGTGAGGGACGCCTCAGCATCACAATGTCCCGGCTGAACGGCCTGATTCGAACCAGCAAAGAGCCATTGCGTGAACCATTGCGGGACTCCACGTTTCTCGACCCGGACGAGGAGTTTGAGATCGTCAGTACCAAGGAGGCGACCGAGAAAGACAGCGAGAAAGAGAAAGAGAAGGAGAAGGAGAAAGAGAACAGCCAGCACCACAAAAGAGGGCGGTCCAAGGCCCGCCTCGACAAGGGCAAGGGCAAGGAGAAGGCCGGGAGGGCCGGCGAAGTCCCAGATAGAGAGTGCGTGGTTCAGTGATGATAGAGACGACAGCTCGAATGGGGCGGTTTTACACTACAGGGTCACGGGAAGGATATTTCCAGTGCCAATGATTTGACAGCAAGATACCCGGATTGCATTGGCGGCCAGGATGTGGGCAGGGGAAAAAAAGAAAGGAAAAGGATCACTACTCAAAACTTCCATCAAGATTGCCGACCCTTTGGGGGGCAAGGGAATCAAAAAGCATATATAGCATGGCATAGCACGGGGATGGCCATTAGAATTGCACAACAAGAGAGGTTATTTTGCGCCCATCTTCGGAAGGGTCTACTTTGACATGAGGAACATGAGGGAAATCCCCCATCTTGTGTTAATTCGCGTGTGGAAATCACCTATCACGTACATGGTAGACTGGTAGCCCAATTGTCTAAGACAGGGATTCCCGAGCTCAGGGGTCGGGCGTGAGAGACAGAATCTCCATCCCATCTTCGACAGACATGGTGAGTTTCGCACGTAACAGGAGAGTTATAATGAGCAAGCAAGCAAACGATCGTGTTTCTATTGCATACCGTAAATCATTCAGTTGCTAAACCGGATACCAGTGCAGCCATATCCATGAGCCATCTGCGGTGCTCCCACTCATCCTCCGTATCGCACACAGGTCCCCCGTCTGCTTACTCCTCTCTATCACAACCACAAAATCAGGCGCGTCCTCCCATGCAGTGAATAAACAAGAGCCAATGGGACACGTCTAGTCGACGTCCGTAAGCTTGTCCTTAACGGCATCCTTGGCGGTGCTCACGATCCTCTCCGGCTTCCTCTCAACCTCGCCGATCGGCTCGGCAGGGCTCCCGAGGCCGCCGCCGGGCAGGGGTGCTGGGGTGTCGGAGCCGCTACCGGGCATGCTGGGGACGGGGATACGGATGTCCTCGGGACTGGAGACGACCATCTTGGGGTCAACACCGGGGATGTGGACGCGCTTGGCCTCGTTCTGGTACGCGGCGGGGATGATCTCGATGATCTCGTTGCGGGGGAACTTGAGGGCCGGGATGTCCATGGTGCTGCAGTGCATCAGGTAGGCATAGAGGACGCGCAGCACCGACTCGTGGGCAATAATCAGCAGGTCGTTCTGCTCGCGCTCCAGCTCGAGGATGATGGGCTCCAGTCGCACCGCCAGATCGTGGTACGACTCGGCCCGCGGGTATCGGTGGTGGTACGGGTCGAGCTCGTGCTTCTCGACCTCGTCCGGGTAGAGGCGGCGGATGGCGCGCTCCGACAGCTTCTCGCAGACGCCCGGGTTGATCTGCGACATCTGGCTGCGCTGGCGGACCTTGTACCCGCGCTTCGTGAAGGGTTCTGAGGATTGGATGGTGCGCAGGCGGGTGCTCGTCCACACCGTCAGGGGCTTCAGCGGCACCTCGGATCCGCTTTGGGCATTGAGATCTGCGCGCTCCTGCTCGCGATGCTTGATGAGCGTCTCGCACATGACCTCGGCGTACTCGGCGCCGCTTTCGGAAAGGGGGGCGTCTGCTTTGTACGAGTCCTCCTCGGTCGCAGTACCTGCCCGGGCAAAGAACGTGGTCCGAGACTTGATGTGGGTGTTGGTCAGGTAAAAGACGATGCGATGAGACAGGTAGTTGAAGGAGACATTGTTGTAGAAAAACTTTTGCCCAGCGTTGATCATCTTGATGTAGTTGAGCTCGTTTTCTGCCATTGTCTCGAAAGTAGGGATCTTTGCTTCAATCCGGCGAAGATACAGTTTTGCTGCCTCATCGGGGTCCATGCCATCGAACTTTGGTACATCAGCATGGCCATGCGCAGTGTTCTTCTGGAGGGACCTACATCTGGGGAGTTGATCTTGACATTGCGAGCATTCTCTCGTAGTAGTCTATCGTCATCGACGTAAGACTCGAGAAATAGTGTCTGGTTCGTCATTAGAACACAACAATCCATGGGAAATTTGGGTCATTGGTGACTGACCTGGACATCGTGCTTTGCAAACTCCTTCGCCAAAGACCTTCGTCCGCTCGCAGTTGGGTTGACTGCGTCATAAATGGCGACCTGGCCGTTTTCGTGGTTGAGCCAGGCGTAAATGTCTTCTCGGCATTTCTTCAGAATCTTCTGGCGCAACATGACGGAGGCTGGCGAGGCATTGGGGAAGAAATAATCCTCCGGGACATCTCCCGACTCGCCAACGGTGGCACGTCTATAGTCTCCCAAGTGAAAGATGCGTGTCTTGACACCCAACCTAGTAGAAGTGAGTCATGATGCATTTGTAAGAAGTCGGCTTTCCTTACCATTGTAGATAACGCGACATGGAAACACATATATGGCTATGCAACGTCAGAGACTGATTTGGTATGTATGGTACGATGGAAACTCACGTCTTGCCACGAGCAGGAAGTCCCACCATCACGATCGCAATACGACCCGAGTGGAAGAGTCTCCCCGACATAGTGCTGTACAGCTGGGCCGGAGCCCTGTCGCTACTTTCCTCCGTAACATCATGAATGCCATCAATGAAGGTACTGCTCTTCCGTCGGTACTAGAGGGAAGCCCAAATGTCAGCGAAGCCAGATCTTCACGACGATCACGGCGGAGGACCAGTGCCGGGTGCGCTGAAGGGCAGTCCAAGCTGACGGCGTGGGCTGATGTGGCAGGGGTGACGTACCCGTGGCGCGTTTGCAGCAAGTTCTGCGGTACTGCTCTCGTCAGTATCACTGTCCGGATGGCAAACATCTCCAAGATGGAGCTGGCGAAGCAGGCGCGAGGGGGTGGAAGTTCTGGAGCGTTGCAGGCCGGAGAGCCTCGAGTTGGAGTGATCCCTGGCTCGCGCTCCCGGGGAGTGATCCCGTCTGGGGAACAAAGGCACCGACATGGCTACAGGACCAGTCGACATGATGGACAGGTTGGACCGATGGCTGTTGGAGGGAGGGGAGCAAGAGTCCAGATGGGGAAGCCGGCCTTTGTCAGATGTGGGGGAACACAACGGATTTTGGGGTTGCAGCAAACAATGGAATAAGAGGATAAATAAAAATAAAATACTCACAGTAAGGTGTCCATGTTGAGAACTGGGATCGTAGCTTCTCGATTCCAACAAATCCCTATTCGTCCGAGCTACGAAGTCGCCAGGGCCCAATGTATTCCCAAGCGCTTTCCTGAACAGGAAATCCTATATGAACAGGGCTTGTGTGTCACGGCGGTGGCCAGTCTCCAGACTCGCGGATCCTAGCTACCTAGGCACTTCAGGTTTCTGAGTTTATGGCCCGTTTCAAACAATGCCGCTATTCAGAGTTAATAGCGATATGTTAGCGTCCGAGTAACGTGGAAGCCACGGCTGCAGGCCAGGTGAAAGAAATTCACGACCCGGGGATGGCCAGAAGCTGTCAGACTTCCAGATGAGGCAAGATGGTGGGTTTTCCTCGCTTTGCAGCTGTCTTCCAGATGTGCAGCTTGACCAAGACCAGTAAGGTGATGTCTATGACAACAGGAATACTTGGGATGTATCTTATCCCGTCCGACGTTGAAGAAAAGCTGGGGCTGCTAGGCCGAGCTCGAGCGTTGAAAAAGGCAAGTTGGTTTCAGCCACCAAACTGGTGCTTTGCGACCAGGGGCGCACTGAGAGCAATCTGTGCGACAGGCAGTTATGAGACTGAAAGTCTTCCGGGAACCAGGCGATCGTTGGAGAATCTCGTATAGTCACAGATGAGGATATCGTCACCTGAGTTGGGCGCGGGAGGATGGGTGCTTCCACGCTTTAGGGGCCAAGACGTCCGGCTTGGGCAGTGGGCCCTTTGTCAGGGCGACTCTGCAGGTGTGTTTTAGGGAGTCGGGCCGTGCTCCGGAGTGGACTACAAGAGAAGAGAGAAGGATGGGAGTGCAGTTAGTCAGCGGCGGGCATGCGTTCTGTGCCTTTGCAAACTGAATCTGCGACCTGAGCTGTGTTATCTGGAGGTGCATACTCTTATGACATCGTTACGGCATGCGCTTCCCCGGCGGGAAGCCGAGGGGTCAGCTACAGTCCAGTATCTTTGTACGCAGCTTAACTGGTTGTTAGTTAGCTTAAGCACGTAAGAAAACAACCCGGAAGCCGGGGTGGGCAAGCAGCTAGTCAGTTTACCGTACGGTAGCTTTGGCTGTGATAAGGGGTTGAGTGACGGCATGGTAGAGCCGAGCCCATTCTTTACCCCAAAGGCCTAATCAATTATAAGTATATATATCTATCTATCTATATGGGGTTTGCATATGGCCCGACCTCTGCGAATTATGGAAACATCAGTATTGTATACTATGAGGACCCTATTTGCCCATGATCTTCAAGTTGCAGACTGGCGACCTGGGCTGCAGCTTGCCAGCCGACTGGAGATGCTGACGGGCGTCCTTGAGGGGCTAGCCAATAAACGGGTGTTATTTCTTTAGCGTGCGTGTTGCGCGCCGAGAGGAACCTTGGAAGGCTTTGGAGACCACCTGCTGCCAGACTGGTGGTGGGCTCCCTGTACCATAGTGCCTTTTTCTTAGCTGGCCTGGCAGCCTGCCCCCCTGTCTGGCTGGCTGGCTGGCTGGTTGGCTGGCTGAGGACAGGACAGCCAGGCGGTCCTCTTTTCCGGGCACGGGCACGGTGCCCACTCAGATCCTTGCCCAAGAAATTTTGATTTCATCAGAATCGTGACGAAGCTCGGAAGCTCTCAAAAATTCTTAGGCCGACGACTCCCCATCCATCGCGACAAGTGGACAACCGCCCGACCTTGACCCGTGTCACTCACCAGCGGGCCTCCCAGCGCTTCCATCCCTCCTGCCATCCATCAGCACACCCGACGCCTTGTCGCACTGCCGCCCTTCTCCCCTCGAGACCCGTCCTGTCCATCCGAACGGCTCGCCGTCACCAACCGCTCGCATCATGGCGTCTGAGCTGTCATCAACGTCGTCCTCCATGTTCGGCGCCCTCTACCAGAACCCCATCGCGCGGTCGCTCTCAGATGTCTACCAGTCCTTCTCCGACCGCCGCGCCAAGCTCGGCCTGACCAACCCCGGCACCGTCGACAATGTCTCGAGGGAGGTCACCCGTGAGGTCTTCCTGACCAACTACATGCACACTGGTCTGAGGGCCGACCTCACGAAAGCCTTCAGCATATCGCCGCTGTTCCAGGTCTCCCATCAGTTTGCCATGGGCGAGCGCCTGCAGCCCTATGCCTTTGCTGCTCTGTACGGTACCAACAATGTAAGCAGTGCCTACGTAACCTCCCTAGATGACCAGGAAGCACATGAGCTGACCCGCGTGCCCACCCCCCGCAGGTCTTCTTACAAGGAAGCATGGATAGCGATGGCATGCTCTCGACGAGATTCAACTACCGCTGGTCGCCCGCTCTCGTCTCCAAGTGTCAGTTCCAGGTTGGCGCTCAGGATATGGCGCAGATCGAGCACGAATACACAGGCGCCGACTTCACCTCCAGCTTGAAGATGCTCAACCCGTCCTACCTCGAGGGTGGCCTGACTGGTATCTTCATTGGCAGCCACCTGCAGTCCATCACCAAGAAGCTTGCACTGGGACTGGAGACCGTCTGGCAGCGTGGTGCGCTCAACCAGCCCCCGGATGCCGCCATGTCGTTCGCCGGTAGATACAAGTCGGAAGACTGGGTCGCTACCGCGCAGCTGCACGCTCAGGGTGCCCTGAACGCTACCTACTGGCGAAGGCTTTCAGACAAGGTCCAGGCTGGTGTTGACCTGACTCTGCAGCTTGTCCCTGGTCCGGGTGGCTTGATGGGCGGCGGTCTCCAGAAGGAGGGTATCACAACTGTTGGTGCCAAGTACGATTTCCGCATGTCCACTTTCCGCGCTCAGGTCGACTCCAAGGGCAAATTGAGCTGCCTGCTTGAGAAGCGTGTTGCTCCTCCTGTCACCATGTCTTTTGGTTGCGATGTCGACCACGCTACTGTAGGTTCTCCCAACTGAAAGCACAGAAACTACCGTTCACTAACTCCCTCGCAGCAACAAGCCAAGGTGGGATTGGGCATCACGATTGAGGCCGGTGGTGAGGAGCTGCAAGAGCAGCAGGAGGCTCTCGGCCCTGCCGCCTCGCCCAACATCCCCTTCTAAGCACTCCGAGACTAGCCAGGTCTGGCGGCCGTGATCCTAATCGGAATCAGACCTCCAGACTCCATCGAGGATAACGATCCAGACCGTTCGACCTGCGCCGATTGGCAAATCGTCGGCACTTGCGCAACTTCTCCTCTTCTGTTTTATTAAGCCTCCATGGCTTCTCTTCACCGGCGAAAAATGTGAGGACAGCATCAGAATCACTCATGACGATAGATTTTTCCACTCTACCAGCATTCTTGATGCATATGTTCCACTCGAACCTTCTCCACCGCAGCAGCAGCGACTCGCATGCTCGTGGAGGGGTGTGGCGCGAAATGTATATTAGATCGGATGGCATCTAGAGGGCTTGGGGTAGCAATTGAGTTCTCGGACTGGCAATAGGGGTTGGTGGCTGTTTTGCGGCGCGGTCATTTACTAATGATGATGCCGAGGCATCTAACGCAACACGCGCGCCTGTGTAATCTATTAGGTTACTGTATATAACGAGTAGCCTCAACTGTGTATAAAATTTGATGAACCCGAGCCAATCAGCACCTTGCAAGGAAGCAATGCGACATAATGTTACGATTTGTGCGGACTTTGCATCTGATAGGCCATGTTTCAGGCAACCTGCACGTTCTCTGGTCTTGGTGCCTGCCAAGGCCTACCGACGAGCGACATCCACTACAGCTGTCAAAGTAATGTACTTATTATCCAGGGGCGGCGGATGTAACTTGCAATACTGCGGCGTTCTGAGCACCATTTCGGAGACTTTCCCAATTGTTCGTCAAGGTAGCCGGATACATACGAAGCAGCCCGGGTTTCTATTGGTCCGACGGAGCCCGGCGACCTCTGATTATAAATGGAATCCCATGATCGGACCACCAGTCTGCATAGGGTGTTCAGTGGCGTACACACTCTTCATAGCGAGCAGAGAGGGCAGGAATTAATAATGGCGCCTAAGAAGCAGGACCGTGACTATGATGTCGTGCTCCTGGGGGCTACGGGCTACACCGGCCTCTTGACAGCGGAGCACATCGTCGAGCATCTGCCGACGAGCCTCCGATGGGCTATTGCCGGGAGGTCGAGGACTAAGCTGGACGCTTTGGCGTCGAGGTTGAAGAAGCTGGGCCCTGACAAGATCCAACCTGGTGAGCTTATTGTCTGATACTGCTCCAATTCGCTTCCCGCATGCCATCACTTACACTGTTCCCGTAGCGATTGAGGTTGTATCGGTGGAAGACCAGGACCAGCTCGATGCCGTGGTTCGAAAGGCCAAGGTCTGCTTGAGCGTGGTTTTGTACTTCAGCGTGGGAAGACATGTCGTGCGAGCCTGCGTAGAGAACGGGACTGATTACTTGGACGTGTAAGGCATGCCTCTGCTCGTTCTGACTATCCTTCCGCTGGCCACAACTAATTCGACATGTCTTAAAGCACTGGTAACATAGCCGAACTGTACAGCTGGATCGAGGACTACCACGAAAAGGCGAAGGCTAATAATGTTGCTGTAAGCCTCTAAGCAGCGGTGCCGAACTTGTACGCACAAGCTAATATTCCGAGTAGCTAATACATGCCTGCGGCGCCTTCAGTGCTCCCCATGACCTGCTCGCCTGGGCGGCTGCCCGGGAACTGAAGAAGGCAACATCGTCGGATACAAGTGAGGCGGTCCTTTCCGTCAAGAAGATCACCATGAGCCCCAGTGGTGGTACTGTTGAATCTATCATGAGCAAGTCGACTGTGGACCCGAAGACCCAGGAAGATGCACGTGGGCCCTGGTCTCTCTCCCCCCTGAAGGGAGTGACGGCCACGGTTCCGACCAACATCTTTGGCGTCCGCCACGTGCCGCACCTCGGGCTGCTTGCGAATAGTTGCTTTGGCTTGGCGCAGGATCGGGCCATAGTCCACAGGACTTGGGGACTGCTGGGTGGCGAGTATGGACCCAACTTCAAGTACACGGAGTACGAAAGCGTAGGGTCGACGCTTGGAGGCGTTGCCAAGATCCTCTCTGGGTTCCTCCTCGGCGTAGCCCTTTCGTTCAAACCAACTCTGCCCCTAGTCAGGCGCTTCCTGCCCGCTCAGGGCGATGGTCCGGATACTGAGAAGACAAAACTGCAAGATGTTGAGCTGGAGGCTGTAGCTCTCGCGGATACGCAACAGCCTGAAGGTCAGGGGAAGAACGGGTTCGCTAGGCTTTCCTACAAGGGTGATACATATCATCTTACTGGGGCGTTGCTTGCGCAAGGTGCCGCGAGCCTGTTGTACAAACGGGAGTTTGAGGGGGGCCTGAGAGCAGGCTGTCTCACGCCCGCGATATTGGGAGACGATTTTCTAGACAGACTTAGGGGAGTGGGGTTGTCATTTGAGGCCAGCATTGTATGAACGGTATCCATCGGAGTAAAATCTGGGAAAGCTTGGGTTCAGACGAGCGGGCGGGTGAGAAACTCAAAATGGCAAAAGTTCTGTTTCGTTCAAGGCAAACAAGCCCATCCAGTATCGTGACATATGACAGGGGATCAATAAAATGATCATGGAAGGTACAAAAAAAACTTACAACGTTGATGGCCCACCTGGGATACCGGCCCTTAACGGTCCCAAATGTCATGATACACCCAACACAGGATTATGAGGACTGTTATTATTCTCCTGCCCTTGGGGATCGAACTCACAACCCGCAGCGTAAATTACAGCTACTCGCTCGTAGCTTTTTGCCTGGCCAACGCACTCGACAGCATGCAGCTGACCAACTAGGCCACTGCCCGGAGGCAAGCAACCTAGTGATTTCGTGGGATGGTTAGAATTTACTCGCCTTGTCTGTCATTATGAGACCTCTTTCATTGATCTCTCATGCGTTTCATCATCGCATTGCTGGTACTCGCATTTGAGACAGTCCCGTCATTGATGCTTTCTGCCTTCAATCCTCGTCACCCTTTGTCACGCGATCCTGCACGGTGACACGCTTCGCAACCTCAGGTCTAGCTTCGGCGCGCAGGTTTTTCATTGTTTTTTATTCTTTCACTTGGACATTCGATATGCGCTTCCTTTTCTGATATCGTAACGGAACAGAATTTTCTCCCTTGACCACGCAAGGTCTTATGGTGGAAGCTTCAAGGATATCGGTACTCACTTACCGCCCCTGAGCTTGCCAAAACAGGCGCCAACAATCTCATGTTGCGCGTACTATTCCAGATATGAACAACAGTGCTAGAGAAGTTGAAATGACCTGATTGGATATTCACGGCTCTCCCAGGTTTGATATCTCCGTACGCGTGGCTCTCAAGGAGAGCGACGTGTCTCTAGTACCTGATCAACAGTAGTAATTGAGCCCGGCTATTCACCAAGCTGCCCCTAAGATGAGCAGCTAAATACGAGAAGGCAAGTGCATTAAGTATACTGATGTGGGCTGCAGCCAACGACTACTGCTCGTTAACGTAGCATTGATGTACTGCTAACAAGTGATATGATCTGCATGAAGCGCTGAAGGAGAATATGTCATCGGGAATCCCGAGTTCGATCGTCGCCAGGGGCCGGCCTGATCATGTCGCGTGTGGGAACATCCACTGGCGGTGGGTGTCGAGATCACGATATCTAAAGACAGGGCAAGCTTCAAAGATTGCGATAGCACATCTCAGAATCCCATCACCAGCTAAGACAGGCATGTATCTCAGACGAACAAGGGCATGGTCTCATTTTATTACCTTACCCAAAGCTTTCGGTCCTCTACAGATGCCCCAGGAGTCCTCAAACCAGCGAAAATTGACAATGAGGGTAATTCTTCAATTTCTCTGAGGACGGAGGGATGCCATACTTGTCGTTGATACCTTGTCGTAGTAACGTTGGCTTGGTACGTTCATGCCAAGACCAGCACGTTACAAAAGCAGGTCACGACATCGAGGCTTAATGAAGACTCATGCTTTTACCAGGATGTAAGGTGCAAGATCATCTAATGTGTCCCTTCACGGATTGAGCTCACTGTCCTGAATGTTTCCTAGCCACTCCAGGGACAGCTGCACACAAATGTTACCACAGTCGGTCTACTTGCCCAAGATGTAACTTGACTGATGATCGTATCCTAGTACAGGTTCTGCCTTAAGCTCTAATAACTTCGATTCCCGCTGGGTAGACGGGTCGCCGTTCTTGGCGGAGAAAGGCTTTGCGGTGTCCAAGCTGTCGCAAAATGACTCCTATTTAGAAGGTAAACAAAAGAATGACGAGGCCACTTTGTCATGCAGTCCAGGCGCCGTGGCATTATATTCGTATACTACACCCCGCAATGGCGTATCATAGTATAACAGCTATAATATATCCGCCAAGACATTACCCATATGAGCCACGTCTACATACTGACCGTTGCAGCCCCACATACCTTATTGAAACCCTGATTTGCCAGGTGTTGCGGAATGCAAAATTCTACCTTATTCACCTCAGTCGAGATTTGGGACATTGCGCTGATCAATCTCGAATAACACAAAGTGTCGTCATTAAGGCTGACTTCGGACAGCAAGCTGTTGCCGTATTCCGGGAGAAGCTGCATCAATTCACCAACTAGGACCGCCTGATATTAACAAATAGTGTTGGAAACATTCCTTGATTTTATAATTTATTTGATGTTCCTTGCATCTAAGCCCTGATCTGTGTTCCGCGATCTGCATGGAAGAATAGATCGACAGCTAACGTAAAACAGCTACTATATCCATTTGAGCCGCCAGATGTTCCAACCAATCAGCGCTGAAGCCGTCTTCCCCAGAAACGTCCCTTTACCTTGCAACCGCCCGTAGGGCCAGGTTCTAGGGTCGGGCGCTGCACTACCACATCACTCGGATGGTTCGCGGTCATCGATCAGCTGTTGTTATGATTCCCTTGGCCAACTTCACTCACTGCCGTTGCATGAACAGTCAATATGAACAATTTAAATCTTGCGTCGCTTGGTAAAATGCCTTTTGCCTCACCGAGGCGAAACCGGGGCTTCGTCAGCTGATCTGTTGGACTGTTACTTCAAAACGGCCGCCTTTCAAGTAAGGACTTTACCTATTGGATCCCTGAGACTGGGCTGCCAAGAGCATGGTTCACTCCGCCTATAGTTCGGAAGGAAAGGGGCCTCCGATCCACATCCCGGACATGCAATACCGGCATATGAGTTCACCTATCAACGTGTGTAGCCAAGGGCCTCTCCGACGCTCCATGACGATCGAGAGGAGTATCACGCCACTATATTCCGCACCGATTCTTGCGGTGCTCTATGTCCGATGCTATCGAATTCTCTGGATGGGCATACGTAATTGCAAGGATGCCGCGACATCGTGGCTTCGAACAGGGGATGGTGTTCTTCATGCCGTAATGAGGTCTGCAAATGTTGCGATAGGCCTCTTCGGCTTGATCAAATGAGTATTCATGATATCCCTGATTGAGTGCAACGAAAAAGAACTATAAGAGTGATGTTGTGCTCCCCACTTTCTGACACTTACAAGACATCGACCCTGGTGACTCTGTCGAACAATCACTCTTGATATCTTCTTCCTCTCAGGCCACTACCTCAACAACCGCTAAAATGGTGTCCAAGGCATTTTTGGCAGCTTTGTTGCTAACTCCCCATGCACTGGGCTTGGTTCTTCGGACTGAGGCTGGCACCCACCTTGCACCCCTTGATGAACGCGCCGCGGAATACGTGAGTTCCTGCTGGTGTTTTCAGTCACGATCATAGAGACATGCTAAACATATTCTAGGCATCTGATTTCGCTGATACCTACCGCCGTGATCACGGAGATGGTGACGACAAGAAGCCCGCCCCCCCTGAGGGCAAGGTACGAAAATCTCGACGCCGCCTTCGCTCGGCGGCATTTGTAGTTAACATCAGCTAGGGAAAAGGAAAAGGAGGCAAGGGTAAGGGAAAGGGCAAAGGCAAAGGCGACAAGCCAGGATCTGCACCGCCTGCTCCTCCGAAGGTAAGTACATTCGGGAGACATATCTTCACCCCGAGGGCCATGTCCGACGCCCAAAAGCTACCTTTCACGAGCTATACAACCCGTCAACCAATCTCTTGTGAATATATACTAATTATCACTTTGTAAAGGGTCCTGAACGCCGAGGCGACGGCGACGATGGCCCAAAGGTCCCTGGGGGCAAGGGCAAGGGCAAGGGCAAGGGAAAGGTTAGTGCGGCGTAAGATTCCCTGATCCTTCCGCAATGCTAATGTTGCTTCTCAGGGCGAGGGCAAGGGCAAAGGAAAGGGCAAGGTATGGCAACACAAGGCTACCAGCTGGGGGGTTGTAGGAAAAAATTACTGACCGAAGCCCGGCAGGGCGCCGCTCCGCCGCCACCTCCTCCATCTGGGCCTGAGCGACGTGAGGAGCCCTCTCCCCCTGGAAAGGGCGCGGTAAGTAAATTCAAAAACCTCCTAGCTATCATTTGCTGACTAAAATGAAGGGAGGTGCCAAGCCTGAGCCGCCCAAGGCGCCTCCAGCTGCCCCTGGTGGTGAGCGTAAGTGAGCACAGTCTCCAAGCAACCGGCAAGTGCTAAGGCTCGTAATAGCACCCAAAGGGGGAGAACCTCCAAAGGCCCCTGCACCTGGCGGTGAGCGTAAGTGCTGAAATGAACAAGAACTCATGAGTGCGTATGCTAAGTGTTGAATCAGCCCCTAAAGGTCCTGCCCCTGGAGGCGAGCGTAAGTGAAGCGATGTCCAGACAGCCCAGAGATACTAAATACTATTCCAGCCCCCAAGTCACCTGCTCCGGCTCCCCAACCACCAAAGGCACCCGCTCCCGGAGGCGAGCGTAAGTAGCCAAAGTCTTCAAGCACCTCAACCGATGCTAAGTTGTATGGCAGCCCCCAAGTCTCCGGCTCCAGCTCCTCAGCCGCCAAAGGACCCCAAGCCCACTCCGCCGCAGGTTTAAGACACCAGAGAAGAGACGGATTGATCGGAAGGGCTCCATTTTATGATACGTAACCATATCCGGACTAGGTCAAAAGGTTTGAATGAGTACGTTGGCGGAAGAGAACCAGAAAAACAGCAGTCTTGGGACGTTGGCTCCTCATTCTGCATTCCATTCATTCATGTCACGTTGGTTGCACAAGGACCGACTTCCTGGCAACACATTCGTTGTTGAGATCATGTATACTTATATTCAATCCTTTGCTTGGAAGCACATATATTCTGATGCAAACTTTGGGTGCTAGTAGAGAATTGTCCTTTTGTGGAAATTTATTGAGTTGGGGCCTTCATGATACATGCTACATTCAGCTGGTCCATTGGGGTAGGTAGAACTTCATGTTCTCATACACGAGAAATGTCACCCAAGTCGCGGGCATCACTCTTATGACACCCGGCACGATACCCCGATAGAACCCCCTGATGCCCTCAATCGCCCAAGTCCGCCTCACAACCCCTTGAATCCCACGTCCGTAGTGCTCATCGGCATTGAAATTTTGCAGCCGGCTCCGAATAACTTGGTACGGATACGTAACAGCCCCAGCGACCAGTTTTGACGCACTTGAGAGCAGCAACGTCGCTTCGTTCGTCACCTTGAGTGGCGAATCCACCACCTGGCCCCCCTTTTCTAGCTGACGGTGCCGCCTCGTGAAATAAACCCGCTTGGCAGGCTCGTACACAGCGAACTGCACCGCGCCGTGACTGACGCCGAAGAGACTGATCCCCAGGCCGCGGTAGAAGCCCCGCCAGCCCTCGGTGCGGAAGAGCTGCACCGCACCAGCCCACATGCTCGGGTACGCGCCCACGGCCCCGCGGTCAGAGGAGAGCATGCGCACCTTCAGCACCCAGATGGGGTTGGTCAGGATCTGGACGCCGACGCCGGCCAGGGCCGAGGCGGCAAAGTAGTCCGTAGACGTGAGCACGGCATCCGGGGCGTGCTTCAGGCCGAGGATGGCGCGCTCGGCGCGGGCCTTGAAGAAGAAGAAGGACGCCCAGCTCGACGCGTTGCCTAGCAGGTTCGGCGTCAGGCCGCGGTACAGCGCGCGCACAGGCTGCGGCGTCTGAGTCAGGCCGCGAAAAAGCGAGAAGGTCGTGAGGCTTGCAGACGTGGGCGCGCTGCTGCGATGGAGCTGCATCCGTGTCTTGACAATGTCGAGCGGGTGAACAACCAGGGTGGCCACGGAGCCGGCGGTCAGCCCGGAGAGGGTCTCGACGAGGGCGGGGGAAAGGCCCGCATGGTTTTGTGTCATTTACGATGACTTTAAGGTATATTGTCACATGGCAGAACTTTGAGGATTGGACTCCGAGGTGAGAAGAGATGCTTGAGTATCAACCCGTTATGGCTTCCGAGGTGGATTCTGACGTTGAAATTTGGCCATGTACTGTACGCTAAAGGCCTTATCGCCGATAAGTGAATAATCTCGTCACTCCATCAATATCTACTCATGTATCATCGGAAGACGTTGCACGTCTGTTTCTGGGGATTCCGTTGTCGAAGGGAACGTTTGAGGTTTCCTGCAGTGGCAAGTGACTATAGTGAGTGCCTGATGTTGGTAGGGTTGGCCGAAGAAGTCAGTCAATCACTCGGTCATGATCCACACATGGCTTGCTCTCAAGCTCACGAACAACGGCACGGAGAGCGGCGTATTCAAGAGTGGTATCATAGATTTCATTATGTAGTATTGTACAATCCTATGGTCCCTATGCTGCCAGTGAAGAGTGATGCGAGGCTTTCCGACCCCCAAATGCCTTATCTATAACATGAACACGGCCGAACTGACACGATTCAGCCTGTGTTCGTCCCGAAAATCTCATCGAATACTGTACAGCGCATCGCATGCGCAATTTAAGGGCCGCCTAGGACAGAGGCGACAAGAGACTGTCAGATGGTCAGTGGTTGGGGTTCCTTCGTAACGCGCAACGACGAGAGGTATTACCGGATGACGGAGGGTCGCGGGTCGCTGCGAGTGTAGCCTGCAAGATCAATTAGATACTGGTTCGACGAGAGAAAGCGCGGGATATGATTGTATGTTGCATACCGAGGTAAAGGATCAGGGGGAGGTAGCCACTGGGTCTGGTCAGCTTCCTGGCGCCATGTGAACACGAGGCCGCATCGCAACATACTAGTGCATGGCAACTCTTCCCATATCAATGATCTTTCCGATGCGCTCCTAATGGACAGGTCAGAATCGGCGATGACAAGTGCTTGTTTCGGGCGGGCCAACCTTGGATTCTTCGGACAGGGCGAACATCTTGCCGGTAGCTCTGGCGAATTGATGTCCGGGGTGGTTTTCTGTGCTGCAAGGGAGGGCTTAATCAGTATTTTGAGACGAGAATCACTGGATAGAATACGTCGACTCACGGATGGCGTGGTGAGCTCCGGTCGGGCTGATGTCGTCGTCGTCTCTCGTCGTTCGTTGTCGTCGTTGCCGATGGTGAGGTGCAGGTCGCAGCTCCCAAAAAAATCAGTATCCGCGGAAAGGCTCCCGCGTCATCGGGAAGCCGCACGGACCACTTTTCCCCGGGGAGATCCAGGCGCAGGCTCCGAAGCTCAAGCTCGCCGTCCGTCGCAAAGAGGAAGGAAAAAAAGACGGTTGCGACGCGCTACATCGTGTCTTCATTGCAGCCTCGAGACTTCGGGACACGGACTCAAGATGTCGGGCCAGAAACACTGGTAAGTCACGCTCCTACTGAGTCTCACAGAACGGCTCGCTGACTCTGCATCTTCCAGGGAGCAAGACAAGGAGGCCACCGTCTATGTCGGCAACATCGACGAGCGCGCGACCGATGCCCTCATCTGGGAGCTCATGGTCCAGGCCGGGCCCGTGGTGAACGTCCACCTGCCCAAGGACCGCGTGACCCAGTCGCACCAAGGCTTTGGCTTCGTCGAGTTCAACGGCGAGGTCGACGCCGACTACGCAGCCAAGATCATGAATGGCGTCCGGCTCTACGGCAAGCCCCTTCGCGTCAACAAGGCCTCGGCAGACAAGCAGAAGCCCCTCGAGATAGGCGCAGAGCTCTTCATTGGCAACCTGGACCCCATGGTGGACGAGAAGATCCTCTACGACACCTTCAGTCGCTTTGGCACCCTCACCGTGCCGCCCAAGGTCGCCCGCGACGACAACGGCCTCAGTAAAGGTTACGGTTTCGTCAGCTACAGCAGCTTCGACGCAAGTGACGATGCTATCAACAACATGAACGGCCAGTTCCTCATGAACAAGGACATCAGCGTGCAGTATGCTTACAAGAAGGACGGCAAGGGCGAGAGACACGGAGACGAGGCAGAACGCATGTTGGCCGCCGAGGCCAAGAAGCACAATGTCACCATCGAAACCCAACCGATGCCGCCTGCCTATCACCAGCAGCCCGGCCAGGCTGCGCCGGCAGCTCCCGTTGCTCCCCCCGTCATGGCAACAGGAGGCTTCGACTCGTCTATGGGCGCAGGGATCCCTCCTCGCCAGCCTGCTTTCGCACCCCCTCATGGTCATCGACCTCCGCCAGCAGCATTTGGTGCCAACGGCGGCCCTCCACCACCACCAGCATTTGGTGCCAACGGTGTCCCTCCTCCGCCCATGGGTTTACGCGCAAACAACCTACCACCCCCTCCGTCTGGTCTACCAGCTCGGCCACCGCCTGCGCATGGCGGATCTGGCAGCCCTGCCGACTTTCACCCTGGCGGCTTCCGTGGCCCTATCCCTCCCGGTCAGCTGCCTCCGGGTCAGATGCCTCCCGGCCAGATACCCCCTGGGCCGATGCCACCTCCCGGATTTGGTCGACCGCCATGGCAGTAATTGCCAAGAGTGAATATCAACACATGACCTTCAGTTTCTGGTTTTATCATAGCACGCATCGCATGAAAACCAGGCGGGGTCGGTATGTACACTCTGAACACTCAATACGCCCCCCAGTTTTGCACTGGTTGCTACGTAGACCATAGCACACAAGAACTGGGAGCCCGTCGAAACAACACAATGAGATCGCCAACTCAGCCTCGCAACATCCCCTTTCATGTTAAGGCCCTGTTGAGCTGCTGTTGCGACAGCCTTGTGTGCACTTGTGCCCAAATGAGGCACGGCTGAATGAAGGATTCAAAAGTGGGGGCTCGGACATACCGAGCTAGGCTGCCTCCAGGATCGCAACGGATGTCGGTCGGTAATAACGGTGGCAGGTTCATGAAACATTGAAAGAGCGGTTGGGCGTCAATAGTGAGCGGACACGAGACCCTTGGGCTTCGCGATGTCCACGAAGGAGGTTGGTGAGGTGCGTTCATCGCGGGACTGGGGGCAAGGGCTCCAGACATCCACGCAAGGGGATAGTTTGCCACCACATAATTGAATGACGGCTTCACTGGCTAATACCAATACAGCTATTTGAAATCTCAAAAGTGAAATGATGGAAACTATTGGGCCTTGCAGGTGAAGCTGCGCTTTTGTTCCTGCATTGATTTCAGGAACCATTTACTGTCTTGAGCAAATCAGTGAGTCCAATCTCTTCGCCATCAGCTGCAACCTGCACCTCCTTCATGATTATTCCTAGCAAGAAGACATGTAGGTCAGCTATCGAGTCTCTAGTGGTATTTCGTCGCTTGGCATATCATCTCCACTTACAGCGAGTATGCCTGTTTCGTGTTTCTGTTTCACAGTCCCGGCAAGCAATCAGCGGCGGAGTTCTTGCACGCGTTGAGAAAAGCAACCATCTTCGCAACCACACACTGCTCGTGGTTCTGCGTTCGCGGTCGCGCCATGCTTCAGCTTATCACTCTCACACCCCCCGTCTCGCGGGTACTTGTTCCACGACATGATCATATCTGCAAGTGACACTGCCGGAACCCACATCTATATTCTGGCCGACGGTTCTGGTTACGCAGAGCATGACTTATCCGTACGTCCTTTGCGAGATTTCAGGGGAACTGAATATAACGCTTTGACCCCGGAAGCCCGGCAACTAGATGCCTTCAAATCGATTCCAAATGTTGTCCCCTGAAATCGTTCGCAATGGCGAACCGGCAATCTAAGAGGCATCGACTTGGCAGTCACACAGAGATTTTGCTGCAAGATCAGATCGACCCGCCGATGATCCTTGGTGGAGCGCTTCCGTGATGTAGTCTGGATCATTTCCTCATCTACTCTAAACACATGGAAGGAACGATGTTGAGGCGAAGTTGATCGCAAGGGAATCATGCCTTGTGGTAGGCAAGGCTGTCGATCCTGCCCTCCTGGCCCGCATTCCTCCGCATTCTAGAGCTATGTACAAAGAATTCAATATCTTTCTATCGAAGGCTCTGATAAGTTGTCTCCTGCCTCGTCAAGCCTCAGGCAAGCGCCGCTATCAGTACCTGGCAAAGTACTAAGCGGTAGCTTCGCAACGAATTGCCTTGCCTTGATTCCTCTATCCACGCACAAAGCGCCACTATATGCAAAGTAGCCAAGGGTACATGATGTTGGCGGTGGCCATCTGAATAGCTTGCGCCAGAGCTATGTCCTGCAGTTTTGGCATGATCACCCCTGACAGCAGCGGCGGTGACGATACTCATGGGCTAATACGCGTATGGTGGCAAGTATCGGCACGTCGAGGCCATGTACGAGTACTTCAAACGCATGGCGAAGAGGACCCTGAGTGGCATACCCACTATCTAGCTCATGCCACGGCGGGCGTGGGCCTGGTGAAGGTCTCGTTTGCATGTCTGTTCCTGTTTAGACTTGTATTGTGCAGGCGTGGCTACGGCTAAGATGCGAGTACGGGTCAACCCAAGAATGGGGTTTTGTCAAAATGACGAGTCTAGTGTCAAGGAATTAGAGGGCCTTCCTATACTGAAGATGTTGCAATCTAATCGGTTCTGCAGATACCCGGTGCACATGCTTGTCAGTGTTCAACGAAACCTCATGCCAGAACTCGCTAGGTAGGACAGATCAAGTATAACGTCGTATTACACGTCAAAATAACCTTGAACGGGATGGTACGGTGTAGAGACGAAGATGTCGAGAAGGCCATGGGACAAGGGTTTGGCTGTACGCTGCTGCTGGGTACCCCATCCGCATGCAGCACAAGATGAGAGGGAGCAACTGGGGTAGTTGTACGGATGAGACTTGTTCGAAAAACAAACCCACATCTGCCACCCGCGGAGGCCCATCCGGCACAGCCGCCACTGCCATCCATGCGCGACATCTCCCTTGGTGGCACCGTGTTTAGGCCGGCTAGGACTTTCTCTGATAGTCTTGGATTCCAAAGCATGCATATAGAAGTGTGGACTCGATCATGAGCGAGGGCGAACACACGCGCGGGCCGAGAGCGCACCTCCCACAGCCTCCTGCCACCGTCTCGGAGTATTGGGTAGAGGCGGCCAGTCGCAGTTTAGGATACCTCTGATTGTCCGCATCTTGTGCGACCCATTAATGCGTTCAATGCTATCTACCGGAGGCGCTTTGCAAAACGCAACTTGGAGTACCACCCATCCAAACTTTAACGCGTCGCCTACCGTAGTACGGTGGCGGCTATGCGTATGCCGAATACTATTTCGTGAATAGTTCGAGACGCTGTCAAATCTCACAATACTACCTGAGCATCTTTACCCCATGTAATCGTCCCTTATTTTTCCTTGTGTTCACTAATCATGCTCCATCATATATCATATTTGCTGTTTTCCTTGGATTTCCGCGGTGCCATCGAGCAAGGTTTGCGAAACCTGACAATTCCTTGGGGGTTAACGGGGGGTTATCACTGAGAAACATGACATGTCACTTTTGGTGGGCTACGTTCAGATCCGGCAGTGCAAGATCTGGGTCGTTTGTCCCCCTCATCTGGGAAATCTCACACGTCCTACAGCATATGTATGATCCCGTGCATATACACAGATACAGACATAAGTCCAAAATCCAAGGGGAAAGCTCGTCCCACCTGTAGGAGAAAAGAAGGCCGACGGCATATCATGGGCATTATTGACTGTGGGGAGATACTATGTCTGGCTTGGCTGGCGACGTCAAAACGTCTGATGCAGAGGATACGCGACCATCCACGAATGATGCATGCTTTCGCAAGAACCCAGCTCCAACTTGCATCCAGATTACTGGATTTGTCGATCGTATGCGAAGGCCCCCGGGCCTTCAATTAAGGTTGTTACACCGGCCATCTGGTTCCAGAGATCAACTCATCGTGGGATGCGATGCAGACCCGCAGGGGGACAGCATGTCTGTGCTTCGACATATGCCTCGCAGCCGCCACAAGAGAGAGGGATCAGGGGTGGCAGATGCGTGGCTGGAGGGGAGAAAAAACCTGAGACATACTCTTTCTCTGACCTGCGTATGAAATGACGAGTACGGGAAGAAAAGTAATCAGTAGAGACCCAGCCCGCTCCTGGATATTGCCCGCCGAGCAGAGGGTTGTGCCGCTGTCATTGGGTAAGTGCATCAAGAGCTAAGCTTGAACTCAACCGCACTGAGACATACGCACCCTCGCGCATCTGGCTAGACCATGTGTCAAAGGAAGAGGAGGAGCTGTCAATTGGGCGATCGAAGTACCGAGCTCCCTATACCTAGCGACTATGCAACCCTGGACGGAGCCAGCCCCGTGGCTGGCGAATAGATCCGCTCACCATCTCGGGCTGTATGTAGGGAGACGTCAGACGGTGCCATGCCCTTCTTACAGGTGGCTGGTTCGTCTGTTCCTTGCATCCGTCCACTAAGTTAGCTAGCTAGTGTGTGCGTGTGTAAAGTTATGTGTATGTGCGTTGCGCTTGTGTATGTATGCGATCCAGTGGTTCGGTCCTAGCTCCGCCATTCGCTGGCTCCCCGGACCAGTTCTCATCCCCCAACGTCCCGGATCGATGAGATAGACTTTGGCGTGGGCCATTGTCTGTTCACCCACCCCCTCCCTGGCGCATGCCGGGAGCCCGGCCGCGTTCCTAGTTCGCGTCTTCAAAGTCGCAGTATGCAGTGTCAGGTGGGGTCATTCTACCGACACGAACTCGAAGTTGCAGCTCATGTCTTGCAAAACTTCCAGGCCCTGTCCTCGATCGGCAGCAAAGGTTGGGCCCCAGAGGATTCGCAAATTACCGATGGACGATAATGGAGACTTCCAGAAGTGTGCCATCGACTATCGAAAACAGGGTGCGATTTTCCCCCACATGTTCGCCCTCGCCGTAACAGTAAGCACTTAGGTGTCAGTCCCTTGCCGTCAGCCATCAAATTTTGAGCCGCACGCTCGGGACCGAAAATTGAAAGTCATGGACACGTAACCTGGGTGCTTCGAGGCTGGAATGGAGCCTGGTCATGGACTATGGGGTATTGCACTGCCCATCCTGCCATAGATACCCTGACGGTTTGTTTCGGGGAGGCCCCGGGTGCTCACGGACGCTGGCCGTGGCTCTCACCCCTGCTAAAGAATCCAGGTGTTCGGCGTCGTCATCCAGAAACGGGGCAGAATCCAGCGAAATGACACTTCACTTTCGGGTTACCGAAGCCAGAGGACCCCAATGCGACATGTGATACCAAGTCGTTGACCTATTCAGGGTCAGATTGCGAGCCCTGTTACCATCAATCTCACGCAACGACCCTGTCATTGGAGCATCTTGCAGACGAGAAGCGCGATGCAGGCAGATCTGCAAAACCCTTCCGCACCAGGATACCGGGTCACGATACTTCAACTCGTATTCTCTTCTGTCTCGCCTTAATTTTGTCGAAATGAGCAGCTCGAAGAAAGAGGCCCACGCCGCAGCAGGATGGGTGCACTGGATGCAAGCATCTGGCCACAATTCGACTGCTCTGTCCACATCGAGGATAGCAAGCGGATCATCCGT